GTCGTAATAGGTGGCTTGCTAGTAGTTGAGRCAGTKGTCGTGGCCGTCGTAGTGCCTGAAGTGGCCGTGGTAGAGACAGTAGTCGTTACTGGCTTACCAGTGGTTGTAACGGTAGTGGTAGCAGTGATTGTGCTAGTGGGTGATACCGTTGTTGACATCGTAGTTGATGCCGTTGTGGTGATTGTGGTTGTTGATGCAGACAAAGTTGCGGTGGTCGTGGCGGTTGTAGTCTGGGTAATGGTGCTGGCAGGCGACGTTGTGGTGGCAGTCGTCGTGACAGTGGTCGAGGTGACGCCGGCTACGGTACTGGCCACGGTCGACTGAGTAGAGACGGTGGTGGTGATGACAGCTGAAGTGGCAGTTGTTGTCACCGTTGTTGTTGCCGTGGTTGTCTGTGTAATTGTTGACGCAGCATTGGTGGTCGAAACCGTGGTGGAGGCTGTGGTCGAGGCTGTGGTCGATGTAGCCACTGAGCTGGCAACAGTCGACTGGGTGGACACAGTGGTTGACGCAACAGAGCTGGCGGTCGAGGAAGCCACTGAGCTGGCAACAGTCGACTGAGTGGACACTGAGGTCGACGCCACCGTGCTGGCAGTAGAGGTAGCCACAGTGCTGGCAACAGTGGACTGGGTGGAAACGGTGGTAGTCACACCAGTTGACAAAGTGCTCTGTGGGAGACACTTTGCTTGGTTCAGCGGGTTAACCGAGCATGAGAAGCCAGCGGGACATCGCAAAAAGGTACACATATTGATACACTTTGGTGGTAAGCTTGGCATAGGTTGGCAACAAACAAAGCCGTGGCCACATGGTAAGTTACATTCATTAGCATCTATTATTTGAATAAATATATTAGTATGAGTTAACTTAATATCCTCCAAACTACCCGATCTTGGTAATTACCTGTCCATGTGACACTGGCCACAATAAGAATAAGCGCAAGAAGCACTCTTGTACTCAAGAATGAGCAATGTTTAGTAATCATATCTCTCTTTCTCTCTCTATCTTTGGTCTTTTTTATTATCACAAAGCTTAATATTAAGTCCTCTTTAATAGTGGCGCACCTGCTTGCTTGATTGCAAGCCTGGCTGATTGACTGCTTGCTTGCTTGCCCTTGATTGATTGCTTGAGAGAATGAATGAATGAAGTAGTAACCCACACTACTACACTGTGATGTTGTTGCTATATGCAATATGAATTCATTACATGTGTAGCTACTACTCGTGCCATAATCATGCATCATCTTACATCCCCGCCAGCCTGTATCACAACCCTCAACAGAGCTACTACGACCCAATCCAATACTACCAGGCACAGACGCCAACCATCTCTCCTCTGGCCACCTCTATGCCCATCCTCTATCAAGGCGTAAACGATGCGGTTGTGCAGTCATCACTCAATCTCAATGGATCGATCCCAATGGCACAGGGGATGTAAGATGATGCAGTGGTTGGGTCGATGTAGGCTGCAGTGTGTTGAGGTGCCGCAGCAATGTATACTTGTTGTTGTTGTTGTTGCTGCTGCTGTTGTTGCTGTTGTTGTTGTATCTGTATATAAACTGCTTCTATTTGAAAGACAAATTGACCCTGCTAAAGCCTCATTTACCCTGGTTTGTGGTGGAAGGAAATTAATTGGCCTACACCTCTTATATTATCATTTTGGCATTTGTGGTGGGTTAATTCCTTAATCATCCATTCTATCGATCAAAATGATAATATAAGAGGTGTAGGCTAACCAATCAACAACACACATACACAAATATATCAACACAGTGATGATGATGATTACCGCACTAGTAGTATTTATTCTTTGTAGGTTCGCATATGTTCAATCAAATTATCACCTCCATCTGGTGTCTAAGCAGTTACCAAGGGGTTGATCGGAAGAGTGGCCTGGATGAGCATTTGAAGACCAAGCACTAGTCATGCCTAATCAATGCTCTTTGCCAGATCACCCAACTCGACTACTACACTGTGCTTTACACATCACGTTTACAAACAAAAAGGGTGGCATAAATAATTATTAAGGTCATTTATCAATCATTTAATCAATTAATTGATTCATACAATTCCCCATTCATCTTTATTCCAGAGTCCATCCAACGAGTCAATGTGAACTACACACCAGGCCATTCGAATGGAAATCCATCATCCATAACCAAAGCTCTGGAAAACTAAAGACCATGGACCTTTTGGAACTGGCATGGACATGGATATAATTATCTGAGATGGACCAACTCGCACTTTCATTACATCAACAACAAATATAACAGAATTGATAGCATTCATTTGTGGATATATATTTCATCTCCACAATTGAATATATATATATATATTGTGTATCTGTAAGTCGAGTGAATGATTGAGCGAAGTCAACAATTGTCAAAGTGAGAAGTTCATGGATGAACGCAAAGGTGGGGGTAGCTAGGTTGTCACCCTCCCTGTTCTCTCAATCCTCAAACTACTTTGATCTTTATTATGTGTTGTTGAAGTGATAGAGATAATAATAATAGTAATAACAATATATTTAATGGCTGGAAAGAAGAAGGGGATGTTAGTGATGACCATGAACATGATGATAATCAACAAAATAACTACAAGGACAACAAGAAGACCAACAACAGGAAGTGATAATGAATGAGACCGTTGATGTATCTATTGTGGATAATGTAGAAAGATCACAACCAGAAACCTCAACATCGACAACCTCATCCACTACCTCGGCAACCAAGAACAAGTGACCTCGATTACCTTGGAGGGTTAAAGTGTTCCCCGACAACCAGTTTGACAGCGCGATACTTTGAGCATTTCAAGATACCGACTACACAGCAAGAGATCGAGAGGATATCGATAGAGTCCACGATGAAGATCCATCAGTTCAATCGCAAGGTGCCCAAGGACATGAAGTCCGCCGGCGGTGGAGGCACTGTTCACCGAGATCAAGGAGACGATGGAGGACGACACATTGGTGATGAATGAGAAGCCCAATTCATTGACAACCAGCAATGAATCATTCGAGTTGGAAGAGCAGTACAATGAATACTTTGGCGCACTGCAGGGGTACTTGCCAAGTTGTCAAATCAATCACAACAGGCAGCACTCTGTCGTGGACTTGAGAAGATGATTCACTTGGCATCTATTGGTATCGAGTTGATCAACTCTACCGTACAATGAGACAAGACGACACCCTCTCCAAAGACTATTCATACCTAATCAACAAGATTGTATCAGTATGTATCCGTGGGAGACTGGAACCATTCCAATCAATCACTCGCTCACTCACTCACTAACACTGGAATCATTCCAATCAAACAGGACACCATGAGTATCTCATCAGTGATCACAGAGATTGTAAAGACGAAGCAGAATCCACATACGAGGAAGCATTTGAATACTATATCAATTGAGACGAATAATGTCATATCGACCATCACAGACGCAAGGGGATGCTTCATTGCCATCTGATCATTATTGTTCATCAATTCCAGTCCACCGCGTGCCGCCAAACAATAAATATCGCGATTAAACTTCAATCAATCATTCATTTTACAACAATGATCAAAGATACAGATACAGATATAGATACAGATAGATCAACACTGTTGTTCAAACATATAATTAATATAAGATGGTTAAGATTGTTTATATTTGATAGAGTTCGATTGGTTAATGGGATAGTACATGGACGTGGCTATTTGAAGAGAATGAATTGGGAACAGTTGGTTCAAAGATGGATCGTCTATGTTAGTGTACAGCCTACATGTGTACCAACAGACTTCTTTACAAAGGGGCTCAAGGCGAGTGCACATAGATATATAGTATCATACATAAAGTCACATCGCAGAGATGCCATTCAACAACTACTCCATAAACAAAGTGATACAGACACTTGCTACGTCGTTGATTGGATGGCACTGGTTGGAGACCTACACTCAATCGTACAACTACAAGAATGTGGACTGAAGGCGACATACAGAGCACTGGACTATTCTGGCTCCCTCGATGTTACCCGTCACCTTCATCTCGACCCTGATCAAGAGTGCACTGAGCGTGCAATGGATACCGCCGCAATGTTTGGCCGATTGGACATCGTCCAGTTCTTGCACGTCCATCGCAAGGAAGGCTGTACCGTTCAGGCTATGAACACGGCGTCATATAATGGACATCTAGATGTAATCAAGTTCCTTCATCATAATAGGACTGAGGGATGTACAACGAACGCCATGATCTTTGCGGCACAATCAGGCCACGTCAACGTAGTTGACTTCCTGCATCACAACAGAACAGAAGGGTGTCTTGAGCGGGCAATGGACCTAGCCGCCAAGTATGGCCATCTCAACACTCTGGAGTACTTGCATATCAACAGGACCGAGGGCTGCACTACCAACGCGATGGATGAAGCTGCATTCCTTGGACATCTGGATATTGTCCAGTGGCTACACCACAATCGAACAGAGGGCTGTACCACTGCTGCGATGGACAGAGCAGCCTCGATCCCCATCATAGAGTTTCTTCATAATAATCGAACAGAGGGCTGTACATCTGCCGCGATGGCTAGTGCAGCACTCACTTCCAATCTCCCAAAGCTCAAGTTCCTGCATTTGAATCGAAGTGAAGGCGACATTCATGAGACATGGCACATAGCAATACGCGACTCCACCAAAGAGATCATCGACTACCTTCTAGAATTCTACGATCCAGTATCTGATGATCAGGTGGAATATGAAATTCATGAAGAAGTCTACGAAGACTATCTAGAATGAATACATCCATCTATGTAATATAAGTTATGTTGCTTTATTATCCTTTATGATGTTCAATTGTGATTCAAATTAATAACGTCGATGTATCACCTTCACCTGTGACATAATAGATCTAAACACAATCTTATTTGTGATCAATCTTTTGAACAACACAGTTGTTATCTCTAATCTATTATTATTATTATAATTATTATCTGTATCCATTTTTATTATTATTATTATTATTATAAGTAGTAATTATTATTGTTGTGTTTGTGCGAAAACAAATGACCTGAGTTGTGAATGCATGTGTTGCAAACTCACTTTGCAAAATGTTAAAGACCTGTCGTGCGACACCCATCTACTTTGCAAGTTAGTTGGACCATGTTGGCAAGACAGATGGAATAGTGCGCTTGCAATCTGATGTAGGACATGTTGCTGTGATCGAATATTGGTATCCACGATACAAGTTTATCTTAAATGAGTGAAGGATCGAGATTGATTGATTAGCAAAGTGAATGAATATAGATGTTTGAATGAATGAATGAATGAATAAATGAATGAATGAATGAATGAATAGTATAACTTACAACAGATGCTCCACCTCTTGTATATGCCTCAGATGATGAACCAGTCAACTTGGGATTGACAAGTTTGATAAATAGGTTACTACCATCAAAGTGATATAATGATCCATTGCCAGATAGTACAGCAGTTTGTGAGGTGGCCTTGGTCAGAGTGGTCCTTGGGTTACCCGATGTGTGCTCGGCAACACCAGTGAATGTAGTTCCAGCAGGGTAGGGCACAGCCAACAATAGGTAGTTACCAAATGGTATCTGCCTTATTTGAAGAGTGAACGTTGGTGGTGAGACCAAGTTGGCAAAGTTCAGATGCCAGCCCATGTTGAGCATGCCGGTGATCACTGGGTTGCTGGTGAAGTAGGCCGTGTGCGGACCAGCAGGAAGGTTTGGTGCGAACAACGAAGTGTTGCCAAGTATGGTGTGCTCCTCGAGGCGAGCTGTGAGACCGGGCGACTCAAACAAGATGGTGCCGATCTGCGCGCTGCCCTTGGGACAGACATGTACTCGCCACTCGGGTTTGAACACGCAGCTGTTGCTAAAGTACCACCAGTTGAGTGAGGAGCCGATGATCTGTGGTGTGGTCTCGCCGACGCTGGAACCATCCCAGTCGATGTAGTTGAAGTAACGGCTGGCACCAGTCTCTCTGATGTAATGGCCAATGATCTGTGAGTGCTGCACGTTGGTGAAGGTGATGTTGCGCGTAGCCGAGATCTGCTGTGGCTTGTTCAGATCGCTGTGGGTCATGGACACGATGACCGAGTTGTCGGCTTCGGGATGTGGCGCAGTTGGATCGTGCTGGAAGTTGCGGAAGTTGATGTTGGTGATGATTGTTTGAGTGACAGTGTCGTAGAACTGGAAGCCTTGACGTTTGATTGACTCGTAGTACTCCTCGAAGCGGAGGTCCACCGGATTGTTTGAGAACCCATTGATGATGGCGTTGTTCATCCAGGCCGCGCCAAACACTGTACCAGACTTCTCATTGTCGTGCGACTCGTAGACCTCGACCTCTACCTGATTGCCCCAATGACCCACTCCATTGGGACACTGCCATGTCTTGGTGTTGGTCCATCTCATCCAAGCAGTCTTGCCAACTGCGTCCTTGGTCTCGCGTGCCTGGCGACCAGAGATATAGGTGAGCTGATCAGTAGTACTGTTGGCATAGTACAGGCGACCACCACAATAGATGCATGCTCCAAAGTTGTTAAAGTAGTATCCAGATGAATGTGCTGTGTTTCCATCAAACTCCAATGTGGGCCTTGACTCGGGCTGGATGTTGGTCTGATTCCTGTAGAATCCGACTGGTGCGACGAGGTTAGGGAAGGCGTATGATGCCCATCCACCAGAGGCAGCATTGCCAACGATACGGTTGTACGCGTTGGTGATGTAGAAGCAACCGGCGGCAGAGTCTGCGGGCTGGGTGAGTGTGGGTGACTGCTGGAAAGTCTCACCAAACTGGGCATTCTGGGCAGAGCCATCGGCCGGACGACCAATGGTGTGGACGGATGCGGCAAGATTGAATGAGATGGTGTTGTTCTCTTCGACACCATCCTCAATGTAGTAACAATGTCCGATGGCATTGAAGGCGACATTCTGTGTGAGCAACAAGTTGTTGGTGCCATGGATCGTGTAGCAGCGGTAGAATGTGTCGTGTGTCGAGCAGTCTGAGATGTATGAGTTGTTCACCACGCCTGCCAGATGGAAGTGGAGTGGGTAACGTCCTTTGATGTTGGTTTGGCCCATCTTGATCAATTCAATTCCAGCAAATTGTCCATTGCTCATTGTCAGGACATGTCCACCAAACTGATTGGCATCCGAGTCGTTGGCTCCACGGAACACAATGCGACGTGACAATAGTCCCACCTCGGCTTGGTACTCCTGGCCAGCATAATGGAAGAATTGCAAGGGCTCGGTGAACTCAATCTTGTTTCCAGAGATTGCGCGGATGACTCGGACCTCATTCTGAGGGTACAACTCGTCCTTGTACTTGGAGGTCGTGATGAACACCTTTTGGCCAGGCTCCCAGTTGACAGTGTCCTGTAGGTAGATGATTGATTCGTATGCATAGGCATGTGAGGCGAGTCTCGACCATGTCTTATAGTACTGCTTGCCCTGGACACTGATGTATCCACCCTTGGCCACTGCAATTCCCTTGCTGCCCATCCTTGGTGCAATGGTGTCCGCGGTCGTGTACTGACCAGTGAACACAATCTCAATATTGCCATTCATCCTGCATGTACTTGTTCCCATGAGGAGCTGGCCGCGAACATCCATGTCCTGGATTGTCATCGAGTATGAGGCGTCCGAGAAGATAAGCTGGCTTGTGGCTGGCACCACAATCTTCAGGAACACCGCACCGGGAATGATTGAACATGATGAGATGAGTACTTTGGAGTTCTCTGGTAGTGTGATCACGGATGATGGCGATGGGATGGCTCCACCCCATGTAGCGGGATCATGCCAATGAAGTAGACCACTCTGGAGATGTGGGCAAGTAGATCTGTTTTGTGCGATCAGACCAGTAGTTGGCTTGCGAAGGTTTACGATCTCAGAGTCCTTGGTGAGCAAAGTTGGAGGGGTGTGAGGGGCAGCTAGAACGGTGAACTTCATTCCCCTCAAGAACACAGTTGATGGGTTGGCATTGGGCTTGGTGAACATACTCAAACCAAGAGGAGTAATTGGTATGTCCGCCAATGGGGTGAATGTCAATGATACCGACGTCCATGCAGTATTCTTGGCGAGGTTAACACCTGTCTGAGTGAATGGGAAGCATGTTGAAGTCTCAAGCACACCACTCTCGAACCTGAACTTGCCCCTTGTGACATTGTACGAGGGATAGGCGCACAATGAGAGGTTGACAGCCAGGTTGGCAGTGCCCGTGAGCAGGTCCAAGGACATGGTATAGGTGTGATCCTTGCGAAGATAAAAGTCTCGGGCAAGTGATGCCATCACAAAGTTCTGTCCATTCCATTTGCTATGAGTGACGTTGAGTGAACCACCGATATCGATACCAGAGTACAATGCTCCAGTTGGCAACTGAGTGTAACCAAGCAATCCACCATACCATGTATTATAATTCCAATCATTATATGATGGAAGATTGAATACATAAGGTGATGTGGATGTTGTGAATGGTGGAGATACCGGTCCATCAGGTGATGGTGCAGGGTCACGCCATACTGGGTCAACCGAGCAAGTGGCCTAAAATAATAATTAAGTGATTGAGTGAGTTAGTGAGTGATTGGAATAGTTCCAAATTAGTTATATCAATTAATATTTACAGAGTAGACAACAGAACTGGAACTGAATGTGATCAATATTAGAATAAATAGAGATAATTGTAATCGCATGATTGAATGTGTAGTGGAAGTTGAATGAATGAATGGGAATGAGTAGTTGTGATTGGTGTCATGTCAATGATGGATGGATATTTACAAGCTTGTCATACCTAAGTTGTCAGAGCCATTCGCTGAACAAGCTCGACCCGATATTTGGCTTTTGTTGGGTGCCGCTTCAAAGGGTTTTGTCGGTTGGCCCAACATGTCGCATTCGAATATGCTCATTACGAATGTTTGGACGAGCGTTCTAACACCTGAAGATATTTATAACCTGTCATGTCGAGATCGCTGTTAGTTAGAATTGAAGCGTAGTAATAGTAGTAGTAGTTGGGTTGGGTTGGATAGGGGATGGACATAATCATACTATTCATCAGCAAGTGTACAGTTGAGGATGATCATTAGGACTCGAAAGTACTAGATGATTATGGAGTAGTGTCACTATGATCATCAATCCTCTATGACTTGAGTCTAAAGCTTAGTAATAGATATGTATATGTATCTGGAGTGAAAGATAATCATACTTGTACGAAGTTTTCTAAATGATCAACGAAGAGTTGCACGAACAAAAAACTACTGATGACGATTCGAATCGATCAAATTCGAATCGACTCATAGTATAAATAATTATAACTAGTTATAAATAATGTCAACTACAAATAATAGATATATCATATTAATTGGACATATATTGTTGGTTTGGACATTGTTCAATTGTATCCAGACTAATGATGCAAAGACTGTGTACTGGAACTCGACTGTCAGCTGCTCATCTGATTTGAAGTGTCAGTTTGGTGACACTGCCAATTGGATTGGCAATGTGTTGCCCAGCACCACAGACGATGCCGTGATTGACTTGGCTTCAAACATTGAAGAGTCAGTGATCACATTGTCTGCAGACGTCACGTTCAACAGTCTCACAGCGGTCGGCCCAAGAAATGATAGTAACACACAGGGTGATATGGCCAAGCTTACATTCACAGTCATCAATAGCACATTCAATGTCAGCGAGTCGCGTTTCACCAATGCATTCGTCAACGTCACAGAGTCCAAAGTCCCTGGCAACATATTCGCAAGCAACAACACATACTGCATCATCTATTATAGCAATGTAAGCACTGTCTACTTCACTGGCAACACCAAGGTCACATTGTGGAGAGTGAACTTGGCCAATTTCACATCCGTTGGCTCGCCCACATCGATGATCCCATCGTCACCATTCGACCAAGTGAATATCATGATTGATGACGTGATCATTGATCAGTCAACCGTGAACAATCCCGCCTCTGCTCTATACATATGGGTCACTCCATTTACTGTCGTGAACCTCCACAAGTCTACGTTTAAAGGCTATTCGTGCCAATTCGTCATATCGTCCACGACCAGGATCTATGAATACTTAGACCTTGGTGCCAATGGTCAGTTATTATTCGATACGATTAATGGCGGCTCACCCGGTCGTCTCCAGCCCTTCAACGCAAAAATCACCGCAGCCACAGTACAAATAGGCAATGGATGGCTAGACTCGGGCAACATAATGATCAACGGTGATGTGACCTCAAACTCGAGCAGCAGATTGACATTCAAACAGCCCAATCAGTTTGATGCACCTGTAATCATCAATGGAACGACATCGATACTCAACTCGGCAATGTTGGTCAATTTCAAAACAATGACAACCTTGCCAAACGTCCAATACCTGCTCATGTCGAGCATCAACAACGACATTACATACCAAGCCAACCGTGCCAAGGACCAAGTAACCTACAACATGACCGACAACAACTCAGAGTACAAGATCGTGGCCGACGGCAAACAACTGTACATTCAGTTTGGCAAGTCATGTGCCAATGCTACGGACTGCAATGGCCATGCTATTTGTAATGATGGCATGTGTCAATGTGTTGACTACTATCAAGACCCAGGTTGCAGTGTTCCTAGCTGTATGAAGAACTGCAGTGGACGTGGAGAGTGCATCGTACCTGGTCCATCTGGAAGGTGTCAATGTCAATCCGACTATGTTGGTGCGTATTGTGAGAGACCATCATCATACTGCGCGACACTCACCGCCTCGGACACATGTAGTTCAGCTCAAGGTTGTCACTGGTGTACTTCAAACAACAAATGTCTACGTCCCTCTACGACATGCAGTCCTACTCCAACCACGAGCACCACTACTACTCCTACTACTACTACACCCACAACATCTACTGCTGCTACATCAACTACTACCACTACCACTACTACCTCTACTACTGGCGACCATCCAAGCAAAGCCACTTCAACAACAGTACCTCTCTCAGTTGTAGTTGTTCTTGCATTGATGGCTGTCATTAACATCATCTAATACTAGTACGATCAATCATTATAATTTCAATTCAAGTAATAATAGTGATGTTCAACCTTGTTGGATTGAATCCATTAAGACTTCATGAGATTCCCTCGAGGCCTCATTGTCGAAACGACGGGGGATCAGAATCCATCAAGTAGTGAATGATCATTCTTGATTTACTATCATTATAATATTATTATTAATAAATATATATGGCGGGATACAATGCAACGATCACTGGTATCGTGAAACTGGGCCCAGGACAGATTAGCTGTGGTGATTGGAGTGCCACTGGCAATTGCCTTACAATCAACGGTATACTTAACTCTAACTCGAGCAGCACTTTGGCATTCGTTAGGCCCAACCAGTTTAATGCTGCCATTGTCGTCGATGGAATCCCAGGGATATTGGGCTCATCAATTATAATGGACTTCCGACCATATATACCAGTGGCCAATGTCCAATATCAACTCGTATCAAGCATCAACTACAACAACATCAATTACCTGGCCAACCGTATCGCGGACAATATAATCTACTCAAAGACGACTGACACACCAACATACAAGATCTCTGTTGTTGGCAAGCAAATGTTCATTCAGTTTGGCAAGTCATGTGTCAGCCCAACAGTCTGCGACGGACATGCCATCTGCAATAACGGCATGTGTCAATGTGATACCTACTATCAAGACCCAGGTTGCAGTGTCCTTGGCTGTCTAAAGAACTGCAGTGGACATGGAGAGTGTATCGTGCCTGGTCCAGCTGGCATTTGTCAATGTCAATCTGACTATGTTGGCTCGTACTGTGAGAGACCATCATCATTCTGCACAACACTCACTTCTTCAGACGCCTGTGCAGCAGTCCGCGGTTGTCACTGGTGTACTTCGATCAACACATGTCAACGTCCTTCTGCGACATGCGGTGCTCCTACATCCACGAGTACCACTACCGCCTCTACTACTGCTACTACTGCCACGACCACTGCTACGACCACTGCATCAATCACTACTACCACTGGCAATCATCCAAGCACAGCATCAACAACCACAACACCGACCATTGTTGTTATATTTCGTATTGGTCGCTGTCTCCTTTAACATCCTCATTAACAACTAGTACATCTTTAGTGACACATGACATTGAGTTGTGTCGAATGTTGGGGGGAAGTTTCGGGTCCACCCGACACCAATGCGCGTCTTTGAACAAACTTTGACAGATGCACCCGGGTTGGTGGCAAACGAAGAGGCGCACCAATCAAAGGGTCACAAATCATACATTAATTCATTCTTGGATCAATAACAATACTAATACTAATAATAATAATATCAAACATATATTTAAAACAAATGTCTACTAGTAGTAATATAATAATTATTGTGTTGGTTTGGACTTTGATCAACTGTATCCAGACTAGTGATGCCAAGACTGTGTACTGGAACTCGACTGTCAGCTGCCCATCCGATGTGAGGTGTCAGTTCAATGACACTGCCAATTGGATTGGTAATATGTTGCCAACCGATCAAGATGATGTTGTGATCGACCTGACCTCCACATCTGTGTTGTCATCCATTACTACTCCTGGAGATATTATTATCACATTGAACAGTCTCACTGCAGTTGGTCCAAGAAATGATTCTTCTACGGTTGAACGGTCATGCTTGTGTTTCAAATCAAGGGAATGTTCAATGTCAAAGAGTCCCGCTTCACCAATGTACGCCTACAAGTCGAACTGGCAAATATGACTGGCAGTTTAATCGCTGGCAACAACACATACTGCTACATATTTCGAAGCGATGTCAACATCTTCACCTTCTCTGGCAACAACCATATCACTCTATGGAGATCGAATCTAAACAGATTGGCATCGGCAGGCTCGGTCACTTCCATGATACCATCATCACCCTACGACCAGGTGTCGATGGATACGGCAGACGCTAGGATCGCCCAGTCAACAGTGTCGAACCCCGCCTCGGCCATCGAGGTTCGAGTCCAATCAATTAGGGTCGTGACCCTACTCAAGTCCACAATCAAAGGTTATTCGTGCAAACTCCTGGTGATTGGCTCGTTGGAGCTCTATGACTTCCTTGATCTTGGTGCCAATGGCCAGATCGTATTCGATTCAATCCATATCACCTCTCCCGGCAGAATTGACCCATTCAACGCAACGATCACCGCAGGTACAGTCCAAATAGGCAATGGATTGTTAGGTTCAGGCAACTTGGTGCTCAATGGTCAATTGATCTCCAATCACCCGTGTCCAATGTCCAATACCTGCTCATGTCAAGCATCAACGACAACAACATCGAATACCAAGCCAACCGTGCAGTGGACAAGGTGACATACACAAAGACGACTGACACACCAACATACAAGATCTCGGCCGTTGGCAAGCTACTGTACATTCAGTTTGGCAAGTCATGTGTCAATGCTACAGACTGCGATGGACATTCATTCTTTAATAATGGCATGTGTCAATGTGTTGACTACTATCAAGACCCAGGTTGCAGTGTTCCTAGCTGTATGAAGAACTGCAGTGGACGAGGAGAGTGCATCGTTCCTGGTCCATCTGGAAAGTGTCAATGTCAATCCGACTATGTTGGTGCGTATTGTGAGAGACCATCATCATTCTGCACAACACTCAATGCTTCAGACGCCTGTAGTGCTATCAGTGGTTGTCTCTGGTGTGCTTCAAGCAACACATGCCAAAGTCCTCCAACAACATGCGGTGCTCCAACCACTACTACCAGCACTACTTCTACTACTTCTGCGACTACTTCCACGTCAACTACTACTACCACTACCACCACTACTACTGGAGACAACCGCACTCCAAACACAGCGACAACTACAACACCAACTACATCTACAGTTGTTGTACTAGCATTGATCGCGGTCATCAACAACCTCATTAACATCAACATGTAGTACAAGAAGATTACTTGTAATCATGTTGTGTATTATAGAATGAATGAATGAATGAGTGTGATGTGGAACCCTCCAAGTTGGTGAGCTACACGACACCACCCCAGCAAGCTTGTCTGCATTCAACGTGTCATTGTTCCTCAATACAATAGTATAAGCAACAACTCTTCTTCTATTAATATACACATACCTAGACTATGAAACAACTTAAAGAAATATGCCTCACGCTTGGGCGATATCAAGAGAGGACCAGAGGTATGTGGTGGTGGCCGCGTTCATAACAAGTACTGTGGACATAGCTATGCAATGGCTAGAGTGAACGGATCGAGAGGTGAACATTACAAGGTCACACTGAGAAGATATGGAAATGGCACCGTCCATGGCGATTGCGACTGCTATGTGGGAGGTCACTGCAAACACATCTATGCAATGGTGCGGGCATGTTGCAAATGGTACAAAGCCAACGGCAATATAAAGTACACAGCCAGTGACAAATATAGAGAGACCTTGTTCTCCATGTCACAGGCAGAGCTGGTAAAGACCATCATGGCGCTAAAGTATCCAAAGATCTACAATGTCTACGATGATAATGAAGATGAGGAAGATGATGACCCCGATGATGAAGAGGGCAACCAGTATCAAGATCAAATACTTTTGGACAGACATATGAGAGAGAGAGAAGAGTCAGAGATGTACAGAGCAGCGAACAAAGCACAAAGGAGAAGATAGAGTTCAATAGAGAATGGATGATGTCACATCGGTCGTCAAATAACAAGAATGTTGAAACAATGGAGATAAGATTACGCATCATAGGACAGTGAATAGCAGCGTATATCATATGGCCATTTGTAAGCAATTGTGCCTGCCTTCAGTTTGGCAAGTCATGTGCCAACTACTATAGATGGCACACCACGTTCTACCAACACTACTACTACTACCCCACTGGCAACAACCACAAGGACTAATAAATAGAAGTATCTAAAGTAGCCTACCTTTGTGTGGATGGATGGATGGATGGACACAAAGTGTCAAAGTAATGTTTGATTTATGGATGTCTCTGAGATTAGGTGGACCATGTTGGAAGTACTCCTGGAACAGTACGCTTACAATCTGCAGTTGGACATGTGGCTGTTACATAGTAGCTGTACTCCCAGCACAAGTCATGCTATAGCATGGTTCAAATTGATTGATTGATTCAATGTCAGTCATGGTTGATTGATTGGAATGATTCCAGAATGATTGATTGATTAATTGATACATACAATTGATACACCACCTCTGGCAAAGGACTCGATGGGTGCGCCAGTGTTGAGAGGGTTGGTCAACTTGATGAAGAGGTTGCCGCCATCAAAGTAGTAGAGATAGCCATTTCCAGCTAGGACAGCAGCCTGGGAACTGGCCTGCACCAAAGTGGTGTTGTACTGAGTGCCCCAGTCACGTGCAGCCCTGCCACTAAAGGTTGTACCGGCAGGGTATGGCAAGGCTAGCAGGATGTAGGTGCCATAGGGTATCTGGCGAATGTCGATCACGAATGATTTGGCCGACACCAAGTTGTCAAAGTTGAGATACCAGCCCAGGTTGAGAATGCCTGTGATTCCCGGGTTGTTGGTGATGAATGCAGTCTGACCGCCAGGTGGGAGGTTGGGTCCAAACAATGTTGAGTTGCCAAGGATGACGTAGTTGTCCTCGTCATTGTATGTGAGGCCTGGCGACATGAACACAATGTCTCCAATCACTGCGCTACCCTTGGGACAGTAGTAGACGCGGAACACACTGCTGACCTGGCACGCGGCGTCATAGTTCCACCAAGTGGTGAGGTACGAGCCGAGGATCTGGGGTGTGGACTGGCCGACGACGGAACCATCCCAGTCGATGAGGTTGAAATATCGACTGGCACTCGTCTCAATGATGTTGAGGCCGAGGCGCTGGGAGAGCTGCACGTTGGTAAAGGTGATGTTGCGCGTGGCTGAGATCTGTTGTGGCTTGAAGCGATCGCTGTACGTCATCGACACAAAGACGGCGTTGTCGCGCTCGGGGTTCTCGGCGGTGGCGTCGTGCTGGAAGTTGCGGAAGTTGATGTTGGAGAGGATCGTGTGGGTGATTGTGTCGTAGAACTGGAAGCCCTGGCGCTTCAATGTCTCGTAGTAGACGCTGCGACGCAGGTCCACTGGATTGTTGGAGAAGGCGTTCACAATGGCGTTGTTCATCCAGGCGTAGCCAAAGAGGGATCCCGAGATCTCGTTGTCCTGAGACTCGTAGCCGTCCACCTCGATCTGGTTGCCCCAGTGGCCCAGGCCGCCACGGCACTGAGACACACGCAAGTTAGTCCAGCGCATCCATACCATGTTGCCGTTGGCATCGCGCGTCTCTCTAGCCTGGCGACCCGAGATGTAGGTGAGCTGATCAGTTGAGTCAGAGTCGTAGTACAGGCGTCCTCCACAGTAGACACATGCTCCAAACGCCTCAAAGAAGTAGCCAGCCGAATGAGCGCTGTTACCGTCAAACTCCAATGTGGTCCTGGCTTCGGGCTTGATGTTGGTCGAGTTCCTGAATGCACCAACGGGTGTTGCGAGGTTGGGGAATGAGTAAGAAGCCCATCCACCAGAGGCAGCATTGCCAACGATACGGTTGTACGCGTTGGTGATGTAGAAGCATCCGGCTGCCGCGTCGGCGGGTTGGGTGAGGGTGGGCGACTGTTGGATTGTCTCGCCACTCTGGCCATTCTCGGCGGCACCGTTGGCCGGGCGACCAATGGTGTGGACGGACGCAGCAAGATTGAATGAGATGGTGTTGTTCTCTTCGACTCCATCCTCAATGTAGTAACAATGTCCGATGGCATTGAAGGCGACATTCTGTGTGAGCAACAGGTTGTTGGTGCCATGGATCGTGTAGCAGCGGTAGAATGTGTCGTGTGTCGAGCAGTCTGAGATGTATGAGTTGTTCACCACGCCTGCCAGATGGAAGTGGAGTGGGTAGCGTCCACGCAGATTGGTTTGGCCCATCTTGATCAACTCAATTCCAGCAAATTGTCCATTGCTCATTGTCAGGACGTGGCCACCAAACTGATTGGCATCCGAGTCGTTGGCGCCACGGAACACAATGCGACGAGACAATAGTCCCACCTCGGCCTGATACTCCTGTCCACCATAATGGAAGAACTTCAAGGGCTCGGTGAACTCGACGATGTTGCCCGAGACTGAACGGATGACACGCACCTCGTTCTGATTGTTGAGCTCATCCTTGTACTTGGAGGTCGTGATGAACACCTTTTGGCCCGGCTCCCAGTTGACAGTGTCCTGGAGGTAGATGATTGATTCGTAGGCGTACGCATGGGCGGCGAGACGCGACCATGTCTTATAGTACTGCTTGCCCTGGACACTGATGTATCCACCCTTGGCCACTGCAATACCCTTGCTGCCCATCTTTGGTGCGATCGTATCATTCGTGGTGTATTGACCACTGAACACAATCTCGATGTTACCATTCATCCTGCATGTGCTGCTGCCCATGATTAGCTGGCCGCGAACGTCAATGTCCTGTATGGTCATGGAGTATGTGGAGTCCGAGAAGATCAGCTGACTGGTAGCGGGCACCACGATCTTCTTGTACACGGCGCCTGGAACGAGGGAGCACGATGAGATCAAGACCTTGCTGTTGGCGGGGAGTGTGATCACGGATGATGGTGATGGGACGACGCCACCCCATGTGAGTGGGTTGTGCCAGTGCAGCAAACCGGTCTGGAGATGGGGACATGTGGCGCGGTTCTGGGCAGTGAGGCCAGTCGTTGGCTTGCGCAGGTTGACCAGCTCTGATGCCTTAGTGAGCTGGGTGGGTGCGACGTATGGTGCGGAGAGTGCAGTGAACTTCATGTTCTTGAAGTAGAGTGATGAAGGGTTCTCATCGGGAGCAGTTACCATGTACACGGCGATTGGTGTGATTGGGATGTCGGCAGTTGGGGTGAATGTGGTAGTCACGGACGTCCATGCGGTGCTCTTGGCCAGGTTGTTGCCAGTCTGAGTGAATGGGAAACATATGACAGCATTGAGCACGCCGTCTTCGTACCATCCCTTGCCGCGGGTCACATTGTACGAGGGGAATGCGCACACGGACATGTTGACAGCGAGTCCATCGCGAGAGGTCAGGACATCCAGCGACATGCTGTAGGGATGGTTCTTGCGCCAGTAATAGTCCATCGACATGGACATGAGGATGGTGTCCGCGCCCTGCCACGAGACGTGGGCGGCCTGTAGGGCACCTCCAACATTGACGCCGTTGGATGTGGCGCCGGCGGGCAGCTGGCTGAAGCTGGACAATCCTCCATACCAACTGTTGTAGTTCCAGTCGTTGTAGGATGGCAGGTTAAAGACTACGGGTGTAGTCGTTGTGGAAAGTGGCGGTGAAGCAGGGCCATTAGCAGAGGGTGCTGGATCACGCCAAGTGGAAGAGGTTGGGCAAACGGCATCCGTAAACGACACCAATGTAGCCACAACCAATATCACAGAAATGCATACTTGCACCTGGGATTGAGTTGGTCGCGCTCTCATGTGTGGAATTCTAATTGAGTGTGGAACCATTCCATGATTGTTTGATTGATTGAATGAGCGAGTTTAGTGATTGAGTGATTAGAAGCGATTCCATGATCCACGAGGGGAATACATACCTGATTGAGTGATCGAGTGATTGAACGATTGTTTGATTGTTTGATTGATCGTAGTTGTAGACAATGGAGAAGAAGAGATAAATAGAGAGTGAAGTGCAGTGTCTCCAAAGTACTACTGTATGCTTATTTATACCAGGGTCATCCTTTGATGGGTCTTCTTCCCATTACCCATGTCCAGGGAGATGGATCACTCATACCCGAATGACTGAATGACGACTAGATGATATCTATCTTAAATTAGACCCTATGTTTGAAGGAAGAGAGAGATAAGTATGTATCTATTTGTACCCGGTATGGTCAGTGTGTGATGCCTTCTCAACGAAACGATTGGAATTGGTCATCACCTTGAAGGACTTCCGGGTCATTCTAAAGCCCAACAATTGCGACATTTGATGCTATTGTTGGGCACGTCGCTGGAGGTCTGGGCGTCGTTTGAAGTGGGTCGACTAAATAGGCAATGGAGTCCATGGACTTACATGTCTGGGTTTTAAGTCGATAGGTCCAGGTCGAGTCTGACTGGCAATGCGGTAGTTTGCTTCACTGAATAGTCATGTATGCCTGTTTGATTCTTTGTGTGTTGTGTTGTCAACAACGATCTAACTCTCTCTTGTTTCACTGAGTCGACCACATTCCCTTCTATGTTGTTGAACATGTCTGGGCAAATGCGCCATATAGCGCTGAACTGATCACAATGACGAATGTTGAATGTTCTATCCTGTTCTGTTCATTGCGGCTACTTACTGAGTCTGCTACCAACATTTGAGAGAGATGTTAGTTATGTGGGCAATCAAGTAGACGAAGAACAAGAAGAGAGAGAGAAAGCGAGACGAGGATGCATGTGAGGGGAAGAACTCTTTGTTTGTTTATGTTTATTGATTGTCGACATTGATAATACATCGATGATGTAAATGGTAAGGGTAATGATATCTGTTGATTGGATTTAACAAGTTGGCAGTTAGTATTGATTGATTGACTTCGTAATATGATGAAGTTGAATGAGTGATTGATTGGATTGAGTTTGTTGAGTTGGTTGTAATGGGATCAGTTTTGAATCGATTTGTAATCAGAGGGTATTCAGAAACACGGATTCTTATATCATCATTAAAATGAATGATTGATTTGATGTGATTGATATGATGCGTGTATACATACAGATAAGTTGATATGAATAATGAAGTTGAGTCAAGCATCCTCAATTGTTTTGACAACAACGAAAAGAAACTAAAGTTGGAGATCTGACTGTTTCCATTTTTTTACATCTCTTTTACAAAGTTATGTAAGTCCTTAATCATCACAAGTAACTCACTTCCAAATATGGTTATTAATTATCTCTAGAGATACTTAAAGAGTCCATCATTCCAATCAATCAAACAAATAATCAATATCATATTACGAACAAACAAATTACCCGCCAAAATTCAATGTATCTTGGCCAAACCCATAAATAGAGTGTTAAGTAGACAACTATGTGGAAGTTGATTATTGTACAATGCAATGGTTACTGTTGACCGCAAGGTCTTCAGTAGATAAAGTTCTTTGAATTTATCGAGGGTACAACAACCTCACCTCCTAATCTAAATCAATCATAAACATCAACACATCATTGACAACTTTAATTACAACATCACCATCACTGGCAACTTCATTGACAACACCATTGACAACTAGACAACTAACAAGATGATGTAGAGTCGGGTTATAATAATATATAGGCTATTTATACATATCCTTTTATTCGTTGTTATATTTGTTGTTGTTGATGTTATACAACAAACAAAGCTTACAAGTTTAAATTAAGTTTAAATACAGAGAGATGTGGATGCGAATGACATCGTTCGGATGAATGATGTGGACGCGCGGTGGTAGGTACAGTAGAGTATGGACAGACGGACAGACGGCAGACAGATGGACGAGCACCATGCTTATTGGTATTGCTCCTCGTACTGCTCCTCATACTGCTGCTCCTCGTACTGCTGCTCCTCATATTGTGGCTCCTCAGTGTACTGATGATGCTCCTCCTCGTACTGATGCTGCTCCTCACCACCTCCGTAGTGCTCCTGCTGCTGATCCTGGTGCAAGTTGGTGCCGGTCACTGGGGAGTTGGGGTTGGCTCCAAAGACAGTGTACTGTGGCTTGCCACCGGTTCCCTTCTGGACACCACGGGCTCCCTCTGGTGCCTTTCTTGGTGCGTTCATAGCGTTCTTTGTGGACATTGAGTCGAGACCAACGGATGGCTTGTCTCCAGATCCCTTCTGAGCAGTGCCCAGACCCTCAGAGACCTTCTTTGGTGCGTCTGTTGAATGTTTGTTGTTAGAATGGTATAGGACATTGCTTGTCGATGGGTGGGTAGGTTTGTAGTATACTTACTGAGGGCAGTCTTCATGGCAACAGAGTCGGCAACGGCGGTAGCCTTCTGGGTTGGGGTGTGAACGGCACAGTACAACTTGCCCTCAAGACCCTTAAAGTTCTTAACATTCAGAGTAATGTTACAGACGGAGCCTTTGATTGATTGATTGATAGATAGAGTAATGTTAGGATATGTTTGTTCATACATTCAATCAAAATACTCATTCACCAACCTTCCTTCCATCCTTCACTCCATGCCACCTCTCCAACTCTATCTCTCATTCTCTCTCTCCATCAGGCATACATTTGAAGCAACCCTTGTGGTAGGTCTTCTCGAGGGCGACGATGGACTCCAATGGGTAGGCAGTCTTGTTACAGATTCCACACTTGACAGCGGCAGACATTGTTTATATTAGTATATGTTAATAAATAGTTATATAAATATATTTGTATATATATTAGTTTGATTGATTGATTGATTGATTGATAGTAATAACGGTCAGTCATTAATATCCAGTCAGGTGGCTGGTCGTGTGAGCATGAGGGAGAGGGAGTGACTGGACATCCATCCTGACTTAGACCGGATGGGCTGGATAAATCAATTTATTATTGCTCATTACAATATTGGTCATCCATTCACTCCAGGCAAGAAGCCAGCCTTTGGTGTGTGAAAAGTGATGAACAACAACATCAAAAGGGGAGTGGGTCGAAGATATAAGTTAGGTCTCTGGTGAGGGAGGGTAGGGCATGCGTTGCACACTTGACGCAAAGTGATTGGGAGTTGTTGACCACCTACCTAATTGAATCCAACTAACTGGTTGATGTTTGTTGTGTGTATCTATACATTAATGTAATTGCTTTCACCATAAGCAACCCAAGCCAGTCTGTTGGTCCTGTGACCAATCTAACACACACACATACTCTCTTTTGTAAATATCATTCATTGTCGAATCAAAAGCCAACACTAGTGTGGGCCATGGCCCACCTGGTTATCATAACATCATAGGGGCAATCAAACAAACACAAACGAACCACACACACAAACACACTTGATTACCTGTTGAACCAACACCACCATCGATGGAAGTGGGTTTCTCCTTTGGGTTTGGTTGGATCTCAAGCCCAACATCTAAGTCGTTCGATCTTGAAACAATCAAGTGAATTGTGAATGAATGAAGTTGAAGTTGAATGCGAAACATGTCGCAACTAGTTACAATCAATCACGCATTCGAATGCGATGTGATTGATTGGTTGAGGTCGTTGCATTTGTCTGTCTCCATATTGATATATTCGTTCGTTTGTTGAACACAGATAGTACATTGTCAAAGAAAGATGTCTGCATGTCCATGAATGTTGTTGTTGGAGGTCACTGATATGGTTCGCACACAATGATCAAACCAACGAACAAAGAATGAATGAGTCGCTTCGCTGTCAGTGGTTGAGTTATAGCCATATCGTTTATTCCTATACTATAATGCATCCTGTTTACTTCTTGGCATCAACGTAGACAACCTTGATGGCCTGTGAGTAAGTGATAAGTGATAAAGTGTTAGTTATTATGATCCAATCAATCATAGTTGTGTCCTGTCTGTCTACGATCGCATTGATAGTTACTGGAAGAATGTTGACCAACTTCTGAACCTTCTCTTGCTCGGTGACTCTGAGGGTGTAAAGGAAACGACCGCAACGGACCTTGAACTTGGTGATCTTGCCGTTCTTCTTGATTCTGACCTCCTTGGCGTCCTTGCGACGAACAGTCACCAGGAAGTCCTTGATCTCACGGATTTGCTTTGGCTATTGATTCGTGATGATTGATTGAATGATTGAGTGTCAGCGATATCATATCCTAACCTAATCCAATATCCTATCCTTTCTGTGCTATCCTAATCCAAATCATAATCGATGATGATGATGGTGATATGTCGAGCATCGCAATCCAATTCAATTGAAGCCTACCATTATGGAAGTATACGAGGAATAGATACAGGGATGGATCAAACTCTGTTGTGATAGATACAAGGTGTGTCTTGTCGTTGCCAAACTTGACCCATATCCCACCACACACCAACATTCCTTGCAAAAACGACAGAAATAAAATTAAAAATAATGAAAACAATCAAAAGGGCAATATTTTGGAACTTCATCTTGGAGGTTTGGCGACTTGTCGGTTTGGTCAAGGTACAAAGGAATAGTCTGACTGATACAGCATCCAATCTATTACAACAGAGGAAGTGACTGATAGATCCACATCAATGTGTTCCTATTATTCACATCTTCACATTTCTTGTTCGGCTCATGATTCATTCTTTCATTCATTCATTTCTAGAAGTAAAGAATGAATGGTCTGATCTTTGTAAGAATAGTGAAAAGAAGTATCTATCAATGAATCAATCACTCGCTCGCTCACTCACTTTGCGAGGAGGAGTCCTCCAGGGTATTGGTTCGACTTGTGGACGTATAGTCGTTGGAGATAGTTCGATAAGGTGAGGACCAACAAACAACACTTGGATCTTCTTACAACCAACATGTTGGTTGTTGTTGTTGTATGTGTTACTTTTGCAAATAACAAGAACGCGTTTGTTACTCCTTTAAAGGTATTGGGACCGTGTTGTTGTTTGTTGTTCCTTTGGCTATTAGCCAGCCATTATGACAACAACAACAAGAAAGAACCCCCCACCAAGAGACATGGACATCCAAAGGCCACCACCATCAACAAAGATAAATCTTGTTTGTGAAATGCCTTGCCTTGCTTCATGGATTATAGGGGTTTTCAGATAAAGCCATGGTGTGGTTTCGCACGACAAACCCTGTAGTGTAGGTCCAAAGTACCATCACCAACAGCGTTGTTGTTGTTGGACAAATTTTTAAATAAATATCACAGCAAGTGATTGATGGTGAGTGTGTATGTCTGTGTATGTGGTGGATTGATGGTTCCAGAGAAAGAAAGGTAAGCAAAAGTGTGAATGAGAAAGTAGTCTTCTCCTTTGACACATGCCATTTGAATAATAATATTACACCTTATACATATCTAAGTTTTCTTTAGAGTTCTAGTTAAGTTTGTTGTCTATTTCCATAGTCTTTTACAACTCTAACTAGTAGTGGTAGGTTATATATAACAATGATGTGCAAACAACATCGTCTTGTCTTTTCCACTCCACAGACCATCCAACTATTCCTCCTCCCTTCCATCCAACCATTCATCCATCCACTCAACACAAACACACTTAGCTACTATAAACACTATACCCTACAATACACTTCTCATCAATAACATAACTAGTTCAATCAATCAGTCAATCCAACCCAACAAGGGTTGGCTTCCCAAGTTCATCGCGTCCCCACCCCCCACATGTGTGTTGTGTATGTTGGAGGGAAGTAGGTGAAGTGAATGAATAAGTGGTGTGAATCAAAGGGTAAATGTGGTGTAGATGGGGGATTCATCGATGTGATGGATTCCTTTTGTTGGTGCTACAACAACACCAAACACAACCACAAACACAAACAAACACACTTCAACCATCCATCTCCCTATTCTGTTAATCCTGCAAACAAACAAACATCACATCACATAAACATATCTTCATCCATCAATCAATCAGTCAGTCAGTCAGTCAGTCATTCAGACAATCCTTTACAACAAGTATCCTAACTATCTTATTACTACAAATACTACTATTACTATATCAAGATAGACATCAATCGATCAAACAATAGATCATTCAATCAATCATAATCGATCGAAACAGGTTTTAAAACAGATTGCAGCAAGCAGAAGTTGTAGATTTTACAGACAAACAGACATACAGCAGACATACAGATAGAGATAGAATGTCCACCAGCGCAAAGGCCAAGACCAATCCGGTCACAGAGAACACTCTCAAGACTATTAATGTACGTATCCCATCAGGTACATGGGACAACAACGATCAATCAATCAAACTCCGACACATGTCGGAGATGAGACCAAACAATGTAGTGACTGACACAATGACGGTCATATTATATAGAACCTCAAGGTGAACACTCCACCATTGTTCACTGAGATTGTCAGGGCTGCAAACAAGTATCAGCAGCAGTGTCAGGCATTGAGCCAGGCTGGTTTCGTGCTTGCCGACACCATCAACAGACTGACGATTCACAACCCAGGCGAGTTTGGTGATGGCATCAAGAGGCTGTCAGAGGTCATCAGAGAGATGGAGACAAAGAGAGAGGAGGTCGTAAGTATCTGCATCATTTGATGGTATTATCAATCATTCATTCATTAACAAACGTATATGTTCATCACATCATTGCAGTCGAGGACATTGTTGAGTGATCTGATCACACCATGTAAACAAGCAATCGACACTGATCTTAAAGATGTTATTGTAAGTGATTGATTGATTGAATAAGTGAGCGACATCATGATGTTAACATTATCATTCGTGATATAGACATTCGAGAAGAACTTTAAGAGAGACAAGGAGAACATGAGACAAGAGATCTTGAAGCTCGAGGCTAGAACCAGAAAGGCAGGCAAGAAGACCACTGCTGAGGTCCTCAAACAGGTATGTAGAGATTGTTGTATGCGATCGATATGATCATACCCTCGCTGACTCGACAGCCCAACGCGATCAAACAATCAAATAGCAAATTACAGAGTTGAATGACAAGATCAAGGAATCGGAACAACTCAACTCCAACAAGCTAAAGGATGTTGTGTTGATGGAGAGGAAGAAGATGGCCACCTTTTTATCACAGTTCAATCAGTTCTTGGACAAGGAGCTCGAACTCTACACTGAGAACTCGAGCCGACTGACCACCGGATTGCAGACGTGGCGCGACCTGATCAACGTCCAGGGCCAGCTGCCCACGGACGTCGAGTCGATGATCAGCAAACAGGAGAGGACGCTGGTGCAGATCCAGCCACAGGCGGACAACAGCGACAGCTACCGCATCTCCTACGCCCCCGGCAAGATGCAGAGCAGCGGCGGCGCCACCTCGTACGCTGAATCATACGAGTCCTACGACTCTTACGACAACTATGACAGCTACAACAACTACGACAGCAACTACTCGGCGAGCAATGAGTACAGCGGCGCCACAGAGGTCCAAGCCCGAGCACTATACGACTACAACAGCCAGGAGTCAACCGATTTGAACCTGACTGCCGGCGCCATCATCTCCATCATTCAACAAGACGATGGCTCTGGTTGGACCAAGGGTCGTGATGCGAATGGCAACGAAGGAATCTTCCCATCCTCCTACATTGAATATTTAAGCTATTAATAGTGACTCTCACTATTGGATTGATCATCGTTGCGATTGACATCATCCATCCATCCTCCTCTTCATCCAACTTCCAACTTCCAACTTCCAACTTCCAACATTTCCAACCAAACCAAACAACATGTTACAAATTACCAAACCAACCACCATCCATTCAATCACTCATCGATTTCATTCCATTCATCATCACCAATTACATCCAGGAACAAAGACACCGCATCAACCAACAAATGTAAGCGATACTATATTCCACCTTAAATTAATACATCTTAATTTATCTCTTCTATTATATTATATTGATTAATTACATGTTTACAAATGATTGATTGATCCGGATGTCTAACTAACACTTAGGTCAACCTTTTGGCTGCTACTGGCGTTATGGCTGACATTATGATTGTGTGGCTTTGGTATCTCCTTCTTGTGACTCTTGAACCTGTTCTTGTTGTCCACTCTTCTCTTTCTAATGAATATCACCAACACAATAGCAGCGGCAACAAGTACCACTACCAACACAATGGGTACAACAATGGCCACAACAGGTACTTTGGAGCTTCCATCATCTATGTTTGATTGATTGATTGATAATTAGTTAGATGTTCATGATGGATTGAGGTGATGAGACATACCCTTTGGAAGATTGTATGAGAAGAGAACAGATGAGTTCTTGGATGATGCCATTCCATTGATTGTTACAGATACTGTTTGATTGGCAGACTCTGAGGTGTTGACCTTGGGCATTATACATACAAGTATAGTACCATCCTTGACTGGATTGGATGCATTTGTACATTGATATTGGGTACCAATTGCTATTGCATACTCTGTAGCATTGACGTCCAAGAATTTACCAGTGATTGTCACGGCTCCACCATCAGATGAGTTACACACTGATATGGACTCGACCAAAGGAGTTAAATGAGTTTGAATGAGTTAGTAAATGATTTAATAAATCAATGAGTTTGAATGATTGAACATACTGTTGGTGATTGAGTAGAGGGTGGATGAGTTTGACAGGACGGTCACCATGAAAGATATCTTTCCAGCTTGGACGAAGGCATGATATATTGATGGAGTCTTGAGTACATCCAAGTTGATCTGAGTATGACTTTTCAATGATGACAGAGCAATTCCCCTCTTTCCATTGATTGATACAGTGATATCCTTGATCTTGGAACCAAAGCTGCTTCCCTTGATTGCCACCTGTGTAGAGTTGGTAACAGTTACAGCAGTAATCAATGGAGCTAGAATGGAGTATTGATGTGTCAATAATTATTGATTGATTGATAGGAAGTTACACCAATAATATTAGTAATTACCTGTGAACTCAAATGCTGATTCGAATTGTAGGGTACGGATGGTGATCATTATTGGAGTAATTCTGGTCGTGATCAACTGAGTTAAAGCACTTCCAATCTTGTAGAAACTCATTGTTCCATCAGCTTTGGATGATGTCTCATTCAAAACAGTCGACTCGACATCAGTAAGCTCAATGTAGTTTGGTGCAGCTGGATCACTCTTCAAGTACTCTCCCTAAATAGATTGATTGATTAATTAATATTAGTGTTTGAGTGATTGATGAAGTGATTGATTGTGTGATTAGACTTACTTTGATTGTGATCACTCCACCTTCAGTTGGACAACCAATTACATCAGTGATCAGGATTGGATTCCAATCAAAGGTAATACATGAATCTCCATCGATACAGAGATTGACAGTTCCTTGGATCACTTCGGTCGGCTTAAATGAAACCTTTACAAAGGTATCACTTTGAGATCTGATTGAAATTGGATGGGATTCTTCGGCAGCATCCAAAATTGATGCTTCATTATATCCATCCAGGGCCTCACCAGTTAGTGTTGCATAATATTTGGTTAAATATTCAATCTCGGTGATGGACTCTATAGTGTTGATTAGAATAAAAAAGTTATTATTATTAGTTTATGTATACATTGTTATTCCGGATTCAGCAAATTCCATGATACTTACGACATGATACCAATCCAATAAATGTTAATGTTATTAATAATATTAAAAAATTAATTTTAATCATTATTATTTAGTTTAGTTGTATAATTATTTGATTTAGGATAATATTATATTAATAATTTGATTAAAAGATAATAGATAAGAGATAATGAATGAAATTTGAATGTTTAAATAGGTCCGAAACAGCCTATAGTGGTCCATTACCATATGGATATTCATTCATTAAATCATGAATGAACATGTTAAGGGAGCAGGAGACAGGGTGTCCTTTCCCATGGGACACCATGATCATGGTTATAAGGGTATAGGATATACTAAGATTTAACTAATAAATTATTACATCGATTTATCAATATGGACAGTGAGTGTAGACTGCACTCACTTGAAGTGCTGGCTGGCTGGTTGGTTGGTTCGTTAATTATCCATCGGCAGTTTCATCAGCATCAGCTGATACATGTATGAATTGAATCGAATAAATATGACGACTCGGTGGAGGGATGAGTTGGAGATTGAATCATCAGTAAATGATTGAGTGACAGAAGTATTATAACTCACTCTTTGTATCTCTATCTCTATAATATACAACGATGTTAAAACAAGGTGTGAGTGAAGTTGTGTGTGTTGATGTATTCATTGATCATATGACTTTAGTGAACTTTGTTAGTTGAGTGAGTGACAGACGTGTGGTGGGTGATTGATTGAATAGTTGATTGATTTATTGATTGAATGAGAGAGAGTGTGAAGATCTCGATCATTTACTTACACATGTTGATGACACTAGTGTTAAGAGTGAGGATGATGATACTGACGTCTTGATGTCACATGATGATCACTCTAACCCCAAACTTACTCAATTGACACACACTCCATCCATCAATCAATCAATCAATCAATTAATGATACTTTGATTACGAATTACTAAAATGACCATTTAAGTATATGTGTGTGTTATTACTTGATTGGTCATTGACATTTACATATACCATGGTTCTTAAACAATGAGTTAGGAATTGAATGGTATGGTATGGGATGATAAGGTATGATGATCATAGTGGATAAATATTAAGAATTGATTGTAAGATGTCCATGTGGGTACACAACTCATTAAATCCAACCTATCATAGGAGTTACTCTATTCAAAAGGATTGAGCTAAATTGATTGAGGACATGTTGGTCATGGAATATAGTGAGGGATACCAATATTCAATCAATTCCATGGAATCAATATACAGTAGTTTAGAACATGAGTATATATTGTTATGAGAGACAATATTATTTGTGATTGTGTTTGGAGATTGTGTTGGGTGGATCAAGATTGTAATTCTTTGATCCTATCAAATACAATTGGTATCCTTAAGGCCACAATAAGTGGCTAAGCGACCTTATTCAAAGTAAATATTTTGATGATGTGGATGGCAATTAGCCCAGCTACCATCTAATTACACGATAGTACAAGTAACCTTATACGTGTACATGAGATGAGGGAAGGGTAGGGTAGGGTACCAGGGGGCTTGACCAAGAATGTGTAATATTTGTCAAGTTGATAAAATTGATGATTGTAGGATAACTGAATAGGTATGGGGAGCCACAGTTGGCCTCCACATCATTTAACTTCACTTCACTACTAACTTCACCACACAGGTTACATCTAGTCGAGGCGATCCAACTACATCAAGAGGAGATTGTGGACCTCAAGGACCGCATTCACACGTTAAAGTTGGTCCAAAATGTGATCATCATCTTGCTTCACACACCAAGATCCAACACATTCAATCAATCAATCAAACACGCTCTGCTACATACACACACACATATATAAACTAACCAACCAATCGTCATCGACATCATCCAGAAGGCTCAATGCTCACATCATCAAACACATACACACAGAGCTTATTAATCAAATTGATTAGTCGGATTGAGTTGATGGGCAAGGTCGGTGGTCGAGTGCCTTTACAGGTGGGCGAGGGGTGGCGGGCGACTTCAAGGTTTGTATAACTTCTAGATCACACATCATCGTCATCATTAATACGGTCCATCAAGGACGCGTGTGAGGTACATAGTTGATGATGCGTATTCCAAGACTCAACCACAATCAAAGGGGCTTTTGCCATCGAGAGAGCCCACCACTCTCGCACACTCCTGCACGTGATCAATCACATCACACACACATTCACACAATTAATCTACAAGATGTATAACGTGTATAACTAATATTGAATGAAATAGTTGCTAATCTGATCACATATATAAGTCTCTTGGACCATGGGCAGACACTCCTAATTACTGCGCAGTTGAGTGAGTGTCCCTACGCATCCCTCACTCCATCCCTCCCTCCCACTCACTCAATCGCTACCTCTCAACGATAGTTCACCGTAATCATTCAATCAATCAATCAATCAAATCAATCAAATCAATTAATCACATCACACCCACCCACTCCTGTATTAGCAACAACAACAACAACAAATAACAATCCAAAGACAAAGGGACACTCAACACACACCATTACTCAACTCAACACACTCGTCACCACTCACTGCCATTGGCGCCGGGGTCGTGGTCATGGTGGTAGTTGATGGCAACAATGATTCTGTCCAAAGCTGGGGTGCTTACATCATGTTGCCAGTACTGTAGTATAAGTTTGGAATTGATTTGATTGCGTGTACCTTGCCCTCGAATCCAGGCTAGCTAGATCAATTGATGAGTATGAGTGTGGTGTGGCTCAGCCATTCACCAACCACATTTGCCGCCACAACTCCTCTCACTCTGGCTACCTTGATTGATTGATTTGAGTAGGCTGTGACCTAATCAAATTGAAATACAATTGTGATCAATCAATCAGAAGTCACTCACTGCACTCCCACTCCCACTCACACCCTATTGTCATCACAGTCGCGACTATCATTCGACCACTCCCAGTCACATGATTGCTGATTTCTGATTGATCACAATCTAACACTAACACTTACATTGACATACCCACACACACACACACACTCCACTCATTCACTCTCAACTCAACTCCATCATCTAATATATCATCTAATTATGCGCATGTGCTATGATGGACATGTATGAACCTACTACATGATGCCTATGCTTAGCTAACAATCATGGAAGCAAGCAACCAAGCAAGATTGAGTAGCGCCGGAAGTATAAATACATTACATTGTAGTGAATGATGAAGTTTAGTGCTTCTTTAATTAATCGATGCAATGGATAACTGTTGCGTCTGTTACTATTTTTAAGTTGTTGTCAGTTCCACGCACTTGTCCATCCATCCAATCCATCTATCCATAACATATCCATATCCATAATCCATTTCATACCCTAGTCTAGACAAGACATTTCTGTCCCTGTCTGCTGCTGCTGTCATTCTGTCATTCTGACCTGTCTGACCTGTCATCCATCCCCTTCCCCAATCCATTGCCAAATCGATTTATTCAACATCGACATCATCCTTCCTGTCTATCTATCATTCAATCAATCAAATCATTACCTCCTCCCCTTTAATCTTATAATCCAAAGTTAACTCCTCTCTCTTCCTTATTTTTTTTTAATTTTTTCATTCCACTTCATCACTCACAACATCCACAATCAATCAATCATACAACCAAACCAAACAAACAATCAATCAATGGACTCGACCACTACTCAAACTTCCAAATGTTTGGAAACAAACTAAATAATATATATATACCACTGTACATACAACGAACACAACAAATAATAATTAAATGTCTAATGTAAGTATCCATCAATCCATGGATTGGACTCCAAAAAAAAAACAATTATTTAAAATATTAATATTATTTTTTTTTCATTTTTTTAAAATATTCAACAGATATATATTATTATTATTAAGTCATATAATATTATATATAAGAGATAATTATATTACTGCTAGTTATTGGAATGATATGGAACGAATCCAAATGACAATTCCAAAGGAGATGATCGAGAAAAAGGATGTGCCATCCATTGAAGAGTGTTTGGAATCCCAGTTCAAGACAATGTTGTCCAGCCTCGATAATGGCGCCGTTCTCCTGATACTCAACTCAATGCAAATTGACACCAGAGTGATGAGGGCCGCTTTTTCCCAGGGCAGGTTCACCCACGCCGCGGTGTTCCTCAAGTCGGGTTTCCTGACGCCCTCCCAAGACTGGTCATCCAAGCCCCTGCTATGGCAGGCATCGGGAGAGAAGATAAACGACGATTTGGTCACATATACCGACGGACCAGACCTCCACCTGATGTCGAGATACTTGGCACACTACATGATCAACAATCCCAACTCGCGCTTTGTAGTGAGGAACTTGAAGAAGCCCCTCACTCCATCTCAAGGACATGATCTGCGCGACTACATTTGTCAAACGATCCAGGAGTCCACCGTGGAGTTCTGCACCAACTTCCAACTGCCATACATCTGGCTAACCTCCAATATGCAATGGCTGCATTGGTTGGACAATATTATTTTGGGACCAGCCGGTGCCAAAAGATCCAAACTTACATTCTGCAGCCGATTAGTGACCGACACTTTCAAGCATATTGGGGTGCTATCCCAAGACATCAACAGTTCAAGTACCAATCCCAACTTCTTTGCTCGTCCATTCAACAATGATACGTTCGAAGATAAGGAGTACGAGCTAGTATTTCAAATAAATTAAATATTATTTGTTATATCTATCAATCAAATCAATATTACCAAGGCAATACCAAATTTACTGATTCATCACCTTGGAAACTTGTTGAGGAAAAAAACAAAAGTGAGCGCCACATTTTGCTGATCATGTGACCTTGTTTTTGATGATCACTTTTAAAGACTGCATTTCATTTGATCATTTATTAACAATCACTTAATAATAGATATAGATAGATATAACAATGGGAGTATGTATATTATAATGTTAATACCATAACTAGATTGCTTACCAACTCACAATCACACATTCATCGTCACTCGCTCACTTAATCTCTCGCTCACATACATATGATGACTTACTCTTACATTCATTCAATCATTTCAAACAATTACAACAACTACTACGATAACAGGATAAGCACACTATAGTATTGATTCAGCCAGAGTTCAGAAAGGCATCACGTACCTTTATCGATTATGAATCGGTCGATGCTGCTTTGGAGGGCATCTGCTTCATGTATGAGGCCAAGCTCAAGAGCACTCATCCACATCAGAAGAACATCACCTACGACATCTCCCAGCTCTTCAAATACCTTGACGATATCCCCGATCTGTCATGTCTAATGTAACTATATATTACAAAAGGGGGAGGGTGAGGCCTCAGCCTAGCCTCAATCACTCATCACTCAATCACTAACTAACTCACTCAAACTTACATAAAACAGTTACACTCCATCGATCAATGCATACACACCATACAACAAGGAATGGATCAAGAATAAGATTATGGTCTTGCTGCAGAAGATGGCTCGTTAATCATGTCAGCTGACACAATCAGAACAGAATGATCAGTGGTCGGCCTACCTCAACAACACACACACGTACATCACATACACACACAACACAGCGCGACGCGACTAGACAGCACCCTTTGATTCGCGAGTTGACAATGGCAACCCAAAAAAGAAACAATGAAGCTTATCCATCCAACCATTCCCAGATACCCTCACCTTTGTAACAATATGGCGCAACTAAGTTTATTCGTACCGATCAATCAATCGATCAATGAATGACCTTGGAATAATTCCGATGTGTAACAACCAGCCTTCAATGAAATATTGTAGAGTTTGGCTCTTTGGTCTGAACTATGAGGCTGGATAACGCGTTGGTAGTGACTGGGATTGCTCTGGCCAAACAACAGAGCGATGACATCCTTGAACATTGAGTAATTCTTGTTGATCAATGCCGTCTCCAACTTGAAGAATGGCACCTGGATGAATAGACCCTGAACATCCGTTGTTGTAACGAGTCGATGGTCTTGGATTGATTTAATCACTGCTTTGTAGAGATGGATGTTCATTGGCGCATCCCTTAGCAGTGTCCACAGTGCCTCCTGGTTCTTTACAACGTGATCAGAGATATGGTCCCATATTTTCTGGATACAATTTTCAGAGAGACGTTGACCCCAGCCAGGCGACAACAGCAGTTGCCAGTCCTCTGGCTGGTCCAATGGTATACCATTCCGACCGGCCACATCTAGGAGGTATCCAAGCAATACATAGTGATTGCCTTTGATTGCGCTGATGAGCCATGCATTGTAGTCTGCCGGCTCGATGGGGCGGGCACAGAGCGGAAGCAGAGTCTGCACCGTCTCTAGGTGTCCGTTGGTGCAGGCCAGTTTGACTCCTGCATTGATGTCATAGTCCCTGCTGTACAGTCGCTTGGCGAGGTCGTAGTCACCGCTCTGGCAGGCGGCCATGAAGAAGAGAGGACATTGCATCTGATCAAATGCTGCGTGATCAGAGTTGATGAGCAGTCTAATGTTGTCCATCAGCAGGCGTCCTCCTTTGTCGAGGGCGGGCGGCGTATGAATGGCACCCGATGCATTCAATATGAGCATTCCAGGGATGATAAGTATGATAAGCTCATGGATGGCATCGACCGGGGCCACACACAGAACATCAGGGTCGAGTAGGTACACATGGTCCTCTCCACGATTGCTAATGAACACTTGGAGGAAGGGTCCATAGTGATGATGTTTGAGCACCGTTGACAAGGTGCTCGTGCCCACGTCCACATAACGGAAGGACGATTGGTGATCGGGGTCTACATTGCCAAAGGCCCTCTCCACCATGAGTTGCTCCTCAATGTACAAAATGATGTCCATGCGATTGGCTTTGATTGCCTCACTGTAGACATGTTGGAACATGCATTTGACCGTAAAGGAGTAGCACGCCAACAGATTGCAGACGTCGAGATATTGATTGCCGACCATGGGCAGGTGCTCCACCATTGCTTGATAGTCTGAGATGGGGAGCCATTGCATCAACTCCTCGAGGATGAAGGTGGCCAATACGATGTGTCCATCCCTCAGTGCATTGTTCAGCAATGATGTGAACAGTTCTTGATAGTTGGCCTTGTGAACGACCTGTGTTTTGCTGACGTAGCACTTGAGGAACGTCTGGTATTTCCGGAAAATGGCCAACTTGCCACTGGTCGATGCCAGGCGGATTGTGTTGGCCACCTCATTGTATGTGAAGCATATGGGTAGCTGGGCAGGCGTCACGCGGAGATTATTGATGGCAAAGTCCTCGCCAAGATATTGGGATATTCTACCTTTGGCCATCAGACTCACCAGGCTCGGAAGTCTGGGAGACGGCGCGCCAGTGGAGTCAAGGTTGAGGTTTTGCACGTAGCTGTTCTGTGCTCTGTAGATGATATCCCTGATGAACTTCTCATTGGCATACATCACAAAGTACGTTGGATCAGGCTGTGCATCTGATAGAACTTTGTCAATGGCGTCTAGTCGATCATGTTTGAGTGCCAGGTTGTACATCTTGGTCATCAACACTGTTTGCTTTGCGATATCAAAGTATTTGGCCATTATTGATCTGAGCTGTTCATCTGATGCATGCTCGAATATGTGCTCGTGTAGGTTGATCACCTTGTTCGTGCACAATATGATCTGTAGTAGTGTCACATGTTGTGGTTGAGATCCATTCGTGCTGGCAAATGTCGTTGTCTTATTATATGTGCCTATAACCTTGTTGAACAATGTATAGTCTAATGCCATTGGTTGTTGTTGGAGTACTGACAACACCATGTCGTAGAGGAGGCCTGGTGTCATTGCTGTATATGGCAATACACCGCACAACAGGTCGATCATCTTTGGAGATAGCTTATTGTGCTGTTCAGTTGTATTGTCGATCTTGGATACAGTCGTCAACAGTGAGTACATCAGTTGTCCAAAGGAGGACATTGTCACCCCATTCGCTCTCAGTATCGTCTCCAATTGTTCCAACATAAACTTGATCAGATATCTATTGTCCTTTAGCATCATCATTCCAATTAGTTCTTGGATATTTGTAAGACTATGTTTGATTGATTGATTGATTGATTGAGTGAGTGATTGGAACTATTCCATTCATAAGTAAAGTATGTAGTACTAACACTTTATCAGTTCTAAAGTGATCCTCGATGATCTTATCTCTTGATGATAATTGGATATCATCTTTGGATAGACTGGCTAGGAGTGATGTGATTGAGTTGAGCAACATCTGTTTGCCATCTTCATTGTTGATGTACATCAGTTTGAACAACTTGATGAATCTACCTGTGTTGTGATACTTGATACATTGATAAAGGCTACCAACATCACCTGGTCTAACTGATCCTCCACACTCTTTCCTGTTCAGCTCACCAGTCCACACGAATACACTTGGTAGTATAGACTTGCTAAACACTACACTTCTAAAAAGTACATCCATTATATGTATTTATATATTTATATCTAACTTTATATTTGTAATGATGGATGAGATGGAGATGAATGGGTGTCCTTGTAAATCAAGATCATTGATTGAACGACCATTCGTCGTGGACCTCAGAGGTCCAAGGCCCCAATAAGTTTGCCTCAATCAGTCTATACCTGGGAGTGGGGTTACAAACTCAATAGCTCAAGTTTATTGATCACTAGTCAATCATTCAACGCCATCTTTGGTATAATTGATATTTGTTGGGAATCATATGTTTGAACGACTTGATGATATTGACTGGGATAGTTCCTGCCAATGTGCACTGAGTCAGTGAATACTTGATAATGGACTGGAATTGTGAGTATTGCTTATTGATCAACAATGACTCTAAGTCATCAAGTGGTATAACTTTGATCAATTAATGGTTTGGAGTAGTTGGAACAAGTCCATGTTGAAGGAATGACTCTATAATCAACTTGTATAATGATTGTTGAATTGTTTATCACTAAGGAGAGTTGTTAGCACTTTGGGACCCAACAACACATCGCCACTTATGTGTTTCAAAATGATCCCTAATAACATTCATATCGAGTCAAACAGAGTTATGATCAATCCTATAATTGATCACACCAGTCCATTCAAATACACTTGGTACAATTGAATTACAGAACATAAATTTCCTAACAAGTTCATCCATTCATTCAATGTTAAACTGACTTGGCTTGATTGATTGATTGACTAATTGTTATTATTAATAATGGATCGGATCTGGCTGTGAACTCTAATGGAATGGTGACAAGTACTTATATATAACAATTATTGAGTACAATGTCTTCAATTATTCACTTTCCAAAAAATGGTAGTGTAATCACAACACAAAATATCTAACTCCTGAACTTCAAAAGGGAGAGTTCCATCATAATAATAATAATTTATTAAATAATTGATCAATTAATAATCTTGGAATAACTTTGGTGAGTAGCAGCAATTCTCCAATGCCATTGTTGCGATGGATACTCTTTGTGGATCATGGAAGGACTGGATGACGTGATGGTAGTGCTTCGGTTTGTTGCCAACAAACAATGAGATGATTGAATTGAACTGTGAGTATCTCTTTTCCTCCAACGCAGACTCTACAACATCCATTGAAAGATGTATGATTGGAGGATGAATTGACTTTGCCAATTGTAGTTGATGACGTGATTTGATCACCTCCTCATAGAGATGTATGTTGAATGGAACATCTCTCAATAATGAACATAATGCAACGTTGTTGGTGACAATGTTATCACATATATGCTTCCAAATGATTGATATACATTGTGCTGGTAGGCCTTGATCACTATCGTCCAATGATAATAGGTATCGCCAATCATCTAGATTTTGACAGTCAGCTCCATTACTATTGTCCAAGAGGTGTTCGAGCATTGTGAATTGACGTGCCTTGATTGCACCTGTGTACCATTCCTTGTAGTTGGGAAGTAGGCAACGGGGCCGGAGTGCATTGAACGTCTCAATGTTGCCCTTGGCACATAATAAATTGATTGCGTCTCGGAAGTCAATGTTGATTGGGTTGTAGATTGATAGGGCTAGGTCATGCTCGCCCGCCTCACAGGCAGCCAGAAAGAATGGACGAATGCCAGGAGTGTGCTTAAAGTGATCAATGTGTCCTGTTTCTCTCATTAATCTGATCTTGGCAATGATGTCCCGTCCATGGGCAGGTCGCTGACGGTCCTCTGGTTGGTCCAGATTGAGACGAGTCGGTTTGATGGCAGTGAGTAGCTCTCTGAATGCTTCGATTTTTGATTCGCATATCACCTCTGGCGAGATACTGTGGAGGAATGTTGGTCCTCGATGGCCCAGATATACTTGAAGGAAGCATGGTTCAGTGTCATAATATTGCATTGCAGTGGCCAATGTTTTGCTGGCGGTATATATGCTCAGTATGTCGCCCTTGCCTTCGTTGATATGGGTGGGGTCCGAGAGATGCATGACAATATCCATTCGATTGGCTTTGATTGCATCACTATAGACGCCTCTGAATCGCAAATTAAAATCGCTAATTTTGGTCAGCCATTGCCAAAGGATGATGAATTGATCGTCCATGGGCATGTGGTCGATGGTCACCTGTCTCTTCTTGATGAACCATGGAATCATTTCATTATGCAAGTAATAGATTAGCTCGACATCGCTCGCCAAAAGGGCATTGTTGATAATCTCTGTGATCTCAATTGTGTTCTCCATCCATGAGTTGGTAGTGTCCGGGGCCGCTACCATGAAGGCTTTGAATAGGATGTGGAAATGTTTGAGAAGGGCCAGGTTGCGATGACGGATTGCCAAGTTAATGGTCCTGGTCACCTCATCTTGTGAGAAGATGAGAGGCAACAGTTGGAAAGATACACGGTATTTGCCAACTATGAAGTCGTTGTTGCCAACACCTAGTATTTGGCCCGTGGCCATCGCCTTGTCCAACGTGAACTTGGGTAGCTCCACATTATTGACGGTCTCTGGTGTACCAATGATGGGGACAACATCTTCCGGGTACTCTGTGGGCAAGGCCTTTAACATCTTCTCATTGGCATACATGATAAAGTATTGAGGGTCGGGCTCAGCTTGGAACTCCACTGACAAGTGCTTGAGGATATCCGTTCGTTGATGTTTGAGTGCGAGGCTGGACATCTTGGTCATGAGGCCCTCAAAGTCAATGCAAGAGTATCTCTCAATCATTGATCGGAGCTGACTGGATGGTGCATGTTGAAACAGATGCTCATGCTCGCTGATCACCAGTGAATGATTGAGTATGCTCTCAAAGAGCAGTGTTCCAGTCTGAAGGCCATCAATGGTGGTTGCCTGATCATACGTGTCCAACAGCTTCATCAACAGTGTATTGTCCAATGGTCGTTGTTGTAGACATGATAGTGTCATGTCGAATAGGAGTCCAGGCGTCATAGCAGTGCATGGAAGTAATGTACACAACGCATTGATCATTGCAGGAGTGAGTACACATGATTGTGTACTATGTTGATCAATACGCTTCACATTTGTGAACATGCAATAGATGGACTTTGTGAATACATCAGTATCATTGAGCAGATACTTGAATTTACCAATCAAGTATGTAACGAGAACAATGTTGTTTTGTGTCAACATCATTCCAAATATATCCTTGATACTGGATAGTCTGTGATTGATCAAAGGTTAGCATGCTAACCTTTGATTGAATGATTGAATGAATGGATACACTTATACATACAGTTTGCTTGATCCAAGTTGATTCTGGATGGCAAGGTATCTCATCCTTACGACCTCATCAACCTTGTCAATGGCGTTGATCAATGATGTCAATGATTCAATCAACATCTGTTTACCAACAACATTATTTAAATACATCTCTTCAAACAACTTGATGAATCTTCCATTGTTATTATACTTTATACATTGACTTAGACTAACTACACCACCTGGTCTAACAGAGTAATGATCAATCTTATTATTGATCACACCAGTCCTTTCAAATACACTTGGTACGATTGACTTGCAGAATAATACTTTCCTAACAAGTTGATCCATTTTCTATCTCTATCTATCTATTATATATATATATATATATATCACTATATGTATCTCAAGTGTTGTTGAAATGTACATGTATTACTAATAATAATGTAAACATCATTGTTTGAAGTTGAAGAGCAACGTAGAACTGACAAAGTGCAAACATTGAAGTTAGTTGCCCCCATTTGCCCGCCCCGACCATCGGAAAGTTAACTTGTAAATTCTGAAACATGTTTATTTGTTCCACTTTCTCTTATTATTATCTGATTTGTTCTTTGTCGATCCATTTGATGTTAGTCCTTTTTTCTTGTTCTTGTTGTTGTTATTGTTGTTGTTGTTGCTATACTTGTTGTTGTTGTTGTTATACTTGATATGAGGAAGCTTTCCATTTCCAGTCGATGACACTACAGCAGTAGAATCTCCATTCACTTCTGTGTTTCCATCTGTTGCCACTTCTGTTGCTGCTGCTGGTTTCCTATCATAATGAACACCTCTCATTGGCTTTGAATGAATCTTCCACCTCTCATTCATTGGTATAGTCGATATACTGTCTCTCTGTACACCCTTCTTCTTGTAATCCAACTTGTCTTGTTTGGTCTAAGTATTGATTGATTGAATGAATGTGTTAGGTTAGCCTACGACAACAACAATATGAATGAGAGTTGACGACACTTACAACATGAACAGTCTTCATCCAGTCTGGTACTTCTGAACCAGAGTTCCTCATGACGTTGGAGATTGTTGGGATCATTGGTGCATCGGCCTCGGTGTAGAAGGTGTAGGCAACACCAGTCCTTCCAGCACGTCCAGTACGTCCAATACGATGTACATAACTGGCAATGTTCTTGGGGAAATCAAAGTTGACGACAAAGTTGACGCCCTTAAAGTCCATACCACGAGCCATCAGATCGGTACAGATCAGCACCCATATCTGACCGGATCTGAACTTCTCGACGATCTTGTCTCGCTGGAATTGTGTCCTGTCCGAATGTATAACGTCCACGTTGATGTTATCAAAGATCAACTCTTGGAACAACTCTTGAGCACGCTCCTTTGACTGGACGAATATCAATACAGGTGGTTCCAGACCCTTCTGTATCAGCTGTCTAAATGCCAACAACTTGCCTTCCTCCTTTCCAACGAATATAAGTTTCTGATCAACATTAGTTGATGCTGAGTTCCTGAATAATGTTAATGATTGTTATGTTAGTATGAGTGTTTGATTGAGTGATTGGAATGATTCCATAATCGATCAAATGATTGAGTGATTGGAATAGTTCCATGATCAAACGAATGAGAGAGTGAATGATGGAACATACTCTTCGCCAATGACAATCTTGATTGGGTTCTTCATGATTGATCTTGCCATCTCCTCGACCACGATGTTCATGGTGGCACTGAATAGTGATATCTTGAGTTTGGCATTCTGGCATGCAGCCACAACGTCATCAACCTGCTCAACGAACTGTTGATCAAACAATCTATCAGCCTCATCAAACACCAAATGCTCCACCTTGTTCAAACTGATCGTGCGCTCCTGGATCAAATTGACCAGACGCAATGGTGTTGTGATCAATATATCTGTTGATTGATTGGTTGGGGAGTGTTAGTGTGATGCTTGAGTGAGTGCCATGATCGTCATCACTTACCAAAGTTCTGGGAATAGGACACGGATGAGGAATGGCTCTGGAGACTCTTGGAAAGGACACAGATGCGGAAGGGCTTGCCTTTGGAGAGGAGACGGAACTGGCGGTAGATTTGTTGCGCCAGCTCACGAGTAGGCGAGATGATGACGGCGCGGAATCCCTCTTTCTGTGGTCGGTTGAGGGCGTGCAGGATGGGGATGGTGAAAGCAGCGGTCTTTCCAGAACCAGTTGGTGCGCATGCAATCACCTCGCGATCGCTCATCATTGTCGGTATGGCTTGCATTTGGATTGGTGATGGTGAGCTGTATTTCATGGCCGCGATATTCTTTGCGAGATAACGTCTAATCTTGAAGCGGCTGTCCAACTCCTTGAACTGCTCGATGGGGTCTGGGACATCCGTTCCCTTTGCTCTAATCCTCATCCTACTCCGTATTGACACTCCTCGCAACTCGCTTGCCTTGACTCTCTTTGGTGTATCACTCTTGCTCTTGTTCTTGTTCTTGGTCTCTGTGTCTTTGTCTTCGTCGTCGTCCTCGTCCTCATTGTCGTCTTCATGTTCGTCTTCCTCGTCATCATCATCGACTGATGGTGGCACATATTTCTTCTCCTTTGAGAACAAGTCGACTCCATCTTCCTCATCTTGATCATCTTCTTCGTCTTCTCCCTCTTCGACATAGTCATCCTCCTGCTCCTCATTCTCATCATCCTCATCTTCTTCATCATCATCGGTTTTCTCGATCTTCACTTTGGGTGTGATCTCTTTCTTCTCCTCCTTTATCTTTGTGACTGTATTGTTATCCTTCTTCTGTTTCTTCTTGCTCCTGTTATCATCATCGCCATCCTCTTTCTCAATCTTGACAGTAGCAGTAGCAGCAGCAGCAGGCTTTGGGAAGAAATGTAACTTTGCACTTTCATCATGCTTGTCCAATTGACCTAGTTTCTGACCCTATTGATTGATTCAATCATTGATTCAAGTCAGTAAGTAAGTCAGTGTGACTCATACATTCTCTAACTCTCCATGTCAATGACATACCTTGAACAGATTTACATCCTTTGAAAACTTTGTCTTGTTGAATCTTGCACCAAGACCCAAACTAAAGAATATACTCTCATCCATATCTCTATCTTATATATGTATCCTATCTATTTATGTATGTAGTGATCAATGTTTGATTAAATGAATGATTGAAGAGTGATCCCTCATTCATTCAAACTTTCGTTCGTCGTTTTTTGTCAACACACACAATAAATTGTCTTCAATTTTATCACTTTTATTTACTTCACCATCCCTCCATCATCATTTGAATATTCATCGTACCATATATCGAATAATATTAATTGTCCTGGAGTATGTATATATAAATATAAGGTCAAAAGTTGGATTATTAGATATCTCAATTTGTAATAAGAAATGGAAGTTCTTGGAGACCATTAATGATTTTCAAATAATAATTATTATTGGGGGATATACCACCGAGGCACCGGGCCTTGTGCCCTTTGCAAAAAGATAAATCTATGTGATCATAATGTTATCGAGTTGAGTGTATCATCCTTTACCTCAATCAATCAATCAAACACACTTATACACACACACATTCAATCAATCAATCTAACAAACACAATTAATTGGATACCCCATTGCTATCTCAACACATCATCATCACAACAAACACTTCAACAACAACAACACAACAGTTATTTGAACAAAGTTTATAATAATTTACAAGGTGGATAGACTGTGGCTCATTCATTCATTCATTCATCATTCACTCATATTCATTCATTCATAGACCCAATCGATCAATCCAACAATCAACAACATCGAACAACTCTGAGTTTATATATATATATTCAATCATAGAGATATAGAAGAGAAGAATCACAAACAATGGGTCAAGGTGACAGCAAGCCAACGAATCAACAACATCAACAACATCAACAACAACAACATCAACAACCACAACAGAATGGTAGTAATAGTAATCTTAGATCATCATTAAATAATAACAACCTACATCAATCAGTCGGCAAACTAAACACAAGTTATACATCATCAGACGACGATGACATTACATCACAATCATCATCAACCAGTCTAATCTATCAGAATATACCATATACAAGTTATTCATATGATCGACTGGGATCGGCCAGACCATTACAAACTAGTAAGGATGGTAGTCTGTCCAACTCAAACAGCAACTCTAGCAACAACCTGCTGAGTGCACCAGCTTCATCATCATCGACAACGGCCTCTGCCTCCACCAACACAACGAACGAAATCATCACCCTGTCCAAGGTTGAGCAAAAGGATGAGAAGGATCAAGAGCTAGAGAAACTGGCGAGACTGCCCAATGTAAGTAGGTAGTTAGTCCCTTCCTTCGCGCTTCCCCTGAGTCCCATGTGTCTACAAAGACGACTAACACTCAATCACTCAATCAATCACTCACACTGGAATAGTTCCTGCCACTGATAAATGAGAATGATGAATCATGGTTCACATCAGAGGGCAATGTGCTGACGATTGACTCGATGGATAATAGAGGCGCAGTCAATATAAGCATTGATATACAGAACTATTTGAAGAACTCAACGGGCTATATCCAGGAGAAGCAGAAGGAGATTATGCTGCGGATGCGTGATGTGGAGTTCCGCCAGTCGGCAAAGCTGGCCAATGTCATGTCGGCCAAGGTCAGCGACGCCACTCACGCCCAGTTTGGCTTCAAGGAGGTGCTGGACAAAGTCAGGACAAACGTTGCCAAGACCAGGGACACTGTTCATAGGATTGGAGATTTGATCGAGGCTCTCGAGTCAACACTGCCGCCAGACGAGCGAGAGAACTTCAAACAAGAGATAATGGCCATATTGCCGTCACCGCCAGCATCACCATCGTCTACTACTACTGCTGCCAACATTGCGGTGGCCAAGCCATGAGGCCTAGGCCTCCAGACAATGTGTACATTACATTTTAATGAATGGATGGATGGTCATTGAATCGTCGTCAATAATATGCTCGCGACTAAGTCCTTCCTTGTCCTCATTCTTCATGTCTTTGGCACTAGCAAGCCCTCTGAGACGAGGAATTGGTGGGCCAAACACCCCACGATGATCATTTTGATTAATTGGGAACTCACTCACAAGGGATGCATGTCCCAAAGTGTGTGATCGTCTGAACTTATGTGTGTTGTGGTGCTGATCTTGTGTCATTTCCCAGCGTCACATATTAGTTTGTTATTATGACTGACTGACATAGGTATGATTGGTTTAAACATGAAGGTGGGCATGAACATGGATGATTATCATTGTCATCACTAATCCATCCAATATCCAGTGACTGAGTGTACCCCTCACTCCTACCAACATTGATCAATCAATCAAACACCTAATTGAAACACAGATAAAATAAAATATATTCAAATACAGATATATATATATAATGTAAGTATAACTACATATTATAATATAATCATACACAGATATAACAGCAAGATGGATGATGATCATCAATGGAGTAAACAGAAGTCGATATTATGGTACAATTTTCAGAGGAGTGAAGCAACGAAGGAGGTGGACTTGATTGATCAAATTCATTTGATAATGTCAACAACAACAACTACAGTGCAGCACCATAGTTGACATTGGTGTGTCGTCTTGTCTGCCTGTGTGTCATCCCACACCAACATCACACATGACGTTTGATAAGTTGTGTGTGTGAATGATCATCTTATGATTGCAAAAAACGACACCACACACATCAACACACACCGTTTAGCTTAGATCAATCAATCTATTTTTAATTGGAGTGTCCTCCTAGGTTATGTAGAGATATATTTATTATCATTATTAATATGATGTGTTTGGTGTGTTGTTGTGTATGATGATAAGCAGTGTCGACATGTAACTTTGTAGTGGTGGTTGTCCAACGAACACGACAAATGACCCATCATATTGTTCATCCAATGTGTGTGTGTGTGTGTCAGAGAGTGTGTTAGGGGTATTCATCTTCAACTCCAACATCTTCATTCACTTCATTCATTCATTCATTAACACATCATCTAACATTCATTCAATCAATCAATATCCAATATATATTCAATCAAACAGATAATTAATAATAATATAGATAAAAATGGCCAGAAAGAAGTTGAGAGAATACTCTAGCAAGCAGTTGCTCAAGACTCATATGTTGAACTTGTGTAAAGAGAAGTTGAATCTGAATGCTGTCCAGATCACACCAACAAGCCCATCACTAAAGGACATTGCACAACAGACGACTGCACAATGGCTAAACACAACAAAGTTGGTGGTCAAGCCTGACATGCTGTTTGGCAAGCGTGGCAAGAACAATCTGGTGCTGCTCAATGCCACCGTGGCTGAGGCCGACGCCTTCATCAAGGAGCGCATGAACAAGGAGGTCGACATTGGCGGCAAGAAGGGCGCCGTCACCCACTTCATCGTCGAGCCATTCGTGCCACACACCGTCGAGTACTACATGTCGATCGTGGCCAACCGCGACGTCAACACCATATCCTTCTCCAGTGTCGGAGGTATCGAGATTGAGGAGTGCTGGGACAAGGTCATCACCCTGGACATCCCCTACGGCGAGAAGATCGACCTGGTCAACCTCCACCCATTGGTGCCAGCCGAGACTGCTGCCCGCGAGTCCATCATCAGCTTTATAAAGAATGTTTACAAGGTGTTTGAAGGTAAGTACGCCAGTCCCGTCGGCCTGCCTTCAATGGCACACAACAAGGCCAAAGACTAACAAACATGCGACCTGCCCAACAGACCTATCCTTCCACTTCATAGAGATGAACCCGTTCACACTTGATGAGAATGGAAGACCATTCCCATTGGATATGAGAGGTGAGGTTGATGAGTGTGCCTCATTCAAGTGTGGAAGCAAGTGGACTGTTGACGGCGAGCCACTCCAATTCCCTCAGCCATTCGGCCGCAACCTCTTCCCAGAGGAGACCTACGTCAACGACCTCGACGAGAAGACTGGTGCTTCGTTGAAGCTCACAGTCCTGAACCCAACCGGTAGAATATGGGCAATGGTTGCTGGAGGTGGCGCATCAGTCATCTACGCAGACACCGTTGCCGACTTGGGCTACGGCCACGAGCTGGGCAACTATGGTGAATACAGTGGCGACCCCAACGAGGAGGACACATATAAATACGCTTCAACAATGCTGGGACTGGCCACACGCAACCCAGACGGACGTCCACGCGCCCTGATCGTTGGAGGAGGCATTGCCAACTTCACCGACGTCGCCGCCACCTTCAAGGGAATCATCCGCGCCTTCAAAGACTACCACAAGGAGATCGTCAAGGCCAACATCCACATCTTTGTGCGCAGAGGTGGTCCCAACTACCAGTCCGGTCTGGAGAACATGAGGGACGTTGGTCGCGAGCTTGAGATCCCCATCAAGGTGTACGGACCAGAGATCAACATGACCAACATCGTGTCGATGGCCATCCATCACATCAACACTGCCCAACCTGTCTCTGTCTCCAGTTGAGCGTTTTGCATAGACAATGCGCCGCTGTTGCCGACTCAGTCGTACAAATTAAAATAAACATTCGCAAGGCCTGTCTGGCCTTGTTTATTCGTAGCCACGAGGTTAGGAAGTGTACGTCACACTGAACTTGGTACCTGCGTTGACGGCCACGGCCACACCGAGGTCCAAGGGAAGGAGTGAGTTGGGGCCGAGCTGGACAGCGAGCCGGACCGAGGGACTGGATGAGGTCATTGTGACCAGGATCTGTTCGCTCGTCCAAAGGACATCGAGCTGAGCACCTTGGTAGCACAGCGACCTGATGGCCAAACTGTCTGTGTTTGGTGGCAGCTGTGGATGGAAGTCCAGCAGGCCATCCTGGATCCTCAGGCCACCATAGCCAAAGAGTATACCCTGCAGGAAGCCACCGGCGCCCGTTATAAAGTTGACTGTGCCACCGGTTGGCGTCTCGGTCCACACACCAAATGGTTGTTGAGAGTTGGCGTATGATGAGGCCCATGATTGTTCGGCCCTGCTCTGATTGCCCAGCTCTAGCCAGCCTGTGACAAACATCGAGTAGGTCATGGCCGGTCCGTTGGGATCGGTTCGCGGCTCATAGTAAGCCAGGTCATTCTGGCGCACTGTCGCAGACATGTTGGTCATCAGAGGGTAGCCGAGCAGGATGACGTCGGCCTGCTTGACCATCTGTCCCGCATAGCCCTCATACTCTGGATGCATCTCGCCCGTCTCATTGAACAATATCACCAAGTTGGACGCGATTGATAGCCATTGATCGATTGGCGCTGATGTGTCCTTGACGATGGCTGCAGCCTCGGCCGCCCACTCCAACGCCAACTTGGCTACAGTATTGGTGTAGACCGAGTTGTTGACGCCGACAGCATATTCATCGGGCGGGATGACATTGTTGATTGAGTACGAGGGTGGGTCTGAGTCCACTGATGCCACACGACTGGCCCAGAACTCAGCGATACCCTTGATGGCTTGGTAGCCGACTTCCAACAGCCACTGATCATCACCCGTGGCATAGTAGTACTGTCGCATGGCGAATGAGATGTCGCCAGTGATATGTTGCTCGAGTTGGCCAGTGGGCGCGGAGAGTGGACATACTTCGGCACCGGTGAAGGCCGACTCCCAGGGGAACATGTATCCAGTCCAGCCCTGGCCATATGACACCGCCTTCAAATGTGATTCGTTGAGATTGTTGATTCGATACTGCAGTATGGCATCACGCGCTATCTCAGGGTACAGCACCAAGATTGGCGGATACATCCATGTCTCGGCATCCCAGAACACATGTCCATTATATCCGTTCGATGCTAGCCCGCCTGGAGACAGGCTCCAAGGCCAGTCCTGATTGATCGATGAGAGTATGTAATAGAGTGATGAGTTGACTGTTTGTGCCATTGCCAAGTTGCCGCCCACCTCTATCCTACTCGTCCACAACTGTGACCAAGCATCAATGTGTGTGGTGAGTAGAACAGACTGATTGACCATGGCCTCTTTGAACAACTGCATGCTCTCTTCAATGTACAATGATTGTGATTGCAAGTTGGTCGCTAGTGATGTGATCAAGACCAACGTGGCAGTCTGGCCGGCAGCCACTTTGAGTGATGATGGCACTGTAGTCGCTGTGATGGCGACCGATGTCATGAACCCGCCCTCCAGCTCTGGCTGGAGGATTGTGGCTAAATACAGCTGGCACAACTCATCCTCGTAAAGCCGAACAATGTTAAAGTCAGGACTGGATATGTTAACAAGTGCAGGTGTAGCCAGTTCCAGAACAAAGTCATCCATGCCCATTGTGTTGTCCAGGGTGATCTCCTGGACCAGTAGTCCAGTGAACTCGCGGTGAGCATAGTATGTTTGAGTGGCTGTTGTACCTTTGGTGTTGTTGAATGTGTACACCCTGGTGTATGTACCATTGTCAAGGTCGAGTCCAGCATAGCTCAAAGAGGCGCCACTCAACAATTGGACATGTTGAAAGTTTGGCAATTGAGCTCGATGAGATGGAGCATCTTGTGATACTTGTGGACCATTATAAACGCCACCAATGTATATTGCCTGTCCATCAATGACCATTGCCACGAAACCATTACCAACACTTGCCATCAAAGACTCCTCTGGCTCAGTCGTCGTAGACATCAGTCTGCCTTCCTGGACTCTTTGTATCCACCAATCAGGTTGTGACCAAACAACCTGTGAATGAGTGTGTGAGTATGGTGTGTGAGTGACCATTCATTCGTTTGATCAATCATACTTACATGACAAAGTATCATGATGATAAGAAGTTGAAGCGTAGCATTTGGAAGTGCCATTGTGTGTGTATCTTTACTTATTAGTTGTACATGTATACATTCTATCAATAAATCATCAATGATTCTTATGTCGTCTTTGTTCTAAACAATGTGGGTTGGGTCGATTCATCACTTGAAGATATTTTATAAAAGTGATTGATATTTGCAGATGTATCATCTTTGCTTTTTTATCCCTGGTAACAATGATTGGAACAATTCCTTAACGACATTTGGCGCCTTTTTCAATCTTATTTGTAAGTTGTTTGCCCATTAACAATTCTAATCCCGAGGTAATTTCACAACAACAGTTTGAAAAGGACAACAAAACCACGTCATTATAATAATGTTGGACGACAAGCCCTCACTTACCATTCTTTCATTGATTGATTGGCCTATCAAGTGATCACTCACCCATCACACACACACACATACATAATCAATCAATCAATCATTCACACACAACTAATTAAAACAAGCGAAGGGAAGAGGCGCCAACAACCACAACCACAAGTGTTGATCAATCATTTAACATTGTTAGTGACACACCCATCTATGAGAGAGAGATGGTGTCGTCGCCAATCATTCTTTGCAAAGAGGGAGTGAGTGAGTGAGGTTGTTGTTAGAGGTGTTAGAGGGTTGCAGATGCGCACTCAACACAAACCCACTTTGCAACCTTATGCTTATCCTTAACCTTCTTTGATTGTTTGTTTGATTGATTGATTGATTGTTTGTTAGACTCACATGTTGTATATAAGTGCTGCTACTACAGATATATAGAGATAGAGAACGAACGTCTAAAGACACACCAACTACTGTTACAATCAAGACAAGAAGTGTTTGTCAAAGACAAAGGACAAAGGATATTCATTCATTCATTCAATCGTACTCGAGCGATACGATACATACATACCATAACCTTGGAAGGATAAAGGAAACTAAAGAACTAATTGGATATTATCAACAATATATATAAAGATGGATGCAAGACTCGACGTCAATTCGTTGGGTATAACAGCGACATTGATATCCAAGTTGATGGATAATCTGTCAAACTCAATCGATAGTACTTTACAATCGATACAGGAACAACAACATCAACAGCAACAGCAACAGCAACAACAGCAACAGCAACAACAATATAATCAATATTCAAATAATAATTTATCGAATAATAATAGTTTACCATTGTCGCCAGCAAAGGCGGCAGTGGCATCACCCGGACGCAATAATCCACATGTGCTAATTCGTCGAATGACTGCCGTACCGGGCGCGATAAAGCAGGCGCCGATAGCCGACCCGACGACGGAGCGGGACTGGACTGGCTTTGCCCGCGGCTTCTGGTTCTACAACCCGTCGCTAGCACTCATTAGCGAGTCGGCCAAGACTTGCAAGGGCGTGGCCATACGCCTCGTCCTGGAACTACTACCGCGCCACATCCAACTGCTCACATCTCACTCGTCATCAATGATGGATGGCGCCAATACTCCAACGTCGCCACTGGGTGGCGTGCAGTCCCCGCCCATCCAGGACGGTGTGTCGAGTCCGCGCAGCTCGTTGGTCACCATCCTGTCGTCAGGCGCGCAGTCGCAGACCAAGCTATTCAACTTTGACACGTTCCTCGCGGGCATCACCAATGGCCACCACTTATACAACAGCGACATCAAGTATCTGGACATCATTGAGAGCACGATGGAGATTGTCGTGGCCGACATCATCACGCAGATACTTGGCAGTAGCAGCAGCGGCACTCTTCACTCCAGCATCACCGACACACTCTTGCAGCGTCTACGCGACATCGCCTTCTACTACTTCAAGCCCATACCACCACGAGCACTCAATCACATAGCGTGGATACCTCTTCGTCAGTCAATCTCTGATCAATGGTCTTTGATCCTGGGTCAGCTGTCCAGGCTATCGTATGTATCCTGGCCATCCAACCATCGAAATATCATACTGACTAATACCTCGCCACATGTACAGATTGACACCAATCACATACAGTCTTGCCAAGGCAATGGATGGAAAGCAGCCAGTTGATGACGCCATCCCTTTGTTCAGAGGTATCCGTTGGCTGACACTAAGTGTAAGTCATCTTTGGGAATCCTACCCACTCGATCACTCAATCAATCACTAACTCCATGTCAACAACGATCTAGATGTCGGACAATGACAGGATCAATGAAGTCGAGCGATTGTTTGGACAGATGCTGATATGGATCGAAGGCAACAAGAAGAATAACTTGTTGTTGGCACAGATGGAAGCTTTGGATGGTATGTTGCTGTCGACCAGCGACTTTACAATGTCGACAGGCATAGCCGACAAGATGAAGTTAGTTTATAAGCGCGCAGAGAAGATGCTAAAGAATGACGACTTTGAGGAGCGCAGCCTGAAGCTGCTGACGACCATCCTGACACGTGGCCCCAACTCGGTGTTTGAGGAGGAGTACGACACGATCATGAAGCGACTGTGGAAGACACTGGTCGTGCCCAAGAAGCGCGACTTCTCCCTCGAGTGCATCCTGCGCTTGCTGCAGGGCCGCTTCATCCCACCGCGTAAGATCATGGGCATCCATGCCAGCCTGTCGGCCAACACCGACGCGCCCGGTTCATCCATAGCCGCACAACTTCAGCAGCGCATGGAAAAGGTCTACGAGAACTCAGGCAGCTACCTCTACGCAGGCCTGGCGAACAACCGCGTCAAGATGCTGCCACGCCTCAACGACATTGTCTCCACACTGTTTGGCAAGAAGCTGGTGGTGCCGCGTATGATCGAATGCATTGACTCGCTCACTGCCATCACCGTGCATCTCTCGGTCCACTCACTCAAGATGCTTACCGACACCATCATCCCCACGCTCTTTGCCAGTCCTTGCCTACTGCTGCACGCTGTGGCCCTGCGCTCCCTGTCCATTATCCTGGACCCCATCGATGTATACTGGCACACATCGCCATCAGCCAATCCAAACACCAGGCTCGTTGCCAACGAGGTAACATTCGTGCGCAAGGAGGATATACAGCTCACGTTCGAGACCTTCCTCACCAAGTCGTTCAAGTACTGCCACGAGCAGGCCTGTGGCGATAACGCGCAACCAGCACAAGATCCCCTGCCCCTCTCCACACAGTTCGAGCCGTCCATCTCGTTGTACTCGCTGATCTCTGATCAGACATGTGCACACAAGTATGAAAGCGAGACGACCGTCGAGGCCATCAAGCGTTGGTATGAAGTCTGCACCAAGTCCCAAGACCAACGTGAGCGAGAGTTTAACGATCAATACCGAACTAATGTAAGTACCTAGGAGGGTGTTGTCCACCTACCCTTCAATCACATGTTCACTCACTCAATCATTCAATCAATCAATCAAACAGTGCGCGAACTTGAACCAGAAGGTACACTATTGGGAGCACATCAACACACTACAGTCACAGCCTGCCGAGACGTATCCGATGAGGAGACGTTCAGTCAGACGCAAGGTGATCAATCCAGACCTGTTGGAATTGTTCAAAGAGACGATCAGATGCATTACATTCATGCCAAAGATATTCATTGCGAGCACTGGAAGCAGTGCTTTACACAAGTTGGTACTACACGAGGAGGATGAGATTGCAATGGCAGCGTCACACGCTATCCAGGTGATCATGTGTGATCACCCATCGTTAAGGACCACGCTCGTCCAAGGCTACGCCTCACTCATTCTCCAGTTCAATGGCAAGGACCACACGGCCCTACAGACCCTGCTCTCACAGCTGCTCGGTCTGATCGATCTGTGGAATGAGCGTTCATTCATCGAGTCCAGACACTCATCCGTACCCCTGGACAGCTCGTTCTACCCGCCACAAATGCTGCAGACTGAGATCGAGGCCATTGGCCTCGTCCACCTCACCTCGCCCAACCCCCAGATCAGGATCATTGCCCTCCAGCTTATTCGCTCGATCTCTGGTATAAGAAACACAGAGACCGCCAACACGCAGGTGGCCAGTGTACTGCACTCCAAGTGGCGCATGATAATGCAACGCGCTCGATACCAACTCATGCTGGACGACTCGCATGGCATTGGCCAGGACATCAAGTTGAGCCCGAATGGCGACGACCTGCCCTCTATTGAGGAACTGGCCATGGGCACGCATGACCGTCTGTGGGCCTTTGCGCTGTCTGAGATTGGTCGCGAAGCCGTCGAACATGACTGCGTGCGAACGCTGTCCAAGGCCCGTACCACGCTGCTCGAGATCCTGGCAGACATGCCATCGCCATCCAACCCACTGCTAGAGCCCACCACCGATGAGACAAAGCGTCAGAGCTCGTATTCACTTCGATACCTGTGGGTCAATTGCCACGCGCTGCTCTTCTCCATCAGTGGCATTTCCTCAGTGTATCCGCTCAAACCGGCGCCTGGACTTGACCCCCTGATGGACGACCTGATCAACTTTGAGCACAACCTGCAGAACAAGATCACAACGTACCTTCCCTTGCACTTCTGGGAGGGCATGCTGTCAGACAACAACTGGATTCGCGACAAGCTCTCTTTCTTGTGTGGACTGATGCACTGGCGACTGTTGCCCTGTGTGATCGACTCGCTCAATCGATGGTGGACTACAAACAGGCTCAATAAGAAGTTGGGGCGTGTGCGTGTGGACCTCTCAAACATCTTCCGCCGCATCTCTCAGCATCGCGACTTCCACCGCGTCCTCTCAGAGTCGAACGACCTCATCCAAGTGTTTGTTCAGTTCATCCAGCAGATCGAGCCGATCTTTGGCGATGCGACCAAGTTGCCATCTTTGGCGCACTCGTCATACTTCACCGACAATGCCGTCGTTGTGTACAACTTTTGCAACTCCCTCTACACGCCCACTCCATGTGCGCAAGAGGGACCCGTGCGCAAGTCTCTGATCTCATGCATCCGATCCATCCCATGGACTGTGGGCGAGCGCTACAAGACGTTCCGCACGATCCTCCAGTGGAGCGGCCATCCACTTGTCGCGCACTCACGAATGCAGCTCGAAGCCCTGGAGTTGACCAAGCGGCTTTCAAAGAAGGATTCTTCATCACGAGAGGATGAGCGACTCAAGATCAACACCGAGCTCACTCGTATACGTAGATGCTCGCGCCTGGCATCCGAGGCCATCCTGCGTCTTGGTGCGCTCTTTGAGGAGGGCCACCTACAGGAGGTCATTCCATGGGTGATCGACTCGGAGCTCAAAGGTAACCGCATCTTGCGTTGGGTGCTCTCGTACCACTTTGACGAGTCATTCTTCTTCTTCCTCAACAAAGCCTACGACCCCTCGGCCAACGAGGCTGTGGCCTTCCTGCACGCCATCTACGACCAGTACCTGCCTACACCATCGGCCAACCCGCCCACCGTGGGCATCAGCGAGGATATCTTCCAGTATTACTACAAACGCGCACTCGAGGAGTCCAAGCAAGAGCAGCTCGAGAACGACCCGGTGACATCCAACGACCGTAACTTTGCGCGCCGTCTCAACGAGATTGGTGGCACTCTCCTCTTCCTCGCCTGTCTGAACCTTCTTCACCCAACCATGCTGGCTCGTGTGCGCTCTTTCGATCTGATTGCACGTCTGGCACCCTGTGCCTTTGGACTCTTCCTCGAGGAAGATGTTGCCATCCGCTCAGCACTTCTCCCTCTGCGCCAATCATTCGCCTCGCCCATCCTCCACACTTGCAAGCAGTCAGCCATCAAGGTATCGGCGATGGTGTCACAGGTCTGCTTCGAATGGACAGAGCGACTGTTCGAGGAAGTGTTCCTGCGCTATGGTTCACTGTCTGCGCCCTTCCAGCGCTGGACCATCCAGTTCTTGTTGCCCTGGTGCAACAACATTTCGCTCAGCAACAATGGCGACAATGGACGCCTGACCCGCAGCACACCATGTCGATTCCTCATGGCTCTGTTCAAGATGACGGAGCTGCTACACGACTGCCCCGTCGGTCAGCACATCGATGTGGACTACAACAATGCCAACTACGACATGCTGCCCGAGTTGATAGAGTTCTGGACGACGCTGGCCAAGCGCGAGCCAGGTAACCTGACGACAATCGTCAACTTCCTTATCAAGAAGGGCGCCTCCAGCTTCGAGTCGCTTGGCCTGTGCAAGCTGCTCATCCTTCAGGTCTACCAGCTCAACCCCAACGCCACGCTTGAGCCCCTGATCTTCCCACTCAGCTATGCAGGCGCGGTGGTCGAACGCCGATCAGAATACGCTGCTGAGATGTCCTCCGACAACTTGGGCGATGGACCACAGAGTGGGGCGACGTCGCCCAGCGATGAGAAACGCGCCAGCAAGCAACAGTCCAAGATCAGGGAGGTGTGCGTGCGTATCTTGACCGACCTCATTAGCGACAATGTCAAGCCCATCGTGCCACATCTTCACATTCTGCTCAACTACTCACTCCTACGCATTGACATTCCCTTGGAGAATGTATGTCTCGTGCGCAGCATCAATGTACTCCTCTCCTCACTTCGCAACAGTCTTCAAACTCAAACGACACTTGAGACTCAAGAGGAGCGCCGCGCACAGATGCGTGCAGTCATGAAATCGATCGACACCATTGCCACCTCATTCTGTCTGCCCACCTTCCAAATCAAGTTCGACCTGCACGATGGCAAGAAGGAGCTTGACATGCGAGCCCTCTACCTCACAGATGGGCGCTCATCATTCAATGGACGTCGCATTGGTAGCGGCTCCATCTCTGCGCCCGCCACGCCAGTCAAGCCAGGTGCACTCTCGCCCCCTACCACCTCCACCAACAACAACAACAACAACAACAACAACAGGTCACCATTGGTATCGAGCACAGATGATGTGATTGAACATCGCAATGAGATGATCAAGTGGTGCAATGGATACATTTACGTGGAGGAGTTGATCACCGTGCTATGCAAGTACTGCGAGCTGATGACGCCAGTCACGATCGATAAGTGGGAGGCCGAGTCCTTGTTGTGGATCAAGAATGATCGTGACCCCAAGCTCTCAGTCAAGTCGTGCCAGGTCTACCGCACGATCATTCACTGCCAGCAACAGCTACCACAGTCACTCAAGGACAAGCACAAGACCACGACACTGCGCAGACAAAAGTCACGATGGGCCTCGAGCATCGAGCATCTGATGCGACTGCTACACGAGTCGACGGAGGGCCTGGACGCGGTGGTCAAGGTGCTCGAGATGGCCGCAGAGAGCGGAGAGAACAGCGCAGACAGCGACTTCCTAATGTCCATCAACAAACAGATACAGAGTGGCAGTGAGGCACCTGAGGCCTTCCATCGAGTGATGTGCATGGAGCTGTTGTTGACATTGAAGCAGATTGCTCATGGCCAAAACATCGATGAGTTATCCATCTCTTCAATCTTTTGGACTGCCGCTTCATTCTTGGCCGAGTCACACTATTACTATGAGCCACTGTATAGTGTCGCCCTGGACATCCTACACTTGCTAGTCATTGAGCAGGATGTACTAGTCATCACTCAATCATCAGTCTACATGAACATCCTGCGACTGGCCAACGAGATCACTCTGCCACGCGGCCTGCAGTACCACCTATTGCGGGGCATCCTCTCGCCAGCCACCGAGAAGCAGGCTAGCCAGCTCATACTCTCCTACATCAACGTTGCTGACAATGTGCTTGTGGACACGGACGGCGCCCCCCTGCGCTTCCTCTTGCCAGTGCTAGCACTCACCCCGTGGCTACACAACAAGCTGCTCACGTCCAAGTCTTCCATCGTGTACAAGGAGCACAAGGTCTATGCCGATGAGATTGCCAGCGACCTGGCCACCTCTCTGCTAGACCGCCTGCCACAACAAGCTAGCCTCTCGGCAATCTTCAAGCGCTACTCAAGTGGAGGATACAACTCCAATCCGGACGAGTTCTTAACGTCAGTGATCGAGGAGATACGCGCACCCTGCATACCAGTGTTTGCCAACCAGTGTGCAGACCTCATCTCAAACATGTTGGACAACTCTCAGCCACTTACCAATTCGATACTCAAGACGGTGAGCGCGCTGCTCAAGGATGCACCACTCACTGTGCTGCCAATGTTCAAGAACATCTTTAAGATCGCATGTGAGGCTGGTGCCTCGTCACCTGTTGCCGGCTCACTGATCAATCTGGCCACGACCACGATGAAGACCGAGGTTCTGAAGCCTGGTGACATACCCGCGCTACAGACTCCATTCAAGAAGTCACCGTCCGAGCTCATCAAGTTGATCATCCCACGAACAACCAATACGACCGAGGCAAAGAGACGCATGGCCAAGTCGTTCAGTAGCAATGCGGCATCATTGAACAGCACCCAGCGTATCTTACACAAGAGGCTGTCTCAGTTGGCCAACTCTGGCAGTCCTAGGAGGGATAGCTCGGGTATGCCAAAAGAGATGTATGACTCGATGGAGTTTGACCAGGACGTGTTGAACGAGGTCAATGGCATCATACAAGAGTCGATGACCATCTCCATGCGCGACTCACTCTGGCGATCCAACGATGAGTACAACGTATACCTGGATGACCTCGATGAGAACGATTTTGACGACGATGTACTTGACATCAGCGAGGTAAACACAATGAACTTTGAGTCATTCGACACCAATCAACTATTAAGCAAATTGAATGCTGCCAAGGCAATCACAAACAATGGCAATGGTAACCTGTCGAGCAAGCGCATCAAGGCCAACTCAATCCTCTCAGTGAACAGTCGTGGCAACCTCGCGCTATTGTTGAAGTCACATAGCAACAACTCAAAGGACAAGCTAGTCACATCCACTTCAACTACGTTTGATAGTGCCGCCACAGCCGCCGCAGTCATCACAACACGCTCACCCAGACTGTCAGCAACCAATGCCCCCACGGCAATCAGCAATCTTGTCAAGTCGAAGTCCAAAGAGAAGGACGACGGCACCATAGATAGTCTTCGCGAGCTCCTTGCCAGCACATCCACAAAGGAAGATCAGAATGACCATCAACAAGAGTCCAACCTCCAGATCGATCAGTTACTGTCCAACCTCAATCAATTGGACCAGGACGAGTTTGACAAGTTGAACAATGCACTGGACGATCTCAATGACTCCACTGGCTTGAACTCATCATTCCTAGGCGTGTCCTCCCGTCTAGCCAACACACTCATGGCCGAGACATCTGCCGCAGCAACTCCCAAGCAACGACCCAAATCCCAGACGGCACCTTCTCGACTGACAGGCATCAGGGCCATCCTTGCCGATCCCAAACAACGTCGTGCATTCCTGGACTATCTAAAGAAGCAGCACTTCCAGCAGTCAATCAATGATGTATGCTTTGTGGAAGTCGTCCAGGACTTTAAGAACGAACTCACCAGTGCCGAGACAAACAATGGTGACAGCTTGCTCTACCTCATTCGTCACATAGTCGAAGGATTCATCATGGAGAATGCACGACATTCAATCTCCATCACAGAGAGCGAGAGACAGAACATCATCAGGTACTACCAACAAGTGATGAACAGTGACCCAACAGTTATGAACAATGATAACATTATTGATCCGACTATATTTGAGGTGGCGCTCAACATGGTTATGAAGGCGCTGGAGGAGAAGTCCATCCTTGATCGATTCCTTGGCAACTCCAAGTCGACTGCAGTTACCAATAAATAACAAGTAGGAACATGCGTCTGACGCTATGCGGAACTATTTAGTACTATTCCATTCTTAACCAGTACTCTTTGTAGAGCCTTGAATTGATCCTGAGAGTATCGAATAATTATGGAATGATCGCGAATGTTTGGGTCCAATGTTGTATCAGGTCTGAACAACTTGATGATACAATCGATTGATGATGTAATGTTTGGAGTCTTCTTTAGGGCTGTCACGATGTAGTCTGATTGTGGCGGTTCGATTAATGGTTGAGCCACATGATGGTCGTCGTCACCAAAGTATTTGTCAATGATCACTCGGTACACATTATAGATTGTTCCTGCATCACTTGTTCGAAGCAACTCGTTGATGAACACTTGGCTTCTCTTTGTCTTGTCATTCAATCTCGTCCAGATGAAAACTATCATGTCCAATGTTAAACTATCCTCATTGTAGCTTGGACTTGATCGATTGAAAATCGAATAGAGATCAGACTCCAAGAACCTTCCAGATGTTGTGACGCACCCTTCCTTATGGTCCGTTCTTTTGAGATGCTGAGCAGAGTTCAAGAGATGTTCAACTGTGTCGCGATAGTCCTTGTGCATGGCTGATTTCAATGCACCAGAGAGGCTGAAACCTATACCTTGTTGCTCAAGGAACTTTATCACTCTGATGTCCGGATTGAGTTCGGCAATTATGGACAGATTGGACTTGTTGGGTACTTGTGGATTGTATAGTACTACTAGTAGTTCAAAGTCCAAGCAGGCGGCCAGAATGATTAGATCAATGCGGTTCCCCTGCGACACGTATAGATAATGTTCATATTTGATTACCATGCTCATAGTATCAATGGTGAGAAGGTTGCCAACTTTGAAACGACTGATTACTGGTATCACAAGTGTCAATTGTCCAGGTGTGGCCTGTGAGAGTAATGTGTGTTGAGTGGACAGTTCAGCCAATGCCAGATCAGCAAGGTTGATAGTGAATGATCCAATGGATGGCCGAATTCGCAATAGTGTTGTGATTGCTTCAGTGTTGCTCTCGACAATTGCTCGTTTCATAGCCCGATCGACATCGATTGACATCTCCATATCACCATCGAAGCTCTCAACTATCAACGGTTCGATGTGTTCAATGATATCCATCCTTTTAGCTTTGATTGCGTTGCTGTACAAATCAAAGAAGGTACAGGATACTCTTTGTGGACTGCCCACCAACTTGTCAATGATTGCAATCCAATCGCCTAGACCCTCCAGACTCATACCTGACACAATCCATCTATTGTCAGTATGTTCGCCGTTGTCCAAGTGCGCAAGAGCTTCGCTCCAATTGTCCAGAATGAAGTTGGCACAATCAACGTGACCACTGGCCAATGCGTCGCCCAGGAGGTACTTGTTCAACATAAGTTGTAGATCACGAGTTAGCTGGACAGATCTATTAGGAGTGAACACTAACTTGAGCAACTGATCACTGATGTAGTTGAGAAATGATATGTTGCCATTGGTCGCACAGGAATTCAAATAGTAGGAGTGATGATTCTTGTGTGGCAACACGTAGTTGAGCTTGACCAACAGGTCCGTATTGGCATATGTGGCCATCGCTTGATGGTAGTCAGACGAGTCCAGCACAATGTCATTGCCATACTCCTTTACAAGATACTCGACAACATCGTATCGGTGGTGGGCCAGAGCAAGATGAATAAGCTCGATACATGCGCACTCAAGTAGAGGAGATGTGCAGAGTTGGGTGTAGTACTTGATCAGCTCAATGAGTGAGTCTGACGTCTCCTCCTCAAAGAATGACGAATGGACTGATCTGGCCCTCTGTCCACCATTACCACCTTTATCGAGTAGCTCATCGACCATCCATGCCTTATCCGAGAAGCGTGACATGACAAGTTTGAGTAGTGATAGGTCACGATTGACTGCAAGTGCTGATGAGGCCATGGCAAATGCAATACAACGGCTCAATGACTTTGAGTTGACGGGTATGTTGAGGAGTGTAGAAATCATACGTCGACTCAGAGCTACTCCATTCAAATCCACACGATAGTGAAAGCTCAGAAGTATGTTCTCCATGATTACTCCCATAGTATGTGCTTTTGTCTGTGGCTTTGGATCGTCATTGATGTACTCCTGTATTGCGATGCGCAACTGATCGATGATGTAGTCAGCCAGGTCATGATTGCCACTCATCAGACACTCCATGAATGATCTTCTGATGCTGGCTAGCAGACTGTTTGGTTGGTTGGTTGGTTTGGTTAATCAATCATTCATTCACACATGTTAGAGAGGAACACGTCATACTTGATGGAAGGTCCGTCTTCATAGGGTCGCTCTTTGTGCTCGAGGTCCAATGCACCGAGTAGACATTGACGACCATCAGGGTTGTTGATGTACAGTCTTGCAAAGAAGTCCTTGAACTTGTTGTTGTCACGATGGATGACACATTGCTCCAGTGTGCATATGTCGTGTCCACGAATAGCCTTGATACCCAACACTCGATGCCATATTCCAACGTACTTGAACACCAAGTCACTGGTATACTTATTGCTTATCAATACACTACGTATTACTTTGTCCATGACGTATTTGTATGAGTTATGATCAAACTATTTCGCAAATCAGATCACCAGAGTGATCACGTCCTGATTGGGAATTCGAAACAAAAAGATACACAGATTGGATGGATGGATGTACAAGGTCTCGATCAACATGTATGTTTATTGATAAAGTATATGAGTATAAATAGGTGGCTAGACAACTGGACCCGACCTGGAAGGGGCGGGATTGATGGTAGCGCGCCTGGCCACTCAATCAATTCAAGCACTTCCAATGATGTCCAGTTGCTCAAGTGAGCTCTTGATGTGCGGCAGCATGGCTGCAATGAGTATCGTTGGTATTGGTACATAGCCTTGAGATTGGAAGCACTTGATGGGTGGCTCCGTCTTGCTGCCTAGGACCACAGCCGTCAGCATGTTGTTGGCGTACTTCCAGTCGGCGTACACAGTTGTGGGGAATGGCTTGCGGGACACTGACAGTTTCTTGGCCGACAGAGTGCTCTGTAGTGCGCCCTTGGCACTGTTGGGCTGGTAGAAGACGAACGATTGGTTGACCGCGTCCCAGTCGAAGCGGATCCTGTAGTCGGTCTTGGCGTGCGACCAGATCCATGTGCGGTTGTTCCACAGCACCTGGCCGTACTTCTTGTGTACAAAGACGCCCTCGCCAAAGCGCCACTCGTCGATCTCACCACTGCTGCCTAGCTTGCTGTCGCTCCTGGCGTCGTCACCAGAGGGCCCGCAGTAGAGCGTGTTGCGCATGTAGAACCAAGAGTTGAGTGCGGCGGCTTCGGCGTCGAGCGCCAGATCGGCGCTGGGCTCGATCTTGCCGGGTGTCGTGTCGGTGTTGTTGAAGGAGATCGAGTGGCGCGACGGCGCCTTGCTGTATATCTGCACATATTGTTGGAAGATCTGCTTCTCCTCGAGGAACTTGTCGACGTGCTTGACGCTCTTGTGACACTCGCGCATGAACAGGTTGTAGCTATCCACCAGGATGGCCATGTTGCGCACGTGTTGGATAATGTCGTCGTAGTCCTCGCGGAAGTGTCTCGTCTCCTCGTACGTGTGTATCTCGCTGGCCGTCTTCTTAATAAAGTCCACCCAGTTGTCGAGCACCAGCTCCTCGCACCTGATCATCGAGAGGCGCGGGCCGTCCGAGCTGACGAACCAATCAATATAGTTCTTTGTCTCGCCGTGGCAGTGCTCTGAGAACTGCTCCAACTTCATCAGCCACGGTTCCCAAGCATCATATGCATCATTATAGTCCTTCATCTCCACTATCCACTTTGTAGCAACGTCTGGCTTTACCCTGTCCGGCAGTTTCACTAAAGTGAGCGAAAGTCGTGTAAGTCAGTGGGCGCGAGCTAGATGACCGTTGCGCGAGACATACTTGTCTTGGGCAGTTGTGTTGTGATGGTGCTAAAGTGCTCAGCAATGTTGCCCAGGGAGTCTTGTGTAATTTGGTTGAGTGACTTGATGCGCGGCCTGATCAACTGCAGGAACTGCTCGATTGTGCGCTCATCCTTGCCGCGTATGTTGTAGGTGCGCCCCGATTTGGAAGCGATTTGGAAGGTGAGTGGCTGTGTCTTAAAGATGGCTTTGGTCTCCTCGAGGATACAATCGCCCAAGTTGATATATCCTTGTGGCTCCTGGTTGTCGTCGGGGCGACCATCCAACTTGCCAGGCTTATAATAAAGGATGTAATTGCGATGCAGCACAAAGTATCTGTCCAAGTAACCCTTTCCATTGCTACCTGTCTTCTTCATAAGTATAGCGAATGAACTATCATTCTTTATCCTGCTGAATATGAACCATTTCTGATTTGAGTGAGTGAGTTAGTGTGTTTCCGCGTGTGTTTCCGTGTGTTTCCGAGTGTTTCCGTGCGGAAACACACTGGCGTGGTCGATAACCTACCAACAGTTCTTTCTTCCTCTCTGACTTGATCATTGCCATATCTGAGATTTATATATGTTACAACTTTGTTATAAATAAGGTCTATATATTATGTTATTACAATCTATTATTGTTCGTGTATTACTATGCAGCCTGTCTCGAGACTGCTGTTGATTCTATTGCTGTTGCTAATGCTGTTGCTAATGCTAATCGATGATCGAATTGAGTTTGGTCGTGTCAGTAACTTTTTTCTCCTATGTACAATATCTAACAAACTAACTATCTAACTGCTACTACTTCTACAACTACTACAACTAATGCAACAATCAATCAATCAAACAACACTAACAGTCCAGTCCAGCAGTCCTTCTTTAGAGCCAAGGGTGGCAACAAAGCGTGCGTGAGTTTGACACAGACACATGCAACAAACACACACACTTAAACAATCAAACAAACAAACCATCAATCAACCAAACACCCTTCACCCGTCTCTTGCTCACTCCATCAATCAAACACACACTCGATCACAATCACTTATCCTAACCCACCACACACACGATCAACCAAACACACCGCCACTTTTAAAACAGCTTCTGTTTGAGTGTGTGTGTTTTAAGGTGATGGTCGGTGAGTGATTGAGTGTGGGCTTGGCAGGGACGCGGGGTGAGGAGGTGGTGTGTTTGGTTGATCCGCTGATAGTGAGTGAGTGAGTGACGGTGAGTGATGATGATGAAGGTTACGATTTCATATGATTAGTTAGTTAGGTTAAGTATAAGTGTGATTCAGAATTAGAAGAGTAGTGAGTGTGTGTGTTTGAGTGGGAGGATGGAGTTGGTGTTGGCTTAGGGTGGTTGGACTGGATTGAAATGGACTGGAATGGACTGGATTGGCAAGCTGGATAGAACCCAGATAAATATATATATATATATACACAAATATACACTAACTATATAGTGGTGTGTACACCTCATCAATTCAATGATGTTACCCAGGGCCGATGGATAGTTGGGTCGGCGGATGGTAGTAGGTGGTGGTGGTAGTTGGTGTTATGGTAAGTAAGTAAGTGGTGGGTGTGTGTGTGATAGGTTGGGGCGGACCGAGTCAAGTGTACTTGGTGTAAGTCGTTATAAATGGAGACTTAGAACTGAATTGAAGTTGAGATGGAAGTGAAGAGATGGTGACCGTGACTGTGGCTGTGACTGTGACTGGTGTTGATTGTTGTTGTGTATGTATGTGTATATGTATATGAGTGAATGTGTAAGTGTTGAACTGGCAGTTCAGTTGATATATATCCGCCTCAATGGCGAAAGGAGCAGCCAAAGAATGTCACTGTTTGAAAATGGTTTGATTGATTGATTGATTGTTTGTGTTTGTTTGATGATGCAGCCAACTAAACAACCACAACGACAACAGCAACAACAACAATAATAACAATGCTTTGTTTGTTGACATTGTCTGATTGAGGGGATGGAGGGTAGTTGGTTTGTGATGTTACCGCTATGTCCTGTCCTGTCCTGACCCAAACATGACATGTCAATTCAAACACACCTCCACCAAGTCAATAAGTGGATGTTATTACATCATCATCAACCTTCCTTCCTTCCTTCCTTCCTTCCTTCCACACTTCTATCTGTCAACAACAACAACAACCTGTAGTAGTAGTAGTAGTAGTAGTAGTGCAGTGTAGTAGACACACCAACTGCCCATGGGCAGTCATTGTTGTCATTACATTCATTCATACCTTTGGTTGGTTTGGCAGAGGGATGCCAATAATCTGTTTGTTTGGATGTGAATGTGAATGATTGTATAGAAGATATTATAATCTATGTTGTTTGTTAATGTGTAAGGTTAATCAAGTTAATGAGTTAACAACGCAAAGTTTGTTGAGGGATAATGAATGAATGAATGATGAATAGATACATGGTCTCGAGGACGCACTTTTAGATTGAACGCCAAAAATGTCTGCAAAAAAATCATTCAAAAAAGAGGACCACACAACCTAAAATAGCACTTTTTGGGAGATACTTACGATAACACAACACAAGTGAACCAATCTTTGAAAGTGACCAACACATCATTATGTTACTCGAACTCCGACCAAACGGAGGTGTCGTCTACCAACTTCAACTTGGAAGACATGGGATGGGGAAGACAAGTTGTTCCATGAATGATGATCATGAAGTGAACCACCTTCCATGTCCAGTCGAGTCCAGTCCGAACAAGTCAATGCCACTAGAGTTGATGTGATTGGATATGCTCAAACACAATGATCGTTTGTTTATAGTACATGTACCCCCGTTTAAGATGGGAGAATTATGAATGATGATCATCATGGTCATAGACAATCATATTAGTTCCAACTGATGGTGTTCCATGTTGATGATGAACTGGTCTGCTTGAAATCCAGATCATTGAACACTCTGTCCGAGTGAGTGATCACATCGAATGCCTCTCCCATTGTCTCATAAAGCGACTCTAACTTCTTGTCTGTGTCGGTCAGGTTATCATCACCATCTGATGATGCTGTTGATGTTGATAATGATGATGAAGTGATGGGTCAGTGCACTGCATGTGTGTTGAGTATGATCATTCATCCAAACAGACACATACCTCTCACTGAGATGGTTATCTTGAGCTGAACGGACGATGACTTTAGCTTGCTAACATGCTCCAAGAACTTGAGTTTGGCCTTGCCATCGGGCATGCCAGTGCTGAATGCGTTGACGTCGTTGTTCATCGCAGAGAGCAGATCGCACATCGTTCGGATGTTGATGATCATTGCCGAGCGGGAAAGAGTGTTGAGCGACGCCGTCAGCTCCGTCCACGACTTGGCCACCTTTTGCAGCTGGCCCACCAACTTTGTCTTGGAGGTGCTCTGCGTGAAGGGGATGACCAGTGGAGACATCGTACTGTTATCATCCTCCTCCTCGGCTACATTATTCTCAATGCAATAGCCCAAGTCCTCTACGACCTTGTCTGTGATGGCTTTAAGTCTATCGAGTATTGCTGCTGCGAATGGCTTGGCTGGAGTGGACATGATTGATTGATGGATGATATATATATAAGCTTTATATGTTGTTACAAGTAAGTATGAAGATAACAAGTGATTGATTCAACTTTGACATAGTGATCACGAGTCTAAATTTGGACTTCAATGTGGGTTCACCCACCATCACTTGTTGTACACACAAACTTTATGATCAGTTTGATATTTGAATGAATACGATAATGAAGAGATAATAATAAGTATATATATATAGACTATGATGATTGTCCCCAGGGAATCAAAATGTGTTCTGAACATCACTTTACTTCCATGGAAGACACTAATGATCCTACAATATAGACCTGCCCCTGGTCATTGAATATGATGGCCTTTGGTTAACAAAGAGACGTCTTTTGGCCGCCTCGACCCATCAAGATGTGTAGATGATGTCAATGACATGAACAACGAACGGTCCTTTTACCAGGATATCCTGGTCAACTCAAAGTGTTTAGTGTATTACTACTTTAATCAACACACATACTGAAGTGTTCAATTCTGATGTAACCAGGACAAGAGTAGATTTTGATCAAAAAGGAATGGAACGCCCCATGTTCCTTCGGAAAGTGTCAAAGACTCAAAGTCTTTTTGGGGGTGCCAGCCCACCCGATGTGCCCATTCTCCTGGACTCACCAAGGTTTGTCCGAGTTGCTCATCCAAAGTGCTTAGATAATTATCCAGACATGTCTGTCCACAAATGTAGCCCTCCACAAGTTATGTTTGGCTATGATCGATATCTATTTATACTTAATGATCACAACTCATATTGAATCACTCAATACAAGCATAAATACCTAACTATCACATCAATAACAAATAAGTTAACTCTTACTCTTTTCTTCCAATCCTCCACTTTAATTTATACCAATCAATAATGTCTGACGCCAAGTTCTTCCATACTCCATACTTTGTTTCTTCAGTCGTTGCTCATGCTATCTATGAGCTCGGCATTGAGGACAAGGTCGAGGTAGTCACAATGGGCTTCCAAGATATGAAGGGAGAGTTCCACTTGAAGAAGCATCCACAGGGCAAGATCCCATTCTACACAGAGGGCGACTTCACCCTGATCGAGTCGTCGGCAATCCTCCTGTACATCCTCGAGAAGTACGACACCGAGAAGAAGTTGACCAACTTTGTCGACATCCACCAGCGGGGCAAGTTCTACCAGTTCCTGCTCAACTGCCCAACTCAGATCTATCCCAACTTTGTCCAGCTGTATGCCCACCGAGTGCTGTTCCCAGCTGGCCATCCCGCCCGCAGTGAGGGCACCATCACCTCCAGCGTCGAAACCTGGCACTTGGAGATCGCGCCATTCGTCGTCGCCCAACTGGGCAGCCAGCAGTACATCCTCGGCGAAGAGTTCACCGCTGCCGACTGTCTGGTCGGCTACAACGTGCTCATGGGCGAGTTGTTGGGTGAGATCAGTGAGTACCCAACACTCGTTGCCTATCTCGAGCGTCTTAGAGCTCGTCCAGCCTTTGCCAAGTGTTTCACCGAGGAGAACAAGCAATACCTGCCAACTCTTGAGCGTTATGCCGATTCCCTCCAACGCAAGGGTGTTCACATGGCTGAGCTGCGCGCTGCCAGAGCTGAGCGTCTTGAGGCTGCCAAGCAGACTACTCATGCTTAAGTTATATATATCTCTCTCGAGATACACAATAAATATGTCAACTTGTTTATTTATACATGTAATTATCTGTCATAGGTCTATTCAATTGACGAAATTTGAACATAAAGTGTCAACTTATCTCCCACACTTCATTCATTCGCGCGATCACATATCTTCAAAACAAGATACATGTACACATTGTTGTAAACTTATAACATATACATACTTATATATATACATACACAGATGAGTGACAGTAAACCAGTCACTTTTGTCAATATAGTTGGATCATCTCCACCTCCTACAACATCAACAACAACATCATCAATCAGTTTCTCATTCGGTGGCGGTAACAACAATGGACCATTAGGATTGGCAAACAAGAAGAGGAAGGAGCCAGAGACTTCATCTACAACAACGTCAAAAGACAACTTTATACTTTCACTCGAGGGAACAAAGATCACTTCATCAATACCAGAACAACCAGCAGTTGCTCCAAAGGTCATCCCTCTTTCACAACAACGACATATCAACTCCAATGATGATAACAATGTAGTCTCGAACAATATACAAACAGAACAACAAGATGCACAAGATGAACAAGACAAGAACAAAAGACTGAAACAGGAAAAGGATATTGAGGTTGACAGTGATACATCAATGCCACCAAGCGATGTTGGTCATATTGTTGAGAAGTTCAATCCAAAGCAACATGGACTACAGGTCAAAGAGAAGAGACAATCGATCAAACCAGTCACTGGCTCGGGTACAAACACCGCCGCCACTCAAGTCAGACCTTTGATCGATAAGTTGGACGGACTCGAGAACTACAAGGACGAGAATGAGAAGTTCAAGTATGATATGAACTCTCGGCCAGACCAGGCCGACATTGACGACTATGAAGAGACGCCTATCGAGGTGTTTGGAGAGGCTATGCTCAGGGGCATGGGCTGGGCGCCAGGCAAGGGTATCGGACTCAGCAGCAAGAGCGATGTGGAACCAATCAAGTTTGTAAAGCGCGCTGGATACAGGCTTGGACTCGGTGCCAAACCAGCAGATGTGAGCGATAAAGACAAAAAGTACTTAGTTGCGCCAACAGGCGAAGACGGACGAGTGCGTCATACCATTGGCTTGGACACCAAGCTGGTGTCAATGAAGTATGGACTGGACGTTGGTGACAAGGTACTCGTGGTGGCTGGTACACACGAGGGAATGTACGCAATCGTCAATTCAATACCGAATGAATCCAAGGTGGTCATCAGCTTTGCATCAGAGGAGAAGGCGGTCGTCGACAAGTCCGATCTTCAAATCGTTGAGCATGGCAAGGCTACAAACGCAACATCCTCAAGCAAAGCGAATGGAAATGGAAAGTCAAGCAGCAATGGCAGCAATAGTGGTAGCAGCAGTAGCAGTAGCAAACAACCAATCAAGACTATTGTATCAAACAATGACAATGATAATGAAGAAGAGACATGGCTAAGAAGTAACATCATGGTCAAGATCGTCAGTAAGAGCTTGGGAGATGGAAAGTACTACAACAAGAAGGCAACAGTGGTCGATGTCACTGGTGAGCGACTATGTGTGTTGGAGCTTGACGGCGGCAAGGTGTTGGAGAACGTCAAGCAGCGATGGCTAGAGACAGCCATCCCACGAGACAAGGGTTCATCCGTGATCATCGTCCAGGGCAAGTACCGCGGACGACTTGGCACATTGATAGAGCGATCACAGAGTAGCAGTAGCAAGAAAGAGGTGGCCATCATCCAGATGGTTGGCGACTTATCCGTACGAGAGTTTGACCTGGACGATATCTGTCAGTATGTTGGAAGCAAGGATATGGAGTACCTGTAATGATAGGAATGAATGAATGTCCGCGGACTTGTATACATGTAGCCCCACAAGGCTTTATTATTATTATTATTATTGGATCCACTGGATACCCATGAGACTCATCGAGATCAGAGGAGCATTGATTTGCTGGGCAGTAAAGTAGTTGGTGCCATTAGTGTAGCCGTCGAGGAAGTTGCCCATTGGAATGGTGTTGACTGTAGGGTTGAGGTGATAGCGCGTCAGGTCAAAGTTGCCACTGATGGTCACTGATGAGAACATTGTCTCGCTGTCAAACACCATGTACTGGCAGCCCTCCAATGTGTTGTTGAGACACTTTGTCAGGTAGCATATCTGAAGGTTGAAGTAGTCTGCAAACTCTTGGTTGTAGCTGATCAGTGCGAACAGTTCGCCAGTGGGCTGCTCACTCATTTGGTAGCTGAGTGTGCACTCCAGACCGTTGTTGCTGGCGACGACTACACCCTGCTCAGTTGGCTCTGGTGTGAATGGTACAACAGTGGAGCCGTTCAGTCCTTGTGGTGGGAGATCGCCAAGGGGCATTGGTGTGTGTCGGCGACGGTGCTCGTTGGCTGGCACGGGATCGACTGGCAGACGGGCAATCAGTAGCTTGGTACCTGGCACCATTGTTGGATTGACTGTTGAGGCCAAGACATTGCCGCTAGTGTACAAGCCAGATCCACTGGTGAAGAAGTTCTCGCCAATGTTGGCCGCCAAAAGGTTGGCACTGTTGAGGTAGGACCACGACTGCTGCATCTGTCTGGCGTACAGGTAGTTGCCATTGTCCCAGGCCGAAGCGTACGACAGATGCTTGATGCCCTTCTCCAACAGCATTGTCTGTGGCTGTTCATACATGATGTCGAAGCAAATCATCATTCCAAACGTGACGCCAAACGATGTCTCAAAGGTGATGGCTTCAGGAGCGGCAGCATCAAAGTAGGAAGATTCGCCAAAAAGGTGAGTCTTGTGATATCTGGCCAACAACTGACCACCAGCTGAGAATGACACCAAAGTATTATACTGGAATCGACCATCTGATGGGCAATCTGGAGTGGTCTCATTAGTGCATGGCTGGACATCTCCCATATCAGCAACAACGTATATCTTGTTCTTAATTGCCATGCAGCTGAGAGTCTGCAGCACAACTCGATCATCAAAGTCGGAGTCACCACATGGGATGATCTAAGAGTGGTCGGACGTTCAGTTTCAGTGAGTGTGCCGTCGAGCGAGTGTGTCGTCCGAGTACTTACTGGGAATAAAGATTGAGTAGGATCGGGAATGTTCTCAAGGTATGGGTAGACGGTGTCGCGTGTGTCAAAGTTGACGCCAAGGATGCCGTATTCGGGGAAGATGATGATCTGCGCGCCAGCAGTGGCAGCCTCCTGAGCATATAGTTGGTAGATATCAAGGTTAAGCGTCATATAGGTGATGGCATTGGCCGAAGGATCACCACCGGTGAAGTTATAATTAACAGGTGCATACTCTAATACTGCACCAACATAATGATCATAGTCATTACGATTTCTTCTATAATGTGTACCTGTTGATACATCTACATTATAGATGCACATCATCAGTAACACAAGTATAACTGTTCTATACATTATTATATGTTTGATTGATTGTATGATTGTATGTGATTGATTGATTGATTGAATGATTGAATGAATGAATGAATGGTGTTAACAGTACAGTAACCCATGGTTATTTATAGTTGTTGTAGACCCGAGCATTAGGGATAATATCCATTACGCGTTGGCATTGGCTATTATACCGAGCATGGATGTATGTACATCTCTGACTATCTTTGTTAACTAGGTTAAGGATGCCCGGTATTGGGTTGGATTGATCAGGTCTTTAGTTTGAAGAGGGTGATGTTCAGACCATTGTATTAATGACGTTCAGTTGAAAGACACTTCTATTCGTCATTTGATGTCATTGTCTCTACAAATAAACCTTAATGTCCAAGAGACATGCGCAAGATTGCCCACCTAAAATCCAAAACAGCACCAGTTATCCAGGACACTCGGGTCTGTCTCTTTGTTGTGTGTGTTTAGAAGAGTGTGTTATGTTTGTATGTTGTGTTTGAAAGTCAGACTTTCAATCTTCAATCAATTATCTCTATGTTGTCATTCTGATGAATGAATGATTGGATAGTGATAAGAATATATATATATACTTTCTGTTGATTGATAGGTGAATGAACAGATATATAAGATATAAGAAATAAGGTTATAAATAGACACAGATTTGTGTAACAAGCTAACCGGTAATATATCTTTAAAATATACAAATATATTAAGTTTATGTTAGGTGACCTGAGATAATGCAATTGCAATGATGGGCAGAAGGAGGCCCTTGACCCATTAAAGAATAAGATAGATACTCTACAAGACAAGACAGATATTATTTATCTTGATGGACAAGTTGTTTGAGACGGTGTTGAAAAAGGTGTTAGAGAAAGACTCGTGCGGCAGCCTTTACCTCGCACTTTTTGGGGGGTTTCGCACTTTCACACAACAACCTGAAGGGATTCTTGATTGATTGAATCATTCTATCAATCAATCAATTCATGTATTAGAGATAACATATTATATATATATATAAACAACAAATAGTTCAATATGCTAATATTATAATAGCATAACATATTCACAATCACAATCACATAATTACACAACATTTACAACATATATATTTTGGATAGAATCAATAACAATGTCGACTATAGATGGTTCATATTGGTTGGTTAGATTGACTATTATGGTCTATATTATACTCTTTACTTTGACATCATCATACTCATTGGTCAATGCCAATAAATACCTATGTAACGTCGACTCTACAACAAAGACTCCCTGTCCTCCCTTCTCATCATCAACAAACAATATCAACAACAAGTATGTATAATGATTGAACAAATGAATGACAATCCATACTCATTCAATCATACAATCAATCAAACGAACGAATGAACACAAACTTTAGCATCACATGTACATATATCAAAGAATGCATTAATGCTACGACAGGCTTGTCATTGGATTCGAATGACGTACTCAATATCAACTTAATTGATGATCATTATAGCGGCGAAGAGAACTGCGATCTGTCCTTTGACATACCATCACAGGTGATCATTGCGCCGTTCGTGGTCGGTGACACATCTGTAATCGACTGCCAAGGCTACGACTCGTTCATCTCACGCGTCCAATCAACCACGCTGCTCAACGGACTGAACATCAGCAATGCAGTGGACTCGTGCGTCAACGTGCCCATGAACTCATTCACGTTCACGCTGATCGTCACCTACTGCTCGTTCACAAACTGCTCGGGCGAGAATGGTGGCGCCATCTCCATCACCTACCCCAACTCGCTCAACGTCATGTCGTCGCACTTTACTCGCAACACGGCCAAGCAGGAAGGTGGAGCGATCTATGCCGACTCCACCGTCATCAAGCAGTCGACTTTCCAGCTGAACCACGCACAGCGTGGCGGGGCCGTCTTCTCGCCAGTCTACACCAACAGCGAGCTGACGGTGCGCAGCTCAATGTTCGCGTCAAACATCGCATCGGACGGTGCCGCAATCTACTCGACCGAGTTTGACACGTATGGCACATTCTTCCACGATAACTTTGCCAATGGCTACGGCGGTGCCATCTACTGTCGCACGATCGCCGCCGCCGGTTGCACATTCTCGATGAACTCGGCAACACTGTCGGGTGGAGCAATTGCACTGATCGACGCCTTCCGCGCCAACATCCTGTCCGACACAGAGATATACAACAACACGGCGTACGTCAGCGGTGGCGCCATATACATCGACTCGCCCTCCAACAAGTCGACGCTCGGCATGGCATCTAGCAAAGTATACAACAACATGGCGCTGGCAGAGGGTGGCGGCGGCGCCTTCCTCAATCACACATACAACGGCTACCTGATTGGCGGCAGCTTCTTTGACAACACCTCGCCTCTGGACAAGGCCAGCGAGATTGGATGCGACGCCAGCAGCGAATCATTCAGTTGCAACTTTTGCAAGGTGGCCAACTGCTCACAGTGCACGGCCGATGGGCTCGAGGGCATATGTCTGCCCGATCCCGATACTGCCATCGAAGGCTCTGGCTCTGGCTCTGGCGTAGACACAGGCTACCTGTGCATGATCTCAACACATCGATGTGTGTATGGAATGTGCCACGTGGACAGCGACACCAACAACTATTCATGCGAGTGCGACTCTGGCTGGACGGGTCAGAGCTGCGACGTCACGCCCACGCAATCTCCCACGCCCAAGCCCACCAAGAGGCCAGGTCACTCGACCAGTACCAAAGTTCTGGACATCCTTTTGCCAATATTCTTTGGCATACTCCTCATTCTCTTTGTCGTTACACTATATATAATGATCAAGAAGAAGAAACACAGTGGATACAGTGATCTACTTGGATAATCATTCATTCCTTCATTCATTCATTCATTCAAGGCGGGATGGGGATGGTCTGATCTGGTCTGGATGGTCATCCTATCAACCCAATAAATTATTGCCCTGCTGGGCACAATCGACACGCAAACAATTCCAGTGATCAAACTTTAGAATGTCCATCACACCCCTTTTGATCGCACTAACCCCACCTTGGAAGGGTTGTGTTGTCGGTTCAAAATTATTATTGGGGATGTGCTCTGCTGGTCATCACGATCAAAGGAATGGCGTGCACTCAATCAATCCATTATCCAAACACAATAGTATGTAGTTGTTATTGTTATAAAACTAACTTTAGAAAGAAATATTCAATCAATCAATCAATCAAACCAACATATCATATGATGGTGACACATGCTTCCTCCATGGTATCATTAGTTGTTACATTATTATTATTGGTATCAATAACAATTATTATTCCATCGACTTATGCTCAATCGGAGTCGGATAATATCATCACTTGTTATGTCTCATCATCATTATCAAACACATCTGATTGTCAAGTACTATCAGCACCAACAACATCAACATCATCAATGATATTATGTCCTACATTGAAATCATGTTGGTATTGGTCCGAACGACAAACCATTCCACAAATTGTTGTTGATCGACAAGTGATCATCAAGGTTCACCCTGGTACTCATTCATGTGGAATTGGTACAACATTGTTTGATCACAGTCTCATTAGTATCTCAGCTGTCGATCCACTCAATCCTCCAATATTCAATTGTAACGTAAGTTCGTTCAATCAATTCTGGAATCATTCCAGTCACTCACATCACTCAATCAATCAATCAATCAATCAATCTAGTATTCATCATTCATTGACTTTATGTTGAACCCTCAATCCCAATATCCAAATGATACTCAAAGGAACATCACATTGGACTCGTTGACCATCAATGGAAGTTATCTTATGGCCTCCAATTTGATATCAGTGATTGGAATGAAGACGATGAAGTGTAACTTTGTAATGAATAATGTATTGGTCAGTGGCTTCACCGGACAGCCAATGAACTATCAAGCGTCAACAGGTGTCTACACCAAGGACTTCAATGTGACCATGATCAACACAACCATCTCACAAGTCAGTGGAAGTCAAGGTGCAGTATTATTGGACACACCCAAGCGTGTATTGATTGATGGTTGTCAGTTTATCAATAATCCAGGATCATTCTCTGCCTCTGCCATCAGTATACAAGGTTCACAATATTGGTATGAGAGCAACTTGGCACATATAAGGATAAACAACAGTACATTCAATGGCAACTCACATGGATCAGTGATGAAGATCAGCCGATTCCAGAACCTTGATGTCATCAACTGTACCTTTAAAGACAATGACAATCTAAACGTTGTTTGGACAGAGTCTGGAGCATACTTAGTATTCAACGACACTATAATCACAAACAACCGACTGAATGGATCGGTCATCATATCAACCCGTGGTTATCACTCACTCAACCGATGCAATCTCACCAACAACCTGGTATCCAGTGATGGAGTAATTGTAAGTCCATTCTATGACTCAATTGATTGATGATGAACGTTTGACTAATATGTACATGTATATATCTGTAGAACCTTAAGAAAGCATTGTTGGTTGAGCTTAACTTAAAGGAAACGAGGTTCTTGAACAACACATATTACTTGAGAGACAACGAACAAGTACTAGGCTTGGACATCAACTTCAACTCTGGCTTTAAAATCAATGGTGGATACTTCCAAGATATCAGAGAGTACGTAATACCCTCACAACCATCGCTCACTCGCTCATTCACTCACTCACTGACATCCATCAATCAATCAATCAACCAAACGTTGTAGACCATTGTTATCTGGATTCCCAGAGTATATTTATGATGTTGATAATACTAATGTGACCTATCATAATGATCCAAGTGATTGTCCTTGGGACCAACAGTCATTATATAGAGGTGAGCAGTTGGGATGGCAATGTGTAAAGATATGGTTCAATTCTGTAAAGTATCATGAGAGCAGTAGTGATGATCAATGGTATGATGACGATAGTGATTATGGATATCATAGCACAATGAAACGAGCTATTCTTATTGGTACCATTGGATCAGTACTAGTTGGGGTGACATTCATCGCCTCATGTGGAGTGCTCATCAGAGAGATGAAGAAGAAGGTGGAGTTAAAGCAGGATTAAACTTTAATTTAATTAATTAAACCAATGAACTTTGATCATTCATTCATTCATTTATTCATTTAACTTTGTTAGTTATATTAATTCAATGATACAACCAGGTGATGTAGTATATGGTCTTGATAATTCAAGGTCAAGGACAGGACTTCCAAGCAACTCGTTTGGAGGCTTCCCAACTCCTTATGTGATGTTGGATAGCGGATGCAACTCTCATCTATTGGCGATACCAATTGGATCTTTATCATTATTATTGGAGAAGTTCCCTACTACATCACCAAATGCAGATGGAGAGCTATACACATACACCATCACAGCTGGAAGTGAATATGATTCAGTACATTCACCAACTCTATGCATCTCAAACAATAATGTGAATGGCTTTGTAGTCAGACTTTGTTGGGACTTGTACCCTTTTGAATTCATTCTCAGAGATAATCTATACTTCACTCTATGCTGTTGGTCTACTTGAAGCTCACAATAGTTTGAACATAGTAATGAGTAACCCTCTAATATTGAGAAGTTATATAGATGTAGTTGATACAATTAGTATTCAACATCCTGGTATTATAGTTACAACTCGTAAGAGACATTCACTACTTGGAAGATCACTCATTCGTAATGGTAGAAAGATGTACTATTCAAATGAATTGACTATTATATCTACAAATGATGATCGTCTACGTCCTACACCGAAAGATATAGCAAGCATTGTATCCAACTGTACCTCTCATTTAACAAACAATCTAATATTTGATCAATTTAATCAACTTGATGATGACTACAAGTACGAAGTGCCAGTGAACACCGAGGCTTTGGATTCATGAACCCATTAATTGATTGAATGACCACCTGGCAACATCACGTTTGACTTTTGACAGTTCAAACTCATGAATTACTATTCTTGGGATTCAAAGACTCAACACACACACGCAACCATAAACCCATCCAACTCAAGCTCCAAACATTGTTAATAAATAAAAATTATTTTATTCCCATCTCCATCATAATAATACTAAACCAAACAAATAATAATAATAACAATAATGAAATATTTATTTATAACTCTATTCCTGGTTGTTATGGTAGCCAACGCACAAGATGGTGAACTATCAACTACATGTTATGTCTCATCAGGGAATGAGTGGAATGCCAGTTGTATCCAAACAACAGTATCTAGTGTTCCAATTAATCTATGTCCATCAATATCATCATGTTGGGATTGGATGATGAAGCAATATCTACAATTGGAAACCTTTGATCAACAAGTCAATATCAAGGTCTATCCTGGCCTACATACTTGTGACCAAACCATCATCTACCTCACCCACTACAGTTCAGTGACTATCTCTTCATCAGATCCTATTGATCCCCCAACCTTCCAATGCTACGTATGTCACACCTCATTTCAGGAATCATTCCACTCACTAATCAATCAATCATTCACATCAAATAGAACACTTCATCATTCCTAAGTGTGACAGTTGGTAGTCACTTGATATCAAGGGAGGTGTATTATCATGATATTTTTATTGATGGCATAACGATCACGGGTCCGAATCAAGATGTTGTACACAGTCTGATGTCTTTCAAAGGAAACAGGCACTTTAGATGTGCCGTTGTTATGAACAATGTTCATCTAAGTGACTTCTTCACATCAGTTGAGCCCCTCATCAACATTGTCGACTTCAACGTCTCCCTGTCCGGCTCGAAATTCAACAACTCAGTCACTGATAATGGTACCATCTTCATTAACAACGCATGGAAGGTATTTATTGACAACTGTACATTCTCATCAAACTCTGGTGAGAGGGGAGCTTCAGCCCTGAATGTTCAAGGTATGCCAGCCCTCGATGATAGTCTTATTGTTGTCAAGAATTCAACATTCGAGGACAATAAGTACAAACCTGCTGTAAACTTGGTGTATATGATGAAATCTATATTCTTTGGATGCAAGTTCAATGGTAACTTTGGATACAAAGGTGGTGCAGTATCAATATCTGGCAATGACAATGATCACACTGAATTCAACAATACAATATTCAACAACAATTGGGCTGTGAATGGATCCGCCATATACACAGGTTATACCGGTGTCCTTTCACTCAATTATTGTAACATAACCAACAACAGGGTTAGCAATATCGGTGTCATTGTAAGTCCTCGATCGATCAACCAGTTGGTATAATTCAAACACATCATATTAACTCTTAATTAATTTTTGATATTTATTTAGTACATTGAAAAGAACGATGATATCATGAATTTGTTAATGATAGACACTTGGTTCAACAACAACACTGCCTTAGGAATGGAATCTCCACCTGGAAAGGCTAGAGGTCTGGACATATATTTCCCTGCCAACAGAATAACAATCACTGGTGGATACTTCAATGATATCAGAATGTATGTACCATACCTATTCCCATATCATCAAACAATCAATCATTCAATCATACTAATTAATTAATATATTCATTAATTATTTAGACCTCTCTTTTCAGGATTCCCATCATGGAGTTTCTCATCTGACGATGGAACTAATCATCTTTCTCCAAGTGATTGTAGACCTGAGGAACAATCATTGTATAGGGGTACACTAGGTTGGTCATGTTTCAAGGTTGAGTACAATCCAAATACGATCAACACCAATGGTGATACTTCAATCTCTGATGACTACTCTTATTCGAGAGATGACGATTCCAACAGACAATGGTCAGGCCCCTCAAGAGACCTTTTGCCAATCCTCAGTCCAGTTATCTTAATTATAACATTCTTGATTTCTTGGATCTTCATCATTCATGAATGGAACAGACCCAATATTGAGTGATCAAGTCCTGTCATGGCCCAAACCCTCGCCTTCGCCCTCACCCTATCCCCACCAAGAGTTGTTGAACTTCTTCAAACTTCAAATTTCATTTCATTCATTCATCTCTCAAACACAAATACAAATAACATAGAGATAATATAATAAAGACATGGATATGAATAATCTAAGTGCAGCGGATATGGAGCTCATTCAGAAGGAGATTGAGAGGATGAACATTAGCCCTGAACATATGGAATAGATGATGAGGGACAGGGTATGATGGGTTCATTCCAGCCAAGTTACAGAGACAACATCAGGAAGTTCTTGGCATCACCTGTCAACGGCCCAACGCCCTTGCCAAAAGAGACACCTCAACAACAATACAACAACCTAGAGCAGGTTATTAAACGTGTGGAGCAACTTAAGAAGCTGGGCAATGATGCTTTTGCCAAGGAGGATCATCACTTTGCCGTGTCCTACTACAAGTTGGCACTTGAATGTTGTGATCAACACATGATCACACTGGCTGGCTCTGGAGCAGACTTCACATCGTTGACCAAGACTGCATCGCTCATTGCCAGCAACCTCTCACTGACTCTGACCAAGCAGGACCATATACTAGACTCACTTCAATATGCTACAAAGGCTATTGACTATGACAAGAGCAATGCCAAGGCGTGCACTAAAGAACTTGGAGGGTAAGGCCACCAGAGAGAACACACCAGCCAGATGGCGAAGCGATGGCGCGCCATTCATATACAATTCATTGGACGATTTGGAGCATCTACCCTACGTCACCTACAACATTGACGACTTCCAACTCGAGGGCATGACTCGTAACGCCGACTCGATCATCAGTCTGATCGAGAGTGTCAAGGGCCAGGGATACATGACAAAGGTTGGCAGGGACCGCATTCGCGACCTCAACACCATCATCATGGCCAATGTCATTGGTCATGTCGACCCACTCTCAAGATTGCCCGTCGCCCGTGGCCTCTACCCATCGTCATCATTCGTCAATCACTCGTGCCTGTCAAACAGCGTCTGGTTCTACGACAGCTATGGCATGCTCACGTACCGCAGCACCCGTGCGATCAAGGCTGGCGAAGAGATCACGACCACGCACGTAACACTCACCTCGTCCAAGCCAAAGAGGATTAACACCCTGTTGATGCACCGAGGCTACTACTGTCAGTGCAGTCGATGCAGCAGCGACAGCAGCGGCAATCAATGTCCAAAGTGTCGCGAACCATTCAATCACAGCCAACTCAAGATCTGGGAGCCGCAGCCATCAATCGACTTTGATGGCCGCGCGTACCAGTGCAGCAAGGGACACGTGACAATGGCTACACTGTACGATGTGATCGAGGATTGGTCACAGCCTGGCGAGATCATCCGAGCGCCAGAGAACTATGAACACTATACGCGATACTTCCAGAAGGGCAACATGGTGATGTTGAGACACTTGCAGCTGCGATCAATCTATCTGTTGGAGCAGCCGTCTACTATGCCCCAGGTGCCCAAGATGATCGATCAACTGTTCCAATGCTACGATGATGCGTTTGGTGGCAAGTCCAAGGATGTCATGCCACATCACTATGTGGACGACTACCAAACATTGTTCTTGGCATTGCGAGGCATGTCCAAGAGGGATGTCAAGAAGTTACAACAAGTCAAGGAGCAATGTCAACAGATGCTAGAGGTCATAATCAATCTCTCGACACATGTATTCCGCTTTGAGTTTGAGTGTGACTTCAAATGGTGATTATCAAATAAACAACTTTGATTGATTGGATGGAATGATCCCATTAGGGTCCAGAATGATCATTCGGGTGATCTTCTCAAGATTGATCATGAGATATATGATCAGACGAGTGTGAGCACGGGGGTGATCAGACGACTCACCTTAAGAAAAACAAACACAAACAATCAATCTTAGGCTTTACATTCTTAATCGATCAATTAAAGAGATATAAAATGGTCGATATCCAAGCTGACATTGCACAATCATCGAGTGATGGATTGGCGACAAGGTCACGACTGTGTGGCAGTGGTCCAGCGAGCAACAGCGAACAGAACAATGGAGCATTGGGATTGGGATTGGTCGATCGCAAGTTGTTCAAACAGAAGATCAATGGATTGTTGATTGGTCAATTGATATCACTATGTATCTGTGGCACTGGTGTATTCAGTCAGTTGTTATCGATGAACTATAACATCAACATACCAACAGCCCAATCATTGCTCAACTACATTCTGCTATCATTCTACTCGATCATACTTTGGCGTCGTGGTACCCTCTGGCACAGCCTTCGCACCAAGTCCATATTCTTGCTGCCACTGGCATTGTTTGATGTCGAAGCCAACTATGTTGCTGTCAAGGCCTATCAATATACAACGATCACATCAGTCATGTTGCTGGACTGCTTCACCATCCCCTGTGTGGCAGTGCTCACACGTATCTTCCTAAAGACACGTTATACACTCATTCAAATTGTGGCCATTGTCATATCTATGGCTGGTCTAGTGATCTTGGTCATCTCAGACATACTACAAGGTCAAGATGCCAATGGTGGTTCAAACCCATTGCTCGGTGACATGCTAGTACTTGTTGCATCAGTACTCTATGCCATCTCAAATGTCGGACAAGAGTACACAGTCAAGAGTTATGACAATGAGACCTACCTTGCCATCATCGGTATCTACGGTACCATCATATCTTCAATACAACTGTAAGTTGGCTATGTTCAACTCAACATGTTCACTCGACTAACCCTCGACCCTCAACCCTCAACCCTCAACCTTCAACCCTCGCCTCGACCCCAACTCTCGCCCCAACACATAATGACGTTCAGCGCGATATTCGAAAGGAATGAGTTGAGGACCATGGTTTGGAGTGGACCCGTCATTGGATATATTGTTGGATTCGCTATCTGTTTGTTCACAATGTACTCAATCACTCCGTTTATGATGAGGATAGCAGGTGCAACTTTGATGAATCTATCATTGCTCACCTCTGATATCTTTAGTGTGGTTGTGGCTATATTCCTATTCCATCGACGACTGGATTGGCTCTACTTCATGTCATTCTTTGTAATTGTATCAGGTCTGGTCATTTACAACTTATCACAGCCACATCCCAAATCATTATTACTGCCCAATCTGGAGGGTCTGGACAACAACGACGAGTCATCAGCTGCGGAGGACGATGACGAAGGAGAAGATCCACTTATTATATCAACTTATAATGGAACACCACCGCTGTCACATCGCAATGTCCCTGCTGCTATTCTACATTTACAAGACGAAGTTGTAAATAATGTCAATGATGACGAAGATGCCTCCTCCTCATCATCCGACATCCGCACAAATCTGATAGGCAACAAACAACAACAATATCATCAGACTTAGACTTGGGATGGTGACCTTCACTTCACCTTCACGCCATCCAACTTCACTCACTTCGCCTTCCAATCCAATCAATCCAACAACAACAGCACTTGGTTGGAATGATGAAGAGGAGAGTGGAGGCCAACATCCTTACATGTTAGGACTTGGATCCTTGGAATGATCATAGATAATTCCACCTTGGCGACCCTCTGGTCGAATGTTACTGTCGGACACGACGGATATCCAGTTTCCGACTTGGTCTGGCAGACTTCAACACACACTTGGTTAACGAAGTGGCAGGAAGATGAGCTGGACCTCACCCATGGAACCAGCTCCCCGTCAGGAGTTACCAAAACTTCGTTTGAAATTAAAAAAGTGAGTGTTTCAGATCGATCAAAACACACACAAAAAACGAGTGTGGGTGGGAGTGGGTGAATCACTCCGCAATTCACTTCGTTGTCATCTATTGTATTCTCACTCTTGCTAGATGCGGGTGGTTGGTATGTTTGTTTCAGGAGTGAATACATCCAAAGCAGCATGGTAACAGTGGTAATGGATGGTGGAGTGGAGGAGGAGTGCCGGTGGGGAGAAGTGGATGAGTGGAGTGTCCAACGAAGACGCGTCTCTTTAACATCATAGTCAATAACATCACTCCATTAATAATCATTCATTCCACTCCACTCCATTCCTACAATTAGTATATAAAGACATAATAGTCTATTCTAACTTCATTAAATAGGATATCCTACTTATCTACTTTGGTCGACCAAATTCAACTTCATCCTTTATTCATTCATTCATTCATTCATTCGATCATACACACACAATCAATTACTCAATTAATCAAGTCAATCTAATCCAATCAATCATATACAACCCACACATAATAAATCACTTCCATTCTGATCGACCACACTCACACACGAATCGACTTTATCAAGACAACTTACAATCAATCACACTTCCATTCTGATCAATCCAACCCATAATAATACATATTACACATACAGTGATCCAACAGGACTATTTATATATTATTCATTCACCATTCCAAGCGCCAAAGGGAACAAGACGAATAGTTCCACTTCATCATTCATTCATTCCACCATCCAATCAATCAACCAAATATATATAATACCTATTATTTATTATTTATAAATATATACAAACATATAGAGAATGTCCAACTGCACAGAAGAATTAACCAGTTGTATAGCCAACCTTACACTGGTCACTGACCAGCTGGCTGCCCTACAATCATCATATGACGCACTGTTACCAGAGGACGAGTGCGCCGCCGGAACCGATTCAAACTACACCAAACCACTACACATAGCCGCAGTCTTTATCATCCTGGCCGCATCATTCCTGGGCACACTGATCCCCGTGGTCTCTGCCCGTCTCAAGTTCCTCAGCATTCATCCATTCTTTATCATCATTGGCAAGTGCATGGGCATTGGTGTGTTGCTGGCCGTCGCTCTGATACACATGTTGGTTCCAGCCAACGAATCACTGTCATCGCCTTGCATCCCCGTGGGCTGGACCGAGTACCCATACGCCATGCTCTTTGCACTGCTGGGCATCCTCATCCTACAATGCTTCGACTTTGTCATTGGCCAATACATTCAATCACGCGCACTCAAGAAGCGCAGCAAGCAGATGGACAAGCAACAGACCCCCAACGGTGCCACCGACGAGCACTTTGAGATGGGCGTCGATACAACTGGTCATGGACACGGCCACGCCCACGGCGTCGTTCTGTCAAACAAGGACATGAAGACCGTCGAGGCCTATTTGCTCGAGTTTGGCGTCACTGTTCACAGCGTTTTTGTTGGTCTCACTGTTGGCGTCGTCGACGACGGTTCACTCAAGACCCTACTCATTGCCCTCGTTTTCCATCAGTTCTTTGAAGGTCTGGCACTGGGCTCCCGCATCAGCGAGGCCAAGCTAAAGTCCCGTATTCAAGAGTTGGTCCTCATGCTCATCTTCTCTGTGTCTGCACCATTGGGCATCGGCATTGGCATTGGAATCGCCTCACAACTCAATCCAAATGGCGAGACTTTCCTCCTGGTGCAGGGCATACTCGATGGTCTCTGTGCTGGTGTTTTACTCTACATTGGCTTCTGTTTGCTGCTGAAGGACTTCCCCGAGGACGTCGAGAAGCACTGCAAGGACAGGAAGTACGAGCCATTGATGAAGGCTGGTATGTTCTGGGCCATGTGGATTGGTGCCGGTATCTTGGCTTTCATTGGCAGGTACCTCTAGACGGGTGGTGCTTCACCTCCAAACATCCCCCAATAAATATATTTAATGTATGACCAATCTTGGAATGATTAATCAATCACTCCAAGTTAATTTATAAATGGTAATCAATCGTATGTCTATATTCTTATTAATGAGTGCATCCATGATGGTTGGTGATGTCTTGATCAGTTTGGAATATAAATTGCACCATATCCATATCTATCAACAACTGGATCATCATCATTAAGTGGACTCCAGTTGTTGTCTTTGATTGAGTAGCTGAAGTTCTTATTCTTGCCACCAAGTACTATTATATTATGATTTGATGGATTGTAAACAATGCGGGCATACTCATACACTGTAGTTGGCGATGATAGTTGGTATGAAAGCTTTGTCGATATTGACCAACTGAAGAATACTTTGGAGTTTAGGATGTAGAGTGTGTCCACGCCATCAAAGCATATTGAGTAGTTTGGACCTTTCTTCAAATGTTCGTTGGTGATCTTGATGTAATTCTTGGATATGACGTTGAACATGTAGAGATTGGTTGCATCCAAGACATAGATAATATGATCATGATAAACAGATGCCGGGTATGATGTCATTTCAACAGGTAGCTTTCCAACATTTGAGAAGGCCTGAGTTTCAATATTCAGACAATCAACTCTGTTCGTATCATCGGTACCGCCAATCAAGTAGATATATTTTCCACCGTCATAGCAAGTGGAAATGTACGCGCCTCCCTTGATACCTGAGATTGGATGGTCTGTACATTGATGATTAATGATTGATATTTTGGAGTATGAGGACCTACTTGGTGCTTCAGTACCGCCAAACACATAGACATGACCTCTGGCATAGACGGATGAGGAGAAAGCGCACTTTCTGTCAGACCACTTTTCCTTGATCGAAGTCCACTTATTGTCCTTAAGTGCGAGCATTGAAATGGTGATTCCCGAATGTGTGATGATAATTCCAGGCCCGTATGTCTCTTGATCGATTATGACAAAGGATGTTTGGATCTGTTTCTTGATGTCATCGATCTGAGCAGTCTTGATATTTACTTTCAAAGGTTTGATTACCTCATGCTCATTGGTCATACTCTGTTGGACCCTTTGTATCATCGACAGGATACTCATTCCATCCGCGTTGCCTTGCTGTTGGGTACACTGAGGGAGAGTGTAGACGAACTCATCCATTGATGAGCTTGTGGCAATAGATTCAATTATTGTGCCAATTTCTTTACCATCGTCACGACTCTCTGGTGCAACTTTGTTGAGTATGATATTTACATCAATGACATCCTTGACGATCTCACTTGTGACAGTCTCCATCTCCTCCATTCTCTTGATGAGTTGCTGCATGATCTTGTGTTCCTCCACCATGAGATATTCATGTAGTTCCTTGAACTGTTCAGTGACATCTTTGCAAGACTTGTCCATTGATTGATGTGAAGTAGCAAGTTGATGCAATGTGCCCCATGCTTTCTCCAATCTCAGATTGAACCTACTATACTTGTTCTGATCGATTAAAGACTTTGTGATCTGAACATTCTCGAAACCATGATTATTATGTTCTAATGCCAAGCAATGTGAACAAATAATCATATTACATTGAATACATAACAACGACAACTTTTTGTTATGTATTTGGCATCTATCTTTCATTACTTGGTCATTTGTATCCATGCTATCTCTATCTTTATCTCTATCTCTGACTTCGTGTCAGTAAAAATGAAAATGAAGTGATTTCTGTGGGTTTGATTTTGATTGATCGAAAGGCCTTTTTTGGAAAGTATGCTCTTAAACATCATCATTTATTTAGTTCTACGACAGAAGCCCTCTATGATTGGAGGCTTGTACAACTGACCATAGAATAATCCAAAGCAAAGGTCTTGTAATTCCTGCGTTGAAGTATTTGATGTCGGCATCAGATGAAGGTGCGAGAGATCCAATGTGTCATTAACCAATGACTTTAGATGACTTATCACCAATATATAATGATCCCAACTAACACAATCTCTGTCATGACCATAATGATTGTTAAGCGTGACCGAGTCCATGGATCGACGAGGAATGGGCAACTAGGCACCATCTAACTTAATTTTCAGGTTCCTCACTGGACACGAGTCATCGGTGAATAGGTAGTCCAGGATGGGCAGGTACTCTGGAGCGTCGTATGGTGTACCATACGGATCCTCTCCTTCAAGGTAGCTGGCCAATGCTAGAGTGTGGAGGGATGGTAGTCGTCGAATAAATGATGTTAACTCAGCAAGGAATGATTCCCGAAGTGAATACTCAATGGAATCGCCAATGTCGTGTCAACAGGATTCTTGGAATTCGAAGGAGAGTGACTGGATGTGTAGAAGCCGATCCAGGTGTCCAAAGAAGAGCACGGCTTGTTCGACAGCGTATTGTGAGTAGCCAGAGTCACAACTCCCGCATTCATCAAAGATGGTGAGCGATGTCAGATTAGTGCAGCGTCCAAACAACTCGCTGCTCATCTCTTCCATCCATCGATGCTCAATCTTGTAGTATTCGCGTCGGTCGCAGCAATGTGTTGGATTCAACACTCGGAGATCAAGTGTCCTGAGTTGGTTGTTGTGTGGAAGTTGTTCAATCATGTCTTGGAACGGTTTGGGGTAGAGATGATTGATCACCAATGTATCGATTGATTGAGGATCGAGCGCATAATGCTCAATCAGTTGAGCCACCTGTCCAGCAAACACATCCTTGATTGCTACTGTCACTGTGCTTTGAGGTCGAGAGGTGAGCGATTAAAGCATTGTCTTTATGCAATTCATCTTGTGTTCGAGTGACTCTGTTGGGTATGGTGATCGTTTGATTGTTGTTTTTGTTGTTGTTGTTGTTGTTGTTGGTTCTGGCTCATCAATTGATGGAAACCATTCCTCACCAAATGCGTTAAGATATCCATCGTCTTCACCTTTGAATATGATTGATTGGATGTGTTGTGAATGATGTAGAGAGTACTTGGTGTCGAGATGTAGTGCGACATCAAACAACGAGTCAATCATTGCTGTGTCGCAATGATAGTCTGTTCTCAAGTTTGGGTCTTCATCACGATTATTAATCTTATCATGATCACATAATGATTGAGCAGCAACATTGATTATGAGTTGATTGTTCAATGATCTGACCATCGAATGGAATGACCAACTGACCAATGACAATGACCTAGTTGACCAACTCTTGTCCACATAATCATCACCTGATGTGCGCAACAATCTTACAATTGATAACAACAATAAGTTGTTTAACATATCTTTGATTGTATTGTAATATATGTTTGTATGTATATATTTGTTTCAAGATGTTCCCTCATCTAAATGCACATTTTATAATGTTGAATACCCTTACCCTTGCCCTTGCCTTTGCAATTAATTGATTGGATACCTGAACTGTAAATAATGTCTTGTCCATCGATTGGTATGAATCAACAAGTATATTGAGTAAACTCCACATATTTATCAGTCTCAAATCAAAGTCTGTCTGTTGGCAACACCTACTCAATATCGATATTATCGTATCAATTATATCTCTATCTTTATCTGTAGCTTCTAACTTATCACGAATCAATCAATTAATATTCATCCCCCCACAATCCCACTCATCTTTATTCATTGTGAAGGTACCCAACATTCAATTCTATAGATATATATATATTTATTTAAAGGGATGGTATGAGGTTGAGGATGATGAATCCAGTTGGTTGATTGATTGATTAAAAGAGGAGTAGTCGGGATACCATTCCCAAATCAGACTCTACTACCTCATCAATCCATTGATTGGTCAAGTTAGAGTAACAGTGAGGGTCAACCTAATAGTATTAATTTAAATAATAATTGCCCGTCCCATCCTTGTTATTGTTGTTCAATCCAAAACTACTTTAAAAGGAATACGTGGTTGGGTGTGTTTGATTGATTGATCATTCGTGTTTGTGTGGGTGTGTGTCAATCGATCAAACTAACACACACATAAATACAAACATAGAGATACATCGGGGATGGATGACTTTATCTTTAAAGATCACACATAAACATATAATTAGAGATATAATTGTGTTAACGTGTGTGTGTGTGTGTGTGTGTGTGTGATTGATCAATCATCTATTCTCTCACATAATGCAACTGAACAACATGATCAGCTGTTGCTTCCTCTTTGGTCGTGTCCATATTTAAAGTATATCAATCTACGCGTGCTATGCCGTCCACATCAAACCCCCCCGTCATCATGGACTGGACAAAGTGATGGGTAGGGGGATAGTATGGATGTCCGGACTTGGAAGCTGGAAGCGGCTCTTGGTTCATCATCAACATCAATCAACCAACATCAATCAATCAATCAATCAATAATAACAAATGCATTCACATCACATCACATTACACTTACGTTCTGGACATTGACAAGCACCATTCAACACAACAACAACAACATTTTAGAGCTAATAATACTACTTCCACCTTACTTTCCTTGTTGTTGTGTTCTTAGTTAAGTTATATAACTTCGACTACCACACGCGTTGCTTGCAAGTCTGGTTTGGCAATCACGACTTTGCTCGCGCCACACACTCTAACTCACTCACACACTATATACTACCAACCAACAACAGCAGAAGCAGCAACAGTGTGTGATCGTGATCGGTTAGATAATCTTGACTTGCTCCCTTCTCCTCCTTCCTCCTTTGAGCTCATACTTAACACGATCCAGTGGACACGACCCTCCTCATTCCCAGAGAGACAATACCCATCCGATCCATACGGCAAACCCTATCAATCCAAACAGTCAATCAATCAATCAATCACTATCCATCAATCAATCAATCAAATTAATCAATCTAAACAAGTATTCCCTAAATACGAATATCTATCACATTGATCATTCCTATATCTTCCAACTTCAACCTGTCGGAAGACTTTGTTTGATCCTCCATCCACCAACCCATCCTCATCACTCACTCACTCACTCATTCATACACTTCAATCACATCATATAATATAATAATAATATAATATACCATGAATCCAAAGTATTTCTTTGGACTGGTAGTCCTGCTATCCCTATGCTCACTAGCCTATTGTAAGTAAAATTGGAAACATGCGGAAACATAAACGGAAACATGGGAACACGGTGGAAACACACGGAAACACGCGGAAACACACGGAAAGTCTAACACGGAAAAATGTAAATAGCAACACATTTTAGGTTTGGCACAATAGCATGGACACCGTTAAGCGCTAAACAACAGAATGTTATAAAGTTCACTATCCAGATGGCTTATAAGTATACTTATGAAGGCTTTGCCAAGGTCAAGGTGGGCAGCTACGTGCTGGACACCGAAGGCCAAGCATACTATGGCACTGACATTGGTACGCTGCGCACTGGCGACGGTGCCATCTACCAGCCGCCCTGCATGGTCAACTCGATCAACAACGACAGCGACTGGTTCACGTGCACCATCAACCTGCAGCACACGTTCAACCCCAACATCACCAAGGTGTACACCGTCAACGTCGACGGCTTTGCGCGTCTGCACGAGCTGATCAACAACTACGACCAATACTTCAACATTTCGACTCTGGTGCCCGTCAACCCCAAGGGCGTCGTCAACTCATCGCCCGTCTCTGGTCTGTTGCCAATCATCGACGTAGCCTACAACACAAAGAACGGCTTCCAGGTGGTCGCCACGTCGCCCACTGGCGCGCCACTCACCTACAGTCTGTCGTCGCCCGAGGATATGGGTGGCTCCAAGCTTGTCCAACCCACCGGACTGAGTGTCAACGCCAGCGGCTGGGTCACGTTCACGCCCGGACAGGTCGGCCTGTACACATCGCAGGTCAAGATCTTTGACGGAACGTCTTACGTCGTCGTGGACTTCATTCTCAACTCGCAACCCGCCAAGAACTCGCCTCCATACTTCATCGACCCAACACCCGCCGACGGCTCCACCATCTACTGCCCAGTCAAGCGCCCCTGCAACTGGATCTACAAGGCCAAGTCCAACATCGCGTCGCTCACCGTCTCGGTCGTATACGCCAACCATCCACCCAAGGTGGTCGTGGCCGACCCCGTTGGCGGCAACCCTGTAACCGTGAACAATGACTGGGAGCCCACCATCGAGATGGTCGGCCGCTACGTGGTGTCGCTCGGATGTTACGACTCCGCCGGCACCCACGCCGTGGGCCAGCGTTCATTCATCATTGTAGTTCAGCCGCCAGCCTGTGGCCATGGACGTCAAGCCAACGACTCGTGTATCCCAGGCTCGCATCCAGATTGCTGTATCTGTGACGAGGGATTCGACCCCTCCACTCTATGTAACGACTGCACACCAGGACACTTTGGACCAAACTGCACAGCCAACCCCAAGTGTGACAAGGGCACAATCAGCAGCGGTATCACTGGCGACGGTGTGTGCACCTGCTATCTCGGCTACCAAGGACCACAGTGTGACATCCCCGTCAGCCAGTTCTGTAACCCAGCCAACAAGTCCTCGGTCATCGCTGTTGACCAAAACTCAATCGGCTACATGAGGCCCAAGAAGATGTCAATCTTCATCGCGACCGATGCCGACCCCTTCTCCCTGCCACTGATGCTGTCCTACCCCAACCCATTGCCAATGCTCGATGTCTACATCCTGCTCGATATCTCCCCGTCCAAGGCATCTATGATCACCGACTATGGCAACAAGATCAACAACTTGCTCACGAGCTTCCAGACTGGCACTGAGAATGTGATGTTTGGTCTCGGATTCTTCTCCGACAATCCAAAGAGTGCCAGTGACTTCCAACAAAAGGGCAACATCGGCTCGACCCTCGACCCATACATCAAGGATCAGTCGCAGTACACCACCTCTGCCGTCTCCACATTGAACAGTATGCGTGCTATGAGGTCTGCTGCACAGTTCCCCATCAACTGGCGTTCGGGTTCATTCAAGTCACTCGTGGTCATCACGGATAGCGATTGTGAGAGCGACTCGTCAGTGGCCGCGTCCACTCTGGCCGCCCTCGCCCAGAAGTCGATCTACCCAACAGTCATCGGCACCAACGGCGTCAAGCTCGACAACTGGTCACAGTTCTTCTCAGACAACAAGTTTGGTGTTGCGTCCACGCCAAGCGACTGGTCGACAGGTGCCTCGCCCGCAGTCTACTCGGGAATGAAGATCAACGTGCCCATCATCCTTAAGGATACCTATGGCTTTGCCACGGGCCCGAACCGTCTCACCCTGAACGCTGGTCAGAACAACCAGCTAGGCGTGACAGTCGTCTACCCCAAGCAGGCTGTGCCCGCTCCCATCTCTGACATCTTCGTCTCAGTTCCAGGTTTTGGCCAGTCCGAGGTGGTCATCAACTTCAACCATCCACCCTCTGCCACCGACAACACGATCACCGTCACTCAATCGTCATCCTTGGACTTCACCATCTTTGTTACTGACCCCGACCAGAACTTGATGAACATCCAGTTCGTCACGCTGCCAGAGAAGGGCAACATCACAACTGGCGGCTCTAATGTTGCCACGGGCACTGACTACATCTCGACCTCAACCTTCACCTACGTCCCACCCGCCAACACCCCATCCGCCAAGTACACATTCACCTACACCGTGTCTGATGGTTGTGTCAAGGAGAAGGGCACATACACTGTGAACGTCGTGCCACTGCACCCCGACTCGCCACCACCCGCCGTGAAGGCCACCTACGTGACCTTGGTCCAGGACCAACAGAAGCAATTCACCTTCAACTTCACCGACAACAACCCAGATACTGTAGCCATCATCTTGTCGTCGCTGCCCAAGAATGGTGTGTTCAAGAAGGTTGATGGTACAGTCATCGACTCTACCACAAACAACGTGCCATCCACGCTCATCTACGTGCCCAACAAGGGTCTGTCCAACTTGGACACGACATCCCAGCAGGGTCCACTCGATACCGTTGTGTTCAACGCCATCAACAAGGACAGCCAGGTGTCGCCAGTGTCTGCCCCAGCATACTTCTACGTGCTCCCCTACAACCCACCAATCTACACTGGTCTCAAGTCATTCACCACCCGTCAGAACACTCCTTTGCCATTCCCAATCGTGGGCCAGGCACCCAAGGGCGATACTGGCTTCAACTTGGTGATCAACAAGACTGAGGGACAGGGCCAGCTGCAGTTCCAAGCTTGTGCCGAGGAGATGTGTCTAAAGAACATCACCGACCTGCCAGTGACCTACTTGATCAATGGCGCCGCCAACTTTGTTTATGTGCCACCTCTCAATGTCTGGGGTCCAGACCTGCTGACCATCTACTTCACATTGACCACAATGGATGGCTTGATCTCAACAGAGTTGCTCACGGTCACTATCAATGTCACACACGTGCCACAAGGTCCATACATCGTGCTCAAGACGCTCGAGCCCATCCGCACTCACGTCGCCGCACCACTCACACCAACCTTTGACATCTCGATCAACGACTCTGTGATCGTCGCATGGACTGCCTACGACATTGAGTACGCCAACACCTCACTCCAATGCATCGTCCAGGTGATCCCACGTCGTGGCAGCCTCTACATGTACGACGCCAACGCCACCAACCTGCTCGGCACACAGATCACAACCAACATGAACATTGGCAATGCCACAGACGGCCTGTGGAAGGTGGTCTACGTACCTGTTATGGGCCAGTCCGGCCAGGGCTACACCAAGTTCCAGTTCGTCGCGGTCAATGAGATTGGCCTGTTCTCCGCGCCACAACCATTGATCGTCAACATCAACCCAGTGTACCGCCCACCAGTCATTCACGTCAATCAATCATCATGGGACACCATGCTCGATCACACACTGATCATCACTGGCGTCTCATTCACCGACGAGGACGTCACCTACCAGAATGTCAGCATGAGTGTCTCAGTCTGGGACGACGACACCAACCTCGCCACCAGCGTGTCCATCTCACTCTTTGGCGACAACCATGGCTCGTGCGTCACCAACGGCTCGATCATCGGCTGCATCAGCAACAAGTACGTGCTCAACTCATACCTCTCGCAGATCTCGCTGATCGGCAATGTCTCGGGACACTTGCGCCTCAACGTGTTTGTAGAGAACACTCTGTTTGCCAAGCGTCCTGGCGTCACCCTGGAAATGATCTCGGACAGCAAGGACCTCGACGTCAAGGTGCTCCCGGGCGGTGTGTCCAAGTCCAACAACACGACCATCCTGTCGGCGGCCATCGCATCGGCCGTCGTTGTGTCAGCCATCATTGCCGCTGGAGTCTGGCGTGTACTCCAGGCCACTGCACCACCCACCAGTGCATTCTTTGGTGATGCACCCTTCACTGCCGATGCAGTATCCACCAATCCACTCTATGTCGAATCCGGTGGCACTGGAAACAACCCACTCTACGAAGGAAATTCATAGTCCTCCAAAGATATATAATATATATTATTTGTTTTATTTACCTGTTTTTATAATATTAATAAATTTAATGTACATCAATCATAACATAATTAATTAACAAAATACAGATAATATATTTCCAAAACTTTTATCCTTTAAAGGATGATATAGTAGTTTGACTATGTTTGATAATAAACTTTCCTGATGATATTACCAAACAAATAAATCCTTATAAAGAAAGCCAAAATAAAATCCCGTAAATCTTGATGGGACAATATTTTGATAAATATATAGAAGGCAAATATACTAGTTGCCAAGAGTCCAATATAATTCTGGATGAACGTAGGGTCCAATCCAAATAAATGTGCAATAAAACTAAAATTATATTAATATAAAAAATTTGTAATAAAATATTATTAAGGTAATACATACAAGGATGTAGATCACTACTACTACAGCTATACCAAATTTATCTGCGAATGCTTCAGTCAACCTAGTAATATCGAAACTTTTATTTAACATCAAGTTAGTTGGTATCCAGATATGATCAGGTGGAAATATTACATTATATTATTATTCACTTGTATTTCATTTTTGGATAATTAATTCTCCGTTGTTACCTTAGGGGTGGTAGAAGTTGTATTATTATTATTACTATTCATATAATTCGATATTGAAATTGATGTTGTTATTGAAAATGTTATTGATAATTATTTGTTAAGGGTAAGTGAATTCCTAAGTTAATAAAAGTTCGTTGGTATGGTATTGATCCAATACCAAAGTTGGTATTATTTTTGAGTTTGTATCCTTACACAAACAAGTTCAATGTACCAATAATCATCAATCAGATCAAGATGATTCATTAGAAAATTAATGATCAATGATCTTTTTTTTTAGTACTTAAATAAATAATTGTTTATTCATACTTCAATTATATAGAATGAAGGGAAATAATATTACTCTAAATATTATTATTGTTATTTTATTATTGTCTTTGACTTTGGAAATAACTAATGCAAACCAGACAATTTCTTTTCCATACTATCATTTGTATTTGGTGAACAAGATAAGAATAGAAAATGGAAAGAAACTACTCCGTATCTGTCCATGTCTAATGGACTCTACCCAATCACACTCAGTATACCAATCTAAGTAAGTATGATTAATCAATCAATCAAATAATCAATTATATCTAAATCATTCAGTTTTCATTGAATCAATAACATTAGAATAGAGAAAATGACACACAATGATCCTAATGGTGTCCTTTATGAGAGGTTCGCGGTATCTGGATCATCAGAGTTTACAGCTGGTGCTGCTGAGAATGTTGCTGCAGGTTAACAATCTGATACCGAGGTAGTAGAGGCATGGAAGAACTCTCCATCTCATTTCGAAAACATTAAAGGTGACTATGACCTAATTGGAATGCAGATGTCTGACAATAACTGGCCCTACTGGACTCAACACTCACCTCTGGTTCCTGTCTACCCAAGAAGACGAATCGGGGTAACTTTAACATTTTCTTGTTTGTTATTTGTTAATGTAAGTCTATCGACATACTCAATAAAACAATTATTAACTACGAGTAAACTTCCACTGCCTCTAACTTATACCTCTTCATTATCTGTTGAACAGTGACATGTTAACTAAAGTGGGTCATTCAAAAAATGACTCTCTTTGAGTTTCAAATTCTTAGAAAGTCATGACTTCACACAGAGTAAATCCTAGGACTTGGACAACATTGCTTCGAGTCTAGTGTATATCCAATATCATATCACTTGCATTGATACATACATACATACATACTGAAATGAAGAGTTTCAAAAAGGATGTAGGTGACTCACCTCAATCAAATACATCATCATCTGGTAATGATGATGATGAACAAGATAACAATAACAACAATAATAACAACAATAATGATAATAATAATAATGGAGGAGGCAATAAGAAGAGAAAGTCAATAGAGGACCATCCTTTGTTTGCTGATGATGAAGATGAGGATATATTCGCAAAAGGATTCTCCAAGACATTGGCTGTAGGAATGACAGGCTTTATGACAGGAAGGAAAACTGCAATCGTTGTCACTGAAGAGAGTCTAAACAAGGCTCGAGCATTCAAGTTTGAAGATGAAGATGTCGATTCACTACTACAACCAATACAAAACATCAATGATGTAACACCAATTACACCAGTAGTAGCTGCCGCTGCTCCTGTTGCTGTGGCAGCAGACACCAACAACAACATCAATCACATTGTTAKAGCAACAACAACAACAACAACAATGCTGTGAATGGAAATGCAAGTAGACAATTYCACAACACCAACCAAACCTCTGTCTACACCTTTGACACCATCAGTCAACAACAATGCCACAACGCCAAGAAACCATCCCTATCGACATCAAAGAGTGGCAACATGCTATACAACCTACCACCCAAGAAGGGCTTCATCTCACCTGTGAAGACATCGACTCCAACAACTTCAACAACCTCAACAACATCAACAACATCAACAACATCCACTCCTTCTTTATCAACATCGCGTACCTCAACAACACCTTCACAGTCATCATCGGCATCATCTGTCCCTCAAGCAACAACAAAGGAGAGACCGTCACCTCCATCCCCCACTCCTACTACTTCAGTTGCTGCGACCAATCCCACAACACCATTGTCGACAAAGACGATGACTGCAACATCGACAACAGGACTCACACCAAAGCCCCCTGCACCGCCAAAACCATCACTGGTAAAGAAACAACAGGCCTTCTCACCGCCAGCCTCCACATCAGCAACAGGCGGTAGCGTGTTATCACTGGGCAATCACACTTCCTCTTTGAAGCCTTCACTCAATGGAAACACAATGCGTTCCAATGGTACCACAGCCCTCACTCTGCCCATCACTCCCAAGAAGAACCCACTATCTTTGCATCAGACCACATCACTTGTCACACCTACCAAAACAACACCTAGCCTTGGCAACAACAACACCAACGGTAACAACAAGAACGATACAATCATATCAAGTGATGGAAGAACCAAGCTGAAAGACCTTGGCAAACCATTCGCTCATTCACCAGTTGGCTTGGTCACGCCCCGTGTGTTGGAGGTCAACAGGACCAATGCAGTGGACTTCAAGTTTGAAGGCACAGCCGATGTCAAGGCACGTGGATTCAAACAAAAGTTGGTTGGCGTGAGCGAGATCATGCTTCAGCTCATCGGCGAAAAAGTCATCAGCTCAGACCAGCAGGACTGGCTGCACAATCACTATGGCTGGATCGTCTGGAAGTTGGCGGCAATGGAGAGGTCCTTCCCCACTGTCTGTGGCGGGAAGTATCTCACCCTGTCACGCGTGATTGATCAAATCAAGCATCGAATCGCAAAGGAGCTCGGCCAGGGCAAGCCGCCAATCATCAAGAGGATCTATCAACGCGATGACTCATCAGAGAGGCACATGATCCTATGCGTCTCAAACATCATCTCCAATGGCATTGACGACCAGCAGCAGCAACAAGACAAAGACAATGCTGATGAGCAGCCTGCTGCTGCAGACGAACCACAGAAGCAGCCACAGTTGGCTCGCGCTGTGGTTGAACTCACAGATGGCTGGTACGCAATCAAGGCTTATCTAGACCCGCACCTCACACATTGTATGAGCAAGAACAAGATCTTTGTTGGACAAAAGCTGAGGATACAAGGTGCACAGCTCATTGGCTGTGAGAATGGATGCGAGCCACTTGAGGACAGCAGCGAGAGTGTATACCTGCAACTGTTTGCCAACAGTACACGAAGAGCGGCCTGGTTTGAGAAGTTAGGTCTTCAAAAGCAACCAAACTTCCCCGTGACCCTTCGATCAATCGTTCCAGGAAGTGGAACTGTTGCCTGCATCAATGTTAGGGTTCAGGTAAGTTCACGCGCCTTGGTCTTGGGCTCCTCCTCGCCCACATCTTGTTAACACCTTAATCAATCAATCAAACAGAAAGTACTACCTATTATATACAAGGTCACATCCAATGGAGATACAAAGCAAACTGTTTACCGAAGCAAGGAGGAGCATGAGAAGATACAGGACAACATTGAGTCTCAGTCGGCGCAGTTGTACGAGCAAGCAACTTATGAGGTTAACGAGCGCATCAATCAAGAGGAAGCCAATCGCTATGCCAAGAAGAAGTACAATTCCAAAGCCAACATTGACAAGATCAGGGACTCCAGCGCTCTCTACGACCTCTTCCAGAGCAGTGGCCAATCGGAAGAGTATGTGGCGCGTCTCAACGAGGAGCAGCAGAGTCTGCTCAAGATGGAGATCGAGCGAAGGAACAACGCAAGGATGGAGCGCGTCACCACCGAGGTCAGGGAAATGGCCGAGACCAAGGGCTTTGCATCGGGGCACGTTTACACACAAGTGCTGCGGCTCAAGATCGTCGACCTGATTGACAAGTCGCCTGCAGTCGCCACGAACTACACCAATGGCACTAGCAAGACTCTCACTGACTACATGCCCTCCCAACTGCTCTACGACACGGTAGTGGAGTGTCCTCTCTATCTGCCCTCGAACAAGTATGCCTCTGAGCTGCCCGACGTCAAGAAGTACTCCAACGCCGGAAAGTACGTCCAGCTCTATCCTCTGCCTCCGGTACAACTCAGCGATGACATACCAATGGACACCAACAACCAGCAGCAGTCAGTGTCGTCCAATGGACATGAGACCGTCCTTCACTTTAGCAATCCATCCGAGGAAATGCTTCAGGAAATCAAAGAGAATGGCACCTATCAGTTCTTCTACGTGCAGCCAAGGCAGTACTATTACTCGCCAGCACAACAACTTCGGAAGCCAACGGGCAACCCTATCAGTGAGCTGCAGTCATCCAAGCGATCTTCATTCAAACCGATGGGTGGTGGTGCTGAAGGAAACAAAAACATCAACATCAACAACTCAGGAGCTGGCCAGATACTCAATCTTGGTCACTACACTGATGGCGCCACAATCACAAAGAACAGACAGGAGTGTGAGCTGGTGGGCTTGCTGTTGTATGTTGGCCCCAACGTTCAATCGATCAACGACAGCCGAGATGGCAAGAGAATCGAGAACTCGAGGAGCATATACCTGAGCGATGTCTCTGGCTACATTGCCAGAGTGACCATGTCGCGAGTCACCTGGCTGACAGGCAGCCCACAGAGCAAGGATTACGAGATGAGCACCATTCCATTCCCAACGCCCGACGGCTACCCGCTAGACGCCACGACCCAACAGAAACACCAGCGCAACGGCTTTGCCGCTACCAAGGAGTATCCTTTGGTGCACATCTCCAACGTGAACTTTGACATGTACAATGCGAGCCAGGAACTACTCTACTTCTCCAACCGAGATGTGATCGAGGTGTCCCGCAAACCAAAGTCCAAGCACGCCCGCGAGTCCTTTGAGCAGCTGAACAAGTGGCTAGCAAGGTAAGATTGATTGATAGATTGGTTGATTGATTGATTAAGATGGGACATCTAAGGACTCACACGTATCGTACATCTTCCACAGCTCTCCAGGGTTATATTCATTGTTTACATTTAGAGCCAAATCATTTGTACAGACCACACAACAACAGCTGCAGAATGCCGCTTCAACAATAGGCCAATCATCTCCACCACCAATGCAAACACAAGCATCAACCTCCAGCGAAGAGACACCAATGGAGGATGCACAACAGGCATTCGACGATGTGGAGCCATACGACTTCTCCGATATGACCGATATGACTGATGATCAGATGAGTATAAACAGCGAGAGCACATCGACAACAACTACATCAACGACATCAACGACAACAACATCAGTACAATGCGAACCGGCATCAACAGACCAGTCGCATCATTCTGCTGCTGTGGTAGATGAACCAACCGAGGAGTTATTGCAGAGCAAAGATAATGATAACACCAACAACGCAGCAGACGACGATGCCTTCCAACCCACACAGGAGCTGACCACAGTACCTCCAACAGCATCCATTCTGAATGACATCAATTTCTGATTGTAGTCTGATGCAACCAACCATCATCATCCGTTCTACCATCCAATCCATTCATCCATCCAATCCGTCAATCAATCCACCAACCAGTCATTCAGTCAGTCAGGTCCATGCAACGCAATGCATTAAAAAGCAAAGGTCGATGTAGCCGATGCTGTCTGTCCTGTCTCTCTCTATCACTGAGAGGGTCCGGATATTTTCAAAAAGTAGGTCCCAATCGCGTGTGATCAGGGAGTGGCCCGCTGATGATCCAGTCGCGCCCACAGGACCATCCTGAATCGCCTTTTTGATTTATTTAAATTTAATGATGGGTCGCTCACTGGACGGGAGGCTCTGCAATGCGAATGATTGTTCTGTAGTATTTTAATGGTGATGTTGAGATTGGGATGGGGATTGATCAATCTGAATGCTGAATGTAATGTCGTGTATCGTGTGTGTAGTGTAACTTGAGTTAGTGAACACATCGTCGACTCCTTCTTCATCTTCCTCCCCAAGTATCTGTCCGGCTTTGTCTTCTGGCCCTCCCATCAGAACAGATCAATCACCAATCTTCCTGTTGCAAGGTTTACAACAAGTACAGAAATTTCGTTCAACAACCCTTCATTCATTCATTCATTCATTCATAAAAGTAACAACAAGTACTACATCAACATCAACATAATCAACGTCCATATCAACACAACAACAACAAGAACATTATAATAGAATAGATAGGACATTGACCCAAGAAGGTCGGTCCACATATATGTCATTCAAACAAAAGAGCGGGAGCAAGCTTGGCCGTTTCGGCTTGCCTGGTGTTGGAAAGTCCAAAGAGAAGGACCTCTCCAATCACAAGGACCACCACACAACTTCATTCGATGTGATCAAAGTCAACAGTTATGGAAAGAGACAACAGAGGTATGTGAATTGAATGATGGACCGATCAATCACATGATCCCATCACACCCCACTCAAACAACACATCCAATCAAATGAACAATCACTCACACTAACACTCATTCACACAAACATTAGGACGATTGCAGTCAGCTCACAGGGAGTGTCCAACCTTAATGGTCAGACATGCCAGTGGTTCGTAAAGAACACTGATGTGTATAGTGTGTGCCAGGATAGCCAGGACTCACAGAAGTTCACAATGACCTTCTTGCACAAGTATCACTTTGAGGCAGAGAGCGTCGAGCAGGCAAAGATGATCGTGACTGAGTTCAAGAGACTGGGCGTGGGTGCCAAGATCCCCGGCGGCGAGAGTTCAGCCGCCCACACTGCCGACGGTGTGACCATTCACAGCCTCAGAACACAGCCCACTGAGCCAATCATTGGCGGCGGACACCACGGCATCTCCATTACAAACAAGGGCATCAACAACAATAATGAGGGCCCTGTGGTGGCCATGTCACCGCCAAAGCATCACGTGCCAGTGATGGCGTCGTCTGTGATGACCACGCCCACCGCACTGAAACAGCCGACGACGATGCCAAACAGCTGGCGTCCACCATCGATCAACCTGTCAAAGTCATTGCTAAAGGAACAGGAGCAGCCGTCGACTGCTACTTCGTCGCCGGGTCTGGCGCCACTGACGCCGTCCAAATACACGAACCATATCCCAGGCTCACCCCTGCCCATGCACATCCCCAACACGCCAAGTTTGTACAGTATGGAGGGTGCGCGTGTGTGGAAGACCAGAGCCGAGGAGCTCAAAAGACAGCTGGTCCAAAAGAAGAACTATACATACGATCCATCGCCTATCGTCGAGTTGTCAAAGATGTCACCCTACATCAGTTCGACGACCAGGCAACCTCTTGCACCACCCCCGAATCTCCAGCTGAGTCCACCCACCTCTCCCCGCTTGCAACAGTCCGCCGTACAGCTCAAGACCATCCAGCTTCAGTCACCCACAGGTACACCAAGTGTCAACCACATTGCCAATCGTGTTAATAATAGCAACGTCAACAGCAACAGCAGTGGCAGCAACAACATCAACTCAATCAACAGCAGCAGCAGCAACAACAGTACAGTCACAACAACATCCACCAACAACGCAGGTGGACCCACGAGCTTTGGAAGCAGGATAATGATCACGCCAACACAGCAGCCTAAGGCGACCGATGTGCAGTTCGACTTTAGTGGCGAAGACAACGATGCCAGCCGCAGCGGCAATAAGAAGAAGCTATGTATCGATGACTTTGAGGTGCTGCGACTTCTGGGCGTGGGCAGCTTTGGTCGCGTTTTCCTGGTGCGACGCAAGGAGACTGGCAAGCTGTACGCAATGAAGGTGCTCAACAAGAAGGAGATGCTAAAGAAGAAACAGATCGCGCACACCAACACGGAGAAGATGGTACTGAGCACCATGAACCATCCCTTCATCGTGCGTCTCCACTTTGCGTTCCAAAACGACAACTTCCTCTTCATGTGCATGGACTACATTCCAGGTGGCGAACTCTTCCAACACTTACAAAAGTATGTGGATCTTGTCACTGATTGATTGATTGATGGGTCATCAATCACCCCCCGCCAAGTGATCAAACGCGCGAACTAACATCCATCACCCCAATCAATCAATCAAGAGCTGGAAGATTCCCTGAAGAACTTGCCAAATTCTATATTGCAGAGGTGATCACTTCATTGGACTATCTGCATTCGAACAACATCATTTATAGGGACATCAAGCCAGAGAATATATTGCTGGACGAAGATGGACATATCAAGTTGACAGACTTTGGCCTGTCAAAGAGTGGCATCACCAGCGTCGTGGGAGAGAAGAACGGCGAGGGTCAGTTCGCCACGACGTTCTGCGGCACGCCCGAGTACCTGGCACCCGAGATTATCACTGGCGCGGGCCACGGCAAGGCGGCCGACTACTGGTCGGTGGGCATCCTCTTGTTTGAGATGCTGACGGGCAGATCCCCGTTCTTGGCATCCAACAGGAACGACATGTACAAAGCGATGATTCAGGGCAACTTGCGCCTGCCCATGTTCCTCTCGATGGATGCTCAGGACCTGCTGGAGAAACTGCTGGTGCCCGATCCCAAGAACAGACTGGGCTCTGGTGGTGTACAGGACATCCAGAATCATCCCTTCTTTGACCTTATCCCTTGGCGTCTGCTCGAGTCCAAGCACATTATCCCGCCATTTAAGCCCACCATTGAAGAGGTGGGACCTTCTACTGGCAAGGATCAGGCGTCGATTGAGCCTGACCTCAATCCCGAACTGATATTCAATCAGAAGCGCAAGTCTTCTACGCCAGCCGCATTGGATTCACATTTTAGGGACTTCTCATTTGGCGAGAAAGACGACGACTGCAGTGTCTTGTCGCGAAGTGCCTCCTCCTCATCGTCGTCCACTACCACCACGCCTCGTGCGCCCATCGAGCAACGAAAGAGTACGCTCAAGGGTATGAGGAAGAGCAGTGTGTGACGCGTCTACCTGTAAACAAACAATCAATCAATCAGCATCACCTCAATCATCCTATTTATTGTCAAACGCACACTCACTCACTCAAACAAACGATCATTCACTTTCCCCTTGACGCCCCAACGTCACCAGCTGTTGTATCATAATATAAATTAAAATTCAACTCTCTTGTAGAGTATCAATAATCATCTAAATTGTATATGGAGTCAGACCTCTCATATACTGGTGAAGGTTTATTAAGGGTGGTCGGATGAGCGACTTGGTGAATAAGAAAGATAGTTGGATGCACGGGACCGGTTTAGAGCTCGCGAACCAAGTGTGATTGCCATGGGCACCATCTGTTGCCTGGGAGGAGAGCACCGCCAACCTCGTTGAGGTGGTTCTCGACGTAGTCGATGGAAGCGTCACAGACCTCGGCGGCCATGTCGAAGAAGGAGATGGTGGCTGGGTCGAGGTAGTAGGACCACTGCCAGTTGTAGAAGGTATCTCCGCGCTTGATGATTCCCATCACTCCACGTCCCTCCTCGGTTCTGTTGGCAATGAGGTCACGAGCATGCTGGATCAGGGTTGGGTTGGTGAGCTTGATGGTGAACTCGTTGGTGTTATCGGAGAAGACAAAGTAGGCGTTTCTGGCGTAGGCCAAGGTCACGGTGACCAGCATCAAGGCGGCAATAATTTGGAATGACTTCATTGTTATTATTGTAGTTATAGATAGAGGTAGAGATTGTTGGATTGATGTATTAATGAAGTCCAGATTAGACTATTTATACATTTTGTTCCATGATCAAAAGTCAATCAGATTTATGTCCTCTTCTTCCTCACCCTAGTATTTGCAGGATATCACTCAAAAGTGATCACTTTTTTTTGAAACTATGTGGGTGACATCCAATCAAAATACCAAACTATCATTACAATCTTCAAAAGGACACGGCTTGTAACCAAGTAAGGGACGATGGTCCGACCTGATACGAGACGACCGGATAACCCGAGGTATATATATTAGAACCCAATATTTTATTTAATATAATTAAGATTTATCTCTTTGGAATAAAGTATCTATTCGTTCATACGCCTTAAGAGAAAGGTACTGAAAAAACAAGTTATTTCTCTGATCACTTGACTTGAGATGTTTCAAAGTTCTCAAGTCAAAAGAACATTGTTTCCAAGAAGTTCAAGATTGAAATATTATTGAATAATGGTGATCCTAGGAAGAACTCCCTGTAGTTTCAGTCGACTGAAACTTGATAATATGAATAACATTTTAACATTTTTAGAGATATAAATATATCATTGAATGACAGTGTTATTACCTCTTATTATACAATTTAAGATCATTAAGTTATGTTGGGATGATGTTGGTGATTTATGGTGTAAACAATTAGCTACATTATCATGGGCTCATTTCAATTATATATCAAGATCATTGTTTAAAATCAATCTCAAATGGTTGTATAATAGGAGAGCAATATATTATGATGAACATTGGTTGGTCACTCAATTTAACAATCGCTACAATCTTTGGAAGACACAAACAATTGTATCTACAAGACACCTATTCCTCACCTATCACAAAGATGATTTGGACAAGACTATCGAGCCAAAGTCAAAATTTGATAGAGATCCTTGGTTAAACGTTGGATTGGACGGCAAGCCTTACAATGACTTCGACTGTGACAACAGATATACAATGGGTGCATGTGGCATCATGTTTAGCAACTGTATCGCTGGCATGGAGAACAGGATCATCAAGACTATAACTGAGAGGATCGTAATGGACAATATCACAACAGTCTTTCTCATGAATAAACTATGGTTGCAAGAGAACACCATCGAACATGTGTTGGTGTTGTTACAATCCAAGGGTGACAACCTAACGACGTTGGTAGTTAGAGAAGATAGGATGCCGATCCGTGGTAGGAATATCACCTATCAAACAAAGATTGGGGCATTGTTCAACTTTATCCAGAACAAGAAATCTCTAAGGAACATTGCGATTGACCTCTCATCACTTGGTCTCGATATCAATAGAGACTATCTCATCAATTCATGGCCTATCAGTTCATACCTGAACTTTGAACACATCACATCTTTGAGACTACACAATAGTGTCCGTCATCAATCACTACTCGTTGACTTCTTCTTGTTCCTCGAGGGATTCACAATGTTGGAGCATCTTTCATTCTCTGTCAGACTCGAAGTGGACGAATCCGACCATATATATATGGTTGAGCTTCATTCCAAACTCTCAGCCTTTATAGTAAAGAGCAAAAAGCTGAGATCATTACAACTTGGCTGGGTGCAACCCTACTCTCCTGATGTTGATGGGATCAAGGCTGCGATTGAACAGAGCAAAACGCTGGAGCATCTATCATTAAGGTTTCCGGCACTTGACAACGAAGATATCCAAAGTGTGGAGAATTACCTACCCATACTCCCTGGCTCAGTCAAGTCATTCGTTTGGAAGAAGATGGATATCAATGATTGGGTCCTAGTCGGTCACTTCTTGCAAATGAATACAGAGTCCACACTGGAGAGGTTGCACCTCAAGATGGACAACAGACAAGTACCCAATCAACGTGCACAGTTCAGTCGCCGTTTCTTCGAAGCAGCGACCAGATTGCGATACCTATGCCTGGATGGCATTGGCCAAAAAGAGGTACTGTGTGACCTAGCTGATATGATAGGGTGCAACAAGAGCATTGAACGTTTAGAGTTGAGAGACTATAGATGTGAACCACATATATCGATGGATTGGCTCAACCAAGTTGCTCAATGTCCCACCCTTGGAACAATCATTATGTATCTCAACCCTGATTGTTTGAATAGTATTAATGATAACTTCACTATTATTATTCCAGATGGCTGTCCATTCTCATTGTGGTCTACCAAGAAGAATCAAGGTCGTTACAAGCCCATCAAGTGTGTGATCATAAGGGATGTTTGATTGCCAACCAATCCGACACCATTATTGGTATTGACATTTAATAAATAAAGAGTTGATGCTTGTTGCTGATGGCAGTTGTACCATTCCTGGACGAGACGCAGTTGATCGAGTTGAAGTTGTCTTTGATGGAGAGCTTGCGACTGTCATTCATGGACCCACTCCCACTGCCATCACCAGTGTTGTTGCCAAAGAGTTTGCTATTGTTGAACGAATGATTATGTACAGAGTTTACAGCGGATGACCAAGTGCGCACGGGTATCCAATTGAATTGATGATAGTAGTCATCCTGTAAAGGATCCAGGGGAGACCGCAGTGGTGCAGAGGCACGTGGTGATTGCCCACATGCTGAGGACAGCAATGCGCTGTCCATTGTCGATGATGTAAATGGAGGTGATGAAATATGTGGGAAGTTATAAATATTATCCTGTTGTTGATGATTATAGAATTGATTCATCGGTGATTGTTGTTGTTGTTGTTGGAGCAATGGCGGCAGTGTAGTTGATTCGAAACTGAATGAATCAGAACTGAATGGATTCCAAACCAAACACTTGTTGTCATATGATCCTGTGATTACCTCGCTATTCATTGGTTGATTGAATGATTGATTGAGTTAGTGAAGGTGGAATGGTATGATTGAGTGATGACGGTCCCAGGTACTTACCTTGAGTTGATAAATGTACATGGAAATCTGTCTACGAATGATGATGATTCATACACATCGTAGAGTTTAGCCAATAAATATTCTTGATTATATAAGTTATATGTAGCCAGTGGCTTATCTTCAACGTTGATATCCCAAACTAAGTGAATGGATGGATGAGTATGAGTGCTACATGAGTGGGCGTAGTAACTAACTTACTGGACAATGACTCTAGGTTTCTTGTTACAAAGTAGCGACCATCACTACTGAACTTTAGATCCAGGATTGTATTGAGATAATGTGAGAAGATTGATTGATTCGATTGTTTGGCTTCATAAGCTTTGGAGAAACTTGTACATAGTGCTGAAGTCCTCATGTCGCACAACTTGACAACACCATTACTTGTACCATAGATGAGTGAATTACATTGTAATGGATGGAACTCTGTCACTCTAATGATCTCATTTAACAATTGTATATTGCTTGGTTTCAAGTCGATGATGTCTGCGGGTTGGTTGGTTGGTGGAGAGCAAGTATGTGTCAATGATTGATTGATCGAAAGAATGATGAACGAGGTGGGGTAGCTTACTGAAGCACTGTTGCCCTATGTTTAGATCCCAAAGGTAGACTCTGAATTCATCTGATGAGAGGAATGTTTGACCATCACTGTTTAGACTGATTGAGTTCAGATTGAAGATCTCTTCGTGTTCGTAGCTCTTCTTCAATGTAAACTTGAATGGGTTGTTGTGACTGCTTGTGATACGCAATGGTGATGGCGAGTTGATGTAGCCACTACCAGTGGCATCGCCTGTTGTCTTGTCACTGAATCTCCAGAGCTTGGATGAGCAAACACTGGTCGACACAAACAAGAGACTTGGACACATTTGTTTGCACCAAAGTATCTCAATGACCTCAGTCTCATGTGCCTGGAAGTAGAATATTATTTCGAATCTTTGTTGTTGTTGATGTTGATGAGGATGGTCAGACTGATCGTGTGATGTCCATTGTTGTTGTGATTGATGTTGATTAATTGCCTCGCCAATCAACACCATGTCGTCCACTGACATTGACAGTACGGTCAAGCCGCTACTATTGCTACTCTTCAAGCTGATGACATCGTCGCCACCTTCATCCTCCATGACAAACATGTGTTCCTCTTGGTCGTCATCTTCATGTGAGTCGATAAAGTCATGATCCCGATGATCGTGGTCTTGATTATTGTCATGATAATTGTTGTGATGATCGTCATCAAACATGACATCACTGTTGTTACTCCTTCTTCTGACTCTTCGCCGTCGTTCATCTAGACTCTCTGTGCTGCCATTGATATCATGTCGCTTCAAGGTATGTTGGTCCTCATTCTTATATGAATGACGATGATGTTGATGTTGATGCTGATGTTGATAATGATTCATTCTCTGTTGATAATGTTGTTGCTGCTGTTGTTCCATTTGCTGGTCTACATTTAGTCGCTTCATTACTGATATTGTGCCATTTGAATAGCCAACAGCTAGATATGTAGCGGTTGTATCAAACTCTAATGCAGTGATTTGAAAGGATGCCAAGTGTTGTTGATACTGTTGATGATACTGTTGATGTTGTTGTGTGCTTGTGAATATATTATTACTATATAGTAATGGAGAAGACATTGTTGTTGTTGTTGTAGTTGTTGCTTATAATATCTGAACAACAACAACCTGGTTACACTTTCTCCACTCTCTATCTATATCACACTTCTCTCTCCCTCTCGCTTAGCTAACCAACTAACCAACTATGTCTATCTGTCTCTGTACTGTATATGTATGAATGTGTTTGACAAAGTGTTTGAGAATAATAGGTTGTGAGAACTTGAATTATATATAAATAAAATAAGGAAATAGTTTACAATTATAAATAGATAAAGTAAAATTGAATAAAAAAATAATATTTATTCACTAATGGTTATCAAGATTAAAATGCCGAGAATAGGATTATCTACCGGAACTTCGTATATTCAATTCCAATTCAAAACCAAGGTACCGGGCGGGATTGAACCGTCGACCAAAGGATTTGCAATCCTCTACTCTACCACTGAGCTACGGCACCTTTTTTGAAATTTTTGAGGAAAAATACCATGGTTTTGTTCCTAGTTTTGCAGATTTTCTTTTATTAGGTAATAACCTTGACTCTCACCAACGATTATTATTGTATATATATTGTTGGAATTACTTGGAGATTACTTTGGCTCAAGTCTAAAGTTCCATTCCTGATCAAATCAATAACATTTATGAATAAAAATTAAAGTATTTATAAGGATAGACTGAACTAATCAAGAAAGGGAACAAAGATATATTTTCCTAATTGTTGAAATGATTTATAGATTATAATAATAATACTATAAAGCAATTTAGTTATTAAGTATAAATCAAAATTTAGATTCCGATGGTTCTGCTCATAAGTCCGTCAGCAGTGGCGATAACAGTGCTGTAAATTGCCTTCACAGAAGCAATTGTTCCATCAAGTGCTGGTTGGGCATCCTTTCCAATTTGGGCGACGAGACCAGAGGTATTGTTGGATGACTGTCCACTTGATGATGAGGAGGAACCCATCACTGAACCATTGCTGAAAGCAGAGGCGTTGAAGGAGAGGGAGGTCATGGATTCTATTGATGATTAGAAGAGAGATATTGGTAAGTTTATTGAAGTAACAATTGATGGAAATTAATTTTATACATACTGATGATAGTCATTTTAATTGATTGATAGATTAATTGATTGGATAATTGATTAGAATTGATTTGATGATATTATTGGAACAAATTTATTGTCTATTTATATTTGATTATAATTGAATAAATAGTATTAATATTTAAATTAGATTTGTTTGAATTGGAAAAATATTATTTATCAGATACTACTACTTTGATCATAACCCCACCTCTAACCAATCAATTTCTTCCCCCTCAATAAGTGATCAATCAATATATTGACTAGTCACCACGACAACACCCCCCTCCCTCCCTCCCTCCACTTACTCATCACTTCCCCAACCCTCGAATCATTAACCATTATTCATATGACAAACCAGACTTAATTGATTTAAATTCTTTGATCAATTCAACATCATAATTTACAAGATAATTTATTCTGATTTGTCATTTATTGTTTATTTAAGGAATGATATGACATCATCATCATCACTTCTTGGATCATCAATACCAGGTGGTGCACCTGTAGAGGTATTGTTATTATCCTGACCTGGTAGTCCACGTGTACCAGACAGACAAAGTTGTTGAGGAGTACGATGGTTGGATGCTTTGGCAAAGTATCCATCTTCATCCAAACAACAGATGTATTGAGTTGATTGAATTTAGTAAACCGGATGTCGTATAGATCTTTGTTTCAAACTTGTAGATCATTGGGAACTCGCCGAAGAAGCTGACTGTGAATAAGTGACAATCTGCCAACTTCCAGAATGTAAAGTCTTTGTAAGCAATATCACCTTTCACTCTAGCACCACCCTCTGAGCATGTGATGTAATGATTCTCAAGGATATTAGAGTTGATCCAAAGTAAATCAATCACGTTATTTGACTTTATCTATCTTTCCCTTGGCCTCCTTCCTTATAACAAGTACCCAACTTGTTTTTCTATAGTTATGAGTGTAGTTTATTACTGTGTAAAAGAATTGCCAGCTATGTTGGTGCAGGGTTGGGTAGGGTATGGCATTGAATATGTCTGTGTCAGGTGGTAAGGAATTGAAAGATTGGAGAAGGTGTCAGCTGACAATCTAGATACCTGGCTGGTTGGAAGGCTTGCTCCACATTGGAGATAAAGGGAAGGAGATTAGGACGAGGTTTATTGCTGTTAATTACAAAAGTGTGACAAATGGGGACTTGGTATATGTTTGGTTGGTTGATTGGTTGGTTGGTTGTTGGGAGTGATGAAGATGATGATGATGAAGATGATGATGATGATTATGTGTCAATGGAAATGTAAGAGTGCGCCCATGTATGTTATGTGTCCACTCGCTAACGTAATGAAATTAATCTTGACGACCCAACAGTCTTCTCCTGAATACCTTCTCTGGTGTGCTGTGTTATTGGTTGGTTTGTTGAGTTTGTGTATTGTTAATAATGGCTCCATGATCATTCGTCATATGATTGATATACATACATAACGGTAACTTCAGCTCCCCATCCACTCATAGCGTCTCTCTCAAGAGCTGATAGCATGCACTGTGATATCGTTTCGAAAAGCTCCTCCTCATTCTACACCAAGTTGTTAACATATGGTCATGATTAGTTAATATTCGTGTCATTCCATCCATCATCAATGACCTGATGATCAAATATACATACCATATCCTTTCTATATAATGTCTCACAGAGACCGTACATGGCTGGTGTCATTGTGCCCACCAACAAGAAGTCATCAGTGCTAACGAGTGCTCCAATCAAGTCCATACCAGAGATGAATGGCTTGTTATTCTCATCCAATCCACAAATTACTGGCTCTGTGAAGTATGGTCCGAATCTGTGTCGAAGCATTGTTAGAATGATCACAATCAATCAAACATTGATTACAAACTACAAATGTATACATACCTCTTCTCGTACAACATGTTGGCAATCAGATTGGTTAGGACTTGAGGAGTCATGTCACGCTCCTCTCTGAGCTTGTATAGGTTGTGACGGAACATCAACTTTTGATAGAGTGTTTGAGCGTCGGTGACCAGACCAGCAATACCAACAAAGCACTTCTCATTGATTCTATACACCTTTGGGAAGTTATTCGAGATGGTCTGATGCTGAATACCATAACGCAAATCGGAAGCTATCGCTACACAATTCTTGCCAGTCATAACAATGACGGCACCTCCATTATATTCCATTATACTCATTCTATGTTCTTTCTTTGTTTATATTATATATATATATGGTTTGTACAATATGTATGTAAGTATGTGTATGTTTAGTATATGTATGTTCACAAAATATAAAGAGAGAGAAGTGATGATTAAACTTTGATGATCATCACACTTCACAATCAACAAAAATTGAAATTAATTCAAATTGATGTTCACTTGAACATCATGAAGAGAGTGGTGGGGGATGAATGAGAAGAACTCAAAGTCGAAGTCGAAGATGGATGGATAGGAGTCAAGGTGTCATTGGACAAGTACATGAAGTGTATAATGTAGTTATATTATTATGTCTGTGTATTTACTGGTTGAGGTAACAGTTGTTTCAGATGTTCAAACAACTTCCTCTCAACAAAGATGTTCTTTTCAATAATATCTTGTCCAATGTTATAACTTAGGAATGCTTGTGTGTTATACTTGATCACTACAATGATGAATTAATGAATGAATGATTGAATGATTGAATGATGTGTTAGACCTTTGATAAACAGTTTGAGCCCAACTAACATGAATCATACCTATTCTCTTTATAATTGATTGTGAATTGTTATCGCTGGAATTGTATAGTAAGTGTGATACAGCTGGTACATTGTCCTGATGATTGATTGATGATGTGATCGATGTTAATATCCGACGTATGCTAAGCATGCCAACATGTTGTAACATACCATTGGTATCTTCATTGATACAAGCAATGCATTGATTGATGGTGAAGATGCACTCTCACCAATCCATATGAATACAGGTGATGTTGATGTGTTCTTGAATGTATAGATCATATAGTATATCTGAGTCTCATCATTATATGTCTCTATAAACTTATTGACAGATATATTACTGTTCACAGCATCATCCACAACCTTTAGATCACTTATATTGACACTATCCAATACACTACTCTGTCGTTGTTGATTCAGCTGATCATCGTCATCATCAAAAGAGTCCATTATTTGTATTTGTGTGTAAGTGTGTTTGTTTGAATGATGAATGAGGAAATGACTGATTAATCTTATCTTTTTCCTTTCGTTCCCATAATAATAATGATATAGATATAATGTATGATTTAGATTGATATGATGATTGATTGAATGATGGGTCCAGGACTTCTATTCAACAAACATGAAGACTCCATCATCTCCTTCATTGCCTAAACATTCAGGCAATAATCAATCAATCATGGATCGAATTGACACCTGCTCCTTTTATTCTTTATTCATTCACTCATTCATACACTCAGTCATCATTGATATACTAGTAGTAGTCTTGACAGTGATCTAAAGAGACACACTTGGGTATGTCCCAAAGTTTGAAATTATGGGATGTCTCTCTGTTTCCCTCATTTGGATTTTGGACGACTGATGACGAGGTTGATTGAGTGACGGTGCTGTCCAAACAAAGTGATATCCATTATTCTCAACTTCAACAAATACAAATAGTAATATTATAATAGTAGTATTAATAATGGCATCACCAATCAATCAGTTGTTGACATTGACATTGTTGATATCCTGCATGGCAGTGATGATGTGCCATGGCTACATCCCATCATTGACACCCCATGTGTATACAGAGGGCCAAGAGATTCCAATGTTTATAAACAAGTTAACATCGATTGAATCACCAGCTCCATATCTCTTCAACTCATTGCCAGTGTGCAAACCAAACACACAACCAAGGAATGACAACTCATCATACAAACAACCACCACCACGTAACATTGGACAAGAGTTGCTTGGCGAAGAGATGCAGAGAACACTATACAAGTTCAACTTCCTCAAGAATGTATGGTGTGCCGTATTGAATGCAATGCCTGATGCCCAATGCAGCAAGGACAACAGGCTGGACCAATCTCAGCTCGACCAATTCATTCACCTCATTCGCAATAGTTACCATGCCAACATGATCCTTGACAGCCTTCCAGTTCGTCCACTTTCAAACCCTCATTACCTTGGTACGAGGCTTGGAAACAACTATGTAAGTGACATTGATCCATTCATCCATCCATCCATTCATTCATTCACTAATATGATCGATCAATCAAAAAAAAAAGGATGACCAGGACTACCTTTATAATCACTTTGACTTCACTGTGACGTATCGACCTACTAATACTAGGATGGAGAATGATACTTATGAGATTGTCGGCTTTGAAGTCAACCCTGTATCAAAGGCATATCAATCCCAAGAGTACAATCCGAACACTCCAAACATATGTCCGTTTGGTGATCGCGCCGGTCTGCCAATATCAAACAGGACACTGGTTGGTGACAACCCATTCGTATTATGGACGTACAGTGTCAGGTATCAACTGAACGAGAGCATGTCTTGGAGTGATCGATGGAAGGCCCCAGAGGACAGGCTAGAGGATATCCTCAGCTTGATTACTGCGTTGTCCACTGGTGCATGGTTGGGCTTGGCCATTGGCGGAAGCATCAACATGTGGAGACTATGGCGCAGATTCAACGCAGTTGTGGAGACAGAGGAATCTACACGATGGAAGTTGATCCGAGGTGATGTCTTCAGAGCACCACCACTTCAATATCAGATGATACTACCAATCCTCATCGGCTGTGGCATTCAAGTAATGTGTGTCGTACTCCTATCACTATTCCTTGGAGCCATTGGATTCTTCTCCCCCGTCAACTATGGTTATATACCAATGGCTATCATTGCTCTGTTCACTGTCACATCGTATGTATACTCGGTCTGTCTGTTTGGCTGGCAGTCAGTCCATCATGAGACTCATTCATTCAAACACTTGACTAACAATAAGTGCATCCGTGTTTCAGTATGTTCTCTGGTTATTTCTCAACAAGGAACTACATGTTGTTCAAAGGAAGAGACATCAAGAAGAATGCATTGTTGGTAWGTGATCAACCCTCAACCCTCGACCCCAACCCTCAACCCTCGCCATCGCCCTAACTCATCTTCCAACCAGGCGGCACTATGCCCTCAAGGAGTGATATTCATCATATTTGTTATCTCTGATATATGTCTAAAGAGTCTCGATTCATCGGCTGCAATCTCGACTGGCTCAATGTTCACTTTGATTGGACTTTGGCTCGGTATGTCTGTGCCCCTTTCATTCTGTGGCAGTTATTACGCATCAAAGATGCCAGTGTTTGTTGACACCGAGACCAATCAATTCCCACGAGAGATACCAAGTGGAACACCATGGTACTATAACCGTTGGTTCACAACATTGACCATGGCAACAACACCTGTATCAATGATCGCAAGCACCTACAATGGAATTTTAAAGACCAGCTGGTCAGCACTGCATATCAACAACAACGCCAACTACACCATGGCAATGTTTACGATGTTATGTATATTGTCTGTAGTGGGCTTGTCCACGTCCCACTTCATCGCGCTAGGACTCTTAAGATACGAGAATTACCATTGGTGGTGGCGATCATTCGAGACGATGGGCTTCTCTGGCTTCTACCTATTCATCATCACATTGTTCCTAGTCTGCAATTGGGGAGGTGCCAGCAGTGCCAGTGCCATCTTCATCTACTCATGCTACTCGCTCATGTTCTCACTCTGTCTAAGTGTGATGGCTGGATCCGTTGCCTATTACTTCAGTCTGCACTTTGTTCGAAGGATCTACTCTACCATTCATATCAACTAACATTCAATGTACAATACTTGGACCTGGCCTTTTCCTTTACCTTCTACCCTTTACCCTCGCCCTTGAATGGCCCAAGACAACGAACTACAACAACAACTACAACAACATATATAGATACAGGAGACGGCACAAATGATTGTTGACACTCATTCGCCGGCGACCGAGGAGGTTGTTGGTGAGAAGACATATCCAAATGATGTTGTCAGCATGGTCATGAACACTACTAATCCAGGATCAGGACCAATCGGGAGACACATTTGAGTGTGTCCAAAGTTTGAATTTATGGGATGACATTTTGTTTCCCTCATTTGGATTTTGGACGATCGATGACGAGGTTGATTGAATGACGGTGATGGCGAGGTAATGTAATATCCATTATTCTCAAACTTCAACAAATACAAATAATAATAATATTTTAATAGTAGTAATAATAATGGCATCACCAATCAATCAGTTGTTGACATTAACATTGTTGATATCCTTCATGGCATTGATGTGCCATGCCTACATCCCATCATTGACACCCCATGTGTATACAGAGGGCCAACAGATTCCAATGTTTATAAACAAGTTAACATCGGTCGATTCACCTATTCCATATCTCTTCAACTCATTGCCAGTGTGCAAACCAAGAAAAGACAGCTCATGGAGCAAACAACCACGCAACCTTGGACAAGAGCTGCTTGGCGAAGAGATGCAGAGAACACTGTACAAGTTCAACTTCCTCCAGAATGTATCGTGTGCCGTATTGAATGCAATGCCCGATGCCCAATGCTATGATGACAACCGAATGGATCAATCTCAGCTCAACCAACTTGTTGACCTCATTCTCAATAGTTACCGCGTCAACATGATCCTAGACAGCCTTCCAGTTCGTCCGCTTAAAAAACGTCATTACCTTGGTATTAATCTTGGCGGTGAATATGTAAGGCTCATCCATCCATCCTTCCTCCTTTCATTCATTCACTAATGTGATCATTCATTCAATCAATCACTCAATCAATCAAAGTATGGCGATCAGTACCTTTATAATCACTTTGATTTCACTGTGACATTTCGACCAACTAATACTAGGATGGAGAATGATACGTATGAGATTGTGGCCTTTGAAGTCATGCCTGCATCATTGTCATATCAATCCAAAGAGTACAACCCAAATACTCCAAACATTTGTCCGTTTGGCGATCGCGTCGGACTGCCAATCTCAAACAGGACACGCATTGGTGACAACCCATTCATACTATGGACATACAGTGTCAAGTATCAACTGAATGAGAGCATGTCTTGGAGTGATAGATGGACGGCCCCAGAGGACAGGCTAGAGAAGGTAATCAGTTTGGTGACTATGCTTACCACCGCAGGTTTGGTAGGCTTGGCCATCGGCTTGACCATCTCTACATGGAGAGAGTGGCGCAAATTCAATGCGATTGAGGAGACTGAGGATTCCACGCGATGGAAGTTGATCAGAGGTGATGTATTCAGAGCGCCACCATTACAATACCAGATGATACTACCAATCCTCATCGGAAGTGGCATTCAAGTGATGTGTGTCGTACTCCTATCACTATTCCTAGGACTAATTGGATTCTTCTCCCCAGTCAACTATGGATATATACCAATGGCTATCATTGCTCTATTCACTGTTACATCGTATGTATAGTCAGACAGTCAGTCTGTCACCAATCATTCATTGGTTCATTCAATCACATTGACTAACATGTCATAATCTTGTCTTAGTATGTTCGCGGGATACTTCTCAACAAGGAACTACATGTTATTCAAAGGAAATAATATCAAGAAGAATGCTTTGTTAGTATGTGATCATCCATCATCTATCAACCCTCGCCCTCGCCCTAACCCTCGCCCTAACCCATGGTCCACAAGACTGCGCTATGTCCTCAAGGAGTGATATTCTTGATATTTGTTATCTCTGATATATACCTTAAGAGTCTAGGATCATCGGCTGCAATCTCGAATGGTTCAATGTTCACATTAATTGGCCTTTGGCTGGGCATCTCTGTGCCTCTGTCATTCTGTGGCAGTTATTACGCATCAAAGATGCCAGTGTTTGTAGACACCGAGACCAACCAATTCCCGCGCGATATACCCAACATCACACCATGGTACTATAGCCGATGGTTAATCACGCCGTTCATGGGTACGGCACCAGCTTCATTCATCTCGAACTTCTACCTTGGCGTTCTAAGAACGATCTGGTCCTCGCTTCTAATCAACGACAATGTCAACTACCCCATGGCAATGATATCGATGCTCTGTATGCTGTTCACAGTCGGCGTGTCGTCGGCCAATCTCTGCATCAAAGGTCTCTTCAGATACGAGAACTACCATTGGTGGTGGCGTGTATTCGAGACGATGAGTTTCTCTGGCGTCTACCTATACATCATCACATTTGCCTTAATGTCTATATGGGGAGGTCCCAGCAATGCCAGTGCCTTCTTCATCTACTCTTGCTACGCGCTCATCTTCTCCCTGTGTCTAAGTGTGATGGCTGGATCCGTTGCCTATTACTTCAGTCTACACTTTGTTCGAAGGATCTACAGTAATATTCATATCAACTAACTCATCATCAATCATCACCATTCAATGTATAATACTCCAATCATTGGCCTTGCTTGGCCCTTGCCTTTGCCCTCGCCCAGATATTGCGTGTTGAGAGTGTGATGCCCAATCACCACGCGATAAACAGGATGAACCCAGAGCTGTTCTTTGTTATTGATGGACACTTTTCAAATAAATGTGCTTCTGTGGTCCCCGCTTGGCCCAGGACCCTTTTGGACCTGTTAGGTGATGATGGCCTCCACCCCTTTTCCCACGCATACCCCCACGAATGAATGAATGAATGTATCTCAATGGACACCACGACTTGAGTTCACTCATTCTTTCATTGTGTGTCAGTTGGTTGATGTTTACAACATTGTTATTCATTCAACTCTTTCAACTCATCCCATTCATTGTTATTATTACATTACTTTGTACATTATTTAGATAGATAGCGAGCAAGGAAAGACAAATGGCAACTAAAGGTGTGGCCACATCTTCATCATCATCATCCGAGAGGAAACAAGAGGGTGGACTACAACTGAAACAACAACAACAACAACAACAACAATATGTTAGACCAGACTCTTCACGAGGTACAAACAACAACAATAACAACAATAACAATAATAATAATAGTGTCAGTGATGATGATGAAACATCGGACTACTCTTCATCGGAGTATGACACAGAGTCATTCACATCGTCATACTATGACAGTTATACAGCGGATAGTTATACAGATAGTGACTATGAAAGCAGCAGTTATACAGACACTGACGACTCTGACAGCGATCATGAACATGAGGGTATCATCAAATCAACGCCCGACAAGGCTCCAGTAGTTGAGGCGACCCTAATGGAAGAGCAACCACATCAACAACAACAACCTAGTATACAATGCTTGGTACCAGACAGAGACAAGGACCAAGACAACGCGCATCAACTCCAACTACAACAACAAAATATAGAGATTCAGGAGCTGGCACCAATGATTGTTGACACTCATATGTCGGCACCGACCGAAGAGGTTGTTGTTGGAGAGGAGACACATCCTAATGATGTTGTCAGCCATGACCAAGAACATGCCCAGGAGCAGGACCAGGACCAGGACCAAATTGGAGATGATCTTAGCTCATTGACATCAATGGTACAGTTGCTTGACAACTTGGCCATTGGTGACCAACCATCATCATCATTGTATAGTATTGAATCGTTGGAACTGGATCATCATTTGGTCGGTCTGGAAACTGGAGTGGCGGAAGGTACATTCACATTGGATGGACTGAGTGTCGAAGGCATCTCATTGGATAGTTTAAATTATGAAGACAATGCAGAGCTGGAGAATACTGCCAGCTTGCCACTGCCCATCCTACTTCCATCAACGACCACCACATCAACAGCGATTACCAACACCACCAATACCATAGCGACACTACCAACTACAACAACATCAACAACATCAACAAAAACATCAACATTGTTGCCAATATCAACAACAAGTGAGTCAGCTTCAGAGAGCAGTGACTATGAAACTTATACGAGTAGCAACACATTTAGTGATGATTATACCACTTCCAGCAGTGAATATGACTCTGACTACAGCTCCAGCTACTCAAGTGTCAGCAGTAGTGATGCTGGCGACTACTCCGATACTGAGGAAGACTCTGGAAGTGACATGTCCTCCTGACACCCAATGCGTGGACATGCCCGATCAATCCAATAAAAGGGTATTATTAATTATTATTTATTCAAATAACTGGATTAGATTGATTGATTTGTTGATTGATTGAGTGGGTAGGTACATCGAGATTAGGGAATGAACTGGCTGGATGTTTATCCATCAGTCCATCCCAAGTTATATTTATTACAATACATGTATAATAATTAAATAAGGTTTGTTCGTTCGTCCATCGACAGCCAACTTAGAGCAAGAGGGCAGCGAGGGCAAAGACAACGCTGGCAAGGATGGTGGCAACGCTGAAGGTGGCACGGCTGCTTGAGTTCTTGTGAACACAGGCACCAGAGGTGAACTGTTGGGTCCAGTATGGTGTGCCCTTTCCAGACACTTGCAGACCGATTCCAATCAACTGGTAGTCACCAATCATGTTGGCGAAATGACCTGCAGAGTTCTTCCAGGCAGTGACAACAGAGTCATCAGATTGTTGGCCAGCTGCGACATTCTCAGCAGCACCAGCGGTGTAGTTTGTCGATCCATATACTGTGAACCTCTCATAAAGGCCGCCATTAGGATCGTCATGTGTCATTGTGTTGGTGCTATTTGATTGATTGATTGATTGATTGATTGAGTCAGTGAGCGAGTGGGCCAATATGATGATCGATCAAGCAAACATACTTTGCTTGGTACTCAGAGTGGAATTGTGCAGAGTCCATAAGACATGGACTGAGCTTTAGTGGACTCTTTCCATTGTCTGCTCTAATTTTGTTGACCAAAGACAGATGGTAGTTTGGATCTGTGGTGACTGTTGCATCTTGCTCGGCCAATGAGATAGCCAATGTCAAAGACATCAACATCAAAAGTGTAATAAATAACTTCATTTTATTGTATAATATTATTTGTGTATAATTATTTGTTTGTTTGTTTTAGAATTGGAAGAAAGGACTTGTGATGTCCTGATTGGACATGTCGTGCTTGCAATCTATCAATCATCACATTGTTGTCATTATTATAATTATTATAATAATAATTCATAAATAGAATGTATCTTCCATAGATTTACACTTGTAGGCAAACATCAATCAATGTCGGGTAACGGCTTGGCACTATCACTCATAAATTTGGGGTGTGATCAAAAAACAGATCAAAGGACCCAAACCCACCCCCATCAATTCATTGTTGGGCATTGCGACATTCCAAATTGCAAGCCAACTGTGAGCGGGTTGGGTTCACAATCACCTTGAGACATGTCTAAACCGTTGACGTCTGAGACATATGGTTGCGCTTATACCAAGGTTTGGTCTATGCATGGTCCAGTCCATCTTAATCATGGAAACGCGGTACTACTAAGGCTACGACTAAAGTTCGATGTGTATATATATAAATATAAGTTTATGGATGATGATTATCTCAAGTCGTCGTTGTTGTTGTGGCAGCAGCAGCAGTTGTCGTTGTTGTAGTGAGCTTGGAACTGGTGTCATTGTCATCCAATGTAATCTTTACTCTCTTCATCGTGGCAACCTTGTCGACTGCCATTGAGCTGTTGTTGTTTCCATTGATAGGTGATATAGGCGATGTTGGTGATAGTGGTGACTTTGGTGTTGATGATGGTGATGCGATTGGTGACTTTGGTGATGTTGGTAGGAGGATGGTGCTGATGTTGTTGGTTGTGATGCATGTTGTGTTGTCAATGTCGTCATTGTTGATGTTAATCGTGTCGGTAATGGTATTGGTGGTGGTCGTAGCGTTGTCAATCGTGGTTGTAGTCATAGGCTGAGGCGGAGTATGACTATGGATAGCGTCTTGCTCGGCAATGTGTTCAATGGCTTGTTCTCCACCATTGACCTTATTTTCGTCTGCCAGTGGATGTTCGTCTGATTCCTCAGACTCGTCTTCCTCCTCCAACTTCCTTTTCTGTATCCTCTTCTTTTCCTGTTGTCCCTCTTCCATCTCATCCATCGACACAGTCTGCGCATGTGCCTCTACCTGTTCCTGCTCCTGCTCCTGCTCCTGCTCCTGTTGTAGTTGCTGCTCTTCATACTCCTGCTCCTGATCTTGGTGTTGCTGTTGCTGCTGCATCTGATCCTCATCATTAACATCCTCAGAGGTAGACTTGTTGTTCTCATCTTCGTCGTCGTCTTCGTCTTCGTCATCATCGTCACTGTTGCTGCTGGATTGCATGTCTGAGGCAGAACCATTGTTGGCATCATCATTCTCGTGGATCATGTTGGTAAGGTCATCGCCAACATTGCCATGCTCAACATATCTCTCGTCCATGTATTGCTCGCCCTGGTCCGAGTCGTCAGATACGTCCTCTCTGTTGAAGTATGCCTCCTCGTCCTCGTCCATCTCGCGCTCGTTGCGCTGCTGATTCAGCGCGCACAGTGCCGGACTGTCGTAGGCGTGCTTGATCTGGTCGTACTTGAGGATCAGGTGCCGTAGGACGTCCGTGTAGGTGATCGATTCAAAGAGGTCGCGGTAGCGCTCCACCAGGTAGATGATCAGCGCCTTGATGTTCTCCTTGTAGATGAACTGCAGCAGCTCAAAGATGGCCGAGTTCAGCAGGTTGTAGCGCTGGATGTTGTCCTTGAAGATGCCGATGATTGGGTCGAACAGGTGCTCGTTGATGATGTGGCTGTTGTACAGGTCGTCCTTCATGCTGACCAGGCAGCGGAAGAAGCGAATGGCGCACAGCACCAGATAGCGCTCGGTGCACTGCGCCAGGTTCAATATCTTTTGCGCAATGTTCTCCTGCACGATGAAGCTCTTGATCCTGAACGAGTGATGCTTAATGCAGTAGATCATCAATTCGATCACGTTGTACAATACGAATGACTCGAGGTTACTGCTTGGGTCGCCTGGTACCAATGGTTCGCCATTTGTTGGGTTTGTTGTTATCGTCGCCAATGTTGTAGTTGTCGTTGTAGTAGTCGTAGTCGCGTCCTTGTTGTGATTGATGGTTATATCCGCCAGTGGCGCAACCAACTCATATATACCCTTATCATAAAACAGTCTAAAGAACTCGCTCACCTGGACACGTGGATATTGGAGAATGATGATTTCGGGGGTGGGTAAGTCACGTGATCATCCAGGATCAGTCAGCTGACTGACTGACATCAAACAATGTTACATTACATACCTCGCTAGCGCTTGAGTCTGCATCGAGTAGAACCTTGATGATCTCCACCACCTGATTCTTTACGCCAATGTCCTTGTCCTTGATGAAGCCTGACAGCAGTTGCGTCAGGAATACAGTGTTTGATAATATATAGCTTCTCAGCAGTCTTGTATCATGTGATAGAGTGGAGAGTATGATCTCCGTACTGTAATCGCGCAAGGGTAGGGTGGGGATGAGTCAGCTGACATATGTCACTGTCACGTGATCGATGTCACTGTCACGTGATCGGATACTTACGTCGATTGTCTAGTCTGTGGATTTGAATCGTCGAGTGTGATGGATAGCGTGTTGAAGAGGTCCATATCAACCAGTGTGAGGAAGAAGGCAATCTTGTTCTGTGGCTGCAAGTTCTTGGCCAGCGTGCACAGCTCCTGGAGGAACGTCATCAGGTCCCTCCTATCGGAGGACCCAGGTGTACTGCTCTGTATCTGCGCGAATCTGTATTGGACATGATTGGATTGATTGGATTGAGTGAGTGAGTGAGTTTGGAGTTGAATTGGACTGGCCTGGCTGTGGTGTGAATGTGACAATTACAGTTTCTGGAGGAATGCCGTGTCCTGCTGGATCTGATTGACAATCTCTGTGTTGTTAAAGTAAACGATTGAGGTGAGCGTGGCAAAGGTGATGTCGTCTAGTACGCGAGGCAATACGACATCCTTGAGATACTGGATTCTAAATGTCTGGTGGATGGTACTAATGACCAAGTCCGATGAGAACTCTACCACCTCCTTGAACACAACGCTCTGATTCAGGAATACTCTATGCTTGATCCTATTCTGTTCTGCAATATCCGGATCATCTATTATGTGTAATTCATTGATTGATTGATTAGTGATTGGACGAGTGTGATCATGTGATGCGACTAGTTTGTACTTACACTCTAGGACGCCCATGACCTTGAGCAGGTTCTCTTCTGATAGTAGGAACTCTAATATCGAGGTGTCGTTGAACAATACTATTGGTAGTGTGATTGATGGGTCAGTGTCAGTCGATCGATCAATCGATCAATCAATCAATCAGTCGATCAGTCCAGGAAGTCAGTCAGCTGACATGGATGTGATTGATCAATCACATACTTAGATTCTTAAATATGATAAATAGGTTATGTAGGTTTGGTAGATCATGCTCCTCCTCCAACTCTTCGAACAAGCTCAGCAATGATCTGATGTAGTCCTGTGTGATTGATGAATGAATGAATGAGTGCCCGTCAGGCCAGCCGAACTATGTTAGTGTGATGATCACGTGATGGACCAGCTGATGCAAAAGGCCAAGGCCAAGACCAAGACTACCAAGATACTTACTTCTCTGATGATGATATTTACAATCCTCTCACGAAGAGGCGATGCAAGAGAGGGATCGAGCAAGTCTCTGATCGCCTCTAGGTTGGCGCTGTAGGGTTCGGGCAGCTCGCAATCGCCAGAGCCGCAGGTATCGCCGCCTTGATTGGTTGAGATAAAGTCCCAGACGTCCTGACAGCCACCGGCGTCTTGGAAGCTGATGGCCAGGTCCAGACTGGTGTTGGGCTCGGTCCACACGATCAATGTGTCCTGTTGGCGTTGATAGACGTCGATGGTATGTACGCGTGACTCCAATATCAGGTTACCGCCCTCCTCAGATTTGACAATCAGACAATGTGCCTCTATCGTCTCGTTGAATGCGCATGACACATATCCCGTGCCCTTGTCCTCCCATCGTGCGTCAGAGTCCAGCTGGTACACCTTCACTCTCTTTCTTATATCCATACTATATATATATATATTCCTGTCTATCTAAACAATGTATGATTGAGTGTATGTCAGCTATTCAATGTTCTTGCTTTGCCAACATGATGTCATCTCACTCATTCAATCAATCTTGTTTGTTTGTTGATGTCAATGATGTCGTACTTTATGCAATTAGCCTTCATGTACCTGTATCTTGAGGGGATGTTGTTGGAGGTGCAAGAGTGAAGAGAGATAGATCTGAGGATTGTTTGAAAGATGTGATGATGATGATGTTCAACAACAACAGCAACAATGACTACAACTATAACGGCTGTATATTACTTCTGCAGTAGGGTAGGGTTATTGTCGATAGCAGTATAGTGTAGTGTAGTGTGTCAGCTGATTGATTGATTGATTGATTGTTGAACATGAAGCGCGCGCAACTATCATCATCTGTCTGTTGTAAACTAATTTAAATAAATTGAATGGTTGTGTGTGTTGAAACAACTCAAGTTGAGTTGTGTTGATTGGTGCTAAAGGTTGAAAGAGGCGCCACCATTCCCTTGGGTTAGGGCAAGGGTTTGAGAGAATTTTGAAATTTGCGTCAAGTCGATTGAAATACACGATCTCTCTTTCATTGTTTGTTCAAACTTAAAAGTTGTGTAGTTGTGTAGTTGTCATTAACGCGAGTCATTTGACGACATCAATAATATATAATATAGTCAACATATACATATATATATTACTACTAACTATATTATAGCTTTATAGATAGATCATGTGTTGTATATATAACAATGGAAGATGGTGAATTGGATACTGCACCTCAACAACCAAAGCAACAACAACAACAACAACAATATCAACGCAATGTAAGAAGAGGTATGTTCATTCAATGTGTCTAATCATTCAATCAAACGAATCGATCAATCATCTCTAACAACAACATCAATCAATCAATCTATGTTGTTGGACCAAGTAGATAGTTTTCAACCAGCTTATGCTGGTATAGCAACAGGTGGAAGTGGAGGAGGAGCTTTTAGGTTTAGAGGACCACCTGGTGGACCTCCTCCTCCATTGGGACCACCTCCACATTGGCGTAGATCTCGTTCGAGATCACCTCCGCCAAGGTATTACCAACCGCTGCCACCAGGTGGCTTGCCGCCACCTTATCGGAATCGATCGAGGTCGCGGTCGCCACCACCCCTGCCTCCCCCACCATACTATCGGAGGTCGAGGTCTAGATCCAGATCAAGGTCGCCGCCCCTGCGACCAATGCGCTACAGATCACCGCCCCGACGTGGTGGCGGTCGTCGATCATGGTCTCACTCTAGGTCCAGGTCCAGGTCTCGTTCGAGGTCACGATCGCCTCCATATGGGCCACCTCCAGCGCGATTCAACAGCAGGTATCGTTCTAGGTCACGATCAAGGTCACCACCTCCACCTCCGCCTCCATCGACATCAACATCAACAGCTGCCCCTGCTGCCCCTGTTGCTGCCAACAGTAACAACACACACAATCAATAATAGCGCGAGGGACGATATCAAGCCAATCACACAACCAGTATCAGTACTACCTCTCCCTTTGCCAACCCCCCTCCCTCTGCCTCAGCCGCCACCTCAATCACTCCCACTTCCTCCTCCTCCTCCTACTCAGCCCCAACCACCAACACAGCAACAGCAACAGCAACAACCACAACAAGCAGCAGACACATTGCCAACAACTGAGGTGCTAAAGGAGACTTCACAGAAGCAGTATCTGCTCGATAACCTCGTCAAGCCGCAGTTCATGGCGAATGAACCAAACACAGGCCCTTTCCCTATCCGCTCACGTAGCGCGTACAACTGGATGATCATATTCGACTCGAAGCTGGCGGAGGCGCCCTCGGCCGGCGACGAGCTGGTCAGCATCCTGCACGCTGGTATCGCCCAACAGCAGTCCCTGGCGGCGCTATCTGGCGGGCGCCAGTACCGCGTCAATGGCTTTGCACAGGAGAACGACATGGCCGAGCAGATCTTTGTCGACTTTGTAGACCCGCGCCACAGCCACCACGCCAACATCCTCAACAGCATGTCGATGCTCAATCCCGACTTCCCCGTGCCACTCTTTATCAGCGACAAGAACACACAGGTCACCGTGCAGCCCAAGGTCATACATCTGTCGAACCTGCCACCCAACGCCGACGAGAAGGTGTTACGCGATCAGTTTGGACGCTATGGACAGATTGAGCGAACCAAGGTGTTCTACCTGCCCTCGGGTAACAAGATCAGCACAGGCATTGCAACTGTCAGCTTCAGCGAGGCCAACTCTGCCATCAAAGCTTTCAAAACCTTTGGCGAGAATCCTCTCATCCATGGACGTAAGATCAGAATCAATCTTGATCCTTCAGGTTATGTCTCTCAGACCATGTTCGACTCGCTGACTTCATCGTCAAAGAAGGTTAGTTGATCACTCACTCGATCATTCAATCAATGGAACTATTCCACCCACTCACACCCAATCAATCATTTAGAGGTTATTGTCGACGTCTGCATTGATGAGCGATATAGGAATATCGGAGTATGGCAGCAACCCTGTGACATCACCAACACTCAATCAATCGTATAGTACTGTGCCAGCAGGCGACTGGATGTCACAGTTTGGTCACTCAAAGTCATCATTCAAACAACAATACACTGGCAACAACAATGGCAGTATTAATGGCGGTGGAGACATGGACACAATCACAACAACATCATCAAAGCCACAAGACAACTCATCTGTGTCAACAACAGCATCAACAATGGACATACCCACAAAGACAACGACACCTCCGCCTCCACCTCCACAGTTTGAGTACGACCCAGCACATCCCACCGACTCGACCACGTCGCCCATCAGGGGACAACGACCAAAGGACCACTCGTACGACAAATCCGACTCAATGTATTCACCAAGGCGAGATAATTATCCACCTCCTCAACATGCTCCTCCTCACTACTATGCATCAAGGCCCCCAGCTGGTCAGAATCATCAATCACTCTCAAAGCCTACAACACCTCCACTTCATCAACAACAACAACAGGGTCACAATGTACAAAGTCCATATCATTCAGGCGAAAAGCCTCCAGTTGTAGCATCATCAACTCCTTCGACCACACCTACAATGGTGGCCCAACAACACACAGACAACCAACCACCAGTAGCCACAGCACTGGACTTGAACAAGTCCAACACACTGTCGTCATCATCATCTTCAACAACAGACCCAGCCAAACGAAAGGATGAGAAGCGCGAGACTCCTGTTGAAGAGTCACATCCTCCAATCGATCGCAGGAAGTTAATGCTGGAGAACACTGAGCTGATACAAGAGCTGTGCGAGCGTATTGTAATCAAGGAGCTGTTGGCCATCTCGTCAAAGGATGCCAAGAAGGCTATTGTCGAGGCAGAGATTGCAGCAGCCATCAAGAACATCGAGCTCCAGCATCTATCGGGACAGGGCGGCGCAGACACTCCTTTGAGCAAGTCAGGGACGACGGCCATTGCCGTCAAGCAGCAGCCTCAGGAAGAGCAGGCAGCGCCCACCCCAACCTTGGAGCCGGTGACACCAACGCGCACTGCCCTGGCCAGCGCCGACAAGTCAGAGTCGACCTTTGACATCGCCTCCCTGCCGTCATTCAAGAAGAACACAAAGTACTCCAAGAAGAAGGTCGAGGATGTTGGATATGCCGATGATGATGAGCCAAGAAGGATACAAAGGAGGAAGCCAAGGTCGACTGAGGAGAAACAGCAACGAAGTAGCAGGATCAGCACTCGTGCGCCTAGAAAGAAGCCAACAAAGACACATCATGGCGATGATATATTCGACGACGACGAAGAGGACGAGGAGGCGAGGAGCTCCCCTGTCCACCCCACCACCAATCCAGCCACAACCAGCGAGCAATCCACAGCAGCCGCCTCACTCAACAGCAGTGACTCGGAGGAGTCGATCTCAGAGTCGGACCTGATGAATCAGGAGATATTGGAGGCCGAGCAACGCAAGCAACGAGAGCGCGAGAAGAAGAAGAAGAGAAAGACGAAGAAACAGCAGCAGAAGCAGCAGCGACGCGCTGAGGAGGCGACCCCACCCGACGACGAAGACGCCTACTACCTCAAGTACGTTCTCAATCAGAGCAACAATGGCGTGATCGACGAGGACATGGAAGTCGATGACCAGCAGGCGCCCCTCGACGACGATGAGGAGCACGCCCAGGATGAGATACTGCCCATTGGCAACCCGAGTGGCTGCGCCAGGACAGAGTCCTATTCCAAGCTGGACCGCGAGCTCAAGAAGCAACAACAACAGGCAGCATCAACCGTGCGCAGGACGGCTGGTCTGGAGATCGAGCTGACCAAGTCGGCACGAAGCAGTCGATACGAGAGCAGAATGGGTGGCGACACGATCCTCACATCCAGGAAGAAGATGATCAGATTCTCCCGTTCATCCATCCACGACTGGGGTCTGTTTGCACTGGAGCCCATCCCCGCCAAGGACATGGTGATCGAGTACATTGGAGAGATCATTCGTCAAAAGGTTGCAGACGAGCGAGAGAAGCGATACGTCAAGCAAGGCATTGGTAGCAGCTATCTCTTTAGAATAGACGACGACAATATCATTGATGCCACATTCAAGGGTAACTTGGCAAGGTTCATTAATCATTGTTGTGATGTAAGTTCATTCATTCATTCATCTTGTTCATCTAGTTCATTCATTAACCTTTCAACCTCTCTCTGTAGCCAAACTGTATAGCAAAGATAATTCAAACTGGATCACATAAGAAGATTGTTATATATGCCAAGAGAGATATCAACATTGGAGAAGAGATTACGTACGACTACAAGTTCCCATTGGAGGACGTCAAGATAGCATGTCTCTGCAAGTCACCAAAGTGCAGAGGTACACTAAACTAGGATGTCATATTCATTCATTCATTTATGATTGGGATTGATTGATGTATTTACAGTGACTGAGATGATTCAGTTGATGATGGGAGAGGTGACCACAACTCGGACATTGGATGATGGTGATGTTGATGGGACTTTGGATACACCAGCTGATTGAGCMAATGATTGATTTGAGTATGTCCAATCCACATCTCTTCTTTTGGTAGTAGTCTGAGATGCAATAGGGTAGCATCGAGAAGAACATGAGGAATAGTGATCCACGTCCATATCGGAAGACGGCAGGCAGTCGTCTGCCAAAGACCACTCGCATCACTGTGTCGGCAAAGCCTTGAAGTGTCATCTGCGCACCTTTGATCATCGATGTGCGTCCAATGATTTGTTCTCTGATGGGATAGTACAGTGAGTCTGGATTGTCCACCAGTTGACGCAGTCTTGGTATGGCACGATTGAGTATCTCAGTGCCAGAGATGGGGCCGGCCACTGCCGTGATCACCTTTACTCCAAAAGGGTCCAACTCCATCCTCAATGTATCTGACCATGATTGAACCGCCGCCTTACTTGCGCAATAAAAGCTGAGGAATGGTGTTGCGGTGATGCCCGAAGTACTTCCAACATTGATTATGATTCCACATCTCTGTTGTACCATGTGTTTGCTCACCTCCATCGTTGTTGCCACCAGTCCAAAGAAGTTAACGTCTGTTCATTAATTCATTTGATTGATTGATTGAACATAACATGTTAGATGAGATGTTTGAACAACATCAATCTTGTTCTCGACTTACCCATGACGCGTCTAAGCTCGTTGAGGGTCAGTTCGATCGCAGGTCCCATGCTGAGTACACCTGCATTGTTGATGAGTATGTCTATTCTGCCTTCAACTTCAATGATTGAATTGACAACGGATTGTATCATTTCTTGATTGGTCACATCTAGTTGTAGAGTATGTATACCTCTATCATTCATATCACTCATTGATTCAATTGAATGAGATGTTGCATATACATTGAATCCATAGAACTTGAACATTGAAGCCAGTTCCCTACCAATGCCTCCCGAGCATCCTGTTATCAACACAACCTTTACACGTTCTCCAGACTTCTTTCCATATATATTACTCATCCTCTTTATCTTTATCTCTATCTCTTTGAATAACTATGTGTGAATGACGTGTGATCAATCGCACTCACTCAATCAATCAATCATTTTCGCGAAGTGATGTTCACATCAAAGATCTTGGACATCACATGTTTATACAGGTAATTTAGAAGTTTAGTTGCTCCACTGGTACAAAGCTATAGTCTCCGATCTTGCGGGCTACCACTCCTTTGTCCGTGAAGAATCCTCCGTCTTTCCATTGTCTCATGGCCAGTCCAGTGAAATTCTGATACACATTGCCATCAGTCAATTTGTACTCCCATAGTATGTTATCCTCATCATTATCATCATTCTCCAATTGAGCTCGTGCTTGTTGTTGTTGGTCCGTCGTCGCCGTCGTCGTTGATTGATTGTTTCCATTATTATTATTATTGGCATTGGATGATCGTACTTGTGCAGGTGGCTTCCTTCCAATATCTTTATACAAGAGTTGTTGTACAACTTCCTTTGATTCGGTATATATATCTGTTTGAGTCGAAGGAAGGGAGGTCAGTTGTCGTGTCCGCGTCCAAAGTCCAAAGTCCAAAGTCCAGGATACATACTCATAAATCCATTGGCTAACAGATAATCAGTGGCCTCTGTAAGTTGAAGGAATTGTTGTTTCCTCTTCTCCTCCATATCACTGTCCTCTGCAGGCTTGGTCGTGGTCTCTTGTTGCTGTTGTTGCTGTTGTTTCAACAATTGATGTTTGTTCAACTTCTTCTTGATCACTGGTTTGTTGTTTCCACCAAGTCTTCTCAATGCTGCCAGTGATGTCTCGCCATCTTCCAGTATGCCAACCAACTTTGTCAGACACATTCGCCTATTATCACGTTCTTCGACTGTGGGACCCTTGCGTCTACGTTGTTTCTCCTCTTCCTCCTCCTTCTCCCACAGGTCCTCGTTCTCATCTGTCTGATCCTCTGCCTCCTGTTTCAACAACTCCTTCCTGCTGAGCTTTGGCACCTTATTCCTCCACACCTCATCGTACTCCTGTAGCCAAGGGTCGTCCTCCTTCTCTCCACTGGCCTGCTCATAAGTGCCATCCTGTTTATAATGACCCTCATCTCTCTCCTGTCGCAGATTGAATGGCATTATCTCCACTTCGTCGTCATCGTCATCATCATCATCCTCCTCTCTGACTCTTTGTTTTGTGTTGTTGTTGCGTGACTTGTTGTTGTTTGATGGATGGTCATAGTCATCTGGTTCTTCTTCTTCTTCACCTTCCACTCTCTTTATAATACCATCTTCACCGACTTCTTCAACAGCATCACGCATCTCACTCCTATCAAAGTATGATTCTCTCCTCTTTGTATCCTCCATTCTTTTCTTATACTTCTCATCAGCTCTTGCTATCTGTTGCATAATATCATCATCATCAATATATAATGATGGTCTTGATGATACTGATGTCATCTCTACATCCTCCTTCTTATTGTCATTGCCAATGTCTTTGCCATTTCCATTGTCTTTGCCATTGTCATTACTGTTGTCATTATGGAACACTCTAACTTCAGGTTGTTCTGTGAATCTGACCTTCTTCTCTGCAGCACCTCCAACAGGTATATCTTCTCCTTTTCGTTTGTTATTATTATTATCCATCCTCTATCTCTATCTCTATCTTATAAATATACAATGACTTGTCAAGTTCATTGAACAATGTTCATCACTGCAGCATGTAATCAACCAAACATAATGAACTTCCTTCAAAGTGAGGTGAGAGGATAAATTGAAAAAATCATTCAAAATTAAAAATGAATGGATGACGAACGAAAGTTTAGTTGGTCATTTGACAAAAACACGATAAAGAGTTAAAGATAATACAATATATATACATATATAATGGGACCAACTAAGAAGGCATTTAAGAAAGTTCCAGCAACGACCAAAGGATCAACTCGTTCAGAAAAGTCAATTGAGGATCTCTTTGGCAAAGGAGAGATTGATGATTGTAAATGTTTACATTTATGGGATTCCTTCAATGATGGTATTAACTAACATTGCTCAATCATATATATATAGTCGTCGATAAGAAGAATAAGATTGATTTATCAACTACAGATATAAAGCAACCAAAGAGCAACATAAAGAAGAAGGTCGAGGTTTTGCCTGTTGACGTCTCTGATGAAGAGGTTGAAGACTTTGACGATGATGATGAGGATGACTATGTAGACGACGATGATGAGGTTGATTTTGACGATGATGACCAAGATGACGACATGGACTTGTCTGCAAAGAAGTCAAGAAAGAATAAGGACTTGGAGAATAAGATGTCATGGGGCAAGGAGAAGTCGGACTATTACACAGAGAAGTTTGATGGCGAGGACGTCAGCTCAGAGGACGAGGAGGAGGAGGAGAAGGAAGCCATCGAGCTGCAGAAACAGAGAGCAAAGCTGGTGCGAGAGGAGGACTATGAGGAGGGTGAGTCATTCAACGACATCCTCGCTCAAAAGAAGGAGGCCACCGAGGGCAAGAAGAAGAAGAAGGCCGAGTCGGCCTCTGCCGCCAACCCAACTATGGCCAAGATCACCAGTGCACTGGACAACAGCGACGATGTCGAGCTGCTCCAAAAGAACCTGTCCACATTCTCCAAGAAGGAGAAGTTGCAGTATCTGATGAAGGAGTCGCCACTCCTATTCGAGTTGCTCGATGACTACAAAGAGAAGATATCAGAGATCAAGTATACCTTGATGCCATTGCTCGACAGGATAAAGAAGGAGCAGCTGCCCACCACCAAAGGTGTCAGCTTCCTCGAGACCAAATATCGTAAGTCCCTAACGCACGGGAGTCCTTCGCCCTTGACCCTCGACACTAACCCTCACCCTCTCATCCAACCAACCAAGACCTGTTACTAAGCTATTGTTTGAACATTACATACTTCTTGATGCTTAAGGCATCGGGCGCATCAATCAAGGACCATCCAGTTATTGACCAGCTGGTCAAGATACGTGTCATCCTGGAGAAGGTCAAGCCGCTGGACAACAAGCTGCAGTACCAGATCGAAAAGATACTAAAGACCGCGACACTCGGTGTCGTGTCGGCCTCAAAGGACGACCCAATGCGATTCAAGCCCAACCTCAAGGATATGTCACACGACGACGACGAGATGGACGAGGAGTCCAGACTGATGCAGCAGGCCGGTCTGTACCAGGCGCCACAATCGGCCGCCGAGCGATATGAGGAGGAGGAGTCGATCGAGATCAGAAAGAAGAACCGCGAGCTCAAGAAGAAGGAGCGTGCCATCAAGAGTTCCATGGCCAGAGATATCGAGGAGATGTTTGGTGATGCTCCCGATCAGCTGGACGACTATGTCGATGACCCCAACCGCATGGAGGACGACGATGCCAAGGAGATCAGAGAGTACGAAGAGAACAACTTTGTTCGTTTGACTCAAACCAAGAAGGACAAGAAGATCCAGAAGAAGAAGAGATTGTCCGATGGTCTTAATGTATGTTCAATCGATGGATCGATCAATCAATCAAACGGGAATGGCGCACATACTAACACCAACTACCAATATAGGACTTGGCTGACTTTAACGATCTGAGTGGATTGCTGGAGACTGAGGAAGATAGAGCAAGTCGCGATGACAAGGAGTACTTGAAGAAGAAGAGAATGGAACAGATTATGAGCTCGCTGAATCAGGTTGGAAAGACAAAGAGAGCAAGAAGTGGCGATGAGGATCTGCCTCTGCAGGAGAGGAAGAAGACTAGACTCTTGAGAAACAGAGACGAGGACAATGAGGAGCTGCACTCTGACCACGAGGAGGAGGTCGAGTATGACGGCGTGCCAAGAGGCCCCAACGACTACTCATCGTACAGAGACATGGTCGATGGCAAGAGAAAGATCTCAAAGCAGATCGAGACCAACAGAGGTCTCACCAGAACGAGAAAGAGAGAGCATCGCACACCACATCTGCGTCATCGTCACAAGTACGAGGCCGCCATGGAGAAGAAGGACAGAGCCACGCCCAAGGCCGAGCGCCAGGATGGCAAGTACAGAGGTACCAAGGCTATCAACTCCAGCGCAGTCAGAGGCCAGACCTATCTACATTAATTATAATAATAATAAACCATGCCATAGTCATTGGCAAGGGAGACATGTCTCAAACAAGATAACGCTTCGCGCGCGCGAGAAGGAAGGAGTATACAATAAGTTAGACTTGACTTTATGACAACTGATGTGGAGGACAAGGTGAACTTAGACGCGTTGCTGCTCGCTTCACTGTCTACAGTACATGGATTGTTTGATTGATTGAATGATTGAATGATTGATTGATAGTTGTTCTCCACCTCACATGGATGTTGTTGAGGTCGTTGATGTTGATGATGATACAGGTATATTGTGGTTGTTGATACCATCCAAGAGATTGTCGGCAATCGTCTTGACAATCTGTGATTCGTCCTGTTCGGATATCTCCAGAAGAGTCTGTTTCAGTTCGGTTAGTTGTTGGTTGTTGGTGATGTTGTTCAGCTTCAACTTGGCGTTGGTGGTTAGAACGATCTTGAGCAGGGTGATCCTGGACACGGGCGACTGATCCAGTCGCAGACAGGACAGCAGCTCGGGCACCAGTCCCACTTCGACGAGGTGGTCGATCAGTGTGTTGGAGCCCTGCATCAGCTGTAGCAGTGGGATGAGTGACTTTGAGAATGAAGGGTGCTTCACGTGGCTGACGTGCACGATTGACATCAGCTTCAGTGCAGACTCCCTGCATGTCAGGCGTTGATATACTGTCGATGACTCCAATGTTGTCCAAGCGGCAATTGATTCAATAGCATCTGCGAACCAGTTCCTGTCCTCTAGTAGTACCAAAAGCTTGTCCAATGTGTTGCACTCCCAAAGCTGCTTCCTGCTACTTGATGTCGAAAGTCTCACCAAGTCAAACAGTATTGGCAATGCAAGTTCCTGGATTGAGTTTGAATGGGTAAGTGATTGAATGAATATTGATTGATTGATTGAATAAGGACATACCTTCAGTGGACCTCTCTCATTGATGATCTGTAACAGTGGTGGCAGGATGCCACTCTTCAAAGCCTTGTCCTGTCTGGACTTGTCAAGAAGTAGTAGATGGTAGAGTGAGTGAAGCACTTGATTGTAGATCTCGCTGATCTTTTCAATGCCACCTTGTTCCAATCCAAGGTATGCAATCAGTGTTGATATGATCTCCACATTGTCCAACTTGGCCCTGTTGTTCTGGTCCATCGACAGGTTCTTGATCACCTTGAGTATACGTAGTACGAACGCACGCACATCCTTTGTAATCGACTTCCACATGTAGATCTCTTGTAGCACCTCGCGAATGTCCTTGAGCACGGCCTCGCTGCTCATCTCCTCCTTGACCAATGAGTCGCCTGTCGAAAAGAACAACAGGATGTCGGCAGCCTTGACACTGTAGGCCAATACACGATCAAATGCATCCTTGGGCAGCAGTTTGACGCTACTTGAGCTGCGGCTAACAGAGTGATGAAGCGCATCCTTGCTGAGCGACTTTTGCTTGATCTTGTTCTTGTGGTCCAGTTGTTGCTCAGTGTCTGTTGATGTTGGGATGAAGATCTGGTAGAGCAGGAAGGAGATGCGGTTCAGCAGCTCAGTGCGTGAGAATAGATGGCACAGCGACGTCTTGGGTAGCGCCGATTGCAGCTTGAAAACCTGCGAGATCGAGTCCAATGCGTTGTGTATCAGGACGGAGCTGTTGAAGTAGTCTGAGTCGACCAGGTCCACCAGCACCTTGCAGCCGCGGCTGCCTGCGATGAACATGTTGAGCGAGTACGAAGAGCTCAGACAGAGCTCCAGCACAAACTTGGACACCTCCTCGCGCAGCTCCTCGGGGTAGCGACGTGCGGCGAATGTCGTGATGATGGGGATTCCATTGAGGATGCAGATGGTCTCGAGAATGTCCTTGTCGCTGGACATTACTTGATTGATTAGCTTGAGTATCAGGTAGTGGTGGTCGCCATCTGACAGCGGCAACTCGAGTATCTCGAGCAGTGTGATGAGTGGAAGACGGAAGTATACGCCGCCCTCGCCATTGTTGATCAACAATCGCTTCTCTGTGGGGAACAGCAGGAGCAGCTCGATCAACTTCTCAATGACACGTGATGTCTCCTCGCTGGCTACCTCGCCCTGGAGTGTGGTCTGCAGATGCGAGAGAAGAGGCTTGAGCTGTGAGAGCAGATCGACGATGGTCTTGGTGACATGCTCCTTCTTCTTGTCTTGGAGATTGATCGTCGTTCGCACTCTGTCCTCCTCCTCGCTCCACATCGACACGCTGTCAAAGCTGTCCTCAATCTCGCTGTCCCACTCCTCGGTCGTGTCGCGTACCTTTAATTTGAGCTCCTTCTTGTCGCCCTGCTCCTTCTTCTTGTTGCTGTTTGTTGCGTCTTCATCGTCGCTGAAGCCATCAAATCCACCCTTGTCGTCCCATTCGGTGTCTGACTGCTTGTTGATCACCTTGAGAGTGTTGCTCTTGCCCTGTACCGACTTGAAAAAGTCATTGCCATCGTCTTGCTCGTCGTCGACGAACTTTTGCAACTTGAGCTTGATTGTCGATTGTGGCTGCTGCTTGGCCGCGGGGCCAAAGCCATCGTCATCATCATCGTCGTCCACAAACTTTGAAAACATCTTCTCAATGATCGCTTTCTTCTCCTTGCTCTGTTCCTTCTGTGTTTGTTGTGTCGTTGTTGTTGCTGGGGCAGTTGATGCAGGGGCTGGTGTTGAGGCCACTGCCACGGCCCCTGATGGTGTTGTTTGAGTCGGGCGTGGACTCTTGGTCGTGGGCAGAGCCTGCTGATTGAGTCCGCTGTTTGAGCTGGAGAGGGGGATGGGGATCTTGGCGAACCAATCTTTGCGCCGCCACTCCTTGGTGTTGGTGGCTGGCCAGAAAGCTTGCCGCTCGCACTTGTCGCCGCCTGCTTGATCTGTCCATTGCTCATATGTAGCGGCAGAGGCGGAACCATGGTCTTGGACCGTGGCCGCGTGACTATTTGCTCGGCCGGTATCGTCGCCACCTCCTGCATCTGTGCGTTATATGTTAGAATCTCCTGTCGCGCGTTCTTGACCTTGCCCTCAGCATTCTTCATCATTGCCACGGCTCTGATCCAAGGATGATTGAGTAGTTGCTTGGCCGAACTCCTCATATTCTCATCCTTTTTGAAACACTGCAGCAGGAAGTCCTTGAGGGCCGGCGATATGCCCTGAGGTATGGGCGGGTGATCCTCCTGAACGATCTTGTACAGTGCGGCAGCGGGCGCCAGGCCAAAGTAGGGCGGCTGGCCACTGAGCAGCTCGATGATCGTGCAGCCAAGCGACCATACATCACATGCGGTCGACACTCCCTGCATCTGGATCATCTCGGGTGCCATCCAGTAGGGTGTGCCTGCGAACGAGTCATCGGGATTGTCCGCGCTGAGGTCCGACACCTTTGTCGCCACACCAAAATCTGCCAACTTGATTGAGCCATCGGTGGCAATCAACAGATTGGCCGCCTTAATATCACGATGAATGACACCCTGTCTGTGCAAGTACTCCAATCCATTGAGCACCTGAGCGATATACACATTGACCAATCCCTCTGGCAGCAGTCCATGTCTCTTTACAATCTTTTCCAATGATCCATTCTCAATGAACCTATTGAATGATTGATTGATCGGGTATGAGTGAGTGAGTGGAGATACGAGATTGATTGAATGATCAAACATACTCCATTACAATGTATGAGTGAGATGATGTTGGGATGTGATCATAGTATCGCACGATGTTGTGATGCGACAACACTTTGAGTAGATTGATCTCGACCATCAGCATTGATTGTGACTCTGCAGACTTATCGCCCTTCTTTCGCTTTGTGATCTTGATCTTCTTGATCGCAGAGAAGTGTCCCTTTGTCTTATGTAATCCTTTATATACAACACCGAATCCTCCTTTACCAATGATATCAATCAATATCTGACAGATCAAGTCAATGAATGTAAGTTAGTCAACCATTCAAAGTCCGATCGATCGCTCGATCAACAACATACATAGTCTCCACACATCTCTTTATCGACCAATGTTGATAATGGTTGTTTCTTCTCCTCTGCCAATATCTTGGTCAGTGATGATAATGGTGGAGAGGCAGGTTGAGATTGAGGTTGTTGTGTATCCATGTTGTTGTTGTTGTTGTTGTTGTTGTTGCCAGTACTGCTGGTACCAGCTCCACCTCCTGGTTTGCCACTATTACTGTTTCTGCGGTCGCCAGGCATGATTGATGATGTATATATATATAAATGATTGTATGTATGTGTATGTTTATCAATCAAAGAATGATTGATTGATTGATTATAACATTGACAAAGATCGAGAGTTCATTCACTTTGGGTGGGTGGGTTTGAGAGAACTAGTTTATTCAAGAAGAAACCAAAACTTCAAAGGGCATTTGCTAAGTCATGACCAAATGACACAATTATTTCTTTTATTCATTAATTAGGACTGGTTCTATTTGTTTCTTGTTAGTAATTTCGAAGGAAAACAGTGTTGAACTAGTTTGCACCAGATACATATTAGAGGGGAAGAAATATTTGGACGTCCTGAAAGATACTAAACCATTGAAGCGGTTGTTCTTCTGAAGAAGAGGCTGCCCTTGGAAATGGTGGCACCTGAGGCGGTATCATCTACAGATAAATCACACAAGATCTCTTCGCCGTGGGTCTCCATGGAGATTGAGCTCTGGATATAGGCATCGCCACTGAGGCTGATTACTGGCTGCATCTGGGAAGGGATAAATGTGAACTTGAATTTTCCGTTGCGATCCAAGAGACGGATGTCGATGGAGTAGAGGAAATTATTCTGGAGCACCTGGAACATGGAAAGACCATTGAGAGATGAGAGGTCATTGTGGACTCTAGATCTGAGCTCCTCATGTGCTCATGTCTCTAGTGTGTAGGGATCGCTGCTCTCGATATACTGGTAGGCGTTCACCCAGCAATCAGTGCCAATCTCACAGGACATGTACTTATTATTGTTTGGGTCATTTTTCAAGACAATAGATTCACCAACCTTGTACTCCTTGCTGGAGCCTGCCAAGTTCTTCTCAGTGTAGAATATAACTCTGTCTGGTCCGACTGTCATTTTATAAATTGATTGATTATTTGATTGATTGAATAAGTACTTATAAGTTATTGCGATATATGTTGTAAAAATAATAATCCTATTGGATTCCTCTATTTAAATAGTCATGTTCAGTTTTCTGAATCCTATTCATGATCACATTTAATGGTGTCACACACAAAAGATCAAGACACTTCCAACATAAAGACATTTACATTATTGGTCATTCTACAACATTTGAGACCTTAAGAAAAAGGGTATTTAAGGTGTCCTATCAATATTGAGACAAATATAGTATCTTTTTCCAACTTGTTGAGTTGTACACAAATCTAGCTAGCTTGATATTGTTAAGTTAAATAGAATTAACTTACTCTTGGTGAAGACATGATACCCTGACCCAACTTACATATCATCAAGACCAACTACAACATACAATGAAAGTCAACTCCTTTACTTTGTTTTATTCAAGCCTTGCTTGATACACCAGGACGACAAGAAAATACATTATTACAATAATTTCTCGAGTTTGAAGGTGAACTGTGTCATACCAGCTTGGGTGAGCGACATGTTGGTGGGGAATCCCTCAGTCTTGCGGAAGGAGAGCAAACCTGTGGAGGGGTTGTACCTGAAGTAGACGCTGCCGTTGGCAACGGTGGCACCTGGCCAGGCGGTCTCGGCCACAACGACCTGGCACACGATCTCTGAGTCGGGTGGGGTCAACTTGGGGATTGGGCACTGGATGAAGGCATCGCCACTGAGGCAGACTGCTGGATTCACCTGGTAGGGGATCAAGGAGAGCTTGTAACCTCCCTTGGTGTCCTTGAAGTCCACGAGACGGATGTCGATGGCATAGCCAAACTTGTTCTCGAGCACCTGGAACATGGACAAGCCCTTGAGCGAGGTGAGGTCGTTGTGGACTCCGGACTTGAGCTCCTGGTGTGCGCCGGGCTCTGGGTTGAAGGCATCGTTGTGCTCGTAGGCGTTGACCCAGCACTCAGTACCAATCTCACAGGACATGTACTTGTCATTGTCTGGGTCATTTGGCAAGAAGGCAATGGAGTCACCAACCTTGTACTCCTTGTTGTAGGAGCCTGCCAAGTTCTTCTGGGTGTAGAATTTAACTCTATCTGTTCCGACGGTCATCTTGTTATTGGATTAATTGTTTGATTGAATATTTGATTATTGAATAAGTATTGATTATTTGTTTGTTTGTTTGTTGTTATAATGATGTTGTCCATGGACTCTTTAAATACCCTTTGTTCAAGTGGACCTGCACATTGAACCAAAGTGGAAGGCTGTAGAGTGACCAATTATGATGAATGTGGAGGATGGGTGTCAGTGTGGGAGTACATGTCTTGATCATTTGTGGGCAGCTGGGACTATTAGATGTGATCCAATCAGAATGGAAAAGGTGAAGTTGAACATGTAGAGTGACCCTCATCCTCCTTCACTGTGTTTGTCACTCTACATGTTAAGATTGATGTAAATTGTAGAGTTACCATGACAAGTACTAGCCCTTATGAAGTAGTTGTTATTGAACTAAAATGTGGTGAGACAGAGTGAGAGTAAGTGAGTAATTTAACATGGATCTATCCCGATCACTGTTGTTGGTTAGAGTGAACATCACTCACATTGATGTTCATTCACTGTAGCTCACCCCAATCAATCACAACAACTCCATTTTGGTTGAGTTCAATTAATGGGCTTGACAAAGAGACAAACACAAATCAAAGGAGACTTGTAGACTGGTCATTCATTGATTCATTCATTCATTCCAATTCCAATACACAGAGATATTGATATTGATGATATTGTTATTGTTGTTATTGTTAAGTCTGCTTTTCTTCATTTAGTGTCATTCTTACAAGTGTTGACGCCATGAGCTGTTGCCAACACCATCACATCACCATCACCATTCAATCAACTCATACTTGCTCAACACTAGTCTCAAATATGATGTTAGTAAGTGAAGAGCGAGCCGAGACAAGAGTCATTGGGAGTTGTGGGATTGATTTAATACATTGTTCTTTGTTGGGACGAAGGGACTGCGTGTCTGTCAACAAATACGCTTATTCGGTGTCGACCTCTTCGTTCTGGATCTTGAGGAACACCTCCTCTAGCGTGGTCATGGAGATACCTAGACGCTTGATGCCAAACTCTTGTTGGCGCTCTTCAACATGCTCAAAGAAGCGTGAGAGGTTCTCGGACTTCTCGTGTGACAATGAATACGAGATCTCGAGGTCGCCGACCGAGGACGTGCCAGTCTTGTCCAAGTTGGCCTGGTTGTGCTTGCCAGCCACAGCGTCGCGGAACAGCGACATGAAGTACGAGTTGAACTGCTCGTACGTGCCGGCCGTGCGCTCCAGAGTGAACGTGAGGATGTAGCCTAGCTCGAACAACGCCTTGAGCTCCATTGATGTGCCCATGCAGCGCAGTTTGCCGTGAGACATGATGCCGATTGACTCGCCAAGCAGCTCAGCCTCCTCCATAAAGTGAGTGGTCATGACGATGGTGCGACCGATCTTCTTCTTTTGCAGCAGCTCCCATATCAGATGGCGAGCGTATGGGTCCAGGCCGGTAGTGCACTCGTCCAAAAAGACGATGGATGGGTCGCCAATGAAGGCCATGGCAAGGCTCAGACGACGCTTCATGCCACCACTCAGCAAGGAACTGGCCACATCTGTCTTGTCCTGCAGGTTGACCTCGCGCAGCGACGTGACGATCGACGCCTCGAGCGTCTCGGCTGGTACACCCTTGATCTTGCCAAACAGGCGAAGGTGCTCAGCGCAAGACAACTGCGCATAGAGGATGTTGTTCTGTGGGCAGAAGCCAATGTGCTTGCGAATGTAGTCCATTTGAGTGCGTACGCTGCGCCCATTGATCCATGCGTCGCCACTTGTTGGTGGCATCATACCGGTGAGAATGCCCATCGTTGTGGACTTGCCTGCACCGTTATGTCCGAGCAGAGCAAAGATTGTGCCGCTGGGGATGCTTAGCGAGAGGCCATTGACAGCGCGCACCTTCTTGTCCTTGGAGGTGTTGGACGTGTACTCCTTATGGAGGTCGCGCAACTCGATGCCCTTCCCAATGTTCTTGCTGCCCTCGCCATTGATCAAGCGCTGCTCATAGATGGGCACGTCTGACTGCACCCAGTAGTCCTTCCTCAAGAAGAAGAAGTAGCCTTTGCCCGTACCAAAGTCCCCCTGGTACACCTCGATCGAGTACCAAGCAATCAAAGAGTACAACACAAAGTCCAAGATCATGAACAACAATGGTTGGACAAAGTTGGGGTCGTTCCAAGGTATGGCTATTGATTGATTGATTGATTGAATGAATGAATGAGTTAGTTGCTTGGCCTTGACCCATGCTCGCGACTAGCCAAACACTTACCAACTTTCTCAGCCTCGGCATAGGATAGACGGACGAGGAATGAACCAAAGGCACATGGGGAGAGGAGATAGAAGAGGTACTTGAGGTCGGGCTGATGCTCAATGATGTAGAACTCGTAGAAGCAAGACAGACCGATGCCAACAAGGATGAACAGTGCCGATATGGCACTGCCAGCCTTGGGATTGCTCAAGAATGTGGAGATGGCAAAGGCAATGCCAATCAATGTCAATGAGTAGAAGAAGAATGATATGAACACCATGACGGGCGATGAATAGTGTATCACCTTGCTTGGGTAGCACATGATCTCCATGACCAGGATGAGAATGATGTTCATCACCAACTGCATGATGATGTTTGATATCCAGTATGCAGACTCGCGCATGCCCATCACCTTGAGGCCCTCTTTGATACCGTCCTTCTTCTCGGTCACCAACAGGATGATGAGTTGCTGCAGCGAGTACATAAAGAACAATGGGAAGTAGATTGGGAACAGGATATTGAATGTCGTGATCACGAATGGATTGACAGGTGATGGGTACTGTGTCGTATTGAATCCATTACCAAGTACTTGGTCGTCTCCAAGCTTGAGGCGGGCTATTGAGGTCGAGTAAGGTCGAGGGTTAGGGCGAGGGTAGGGCGAGGGCAAGGGTAAGATTACTTACTGAAGGCTGATAGGATACCCTGCTCAATGTAGGGGTAGGGCGAAGACTGCATGCTGCCAAACGAGTTGTTGAGACGAATGGTATAGTTGATGAGGTTGTTGTCAATGTCGATACCGTTGAAGATTACACCTCCCCAGTAGGCCTCTGGACTGCCGAGGTAGGTGTCGAGCATGGCCGACTCATTGGTGAACTGCTTGATGTGCTCCAATGGGAAGCCTGTTAGGTTGAGCAACGACGCCGCCTGCCCGCCCGACGAGAGGTCGACGTAGCCCAGCAGGGGCATGCCCGCCAGCACATGACTGGCCGGCACCGAGTTGTATATCACGGCTTCTTGGCCGGGTGTGGCGGGTATAGTCATCTTCAACACGATCAAGATGATAACATATTGTGCGCCAATCAAGAACTCAGTCATTGTCTCAGCTCTACGCTTCCTCTTTATAATATAACACTTTTGAAGCAAGGCCGCGACCTGCTCCATAAAAGTGGACTCGTAAGCCATGGTAGTGTATACGTGTGTGTGATGTTATATGATTGATCGATTGATTGATTGATTGTGAGTGATTGATTGAAATGATTGTATCTATTTAAACAACTTGCGAATGATCATTCGTCTTTTGCCAGAGTGTTGTGTGTGTGGGAGTGATTGTTTTTGGCCCAGGAAGATTGATCAACTCCGGGTTTGGCCTGGTCCGGGGTCAAAAATATCAATCACACACAGGTGATGAATGGACGCTTGCAATCCAAAGATTGATTATGATACTAAGTTTACCAGAGAGAGTGGATTCATCATTCTCTCTCTGGCAACAGACAGACGTACTCCATGTCATCCTGGACATGATGAATGCATGAATAATGCATGTGATGGGAGAGATCAAGTACCAACACTTTTAGACCATTATCAATCAACACAACATTGATAGACACCTACTCCTCCATACTCAAGTCAACTGAATGTCTTTGACATGTGACCTAGTTCACTCAACTTCTAAAGACACGCATAAAGACTCTTCGTCTCGTATCATCTCGTCTACCTCATCACCTTGTGAAACAAATGATTGTTTGTTGTTTGATTGATTGTGTATTTGTGTATATATGTTTCCATAGCCAATCATATATTTGATGTGATTAGCTGAATGAATGGCCGACGAAATGGCTGGTGACTAACTGATTTGATTGATTGATGGTATGGATAATAATAAGTTATCCAAGAGCTCACCTCACATTACATTTGGGACTGACTGGTCATTCTCCAAATTGATGGAGATTGAATTGATAATAACTTGTATGATTGTTTGATTGAATCAATGAATGGACGGATAGATGGTGGTGGGGAATGTGGGTTGACGACTACTCTTAATATCATATCCAATGCACCTCTTGACGTTTAAAACATGGACCTCTGCCCCGAAGGTCGTCGGAGTCCCGCCCAACACAAGTGTTGTTGTGTTGTGTTTTTGTATCCTTCCAATTCAAACAAACAATCAATCAATTGAATCTATCATCAATGTTATTACATCAAATTATCAGTTATTGTCTAGGTCATCATCATAACCCTGCCCACACCACTCACACCCAACATGGGATCTGGATTATCAATCTACCCATCCTTATCTTCTCGTAAAGGAATGACCAAATCATTGGCAATCGCATCATGTCGGAGTTGAGTGGAAAGCGAATCGATTTAGACAGAGAATTGAGAAAGCGCGAAAAAGGCATCATCTTGGGTGATCAGTTTTTTTTTGTAGTAGTTTCGTTTTTTTCTGATTCGAAAAGTGTGTGGAGTGGGATTTAGGTCATTCTGTGAAAAGCCAAGTCAGATGACCTTGTTTGGCCCCCATCACAGCGCGCCCTCCACAAGTAGTAAACGGAAATTATGAAATCTTTATTTTCAAAATTTGATTTGATGAGCTCAACAACATTTGCCAAGTTGCAGACAACCCACCATCACTTGCCTTGCTAGTCATCAATCAATCATATTATTATGATAAACAATGCAAACATGGTGATACACCCCACCAAATTCACCCACCCCGTCTACGCCTCCTATCTACGATCGTTCGATGGGAGCCCGTTGGCAGGCTGAAAGGCCGTCATGGGCCTATCCATTCCGTCTACAATCCTGCCTTGGCCACCATGTTCTCTACACCTTTCCAGACTGGTAGTGGTGTGTTTGTATGTGATTGGTGGGGGTGTCCTGATCTGACTGAATGAGTGGACTGGATCAATGATTGATTGTCATTCAGTCTCGAATGAATGCCTCTCTTGGTTGTAAAGAGCGACGATTTTATTTTAAAAACAATTTAATCAGGTAATAGCTCTGTGTAAAAACATGTAAGTAAAGTAAAGTCAGTCCCTTTGAAATGATTGTTGTTGTCCGCAAGGAAGGAGCTGAGGTGAGCGCTGGAACTGGTTGCAAGTGAGACACAACCACAATTGCATTTGCGATTGATCAACCAACACACATATACACACACCTACATTGTTGTTATAACAATATAAACCAACCAATATATATATATATATATATTTGTCCATCCATATTTATTATTTATTTAAATGTACGTTAATATAGATTTTCGAAATACATCCATCATCCATCATCCATCGTACACTACTCGCACTATCCATACACCCATCCAACCAATCCGATCCATCTACACACACGCACAATCACACACATATATGTATACCACAAACGATCAAACACCCCCTCACACTCATTCACTCATTCAATCAATCAATCACTTCAAATCGTGTGTGTTTATCTTTGAGTGAGTGTGATAGTTAGATATTAGAACACAACTGACTGCTATTTAAGGTTGTCTCAGACAATCAGCTGATTGTCATTCGATCCAATCACACCACCCTTTGTCAATCTGACGCACTCAACAGTACTCTCTCATCACTAATCACTCAATCAATCATTCATTCATTAACTCTATCAATCAATCAATCAATCAATCAATTAATACACATCACCTTATTTGTATCCTTGCCATAACATACCTCCCTTCACTGTTTCCTGTTTGTTGTCGTATTGTGGGTTGTCCTTACGGACATTGACAGCTGTTGCCACTTCCACACACACATACTCCGGCGTGTTTGTTTAAAGTTGATCAGGTGCTTGATTGACTTGTTGCAACATCACCAACAACATTGTGTGTTGTCCATTATTATTACCCATCAATCCATAACAATCAATCAATCAATCACTTTATTTTTCCTTCCGAAGGAGAATAATAATTAATAATAATATATACTAACTGATCGATTCCACATTTCCAACTTTATATTAATAATTAATAATATAATTAATAATAATAATAATAATATTATAGTTGTTGGTTGACCAGCTTATACTATTTATTAAGTCCAGTTTGTAATATTAGACATATATAATCAATCAATCAATCCAGTTCCAGGTCGAACACAACAACATACGCATACATGAGCAACAACAACAAGATAATGAGATTCTCAATTGTTGCTGCCACTGTGGTGCTGCTGTTGGCTACCATCGCGATGGCCCAGCAAACCACATTTACGCCACGAGTTTTTAAGTTGGCCAACGCACCAGCAAGCACCGGCTACGAGACCGCTGTCCTCGTTGACAAGAAGGGCTTCGTACTGAGCGCTGAGCGTTTGGTCGACATCTACCCAGAGTCCATCGCTGAGAACGTCACCAGCGAGGCACTCATCACCCCAACACCCTTCCAGAACCGTTTCGCGAGAGACACCATCCCATTCTGGTCGTCAGCCGCCGTTGGCAGCACCGTCTACTCCATCACCTCCACCTCCATCCTCGGCGCCAACCTCACCGAGCCACAGAGCTTTGGCTCCCAGTCCACCTCTGGCGCGATCTCCTCCGCCGGAGTCTTCACCTACAACAGTGGCACTGACACCAAGGTCTTCATCGTCGACTCTTCCGGCCAAAAGGTTCACTACTTTGTTGACAGACCCAACAACGTCGAGGATGGTAACGTCACTGTTGCCGTCTCCTCTGTTCCAATCACTGGTCTCAGCTTGAACCAATGGGGATTGTAAGTTGATACCGGCGACACTCTTTGATCAAACAATGCTCACTCACTAACTCACTGCAACTCCAACTCGATCAAACAGTGCTGCAGACACTGATAATGGACTTCTCTTCATTGGAGATGATGTTGGATCAGTCGTTACATTCAACTTGAAGACAATGACACCATTCGGCGCATCCACTGTCTACAGAAACACCAACGTCACCAACCGTTTTGTCGCCACCGTGGACCCAATCAGAAAGCTCGTGTTCTTTGCCGCCAACGACAACGACCAACTCAGCATGGACGTGCTCCAGTACCAGGTGCCCTTCACCGGTCTCTCGGCCAACTACACCAAGACTCTCACCCGTATGTCCTCGTGTAACGCCGCCGTCTACGACAAGATCCAAGGTCAGGTGTTCTTCATCGGTGCCGACGACAGTGGTCTCGCCGTCATTGGTGAGGGTTTCCGTGATGGTCTCCGCTCCAACTTCATCTCCTTCTTCACCGACCAGCCCGCTTCTGTCGAGTCGACCGCCATCGGTGTCTCGATCAACCTCGCCAAGCACCAGTTGACCATCTTCACCTCGAAGCAGTACGTCGAGCTCCACTACGAGTCCAACTGTGAGGCCAACTGCAACGGTAACGGTGACTGTTTGATGGGCGTGTGCAGCTGCAACTCCGAGTACATCGGCGCCACCTGTGACAACAAGCTCTGCCTTGGCGACCTCAACAACTGCACCAGCGGCCTCCACGGCACCTGCAAGAACGGAATTTGTGAGTGTGACCCAGTCTACCAGACCGTCGCCAACTGCTCCGTGCTCGGCTGCTACATGAACTGCAGCAACCGCGGTGAGTGCAACTTTGACTCTGTCTCCTCCAACTACACCTGCAAGTGCCCAGCCGACTTTGTCGGTGCCTACTGCCAGGAGTCCGCCCCCGCCCCTCAGTGCAACACCATTGGCTCGCGTTCAGACTGCATTAGCCGCACCTACTGTGGTTGGTGCGCATCCTCCAAGACCTGCCAGGCCGGTAACCAGTACGGTCCAGCCGTTGGCTTCTGCCGCGAGTGGTTCTTTGCCGAGGACTACGAAGTCGGTGTCATTGTGCTCGCATGCATCTTCATTGCCCTCATCTCCATCCTCTTCCTTATCGACATGATCACCACCATCCCATTGGACCTCCAGCGCGCAAAGAACTACGAGGTTGAGTTCCGCACCGGTACCTACCCCAAGCCATCGCACGAGGAGGCCTCCGTCCTCTGGTGGCGCGACCAGCGTTCAGCCAAGGCCTGGACGCTCATGGATCAGTTCCAATTCCTCTCGCTCGTCTCGCACATGGGCGTCGTATTCCCATCGCGTTTCCTCAGCTTCACCATGTTCCTCGACTGGACCAACCTGGGCATCCCATTCCCACAGTCGATCCGCGACCAGATGCCACCAATGAACTTCGAGTGGCGCGACACCTACGACCAGATCGCCAACACCGGTCGTAACCTCGCTACCTACGCACAGTACAACAACATCCTCGAGTCCAGCTCAACCTACCACTTGGCCAACATCCTGTTCTGGTTCATCATCTTGGCTGCCGCCTTCATCGTGCCCCTGCTCATCGCCTTCATCATCCTCTCGTTCGTCGAGAGCCTAGTCCACTGGAAGGAGGTCATCAGAAACCGTCTGGTCCACTGCACCGTGCGCATTCTCCAGTTCTCCTACATTGGAGTGATCAGTGCCGCCGCCTTCTCCATCGTCGCCAAGCCCATCGCCGCCAAGACCCTGGTGCCAGGCATCATCCTGATCGTCCTCTACGGTATTGGTTACCCAGTGGCCATCTGGTTCATCCTTCGCGTGCCAGAGAGCCGTCTGCACAACCCATCGTTCAAGCAGCAGTTCGGTTCGCTGTACGTCAACTTCAAGCCAAAGACCGACCACCGCTTCGTCGTCTTCTCGTACATCAAGCGTTTCATCATGGCCATGATCATCGGTATCCTGGCTTTCGACATTGAGCCCGCATACCCCCTGGCTGGCACCGACCGCGCAGTGCCAATCGCCCAGTGCGCCATCATCTCGCTCGTGCTGCTGTTGTACGCCGTGTTGCTGTTCATCCGCAAGCCATACTTTGACCACTACCACCTCTGGCTCGAGTACGCCCTGGCCGTGATCAACATCGTGTCGATCTGTGTCTGTCTGACCCACTTGAAGGAGCCATCGCAGGCTGGTGAGCTTGTCTTCTGTATCCTCCAAGCACTCGGCATGGTTGTCTGTATCGCCACATTCGTCATCTCCTGGTTGCAGATGCGTTCCAAGTTCCTCACCAAGATCACCTCATGCTTCTCATGCTGTGGTGGTGGTAGCTCCAAGACTGTCGACCATGAGATGACTGGTCACCGCAAGTAAACCTCCTGGCCTCACTAGAGTTACTAGTCCTTCAAGATAGACCCGACCTTGACCCATCCCATGTCCATTCATTCAACCAACCATTCATTCATTCATCTCATTCTCCCTCTCTTTGATCATATTCATTCATAATTTATAAGTTGCATAGCATGTAATAACAAAACAATAATTACTTTAGTCCCAAACCCTCCTTCTTATTCCATCTTCGATTCGAAACACACACACACACATACTTGTATCTCTTTGTGTGTATCTGTATCCCTTTATGTGTGTGTGTATATGTGTGTTTGTGTGTATCTCTTTCATTCTACAACAACTAAGTAAGTGATTGATTGATTGATTGTAGTAATAGTAGTAATAGTTATAATAATGATTGATTACTGTCGAATGATACAATGTCAACTTCAATCAATATAATATTAATAATAACTTTGATGATGTTAATGACGAACAATGGATCATCATCATCATTTGTACAAGCATTTAGTAGTAATACTAGACGTACAATATATACACATCATTTATCAAATGCTGGAGTGGATAGTATTACATGTGGCAATAGTTCATCACCTTGTAGAACACTTAGACATATAATAGATACAATACCATGGTTGAATACAAGTCGTGATGATATAATATACTTGGGAGCAGAGACTTATGTCGATCCAGGTAACTTCCGTATCAACATTACACATAAACGTATTATATTCAAAGGTGTATCGATGAATGACACGATCATTGATGGACGCGGCACCTTTCACTGGCTATTCGTATCAAACTACTCCAAACTGGTGGTGATGGACATGACCATCAATGGATGTGTGTCCAAACGCATCTCTGGCGGTGCCATCTCCATCATAGCACTCAGCCAGGCACACTTTATCCGCACGCGATTCACCAACAACATGAGCGCACACTCTGGCGGTGCACTATTCTTTGAACAATGTTGGTATCCACGATGACATGGAATGATTCCAAACATACTCACTCAATCAATCATGTAGCCAAGGTCAACATCACAACATCAATATTTAGATTGAATTGGGCACAAGAGAATGGAGGTTCAATATTCAGTTTCCAGTCAGTGCTAATGTGTTTCCGATCGACATTTATAAGCAATCGGTGTCAACAGGGCAAAGGTGGTGCAATATCCATGGTCTTCTCAAACTCCACAATCACATACTCTCAATTCTTCTACAACAAAGGAGTCTCATCCGGTGGAATCCACACATGTAACTATGATCCCTCCATCAATCAATCACTCACACACTCATACCACTCACGCGCTCAATCACAATATAGTTGGATTGGTACATCGTGTTTCAAGTTGTTTGTTCCAGAGTAATAATGCTAATGGAGGTGGAGCAGTTGGTGCATTCTACATGAGTTTCTTAAGATTGGACAATAATGTATTCTTTAATAATACCGCCAACTTTACTGGTGGCGCAATGTTCGTGGCGACTGAAGCATTGGTGACGGTATTGGACTCATTGTTCTCGGATAACTATGCACCCAACTGTGGCATCATTGAATCACATGCATTCAAAGCGCTCACCATCGAGCGATCAATCTTTGCCAATGGAATATGGGTTGTCAATGCACAGATTGGCAAGTACGATAGTTTCTGCATGATGAACATCCAAGATTGTTACTTCTACAATCTATCTGGGCCTGTGATCCTAGCCGATTCAATCTCTTCAATCTCTCTGACATATTGTAAATTCGATGGTAAGGATTGCCCATCAATCATTGGAATCATTCCACTCAATCACCCAATCACTCAATCACTCAAACTTGGAACCATTCCACTCACCCACTCAACCAATCAATCGATCAATCACACTCAATGATCATATAGGTATATTCTCCAGCTCAGTCTTGAAGATCACTCATGAAGCATCAGTGCACATGGTCGGTGCCTGGTTCGTATATAATAATGTAGACGATATCATTGTTATTCAATATGGTTCAACTGTTACAATGGACAACTCAATATTCTATTTGAACAATGCAACGTCAATCATCAATTCCAAATTCCGAAGTAACTTCTATATATTCGGGTCACAATTCTATCTCAACAGAGCCTATGGAGCAATAATCACTGGCACAGGAGGCTACAACATCCGCGTAGTATCATCATACTTCATGGCAAATAATGGTGTCAATGTATGTTTTGAGTTGGAATAATTCCAATCATTCAATCAATCAACTGACTGATATCACCTCCTTCAATACTTTAGAGAGGATGTATATATGAGTTGGATCAAACTGGCACACTTACATCAAATGGCTCACTGTATGAAGGCAACAGGGCAGTGTGGGGCACGATATTGTACGCTACCACGAGTCTGGTTGGATACCCGAGTACCAAACCTTTTGTATTCTCAGGGGATGCATTCAGATTGAACATTGCCAATCGTTCATCACTCTTCCACTACAATGGCAACTACACCAACAAGTTGATATTCAATGATGTCGAATCAACAGAGAACGTGTTATCTTATGGCTACGACCCCTTGATGCCCACGACCATTATCAGTAGTTTCACTGTATATTTGGAGGATGATAATGTTGTTCCAAACGTTCCAGTTAACATCAACATCACAGTGTACGATCAACTTGGTCATCAGGTACTTGGTCGCAGTGACATGTCATTCTTTGTTATCCCATGTGATAACGTACTTCTACAAGGACGCACAGTGGCCGACCTATTCCCCAGCGGTCAAGCATCATTCCATGACCTTCACATCACTGGCATGCCAGGTACAAACTGCAACCTAACCTTCCTCTCCATGCCATACTCATTGAGTAAGTTAGTTGAGTATGAGTGAGTGATGTGCCGTTCAATCAATCAATCATTCTAACTCATCATTGTAGAACCTGTTACCAAGATGATTACATTCATTCTTCCACCCCATGATCAGTTATTGGTACAGTTTGGCGGCGTCATATTTTATGGATTACATCAGGTCAAGGTATCACGTGGTGCACTTATCGTGTTGGGAGTGTTCAACATATTAGTACTGCTACTGGCATTAGTGTGTACAGTGATCACTTTTATATATCGCAAGAGCAGAGTGATCCGATACTCCAATCCACTATTCCTCTACATTGTCCTCCTTGGCTGTATCCTCTCGCTCGTAGGCTCCGGAGTATTCTACCTCACCAAGTCACGTGGAGTGTAAGTACATCATCCCATCACTAAATCATTCACTCATTGACTCACTCAATCAATCAATCATAGATGTCTGGCACAGTTCATTATATTCCCAATATCAACGAGTTTGGTAGTGTGCTCAGTGTTGGTCAAACAGTTTAGTATGTGGAGATTGCTGGAGGATATACAGTATATGAGGGAGACGAATGTGGAGAACTCATTCTTGATCAAGTCTTTGGCATTGTTATTGATCATTCCAGTGATATCAGTGGTACTCAGTGGTATATTCCTGAATGGACGTACATCTAAAGAGTTTGATCTAAGTGATCCCGCATCTTACTATATCCGTTGCAATCTAGTACGTTCAGAGATATTCATTGTAGTAGAGTTAGCCTATCTCCTTGTATGCCTCATCATTGGATGTTACCTAGTATACACATGTAGGAAGTATCGTAGTTTCCCTGGTACATTCAATGAAGCAACATATGTTGGATTATTGGTAAGTTGGTCAGTAACTGGAACTATTCCAATCACTCAATCACACAAACCCTGGATCACTAACTCAATCAATCAATCTTAGTTATACAACTACTTGATCATTATTACTACGACGATGCCATTGACATTTAGCTTCAATGGTAATCCAACAGCAAGATTCCTTATCCTGGAAGTAGCCTTAATATTATTTGTTAGCAGTACGATCATATTGATATTCTTCCCAAAGTTTAACTTCCTCTGGCGTAACAAGGCTATCATTCAATCAGTGAGTATACCAGTACACTATGGCCATCCCTAGCCAATTTATTAACACCTTATTAGCTCAAGAAACAGATTGAAGATCAAGAGAAGAGTATTGCCAAGAATAAGGATGTACTAAAGTTCTATTATACATATATCAATGACATTAGTAATATGTCCCCGTTACCAACTAGACGAGCACTGGATTCAACTACAACTATCAATAATCCACCTCAACCAAATAATTCATTACAATCATCAACTTCATCAACAATTCAACAACCAACAACAGCAACAACAACAACAACAAATAGTAATCAATTATATGTTGATGATAACAATATCATTGACAACAATAACGATGACATCAATGATAATCATAATAATATTGAGGATGAGTCACCAGTATCACCATTGACATCAAGGAGAAAGAAGAAGAAACAGTCAATTGGACAAGTATTGAGACGTGAAAGGATGTCTAGATCAGCGCCAACAACGCCAGCAGCATCATCCAACAGAGTCAGTCGAACAATGCCATCACCAAACGATGACCTTGTGAACGAATAAATGATTGGGGGAGGGGAAATGACATGAACCTGCAAAAGTCCAAAATTAATCCTTTTGTTGTGAAGTGTTTGACAAAGATCTTGAGCGGGTTCATGGTTGATGCCAACATCATCTCGATCTGAATGTTAGACTTGTGACTGACACATCATCTTCATTCTCATCTCATTCATTCATTCATTCATATATTACTTTTATTTGTATTACTTATATATATTGTTATATTATAATAATGGCAGCATCAGCACCAACATCAAAGGTTGAACTTAGGATATCATGCAAGGGTTTGACTAACAAAGATACCTTCTCAAAGTCAGACCCTCAAGTGTTTGTATACTGTAGTCTTCCAGGGCAACAACCAAGACTGATGGGCAAGACTGAGAAGATCAACAACTCTCTCAATCCACAGTTTAACACTGCTGTCTTTGTCGGTATGAATGATTGTCCAGTCACAACTCACATCCAAGCATACTTACACCTAACGCGAATCAATCAAGACTACTACTTTGAACTGACTCAACACTTGAAGTTTGTCGTTATGGATGTTGATAATGACATTTTGGACAATGAGGATGATTTGATTGGAAGAGCCGAGTGCACTTTGGCAACGATCGTCTCGGCACCAGGTGCTACCGTCCAGATGCAGTTGATGTCCAAGCACATGCACAAGGCAGGATTGATCACTGTCAAGTCAGAGGTGACCAGTGGATCGAAGCAAAAGATCAGATTCATCGTCGATGGTCACAAGCTTGACAAGAAGGATCTGTTTGGCAAGTCCGACCCATACTTCACGCTGTCCAAGCGCTCCAACGAAGGCTTCTCCCAAGTATACAAGAGTGAGATCATCAAGAACACACTCGAGCCACACTACAAGCAGGTCATACTGCCCATGGATGACCTCACCGGTGGAGACATCCGCAGAGAGCTTCTCTTCAACTTCTACGACTATGATTCAGTTGGATCACATGACTTTATCGGTTCATTCATTGTATGTTGACATGTCCATCATCAATCAATCGATCACTCACTCACTCGCGCACACTCAACCAATCAGACAACTGCCGAGTACATCTTGGCCAACGCAAACAACAAGGCCACGTTTGATTTGATCAACCAGAAGAAGAAGGAGAAGAAGTCAAGCTACCACAACTCGGGTACCATTGCTATTTCCAATGCAGTTATGTACCGTGACTCGGAGTTCATCGACTACTTGTTCGGTGGATGTGAGATCCAGCTCACAGTGGCTATCGATTGTACTGCTAGTAATCTGTCACCCTCCTCACCATCCAGTCTTCACTACAAGCACCCAACCGATCCCAACCCATACGCCAATGCCATTGTCTCTGTTGGCAACGTTCTTGCTCCATACGACTTTGATGGACTCATCCCAACATATGGATTCGGTGCCATCGTTCCCCACAAGAACTCAACATCTCATTGTTTCCCAATGAACTTGACAATGGATGTATGTACATGATCAATCACTCACTGTGCCCAATCAATCACTAACCCATTCATTTAATCAATCAGCCAAAGGCACGTGGAGTTGAGGGTGTCTTGGACACATACTATCAGAACATTGCACTTGTGGACTTTAGTGGACCTACATGTTTCGCTCCAATCATCGAGGAGGTTAGGAAGCAGTCTGAGTGCACACAGGCCAACCAGAGGTATACCATCCTCATGATCATCACTGATGGTGCCATCAATGACATGGAGGAGACCATTCGTGTGATAGTTCGCGCCGCCAACAACAACCCAATGTCAATCATCATGTAAGTTGTATTAGTACTAAGTGGCTTCGACTATGACCATAGCTAACCTCATTCAATGATACACTCATATAGTGTTGGAGTTGGTAATGCCAACTTTGATAGCATGGTGGAGTTGGACAGTGATGGAAAGAGATTGAGTGATGGTGTACATGAGGCCAAGAGAGATATTGTTCAGTTTGTTGCAATGAGCGACTTCAAGGACAAGCCATTCTACATGTTGGCTCAGGAGGTGCTCAAGGAGGTCCCCACCCAGTTCATGCAATACATGAACACTGCCTCGGTCTTTGCCAATCCACCCAGAGTGTTTGTCGCACCACCCACTCCCATGGCCTCTGTTCCAATGGTTGGCGTACCAGTCGTTGGTGTACCAGTTGCCGGAGCACCAGTTGTCGCCGCACCAATGGCACCAGTCTCTGTGATCGATCCAACTACTCTCCCACTGCCACCTGCACCAGGTGTAGCTGTTGCTCCACTCCCAGCTGGCGCCACTGGAGTTCCAGTGGTCCCAGCAACAGGCTCCTCCTCAGTCTCTGGTGTCGTCGATCTTGACAAGCATAGTCCAGTTGAGATAGCCAACGCTACTGTATCATCACCAACTACTTCTTCTTCAGGCACCATTGATCTTGAAAAGCATAGTCCACCAGTTGAGTCGATGTCCAACCTCACTGTATCACCAACAACTACGTCAACAACATCTGGTTCAGGTTCAAGCTCAGCAATTGATCTTGAGAAGAAGGTCACTTTGGAGAAGCATCCATAAGCTACATGTATACTCACTACTTCGTCATCCAAAGACAGATATAATACAATAATATAAACTTTGTCGTCTCATCACATCTTCATTTTCCAAAACAAAGTGTCGTTCGTCTTTTTTGATCATTCATTCATTTATGTCATTCAATTAAATTGAAATAGAGATAGATATAGATAACGAATAAGATATGAAGGAGATACTATCAAGGAATGACAGAGAGTTCGTACTCTCATCAATTGAACAGAGACTTAGATTGGATGGTCGAAGATTGAATGACATGAGATCAATCAAGATATCATTCGGCAAATCATCAGGCATGGTTGAGGTACAGCTAGGTAGAACAAGGTATAGTGTCAATCAACGAACGAATGAATGAATGAATGAATGAATGTATGAATGAACATTACTTCTGACTAACATACATAATTAGAGTATATACAACAGTAACATGTGAAGTGTCTGAACCAAAGCCTGAAAGACCTAATGAGGGATTCTTTATGTTTAGTACAGAGATATCACCAATGGCTAGTGTATCGGTGGATTCAACAAGGAGTAATCCGGCAGAGATTGAATTGGGAAGATTGATCGAGCGTGGACTGAAAGAGAGTAGAGCGATTGATACCGAGTCATTGTGTATTGTGGCTGGATCTAAAGTATGGACCATTCGCACCAATGTACATGTGTTGGACGACTGTGGCAACCTACTCGACTGTGCCAGCATATCAGTGATCACCGCTCTACTACACTTTAGAAAGCCAGATGTCACTGTCGTTGGAAATGAGGCGACCATTGTAAGTTGTTTAAGTTGGCGCGTGTGAATGAGCGACAAGCATGTCACTGACCCAAGCACATCATCATATAGCATCCAATTGAAGAGCGTGAGCCTGTGCCCCTGAGTATTCATCATACTCCTATATCAATCACATTTGGCTTCTTCCCCAAAGGGTATGTTGTTGCTGTCCAGCAACTCGCGACTCGTCACTCGCGCGACTACAGACGCGGCAACAGATTAACGCACTCATACTCACACACCATGCCATTCATTTAGCGCGATGATTGTCGATCCAGAGAGTAGGGAGGAGCAGGTAATGGATGGAAAGTTGAGTTTCTTGGTCAATGTACACAAGGAGATATGTGGAGTTTCAAAGGGTGGCGGAATGTCTACCACAATAGAGCAGGTGATTAAGTGTTCAAAGATTGCGATCATCAGGACTGCTGAGGTGACTCAACAGATCAGAGAGGCATTGCATCAGAACGTACAGGCGAGGAGCACCAGTGGATCACATTTGAGGCGCAAGTCATTGCCACTGGAGATCGTTGAGCACACTGTACCAACGACTCCGCCATCACAACAACAATCAAAGCCTCAGACTCAGACAACCACACAGACACAGACACCAAAGCAACAACCAACACAGACACAACCATCAAAGAAAGTAGCACCGGCAAAGGCAGCACCAGCAGTGACAAAGACAGATGGCAAACCTATACCAAATGCATTGGATGTATTGATGAAGGATAGTGTCAATCAAGAATCAATGTTTAGCGAAAAGAATACATGGGATGACGATAACAATGACCACAATGCAATGCAAGTCGATGTCCAAGAGACCAACAACAACAACAAGAAGAATGTATTGGCCAACAACAAGAAACAGACAATGGTTGATAGTGATAGTGAGGAAGAAGATGTTGTAGTCATGACCACTACTCAAGCGACACAGGTGACTCCAACTCCAGCGCCAACTCCAGCACCACCAACTAAACAAACAACATCTGAGCCCTCTATCGATGAAGAGGAATCAGAAGACCTGTCAGTGGCCCTGCTTAAGAAGAAGCCATCAGCCAAGAAGAAGGCGGCAACTGGAAAGAAATAAATGATTGTCTGGTCCACACACTTCGTCTTGAACTTCGTTCAGAATGAGCTTCACCATTGAACATCATCACACATTTAAATTGAATTTTTCACAAGTTTGATGAAGAGTGATGATCACTGCACCAACTTTATTGATCTTCATTACACACACATTCATACATATACATACATATACTTATAATTATATATATATATAATAATATATTAACAATAGAAATAGAAGAATGAGCGGTAGAGCAGGTTCAGCAGGTTATGATATGGGCATCATTTTCTCGCCACAGGGAAAGCTCTATCAGGTCGAGTACGCCTTCAAGGCTATAAAATCAGGAGGTCTGACCTCAATCGGTATCAGGGGAAAGGATACTGTTATTGTTGCAGCTCAGAAGAAGATTCCAGTTTGTATCATCATTCATTCATTCAATCAATCAATCATTCATTCAAAGTGATCTAACCTCATCATCACTCATCATCATCAGGACAAGCTTATCGACGGATCAACCATCACTTCAATCTATAAACTAACAGACTATATTGGATGTATTCAGACTGGTATCATTCGTATGTATATCATCATGACTGGATTGGCGTTCACTCATTCAATCACTCAACATTCACTGACACTCACATACTCAATCATTCGATTCTCGATGATGATATATGATGATTAAATAGCTGATGCAAAGCAACAGGTTCAGAGAGCTAGACACGAGGCTGCAACCTTCCATCATAAATTCGGATACCAAATCCCTCCCAACGTCTTGGCCAAGAAGATTGCCGATCACTCTCAGCTCTCCACTCAACACTCTTCAGCCAGACCACTAGGTGTTTGTAAGTGACGTCACATGATAACGATCAATTATTGATTGATTGATCATACCTCTAACTCAACAACTCACACACAACGACATAAACAAACAGCTATGATACTCATTGGAATTGATGATCAACTTGGACCACAACTGTTCAAGATGGACCCATCAGGAGCCTACTTTGGCTACAAGGCTACCAGCGCTGGTGAGAAGGAGCAAGAGGCTACCAACTTCTTGGAGAAGAAGTTCAAGTCCAATCCACAACTGTCAAGAGATGAGCTCATTCAGGTGAGTTGATCATGATCGTGATCATTGTAGTTATCAATCCCATCTAATATGTCATTATCGTACCCTCTCACTTTAGCTTGCCATATCTACACTGCAGAATGTTTTGGGAGCTGATCTGAAGGCTGCCGACATTGAGATTGGAATATGTTCATTGGAGAACAAGAGGTTCAGCTTGTTGCCAGAGGAGGAGATCGACACTCAATTGACTAGATTGGCTGAGAGAGATTAAGAGTAGCACAGTAGAATTCAAGTCATACTTACACTCTCACTCATTCACTCATTCATTCATTCATTCGACGACTCACCATCCATCCATCCATCCATCCTTCAATCAAACAACAGTGTTGCCCAACTATCATCATCAACATCACTCTCTCTATCTCCTCAACCAAACAACAAGCGGATTGTAATAAACAGTATCCATTCCACAGTGTAAAGACCTCGTTGTATTGAATGTGCCACAGTTAGCCCTCATCCTCTCTGGAAGGCTGGGAAATACCAGGCACTCTCATAAAGAAACCTCTGACACTCTGAAATATCGATTGCTTGCCGGTCCATTTCCTTTGAATTGAACTCTTTCTTAAGTTCTCTGAGTGCTTTGAAGACAAGTCCAACTTGTCCGCCTGTTATCTCCCATAAGAGTGATTGTAGACCAGTCGAGAGTGGAACAGGTGATCCCATTTGAGTCTCTCTCATTAATTGGAATAATTCAAAGAACTCCTCTGGTGCGATGTTGAGAAAGTCAATGCCAAGACAATGGACCAATTTGACAGGTGGACAGAGACTGTCACTAAAACATTGGTATAAAGACACCAGAAGTATAGACAGTGTCGAGGGCCAGGTTTGAATAAGACCCTTGATCCTCTTCCAAAACTCATGGATATCGTTTCTACTTTGGGAGTATGTGAGCTGTACCTCATCAATAATGATGAATACAGGTTCATTTTGTTCATAGGCAAGGTCTATCAAAGATTTCCACGTGACTCCAGTCAATTTGGAGAATGGTTGATCAAAATCCTCTAAGTCTCCCTGGTTCCATACAAAAGAATACCTGCGGACATAGGTATCTGTATGATTGTCAATTATGTATTGCTCTAACAACTGAGTTAATGAAGTCTTGCCAGAGTAATGTGGTCCACTAAGATGTACTAATTGATGTTTTTTAATATAATTATATAATGTCTTAACCTTACTATATCTTGGGAATACATCTTCCTGATCTATCATGATACCTTGTTCAGATTCAACTGCCAATTCATTCGACAATAACTGATGTGAATAAGGTATTAATGTTGGCACTTTCTTAAGTTGTTGAAATGACATGGTATCCACTAGGGAAACTAATAGTAAATGGATAAATATTATTATTCTAACTATTGGATATTGAAGAATACAAGTGAAAAGAACAAAACTAGTTTTTAAATTTAAATATTAAATTATAGATTAGAGACAATATAAAAAATGGAATAATAATTTACCAATACAGTATATTTATTATAAACAATGATAATATTACAACCATCATTAATGGTTCTTGGTGACAGACTTTGTGAACTTGATCGGTCGACTCTTGAATGAAAGGACACCATATGTCATCGCTCGGAAGCCAATGATGAATAGCACACAGATCCATATGTTGCGCCAGTAGCTGTTGACATCATAGTTCATGTGATCGATCAGTTGTTGGCCGGTCTGGGTAGGACACACTCCGCCAATCTGTTGACTGGCAGTACATGTGAATGTAACATTCTCAAACTCGTTGACGACTGCTGCCTCAATCACATATTTGAAGTAACTGATGTAGGGTGCCCAGATCCATCCACTTGGCACATCGCTCAAGTTGATGAAGAAGCCACTGAACAGAAAGAAGAAAATTACAAATGGTGGTCCTACACTTGTTCCAACGGCAACTGAGGGTACGGCACTGGATATCAATACACCCATTGACAGTGAGATCTGACTGGCCATCACGAGGACCAAGAGGAACTTGAAGAATGGTGCTGCGGCGTAGAATGGATACACACGCTCATTTGACATCCAGTATACTATAGTGCCCATAATGATTGGGCAAATGACTGCAATGACACAGTCAATAGTGGACTTGGCAATGAAGAATGGTAGTGTAGTATATACTCCTGATGCTCTATCTTTCATGAATATTGTTATAATCTCTGGAACTATTTGTGATTGATCAAATTTTTAAGTTAAATGGTCATGTGATCACCGGATGGATGTACTTACAAACTTGGATTGTGAGCATTACGAATGGGAAACCGATACCCATGATAATGAAGGCGAGTACACCAGTCCTGGATTGGATGGTCGATTGTCCGACGCCAAGTTGGTAGAACACAAGTCCACATAATAATCCATTCATGATGGATGACATTATTTGGACTCGATTGGACATTGGATTCCTCTTGAGGTTCAATAACTCACGGTGTAGCAACAGTTTGAATTGAGTCAATCCATTGGCCTTCTTGTGTTTGTGATAGGACAACTCATTTCCTGCTGATGACTTCTTTATCTCCTCCAAAGTATTGACCAAGTACTGGTTCTGCTTACTCTGGACATAATACCTCTTCAATCTTGCCACCTCCTCCGTTGTTAATCTCCTCTTTTTCTTATCCTCCGATCCATCATCATAAGTGAATGTTGGTGGGGAGTCATCATTCTCGTCCTCAATCTGAGTGTTGATCAAGTCCACTAATGAGTGATTGTGTAAGTGATGAGGTTTGATTGATTGATGGATGTGATGTACATACTGAAGAAGTCAGCTGGGTTGACAGTGTCCTTGCACTCATATCCAAGTTGATTGAAGTAGGTCACGGCACTGGATGTGAAGCCGTAGTATATGGTTGAGCCCTCGGCCAATAGGAGTAACTTGTCAAATAGATCAAATATGTTTGATCTAGGTTGATGGATCGTACATATGATTGTACGACCAGAGTTGGCCAGTCTTCTAATGGCCTTGATCACACTCAATGATGTTGATGCATCCAATCCACTTGTGGGCTCATCCAAGAACAGGATACTAGGTCCAGTCAACAACTCTATAGCAATTGTCACTCTCCTCCTTTCACCTCCAGATATACCTCTGATCTTATCATTACCAACCAATGTATTGGCACATCTCTTCAATCCCATCTCACCAATAATCTCCTCCACCTTTATCAACTTCTCCTGCAAAGCTAATATTATTATTTTGGAAATTTGTTAACAATATGTTTGAATGATTGGTTGGGATATGAATACATACGGATATCTCTTTGCATCTTGAGTTGGGCATAGAAACTAAGTGTCTCCCTCACTGTCATTGATGGGGACAGGGTGTCATGTTGGGTGACATAGCCAATATTCCTTTTGAATATTTTATATGTGGCTGGTGTACCATTTAACATCATCTCTCCAGTGCCATTGATACATATTCTATGTGCAAGGATATCCAACAATGTTGTCTATGTTTAAATTGTGTAAAGTTAATAAAAATATAAACATAATTCATGGGATGTTAATATTTAATTACCTTTCCAGCACCTGATGGACCCATAATTGCCATCATCTCACCAGCTTTAACAAGTCCATTGACATTGTGTAATATCTGTTTATCCATTGTTATCTTCTTCCTACCCTTCCCCTTCTCCTTGATTGTAACATGATGATTGATATCATGGAACGTAAAGTCCATCTTATTCTCAAATGTGGATTTGAATACATCAATCTAAATTGATACAATGTATATTAGAATAAATAGTTTATAAATATAAATAGATTATATATAATTACCTTTGTATCATCATTTTTAGAGGATATCTGAGGTGAACTTATTGTTGACATTGGTATCTCATCATTGATACCTCCAATGTTAATAGATGTAGATTCTTCCATGTATGTATAACTATAATTAATATATTATTATCGATGAAACAATCGATCAATAACTTGTAATAATATTAATATACAATTTACATCCAACTAGATAGACATCTTAATTAATTATATATATATATATGATCCAACTGTAAACCTACACTTTGTTTTTTTTTGGGGCTTGTCCAATCAAAATTGGAATATGTACATCTTGATTGGTGGTGGGGTTTGAACGAAACGACATCGTTTACTAACTGTCTGTTCAATCATTCAATGTGGTCTGAAATAACTAAAAGGTCCTCAATCGATCATTCAATCAATCAATCAATGATACAGGTGAGTTATAAAATGGACTCTCTTATTTGTAGATTTTTTAGAATATCAACTGAAGTATGTACAATAATTTTCATAGAGTAGATGTTGATGTTGGTGTTGATGTTGCTGTAGTTGTTTTGATGTCAATGAACTACTATTCTAAGTATACTTATGTTTCTTTTGTTGTTGAAGTTGATGAGCTTGATCAATCAATGGAAGTTGAGATAAATGACTGGTTTTGTTTTGAAGGTTTTCGATTGAAAAAAATCAAAATTAATTAATTGGACTTTTGACGAACGACTCTCAAACATTGAGCATTGTTTGTATCGAAAACTCTTTTACTTTAAAACGATACTTGTAAAGATATATATATATAATAATATAAGAATAAAATGGTAGTTCCATCAAAGACAACAACAAAGAAGGTTGAAACCACAAAGAAGGCGACTGTGACAAAGACTGCTCCTGCTGCTGCAGTTGCTGAGGTTGTTGCTGAGGCACCACCAAAGAAATTGATAAAGAAGGTTGCTGCTGCTGCTGCAGTGGCTGTAGCACCAGTAGTTCACGAGGAGGCTGTAGCCAAGCCAACCACACCAGCTGCTGCCTCAAAAAAGAAAGCCGCTGCCAAGTCAACCGCAACCACAACCACAGCCACCACAACACCAGTCGCACAACAAGAGTCAGTCACGCCAGCAGCACCAACAGTCGCAGCACCCAAGAAGAAGGCCGCAACAAAGTCAACCACTACTACCACCACAACAAAATCAACAAAGTCTATTGCTCCAGTTGTCGAGGAGCCAGCAGCACCATCAGGACCAAAGGCAATGTCACCAGTGGAGCCAGCTCACAAGATCACCTACAACAGATTCAAGAACTCTATCAAGGCCGTCATCCAACTTCAAAAGATCCCAGACCAGCACATCAACCTCAACCCAACCAAGACACACTTTGTCCTCGACACTTTGAAACATACCAAGAAGTATACACTCAAGTATGTATCTTATTGTTGTTGTTGACAATGGCTCGTTCGTTCGCTAACTCAATCAATCAATCAATCAATCAAACTTGTAGCGTACCATATCCAGATGGAATCAAGGTTGAGCCAGAGCAGGCAACTGCAAGTTTGGAATATGGAGTATTGACAGTGTTCATCCCAGTGGCTGCAGGAAGCAAACAACCTGCTCCACTACCAAAGATTAAGAATGCACCTGGCGCCAACAAGAAGAGAAAGTCAACTGATGCCGAGCCAACAACCAAGTCACCCAAGCAAGGTGCCAAGAAGAAGCAGAAGAGCGAGCAAAAGAACGAGGAGTCTGCACCAAAGGGAAAGTCGACATACATCGATGTAAGTTGTCACCTTGACACGCTTGGCCTACGATCCACTCACTCACTCACTCACTCTCTCATTCAATCAATCAATCAATCATAACTTAAACATAGAATGAGTCAACCAAGGCTTTGATCGAGATGATTTCAAAGGAGCAGGAGCAACAGGCAAAAGAAAAGATTGCCAAGGAGACAAAGAAGATGAAGGAGCAGGAGGAGCGCGACTTTGAGAGAGACAACAGGAAGGAGTCCAAGCATGCAGCCAAGATCAAGAAGATTGGAGAGTTGAAAGAGAAGAAGTCCATGGGAATTGAAGACGATGTGATCCCATCCAACAAGCGTAGAAAGTCAGCTGGAGGCAACAAGAAGGTGTCATTCAAATAAACATACCCTCGCGGACATACCCTCGCAGACATACCCTCGCACACTTACCCTCGCACACTTACCCCCACACACTTACCCTCGCGAACATACCCTCGCACATTCATGATCATTTGATGAACTAACTTAACGAATACATGTACATGTACATATACATATACATATAGATAGATAGATAGGATGTCTAATACTACAAGTAATAATAGTAGTAATAATAGTAATAATAACAATGCAGTGTCAATAGGTACAACACCATCTAGTGTGACAAGTAGGAGAAGGTCAACACCTAATCCAGAGTTGATTGATAAGTTATCAACTCAACCAATACCTATTATAATGCCTCCATCTTATAAGCCAGAGGCAAAGTATGAGCGGTATGTCACTCAGTTGGTGGGCAAGGTAATCATGTCTGCTGCACTAGTATCAAAGACACCTGGACAGAAGCTAAAGAACACATTGATGGCGCAGAAGGGATTGTTGATCAAGTTCAACGAGACAATTCAGATATGTGATGCACTGTCAAAAGGCAGACTTCACATGGAGCTTATAAGTATATCAGGTACCAAGTGTAAGTAGTAGTCTCATTCATTCATTCATTCATTCATACATTGATCGCACGCACTCGACTGACACACATACAATCCTCAGATATTGTAACAACAGTGAAGGAGAGATCATTCTATGGAGTGAACACCAATCAGGGTGTTGGTGGCGGTATTATCATTGTATTGTTGGACACTGTCATATTGGTAGCATTGTAAGTGATGTTGGATGAAGCCGAGCAGATGCTATGTGTGTACACACTATGACTCACACCTCATCCTCCGCTTCTCAAGATTCCCTGCATCAGTGTTACCAACAGAGTCAATACCATACGTTGAGAACTTTGTGGCTACAACCATCATTAGTTGAACGATGATCGAAGAAAGGTCTACAACAACAACAACAACTCGGAACGCTGAGTGAGTGGCAAGTTAGTCGACAGGTACTTGTTTGTGGTCGGCCCAGAGCTGTGACACACACATCACAATGACATGGACAGTCATACGCCATCACTGGCGCTGTATCATTCGAAAGATACAGACCTGTCTCTCTGTCTGTCGATCATTAGAGGACCAAATGTGCCTAATATGTGTGTGACAAAACCAAGACGATGATGTTCAAAGCTCAATCATTCAATCAAGTGAGAGACAAAGAGATGTATAAAAATAATAGTTATATAAATATACCAGAATATGTAACATCATTGATTATAGAGTATTCATTTGTTGATAGATCATATTATTGGAGATGGAGACTTGCTTTGAATACTTTATCATGGCGTTACTTCAATTTGATCAAAGTACTTTATAACAAGTTATTACTAAACTCTGTTATGATATATGATCATATCACATCGGATTACTTATCAATGACACCTAGACATATATATACATCATTGATCGATCTGAACAAACTACTCAAAGATACAAGAGTGATGCCTCTGCTCATCTCACCAAACACACCGCTCACCTCCAACAACATACAATCACTAGTGATTGAGGAGCGCGGCTCACCATTCTCAATGGTTGGATCAGTGGACATAAAGAACTTTGTGGAACATCTCTCTTCACTGCGGCGATTCACCTTTGAAAGCTCACATACTACTATTCACGACAACACTCTATTGGCCTTGATGAACAACAATGCTCCGCTCGAGGAGATTGAATACCTGTCTCCACTGCAAGATGCTAGTCTTGCACTGGCCAGTCTGGTGTCGGCCAGGGCGTCATCACTCACCAAGTTGGCATTTGGAAGCACTACGAAACGCGGCGACGACGGGTCCAATGAGAGGTTCATCCAGAACAGTCTACTGTCACAGGCCACCCTGTTCACGCGATTGACATCACTCAAGATACAATGTTACATCACAGACTCAAGTATATTCTTTATATCATTGACCGATCTTTCAAGCTTGACTTCACTCTCATTGCTTCAATGTCAGTTTAAGAATGAGACGATGGCCAAGAGGCAGATGGTCGCATATCTCAGCAACAACCAGACGCTCAAGATACTCAAGACATCAATAATGCTTGACAACTCTATAACATCCTCAATCAACTCTGCTGCGCGTCTAAGAAAGATACACATGTCCACAAGCCCAACGACAAAGGCTAATCAAACATTATACATTCAGTTGGAAACAAGTGTTCAAAGTCTAAAGATCACATCTATGATGCTATCGGACACTTTTCAACTTGACATCTCTACAGACATTCGTTTCAATCAGTTTCGCGAGTTGACTATCAACCTTGTTGGACAACAAGGTCTCAGCTGCTATGAAGACAGTCTGGCGCACTATCTCGAGAACAATTCCAGCTGTCGCCGCTTAACGTGTCAGTATTCAAAGCGTATAATATCATCACTGCGTAACAACAAATCAATTGAGAGCATTACCTTGCATTATCGAGGTATAAACAATGACATGCCATTGACAACTGCACTGTTGGCACTCAATGATAATCAAACAATATTGGAAATAATACTGGATTCTGGTACCATTGACCTCAAAACATTACAACTACCAGACATTGTTGGCCAACTCCATATGACCAACGCATCCATGGACAATGGTCAACGAAGGATCCATTTCCAGAGGATCATGAGTAATAATACTTGATTGATTGATCGATCGACCACTTATGTCTTCTTTATTGTCCTCATGTTGACAAGTGAACTGGGAGCATGTGATAGTAGTTGGTATTTATACTTCCTTATCAGAAGTATACTGGCCAGGATGATGGCTGCTCCAGCCACAGAGCATACTACAACAATGATAATGAGTTTGGTGTAGTCCTTGTCAGGTTTCAAACATGACGTTGCCTCGCCCTCACCTCCTTCATTGACCTTGACCAGTGATTGGAAGTTTGGATCAACTATGCACTCAGTGTCAAAAGCTGGCACCTCGATGAATGATCTGTAAGACAACTCTGATGTGTTGTTGACGTAGAGAACGTCGGTGGACTCGATGTCCTTGAGCACAGATGTCACTACTCGCCCATCTGTGTAAAGATGTCCTGCGAATGATCCATACAACACTGAGCGATCTAGCTCGATGTAGTATGAGTTGATGCCTCCCATTGACTTGGCCTGTATGCATGGACCCTTCTCTCGGGCAGTCTTGCTCTCAAACACAACTTGTAGAGTATGAAGCTTCGATTTGAATGTCCATTCGCGTATTCCAACCGTGAACTTTACCGAGTTGGCGGGCATGTACATCGTCTCGCCGGCAAATGTCACCTGATCTGCTGTCTTGAAGTGTTTGATGTGCATGTCCATTGTTGCGTTGTCATTTGAGAATGTTCCAACGAGGTTGATCGCGCCATCACTGGTGTCAGCGGCACTGCTCACATCCTTCCAAGTGATTGATGACAGTGCCAATGTCTTGATCGTCGCGCCCGCACCATCAACCTCACGCAGGTATACTATTGATGTGTTGAATAATGTTCCGTCTGCCAGACTGCGCACTGATCCATGTTCAATCACTGGCTCACCAGTTGATATCTCAGCTTTAACTGAACAATCTTGCTTTGTCCACCCTTCCTTGCAGACGCATCTTCCTCCAACCGCATCTCCATTGCCACTACAGTTCAACTGGGTGATGTTGATGTAGTAGAACACAATGTTGAAACCAAACTCTCCTTGTGAGGACACATTGACTGCTAGGGAATCGATCTGATTGGGAGGCATCTGAACAGTACCATCAAACAAACATTGTATTGTGGTACTATTGGTGACATTTGCCGAATAACATGGTGCGCCACCAATCTGAACGGTGAGGTTGACAGGCGAGAAGTTGTTTCCAATGATCGTGATCAAGGTGGTCTTGTTCACAATACCTGGGGTGGTCCAGCGAACCACTGGTGCCATGAATGAGTATGTGAATGGCAATGATTGAGCACCATTGACAGACACTGTGGCGACGGGTGGTCCTGGAAGTCTGGACTCTAGCACGCAAGTGAGCGACTTGTGTGGCATCATCATGGTGATGTTGGAGCACACATTTGATCCAATCTTGACATTGGATCAATGATGCATCAGTATACAGATTATCACCTTTGAGGGTGAATGTCATGCGTCCATTCACTGTATCCTCAATGAATGACAACGAGTTGATACTTGGTCGTAGACGATCAATTGTTATCGATACACTTGAGACTGGTGTGGTGCTGCCAAATGGTTGGAATGATACCAAGAGTTGTTTGGATGGTCCGGCATCAGGTGGTATGACAATATAGATATGATCGGAGTAGTAGTCCCTTGCGATTACACTCTGTTGTCCTCCATTATAAGTGTAGAATGTAATGTCCAATGGGGATCCAACCTGAAACAACTCTAAGTCGATCTCATCACCCATGGTGGGGACGACGTACGTCGAAGTCCTAGGTATCATTTGGAAGTTATCTTTGATTGATTGATCAGTTAGTGGTCAGAGGGACGACGTCTCTCAGGGTACTTACTCTTATAGATCAATTGGAGGAATGTGCCATCACCCATTGTTGGTGCTTGGCGAAGGTATCCATTGCGTGGCGAGAGGTAGTATTGACCACCCATTCCAGAGACTGAGATGGTTGGGTCCAATGTGATGATGCTACCAATGTTGGGATCATCAGATGTGATTATCTGATTGTTATTGTTCATCGATAATGATGTGGTGTAATACATATCTGGACACATGTTTGAAGCAATCTGTTTGGCAGCCTTTGTACTAACATAAGACAAGTAACCAGACATTCCACGAACAGTTTGATCATGAGCAAACTGGAGTGAGTTTGTCAAGTTTGTATAAGTTCGGAAGCATTGATAATATCCATTTCCTGGTACATAATCTGGTTGATTGGTTGATGTGAGTGTGTGAGTAAATGATTGATTAATTGAGCGGTGGTGGAATGGTTCCAAGATTGATTGAGTGATTGGAAGTGAGTGATTGGAATGGATCGTTGAGTTTGATAAACTTACTGAAGGCAGGATTATTGTTGATGGAATAGACAGAGTCGACATTGATTGTGATGGGCACGATCACAAGGCCGGTGAGATCCACAAAGGTCTGACATGTTATCACTCCTTGCTTGACCAATTGCACATTGTTACATGCAACAGACTGATTGGTAAGGAATACAGATGTCTTTAAATCGACCAAGTTATCACCAACCAATGTAATAGTAGATCCAGTTGATAGTGCTGGTACCACAATACTTAATTGAGGTGGTTTGTACTGATATGTTGTCTTTAAAGTGACAGTGTTACTGTTGACCATCACTGTGATTGTAACATTATACATTCCTGAACCAGGTGGAATTGTCATTAACAATGTTGTATCCGAAGTGATATATATATCCGATGCCTTGAAAGTCCTTCCATCATCATTAACAAATGTTACTGATACATCTGTTGATTTCTTATTCAACAAATTCAAGTTGAGTATATTATTGATGGTGGCTGTATCATTGACTCCAACAGTCCTGACTGATGGTATGAATGGGTCTGTTTGTCATTGATTGATTGATTAATGAGTGAGTCAGTTGGCTGTGGCCAAGCCCTTGAACTGGACTAAGTACTAACCTTCCATTCCACCAAATTCACAGAGATACATGGCACTGAGTGTACCAGACCAGTTGTTCCATTGTCCAACATACTTGACTGGTGAGTAATAATTGAACTCCACTGCAATGTTGGTCTCAACATCATTAAAGTTTGGTTCAACTGTGGATCATCCCAGATTGTAAGTCCATCAATCAATCAATCATTAGTTGAAGTTAATACATACTTTGATTCCATCCACAGAACATTCCACACTCTAAGGTTGATCGATCATAGAGTAGTGTACCATTCTCTGGACCAGAGCTATAGAAGAATTGACCAGATTTGGACATCTGACCTGATATCCAGAACTTCTGTGTTGCAGTCAATGTACTCAAGAACTTCTCAACAATCCAATCATTCTCCTGTTTAGATGTTATTGTTGCCAAGTAACTAATTTGATTGATTGATTGAATGAGTGGGTGAGTGAGTGGGTGAGTGAGTGGAATAGTTCCAGTGATTGATTAAATCAGTGATTGATTACCCTTGCATTCCATTATATGGTGGCAACTGTTTACATGCTGCCAATGCAGATGAGTATGTGGCAGGTGTAGTCTGTAACTCATAGAAGTGTCCTTTGAACTCTTGTTTTACTGCATTAGCATGTAATGATAAGGTGACAAGTAGTATCAAAACTACATAAAGATTATTCATTGTTCAACTCTATCTATTTGTAGTCTTAGAGACGAGAATACTGTTTGTCGTTTATCAATTGGTTGTTTGATTGATTGTTTGACCGACGGACTCAACATACCATGTCAAAGGTAAATCACGTGATGTGATTGGTCGTTTCAAAAAAAAAAATTGATGGCTGTCATTAGGACTCGTTGTTAGGTTATGATGTCATTTCCACTTTGGGCAATCCTACACAATTGTAAAATAATAATATTATTATTTAAATAAAAAATTATTCGATACCACCACCAATCAACGAATCACTTTGATCAACTTTAATAATTTGATTTAGTTCATCAAGAGAAGTTCCGATGATCGGAACAACTATGATACCTTTACCCAGGTGACCTGGTTGACAAAGTCCGAAGACTAATATCTTTCGTTTTTTTGATCACCACACTTGTTTGTGTTTTTATACCCCCAATCAAATTGTATCGTTTTGAACAAAACTTGTGGGTCATCTTTATCCTTGATGATGGGCGTTGGGTGAGTGAGATAAAGGGAGGGGTGTTCACTTTGACAGACTGACACTTAGCCAAGACTAGTCTCTTCCAGTTCCACTTCAAATCAATCAATCTATCGATCAACATATATATATATATACAGATAATATATTTATACTTATGTATTTCAACAACAAAGTTATCATTGCTTCATTGGCAGTGTTGTTGTTGAGCAACTCACTGATGTGTGCTGCTCAACAGAAGCCATTCTATTGCCAGGCTCCACCACCTGTATGTGTCCTGTCTTGTCTTGTCTTGTGTATCATTTATCATTGAATACTAACATCACTTCAATCAATCACTCAATCAAATTTGGATATCGCGTCACACAGCAACCATCAATGGATACCACAGGAATGACCTTGAAGATGGTCCAAAGTATGATTCACTCATTCACTCACTCAATCAATCGATCAATCAATCAATCAAACATACTAACCTTGGAACCATTCCACCTCACTCATAAGTCCTATTCAGACATGGAGACCGCACACCACTTTACAATCCAGGCGTTGGACAGATCAATGAGTGGGACTGTGGACTCTCAACTTACTTGTATCCATCATTCACTGAACAGACTGAGATCAATGACTCACCAGTCCAGTTCAGAAGGGTTAATATGCCAGGCCGCAATGTATGGCCAGGTAACTGCACGAATGGCCAGTTGACCAACCTCGGCTTTGCCCAGCATCTCGAGCTTGGCCAGCAATTCCGTCAACTCTACGTCGATCAGTACCGTCTGCTGTCGCCCGAGTTCAACATGGACGAGGTGTGGGTGCGCTCCACCGACGTCTACCGCACATTCCAGTCGCTGCAGGCCCAGCTCTCTGGCCTCTACCCCAACCTCCAGGGCCATGGCCGCACGGTCGACGCCATCGACATCCACACGATGGACGACACCTACGAGAACATGACACCCAACGACAACAACTGCGCCTACCTCAACACCCTTTACAACAACCTCACCTCTCTGCCCGCCTACCTGCAGTTTGAGAGCGAGACCGCACAGCTCAAGTCCACGGTCATGTCGGCGCTTGGCGTCACCAGCTTCCCCGGCTGGTCCTCATTCATGGACTACTTCTTTGCCAACCTGTGCCACGACTTTCCGCTGCCCAGCGGCATCACCGAGGACATTGTCTGGCAGACGTACAACGCGTCCTACTACAGCGACAGCTACCCCTTCCACACCAACCAGGAGTACGGCCGTCTGGCCATGTCCACGTTCCTCGAGGAGGTGGTCATCAACATCCAGAACTTCATCAAGGGTGCCAACCCCACCAAGTACATCCTGTTCTCGGGTCACGACGACTCGGTCGCACCATTCGTCAACCTGTTCGGTCTCTACAACATCTGGCCAGCCTATGCCAGTCATGTCGAGATGGAGATCTGGCAAGACAGCCAGGCTGATTACTACCTGCAATTCAAGTACAATGGCGTCACCTATGTGTTGCCAACATGTCCAGGCAACATGTGTCCAATGGACACATTCCTGTCATTGGCATACTCAATCATGGTTCCAAACTACACAACTATCTGCAATCAGAATTAAATAATAATAGATTATGTCAGGCGCTCGAGCGCGATTTGAATTGAAAGATGTCAATGAATGTATCTTTCATTCAAATAACAAAGTTGTATATGGATGTGATTCAGGATAATAATTTCCTTAAAAGGTGATCGGTATTCAATCCAATGATTTATTAATTACAAGACTAATTAGGACTACGTAGTCCTCTCTCAGCTTTATGGTTCCATCCATATTTAATATTATATGTTCATTGGTAATAAATAAATCAGGTAAATAATCATACTGAATATTATTTATATAGTGATAATTTATTGACTTGTATCAATAGCAATGGGATCCAAGATAGAAAATCAAGATCAACAACTTAGTTAAAAATTTAAAGATATTCTTTCCAACTTCTTTGGATTATTTATTGATTTATTTAATTATTCTGTCAATATATATACAAAGATATGTAAGTATTATTCTTGGATGAATAATAATATCATGTACTTGATTGTCCATTTTAAAGTATAATCATTATTTAACTAATTAATTAGTATCCAAAGTTTCGTATGATAGCCATGTAAGGGATGTATTCAAGAGACTCAACTTCCATCTACCTGATGATCCATGATTGCTGCGATGAAACAATCTACGAAGGATGGTTGCATTCTACTTGTGATTGATCCAATCAATGAGGGTGTCCGAGCCAGGATTGATCCCGAAACTTTTCCTCCCCGTCCGGGTTCTGCCTCTGTACTGCACCAACTCAACATCATTATGGACTCCTCTGGATCGGTGCCACTACTCCCGAACCAGTATCGAGTCTGGGTGTATCCTTATCAACAAGTTTTCTGCTTCGAGAACAAAGAGTCAACTGGATACGCCACCAGGATGGAGCTCCCGACTTGGCGCATATGATGGTGTGGTTCCCTCTTGGAGCTCGTCAAACCCAGGATCTCCAACTCTTCAATGCCCTCAACCAAGCTGAATTGAAGACCAGGCTCTCAGACCTTGACCCCAAACTACTAAACAATCATTGATTAAATATGACAGTGTTTAAGTTCCACAAGATTGTTGATTGTCGAGAGTGGCTGTTGTGATTAGCTCTGCGCCAGATAGTCCAATGTCAACTTTAACTGCATTGGGTCAGGACCAGAGAACATCGATTGTTGCTCCCCCTTTAAGTATGTGATAAATGTTGGTACACCTGGTATCTTCTGCACAACTGGATGGTCCTGTTGAAGGAACGAATGAAGGTACCAGTTAGTTGAGTGAAGTGAAGAGAATTGGGACCTCCCAGGAGTATCCATACCTTGAATTGATCAATGTCAACCTTTGCAAATTTGATATTGGAGTACTTGGCATCCTCTGCCAATGCTCCAAAGATAGGTGTCATTACCCTACAAGGAGGACACCAATGTGCACATAAGAACAATGTGAGCTGTTGAAGAATAGAGTGTGTGTCGGTCCAACAAGTGAGTTTGAGTGAATGAATGAGCAAATGAATGAATGAATGAACTAAGACATACCTTGTTCTCAAGCTTTATATACTTTTCCAACTCATCATTTGTATTGATATATAGATTCATTTAGGGATTACATATATACATATACATATATATAAATAATACTTGTTGATTGATGCAATTTACAAGTGCACAACTTTCGATACTTCGAGGGACTTGACACGACTCGGAGAAGGGGGTTCGGTCTTCGAATCTTCACTTGAAATGGGTCTTTGTCCTTTTGCAAAGATACTTCATTCTTTCATTCACACAAATATTTATATTTATATGTTAGTTTATTTGTTTATTTGTAAGTACGATGTACGATCATCGTAGTTTTGAAAGATAGACAGATATTTATTCCGATCGAATAAATGCATATGTGCATCTACATTTAGATTATGATAAGGGCGTAGACCCCATCTTGGCTTTGACAAGGTTGCACGAACCAACCCAAAGGGTCAAAGATATTTATGTTGACCAAGGTGCGAAGAACTCTTTTCGAACTGACGCCACACCTTCCACACTTCACAAGTATCTTTCCATTCAACATCATCTACGTCAATTTTATAGAACTTACAAACATACATATAAGTAATAATTATAAGTAATAATATTAATTGTATAAATAATGTTCAATATAAATATGTTGCCAATAACAACACTGTTGGTGATACTATTATGCACGAGCATTAGTATCACCATCACCAATGCAGTTACAACTAGTTGTGATGACCTTACTTGTTTAAATAATGCATTGACAAATGCTAATATGGGTGATGTTATCAATTTGGGAGCTGGAAAGGTGTTTGCAGGCAAGTTGGTATTGTCAGCCAGTGGCACATCAGACAACCCAATCACACTTCAAAGTGCATCCGATACCAATCCTGCAACAATTGATGGTGGCAACCAAAACTCTGGATATGTGGTCGCTGTCACTGGCAGCTACTGGATTGTTCGCAACCTCAAGATCACCAACGGACAAAAGGGAATCATGGACTGACAAGGCCAACTACTGCCTCTACGACCATGTGGAAGTCTACAACATTGGCCAGGAGTGTGTACACTTCCGCAATGGCAGCTCCCACAACACCATTCAGAACTCATACATTCACGACTGTGGATTGGTCACTCCAGACTATGGTGAGGGCGTCTACGTCGGATCAGACAAGGGCAAGTGGGCCGAGTTGATCAAGGAAGCCGACTATAACACAATCCGTAGTAATGTCATTGGACCTGGTGTGACTGCCGAGCACGTTGACATCAAGGAGGGCTCATCATTCACCATTGTCGAGCACAACATATTCAATGGCACTGGCATCACTGGCGCCAACTCTGGCGACAGCTTCATCGATGTTAAGGGCAACGATTGTATCATCCGTTTCAACGTCGGCTACAGCAATGATAATCCAAAGGTTGCCAACGCATTCGAGGTACATCAGCGTATAGCTGGATGGGGACTCAATGCCAACTTTTATGGAAACACTGCCTATTTGACCAACGCCACACAATACGTTGTGTTGACCGACTCCAAGGGCAATGCCACCGCCTCAAACAACACTCGTATACCAACTGGTAACCTATATTCTGGAAATGTTGTCGACACTGATCAATCAACATCCAATCCAACAACCTCATCAACTACCAAGCCTTCGACCACTTCAACATCCACCACTTCCACCTCAACAACTTCAACCACCACCAAGCCATCAACAACCTCCACCTCTACTACTACCAAGCCATCGACTACTACTACTACTACAACATCTGGCACTACAACCGGCACAACATCCAATAATCCAACAACATCATCCACTACAACTACCACTTCATCAGACACAAACACACCAACTACAACTTCATCCACTACAACAACTAACCATCCAAGCAATGGTATCACACTCCAATCAACCAATCTTCTTATCCTCTCTTTATTATTTATTTCATACATTCTTGCATAAGGCAATAAACCCATACCCTTACCCTACCCTCGCCCTCGCCTTGCCCACACACACCTCCATTTTAATTATTTAATTTAATTTTTCTCAATGAAAAAGCGAACGAACGACACTCTATCTCTTCGTGTTTTGATCAAACACACAATCAACTTTGTTAGTGTTATTCATATATCTTGATAGATAAGATAAATAAAGATATAATATATAGAGATGGAACACAGACATAGAGCAGGCCCTTTGAAACAGAGTAATAAGACATTCAAAGCTGGCAAGCATGATAGCAAGGGTCAAATCAAGCGTAGAGCAGCAGGAAAGATCGAACAGAATACACCAAGACAAGGTGTAAAGTCAGGTGCCGTAGTCAAATCACGCTCAGCAGAGATCAGACAGAAACAACTAAAGATGACCCAATCCAAGCGTGCTGAGGCTCTCGAGCGTGCCCGTCTTGGTCTTCCCGATGTCGCCGCGCCTCGCATCATCGTACGTACCCTTACCCTCGCCCCTCAGTCACTCAATGATCATTACTAACATACTTTGATCAATAATAGAGCGTTATACCATTGAGCGAGAATGTTGATATCAAGTTGATCAAGTCACAGATGTTGAAGAAGTTTGAGTTGAGTGGCGCAGAGTTGGAGAGCAGCCATACGACAGTTAGTTTGACATCAAAGGTGCGCGCGACATTCATTTGCATCGATAGTAGAGATATTGAGACATTGATTCACTCGGTGAAGCTGGCAGACATCATCCTGTTCGTGGTCAACCCCGCAGAGTTTGAGGTTGGCGGCATCGCCGGAGGCGACACCAAGTTCGACGAGAAGGCCGAGCGCCTGTGCTCGGTGATCAAGGCACAGGGCGTGCCATCGTCCATGCTGCTCATGCAACACTTTGACAAGATCGCACAAAAGAAGAAGAACGACGTCAAGAAGCAGCTGACCTCATTGTTCCACTTCCAATTCCCCGACGAGCCCAAGGTGTTGCCCGCAGACGACGATATGGGACAGGTACTGCGTTTCGTTGAGGCGATGCACATCAATGAGCCAGTGTGGAAGCAGGCACGTCCATACATCATGGTGGAGGGCGCAGAGAATGACGCCGCTGGCAACCTCGTGCTGACAGGCTTTGTCCGTGGCAACTCGTTGTCGGCCAAGCAGATCATGCATCTGCCAGAGCTGGGCGACTTCCAGATTGAGAAGATCGAGCAGGCAGCAGACCCCCACCAGACCAGACACAAGAAGGCAAAGGACGAGCAATCAGCGATGCAGGACAGCACTGCCAAGATATTGGACAAGGCTGAGCCAGAGGAGAGAGATACACTTCAAACACACAACATACCCGATCTGAATGAGCAGGAGCAGACCATGCCAACAAACGAGGAGATTGAGTTGGCTCAAGCCAACAGGAAGAAGAAGGTCTTGGTGCCCAAGGGTACCTCTTCATACCAGGCATCATGGTACCTCGACGACGAGGAGGAGCCCGAGGAAGACTACGAAGACGAGGACGGCGAGGACGCAGAGATGGGCGAGCAAGACGATCAAATGGACGAGCAAGATGGCGAGGAGCAAGACGGCGAGGACGAGGAAGAGGAGCTGGAAGAATTGGAGCTGAATTCAGACAAGTGGATTGGAAAGTCAAAGGAGGATATAGAGAAGATTAAGAAGGCCGAGGAAGAGGATGCCGAGGAAGATATGAAGGACGAGGATGAGGATGAGGACGATGAGAGCGACGACGAGGACGACCGCGGAAAGGAGAAGAACGAGCTGGAGTTCCCAGATGAAGCCAACACACCAACAAACATTCCATGTCGCGTTCGTTTCTCAAAGTACCGTGGCCTTAAGAGCTTCCGCTCGTCACCATGGGATGCCTACGAGAATCTCCCTCTGGACTATGCTCGCATCTTCCAGTTCCACAGCTTCAATCAATCAATGAGAGCATCTTCGGCCCTGCAGGATAAGGCGCCAGTCAAGCCAGACCAGTATGTTAGGATCACATTGGCTGGAGGACCAAGCGCCGCCCAGGTCATCGAGGGCCGCAACACACCACTGGTTGCAAGCGGACTGATGCGTTACGAGAACAAGATCTCGGTGCTGCACTTCCAGTGCGAGAAGCACCGTCACTACGACGAGCCGGTCAAGTCCAAGGAGGAGGTCTACTTCCACGTCGGCTTCCGCCACTTCTCGGCCAACCCCATATACAGCATCAGCGCACCAAACTGCGACAAGCAAAAGTACGAGAAGTTCTTGTTTGCTGGCCGCAACACAGTGGCGACAGTATACGCGCCAGTCATGTTCCCACCCGCACCCCTGCTCGTGTTCCGCGACCGCTCTTGCGCGCAGCTGGTGGCCACAGGCCATCTGGCAAGCGTGAACCCCGACCGCATCATCTGCAAGCGTATCATCCTGACCGGCTACATCGCCAAGGCGCTGAGCAGGAAGTTTGTGACTGTGCGCGACATGTTCTACTTCCCCGAGGACATTGAGTGGTTCAAGAAGATTGAGCTGCACACCAAGATGGGCAGGGTCGGCCATATCAAAGAGTCGCTCGGTACACACGGCCGCATGAAGTGTCTGTTCGATGGCAAGATGAACCAACAGGACACTGTCTGTCTCAACCCTTTACAAGCGTGTCTATCCCAAGTGGGTACTGCCGCTGTCACCCGAGGAGCAGGCTGTGGTCGACGCGTCTAACCATGTCGACAACGCCAGCGCCACAGACAACATGCAATAATAACTTTAAATAAACATTGTGAATCACGCACGGCGTCAGTCCATCCCTGGATGACTGGCTTCGCTTCTTAAGAATGTATATTGTGTTGGTGTATACAAGGTGATTGAGTTTATTTGGTATTGTCGCCGCGCCAAAGAGTCGCGCCAGCCAGAGAGTCGCGAACACGCTACCAATATCTGATCATAGTCTTCCACTCGACAAACTCCTTCATGAGTGCAGGGAGGAAGCCTGTGAGTGTCCAATCTTTGTAGACGAGGATGCTGTTGAACTTGCCAAGACTGATGAGGATGGGCTTGGCGCCAGAGCGGTACTTTTGCAGGGCGTTCTCATTGCGCGCCTCCATTGCGTAGATGTTGTTGACGACGACACTGGCCGTGTTCTCGGCCGTCTGCGCCAGCTTCTCCTCGCGCACATTGAGCACATCGCCCGAGACAAAAATGTTGCGGTAGAATGTTGCGCCAGACATCTGAAGGTACTCATTGCCCTTGATGTAGCCAAACTCTGAGATGGCGTCGGGGAAGGTCTTCTTGACAAAGTCAGAGTTGGGCACAATTCCCGTGCACAGGAATGCCTGGTCGGCGATGATCTCGCTGCCCTGGTCTGTGATGAAGATGTTGCCCTTGTGGGCAATGACGCGCTCGTTGTGAACGATGCGCACGCCATGATCCACGAGATATTGCTCGGCATGGCGAATGGCCTTTTTGGGGAAGCGATTCATCAGTTTGGACTGCGAGTGGATGAGCGTAACCTCCTTGCCCGAGAAGTGACTGACGATCTCGGCCGCCAGCTCGACGCCGACAATGCCACCGCCAATGATCAATATCTTCTTGAGCTTGCGAATGTGATAGTAGTTCTCGCGCAATGTGTTGGCGCGAGCTGATGCCACGACGGACGACTCCTTGAATGGGGAGTTGTAGCTGGAGCCCGAGTTGAGCACCAGGTAGTCAAAGGGGACGGTGCGGTCGTCCAGCACCACCTCGCCCTTGTGCACACCGGTCACCTCTTTCTGGACGACATTGGTATGCTTTAGATAATGTGAATGGAGCACCTGTATACTCTTGATATGTGTAGGCTCAACGATTGTCCTCAATATACTTGGAGTGAATTCAAAGTAATCCTTTGTATCGATCAATGTCACCTGGAAGTCATTCTCCAACTGTTGTGCCACCATACTTCCAGAGAATCCACCTCCAACCACAACAACTCTCTTTCTATCCTCCACTGGTATCTGAGTGTACATTGATTGATTGATTGATTGATTGATTGAGTGAGTGAGTGAGTGATCGAGTGTTGATCATATTCCATTGATTGAATGAATGAATGATGACGCTTACCCTATTGAGTAGAGTTGATTTGAGTGCCACTGATGACTTGAATGCCATGCAGAACACATAGACTACTGAGAAGAATAGTAGTAGTGCATAGTGATAGAAGAAGAACACTATTGTGCCAAATATCTTGATCATTCTCTTCTAACCTGTCATGTGACCCAATCAATTGGTATTATATTATAATATATTATTATCTCTCTCTGTATTTGTATTTGTATCTGTGTGTAGTCTTTTAAGTGAGCAATGAGTGATGCTCCCTCAAGATGTGTAGTTTAGTGATAATGTAGAGTGTTATGCGAGAGAGTGTAGGTGTATGGTACAAAGAGAGATAAGTAGTACTTTTAAGTAGTGCTTGGAGGTGGAATGAGAGATGATGATGTATGTTCACATTCGTGTGTTTAAGTGTTCGTGGCTGTGTCGACTGACTGAAGGAGGGAGTCGCAACAACAGTGGTGTGGTTGGTGGTTGCCAGACAAGAAGTATTGGGTAGACCCACACACTCTATCCATCTTCTTATTTGCATTGCAACCACGTATCCAATATACAAATAAATAAATATCCATCGTGTGTTTATTCATAATAATAATGCCTCTCAAAAGTAATCAACCAGTATTCATAATAACAAAGGCTTATTATTAATAATGTTATAATGAATGAATAAATGAATGAGAGAAGTTACTCTAACAAACTCTTATAATACCAGTCGAATGCAAAGATACAATCTTTGTTAAACTTAATGATTATTCAATCAAAGGAAAGAGAGATCCATCCAAGAACAACAAAGACCCTGTATTCATTGCTACTCTATTAGAATGATAGAATGGCAAAGAGACCATACCAACAATAGTCATAGGAATGTGACTCGTAATATAATGCAACAAACAAACTTGTTGCCATTCAAAACAAAAACGACCGACTGATCAATGGCCTGGGATACTTTACTTTGATTGAGCAGACCTCTCTAAATTGAGATACATATACATATACATACATATAGAGATTATAATGTCAAAGGCACCTATTATAACAACATCATCATTGGTACTGTTTAGAAGAGTACTAAGAGAAGGACTGAGATATAATGCATTCAAATCAGACTCTTGGTGGAGATCAAACCTTCGTGAGATCTTTAGAGAGAATAGGAATGTCGATGATCCCGATAAGATTAGAGTGTTACAAGACCAAGTCAAAACCTACAGATTCTATCTAAAGTCTACAAAGGATCTACAGGTATGTCTCCCTGTACTTCACGAGCTAATGTCACTCAAACATCTCTAACCAATCAATCGAATGTCTAGACGTTGTTGGAGGAATATAATATTGGTATACCTGTTAGAGAGAGGGTTGAGAAGTCATCTAAAAGAGTTGGATTGCAGTTGCCTGATTGGCCTGAGGAGAGACATAGGATCATCTCGGACAGAACCAAGGCAAGAGACGAAGCATTGGCCACAGCGAAAGAAAGACTGAGTGAGCGAGCGAAAGAAGGTAATTAATAAACCAATATAGCGATCATATATATTATATACATGTATACGTGGACAGGACAACGATCGATGAGTCATTCATTCGCCAAAGTGAGAATGAATGAATGAGTCAACTTCAACATCTTTGTTTTGATAATAGAGATAGAGATAGAGATAGAGATAGTGATAAAGGATGGACACATTACCAAATATACTTATAAAGTATATTGGACAGTTGGTAGATGACCAACTTCATGGTGGACGCATTGATCTAATAAGTCTACTATTGACTTGTAGACGAATGTTCAATGAGAGACTAAGCTTGTTAAATCTAAAAGGACTGCATATGACCAACCATGATGATGTTGACAATAGTAACAACCTATTGATACATACTTCCTTCTTATCAACCTTTGGTGAGAAATGTATGTACATTCATTCATTTAATCAATCATTCAATCATTGACTCATTTAATCATACTTAGCAGCGAAGAAGTTACCTTCATCAATCACTGAGCTGACAATTGCTAGACATGGCGTTAATCCGATTAGACCACAATCGTTACCAGAGTCACTGGTTATACTTAGACTTGGAGCGCACTTTAATCAAGCATTCGAGCCACACTCTTTACCAGACTCATTAACAGACTTAAGGTTTGGGTATCAGTTCAATCAACAATTGACATTGGGCTGCTTGCCAACCAGTCTTACCAAGCTGTACTTTGGACGACACTTTAACCAACCTCTGAGGGAACATGTGTTGCCAGACTCGTTACTTGACCTCACATTGGGCTTTGACTTTGACCAGCCTCTTGGACAGGGCGTGCTACCCAACTCTCTGGTGCGACTCAAGCTGAGCTACTTGTATAGGCAACAACTCGTCACGCCTCCATCGCTCACCGAGTTGCATTTTCGACACTACTTTGGGCGTGAGCTCGTGACCGACATGCTCAATGACTCGCTCACCAAGCTAACATTGGGCTCCCAATTCCAATGTGAACTTGAGCCTGGACTGCTCCCCTCATCACTGCGCACACTACATCTATATTGCAACTACAGTCACAACTTACTAATGGGCTCTTTGCCTGAGGGCCTGGAAGACCTGTCACTTGGGTCATCATTCAATCATCCTATACTGCCAGCCATACTTCCCCAGAGTCTCATCAAGCTTGTCTTTAGCGATTGCTTTGACCAGCCAATCTCGCCAGGTAGTCTGCCGGCCTCCCTAAAGGATATTACATTTGGAATGAACTATAACCAACCGCTTGTGCCAGGTGCCCTTCCACATGCTCTACAACGTCTACAGTTTGGAATGAGCTTCAATCAATCGATCAACAGAGTGACCATGTCACAATCACATGGAGGAGAGATTGACATGCCAGTGTTGCCATTGCCAGTGTTGCCATCATCAATCACCGATCTTAAGTTTGGATATGAGTTCAACATGTTGATCGAACCAGGATCATTGCCAACATCACTCACTAGTCTGGAGTTTGATGATGTATTCAATCAAGTCTTGGAGATTGGAACATTCCCATCGTCATTGACGATTCTAACTTTCCATGATGAGTTTGATCAGCTGCTACAACCTGGTACTCTGCCACTCTCTCTAAAGACTTTGATCTTGGGTGACTCATTCAATCAAATAATCGGTCCAGACGTGCTACCTCTCAACCTAACAACATTAGTACTTGGATTGTTCTACAGCCAATCAATGCCATACCTGCCACAATCAATCACTCAGTTGACCGTCAGCTTCTCCTTTGATACGGAACCATTCATCCACCAATGGAGCATTCCAGATTCTCTACACACCCTCAGCATCGCCAACATCTCATCACAGATTGATATACTTGGTCATTGTCCAGGATTGAGACATATGATCATCTCGGACATTGGCAATGCTCATCAATTGATTGGACGTCATCGTGATGATGAATCTATTGTGCTGGATCTTGTCAAGCCTCTGACCACACTTGATAGCCTGGTCCTAAATGGACGCCTGGAACATTTGGAAGACCTATCAAGTATACTCAACTTCTTTGCACCATTGGATGTGCCATGCATCCGAATCAAGCTGGTTGACGATGACATGCTCCTACATGCCCAAATCCGCTACATTGGCGCTGACTACTATCTCGTGATCAATCACAAGTTGGAAGGTGGAGTGATGCGCTCCCACCAAATCGTCGGGTTCCTCAAAACAATCCAGGTGGAAACTGACTAGAACTAAACTATTGTTTCGCAATGTTGAGCAATGTTTGTTTATTACGTTGGGAACGCTGCGACAGGTGGTAGTGTGGCGAGGATCGATCAATCGATTGATTAGAACTTGTGAGCATTCATGGCCACGGTCTGACTGACGGTCATGCGACTGCCGGGTCGCAGGGCGTTGATCTTGTTCCTCAGGGTGGCCTTGGCGTTCAGCTTGGCCGAGTTCTTCTTGCTCAGCTCCTCCTGCTCGGTATGCTTTCGTTGTTTGTCCGCCTCCTTCGACATAAAGCGCAATTCGTCCACGCGCTCCAGTGACACTGGAATGATGTGCTTTGGATTGGATTCCTTTCGTCTCTCCTCCTTGATCCTCTTGATCTTATCCTTTCTCTCTTTCAGTTGCGCATCCTCTTGTCTTCTCTTCTTCTCTTCTTCTACTTTCGCCTTGTTTGACTTTATCTCGTTCCTGTTGGATTTGATTGATTGAGTATGTTAGTGCCTGATTGAGTGATGGGGGGTGATGACACTTACGTCATGCTTGCAGCTTGTTTCAGAATATCGGCATTGAGCGATGGCATTGATGGTAACAGCTGACCATCATCAGTTGACTTCTTGTTGGTGTTTTTGTTGTTTGTGTTGTTGGTGTTGTTGGTGTTGTTGCGCTTGGTGTGCAATGTTGAATCGATGTCCTCTGACTTCCTCTTCTTTGTCGTGGTCGTCGTCGTTGTTGTTGATTTACTCACAACATCTTCTGATGACTTGTCCTCCTCCTCAGTAGCCATTGTCGTGTCTTTGGCTGGAGTCTTTGATTTGGCTGGAGTCTTGTTTGTTGGTTTGGCTGGTGTATTTGTTGTTGTTGATGTTGTGGCTGTCGCTTTGGTCGCTGACTTTGTAGCTGATGCTGCTGGTGTTGCTGGTGTCGATTTTGTCTTTGGAGTTGAGATTGCTGCTTGCTTGGATTTGGATACAGGTGTCTTGGTAGCCTTGTCGACCACCATATCATTATCTTGTTGCGTCTGTTCCAGGTTGTTGCCATTCTGTGTGGTAGGTTCTTCCATCTCGACATCAGCGGTCACCTGTGATTTGGCTGGAGTCTTGGACTTGGCCGGTGTCTGTGTCTTTGTCTTTGTTTGTTTTGGTTGCGGGGTCTGTGGCTGTGCAGTGACTGGCGCGACTGGCTCCTCAACAACAGCTGCTGCAACCTCGACTGGCTGCTTTGCTGGAGTCTTTGACTTGGCCGGTGTCTGTGTCTTTGTCTTTGTTTGTTGAGGTTGTGGGGTCTGTGGCTGTGGTGTGGCTGGTGCGACTGGCACGACTGTCTCCTCAACTGGCTCGGGCTGCTTGGCGGGGGTCTTGGACTTGGCAAGAGTCTTCTTTGTTTTGTTGGCAACTGGCGTTTGCTGGGCTGGCTCCTCTTCGGTGGTAGTGGTGGCAGGCTCGGTGGTAGTGGACTGCTTTGCTGGAGTCTTGGCCTTGGCTGGTGTCTTTGACTTGGCTGGTGTCACAACCTTTGGTTTGGCAACCTCCTCGACTGATGTCTGCTCAACCTCGGTTGGCTGTTTAGCTGGAGTATTGGCTTTGGCCGGTGTCTTTGACTTGGCTGGGGTCTTGGACTTGACTGGTGTCACAACCTGTGCCACAACAGTCGCCTGTGTAGTAGTATCCTCCTCTCCCTGCTCCACAGCAGCAGCAACTTGTTGCTTGGCTGGAGTCTTCTTTGACTTGGTAGTCAACTTTGCTGGAGTAGTCTGTACCTTCTTTGGTGGCACTATATCCTGTTCATTCTCATTCTCCTCTTGGATGATCGACTCAATCCTCGTTGTTGCTGCTGTGACTTTGCTCTTTGGTTTGGGGAGTGGCATCTTGAAGTCTGCGATTGGTATCACGATATCATTGCTGTTGTTGATGCTGGCATTGGCACTCTTTGACCTCTTGATAGCATCTGGATGTGGAGTGTCTGGCTTGCGCATCTTCCTCGACACGATTGGCGTGGAGACAGGTGACATTGCCAACGGCTCAGTTCTGTCGCTAAACATCTCGTGCTCCTCAGATGCGTCTGACTTGTCCGGTGTGACAGGGTATGCCACGCCATTGGGTGTTGTGTGAGTGGTAGTCGTGTCGGTGGTTGTGTCATCTGTTGCTGTCTCGTCTGATGCATTCGATGCACTGTCATCCTTCTTTGATGTTCTGACCCTCTTCTTGGGTGTCTGCATCTTGAGTATCTCCTTCAAGTTCAATGTCTCTGTCCTCCTGTTCACCTTCTTCATTGAGTCCAACAGATTCAATTCACTTGATGTCTGTTCTCCACTTGTTATTTTCTTTGGAGTCGCCATGATTGATCGATGATTGAATGATTGATAAGCTTATTATTGTTTGTCGTTTCGTATGTATGTTGTTTGATGATTATTGATTCGATGACGACAACTCAATCAATACACTATGTTCGACACTTTATATATATTACTACTGTATGTAATGTATGTATATGTCTAATTATGATGTATCTGAAGCGGAAAGGAAGAACATAAACAGAGAAGTGTTCTCATTTGAACCCTGCCTGACATCCAAACGAAAAAAAAAGACAAAAGTCTTTCGTTCGTTTTCTTCCAATCTCTTGCTCAAAAACACTCACCTCTGGCACACTCAGAGTTTGATGAGATAAAATCCAACCCAAGTCATAAGTCCATCCAGGAAGGAATCAAACATTTATTCAGTGATCAATTAGATACCAATTGTCAGCCTAGACTGGACCCATCTTTAAAAACCAGTCTCAGACTGAGGTTGGTAGAGAGTCCAACTTGTCAACTTTGGTGACTGATAATAATATTACAACAACAATAATAGAATCAGCCCAAGAATCCTTACCTTCATGAATGAATGATATCATCATCTTGGAAGAAGTGTGTTGTTGTGTCGATCAGACTCAGTGATCTATCAAACACTAACACACACTGCCAATCAATCATTTGACAACAGTGTGAGTGTGTACACCCACAGAACTATTCAATCCTGGATGGATAAACACAATCACAAGAGTAGTAGTGGTCAGGTACTCACCTTTTAAAGGAAGTATAGGGTACCAAGCTTACCTATCTCATGTGATAGCATTAGCATATGAACATTCAGATAAAGTTGAGATGGTTTGATTGATTGATTGATTGATTGTTGTATATCGGTGTGAGTTGTGTATTGTGGGTTGAGTCCCTCCCTCATACTCAATCATCAATCAATCAACCTTAACCAATCAATGAATCAATCAAATTAATCAATCATTATATTGACCACCCTTTATCCTCAAATGGTTATCATCACAGAAAGGAGATATTTAACTTAATGATTGATCAATCAATCAATCAATCAATCAATAATATAGTAGTGTGACGTGGATAGGATGACATTGTGGATTGGATTGTGGATTGGAGTGAGTGGATGACTCCATCTTTATTGAATGGCTTAGTTTCCGACCTTCAACGAATCACACTCAACTCACCTACACAATCCATGACTCTTCCAGATTAGGAAGTAATATTCCATCATGATATCCATTGACCAAACAATATAAATACTTCAACTAGAGTCATTCCAAATCATCAAACAAACAAACAATCAAGTATATCTACTTACTAATCAATCAATCAAACTTTCCAAAAATGACTATTATGAGTATGTACCAATCCTAATCATATCCAATCAATCAATCAATCAAACTAACATACGATTTGATCAAATAGAATCCATGACCTCCCTCGGCTCCGTTGGCCCAAGCGCCATGAGCAAGAGCACTGTCTCAAGCATGGGTGCTTCAGGTGTTGGCCAATCCGGTAACAACAATGCTGGACTTGGATGTCTGATTGGTGGCCTAACCCACACTGTTGGTGGAACCGTTATCGCTGTCGAAGGTGTTGTCAACGGTGTCCTCTTCACTGCTCTCGGTCTGGTTGATGGTATCCTCGGTGGAATCTGTCTCTAAACTGATCCATCCAACAATCGATCAACTTTTATATAAATATATATAACAAACAATGTTCAAACATCAATCAATCATAATATATATTACCAAGTAATGATCAATCAAATGATCATGGTAATAATGTAGTCACACACCTAACAACACCCTGTCTCGGCGGATAAACAACTAAAAATGGGAACTGGGTGGCGATGGACTCCAACGGTTGGCCCATCAATCGATCATTATTGAGTGTATGATGAGTGTAGGGTAGGGGTAGGGTGCTTGGTGTTATAGTTGGTCTTTCATCGTTGTCCCAATTGTGCACCAGATGTGGGGAGACGGATGAGGGCTACTACTCCCACCCAAACTATAAACTTAACTTGCAGAGTCATCGTGTTGTCGTTCGTTTCGGCCACGTGTGTGGTGAGTTTATGTTTATTACAACAACAACATGATTCAAATTGATGACAAATGTATTCATTGTAATTAGTTATGGCCTTAACTAGCCTGGCCTATGTATGTGCTCGGTGTGTATGACATCGGGGGACAGAAGACAATGCCGCATCAGAAATTGCCGCGTTTGGCTTTGAATCTCTGGTTGATCATTAAAAAAAAAAAATCAATTTCCTTCATTGGTTGTAGTGGGTGGGTGAGTGAGTGAGTGTGAGGAGTATGATGAATGAGTGAATGAGAGTGAAAGTGAAAGTTGTGTGATTATGTCACGCGCAAATAGGACCTCAACCCCCAGTCCAGTCCTACACCCAAGCTAGCTTGTTCAACATCTTGCATAACATTTCTCTTCTCTTCTGTCTTTCACGTGCGTCACGTACACATAACAGATAGATAGATAGAGATAGATATACAGATACTATATTTAACTATATAGAAGAGGTGTCTTTGTCGTAACAGTAACAACTAAACTACGACTTTGACAACCAATCATTCATTCATTCATTCATTCATTGTCACTCACTCACTCAATCAATCAATCAATCAACATCAACTCAAGTTCTCAAACACAACATCAACTACAGTTAATGTCACATACCTCCCTTTTAACAAGAAAAGGAGTAATAATAACCCAAAACAAACATATAATAATCACATAATAACAATAACGATGATATCGATACAATCAGCAATCAAGCGGTCAGTGACCAAGAGTGGTCTGCTGACTTCTTCGTCAGTATACGCTCGCAGCAGCATGATTAGTAACAGCAGCCGACCGACATTTGGCGTGCGACCATTCGCCTCGCTCACACCAGGCTCGCCCCTGACCAACCAGCCAAAGTCCCGCAAGGAGCTGTCAGAGTCCTTCTTGGACGGCACGTCGTCCAACTACGTCGAGGACATGTACAACTCGTGGAAGAGCGACCCATCCTCTGTGCACAACTCGTGGGCCTCCTTCTTCCAGTCAGCTGACATGGAGACCCCTGTCGGCGAGGCCTACATGTCGCCCCCAACCCTCGGAACCACCGCCCCAGTTGCCGCCTCGCCCTCCACCGGCCCCGTCTCTGGCGCATCCAGCATGAAGCAGGTCAGTGACAGCATGCGTCTCCTCCTCCTCATCCGTGCCTACCAAGTGCGCGGCCACGCCATTGCCAACCTCGACCCACTCGGTCTCCAAGTTCGTCCAGAGCCACCCGAGCTCAACATCAGCAGGTAAGCATCAATCATTCGATCAATCAATCAGTCATGCCACCAGCCAACTAACAATCATTCGATCAATCATCAGATATGGATTCACTGAGGCTGATATGGACAGACCAATTATGGTTGGTGATGGATTGATCTCTGGATTCTTGACAAACAACGCACCACAGACTACACTGAGACACGTGATGTCCCGCTTGAAGCAGGTCTACTCTAGCAACATCGGCATTGAGTACATGCACATTCAGGACAGAGAGATGTGCGATTGGATTCGCGAGAAGTTTGAGACGCCCGTGAGCAAGGTGTTCTCACGCGAGCAGAAGGTCAAGGTGCTCGAGCGTCTCGCCTGGGCCGACCAGTTCGAGGCATTCCTGGGGCTCAAGTACAAGACTCACAAGAGATTCGGTCTCGACGGTTGTGAGTCGCTCATCCCCGGTATGAAGGCCATGATCGACGACAGTGCCCAGCAGGGAGTTGTCGACGTCGTCATCGGCATGCCACATCGTGGCCGTCTCAATGTGTTGGCCAACGTCGTGCGCAAGCCACTCAAGGCTATCTTCAACGAGTTCAACGGCGGTGTCATCAGTCTCGAGGGCGAGTACTCGGGCACCGGTGACGTCAAGTACCATCTTGGCACGTCGTACGACCGCATCACCTCTGACGGCAAGAAGGTTCATCTGTCGCTCGTCGCCAACCCATCCCATCTCGAAGCCGTCAACCCGGTCGTCGAAGGCAAGGTCCGCGCCAAGATGCACTACTCCAACGATGTCGAGCAGTCCAAGTCTCTCCCAATCGTCCTCCACGGTGATGCCTCCATCGCCGGCCAAGGTGTCGTCTACGAGACCCTCCACCTCAGCAAGTTGACCAACTACTCCACCGGTGGTACCATTCACATCGTTGTCAACAACCAGATTGGGTATGTAAAAACTTGAGAGTGACGATCAATCAAAGTCGACTTCATTCACTAACTCATTCAATCATTCACTCTCTCTATCCATCTCATTCCCAACAACAACCAGTTTCACTACCAATCCAACATCATCGAGATCCTCAATGTACTGCACTGACGTTGCCAAGACCATCGATGTACCAATCTTCCACGTCAATGGTGATGATGTCGAGGCAGTCGTCCACGTCTGCAAGATCGCTTCCGAGTGGAGACAGAAGTTCAAGAGAGACGTCATTGTAGATATTGTTTGTTATAGAAGGTACGTGTAAAGCTACACTCACTCGGGGATGATCAGAGACTTGTCCACTAACTCTACTACCAATCCATACTCATTCACACATGATCAGATTCGGTCACAACGAGACAGATCAACCAAAGTTCACTCAGCCAATAATGTACACTAGAATAGCAGAGACAACACCTGTGATTGAGAAGTACTCGAAGCAATTGATTGGCGAGGGAGTGTTGACCACTGAGCAATTCGATCAGTTGAAGCAAGTGATCCGTGAGGCCTACGAGAAGGGCTTCCAGGAGGGCATGAAGTACACGCCCAAGCCATCCGACTGGTTCGAGAACCACTGGGCTGGCATCAAGAACACCACGCAGCCAGCCGTCATCCAGAAGACCAGCATCACTCCAGAGCTCGTCAAGAAGCTCGGAGGTGTCCTTACCTCGGTGCCCCAGGGCTTCGAGCCACACACCACCATCAAGCGTATCCTCAAGGAGAAGGCTGATATGTTTGAGAAGGGCTCCGGCTTTGATTGGGCCACCGCTGAGGCTTTGGCCTTTGGCTCTCTGTTGCTCGATGGCAACCACGTGCGTCTGTCCGGCCAGGATGTCGAGCGTGGCACCTTCAGTCATCGTCATGCCGTCATCCACGACCAGAAGAACGGCTCCACTCACACTCCACTCCAGACTCTTGAGAAGAATCTTAACCAACCGGCCGCCAAGTTCCTCGCCTCCAACAGCTCGCTGTCAGAGTTTGCCGTGCTCGGCTTTGAGCTCGGTTACTCCCTAGAGAACCCCAAGTCATTGGTTCTCTGGGAGGCCCAGTTTGGTGACTTTAGCAATGGCGCTCAGGTCATCATCGATCAATTCCTCTCGTCTGGTGAGGCCAAGTGGATGCGTCAGTCTGGTCTTGTCATGCTGCTGCCACACGGCTACGATGGTGCTGGCCCCGAGCACTCCTCCTGCCGTCTGGAGAGATACCTGCAGATGTGCGACAGTGATCCCAACAAGATCCCACCACGCTCAGAGGCCGAGCAGAAGCAGGCTCAGCACTGCAACTGGCAGATCCTCAACTGCACAACGCCCGCCAACTACTTCCACGCACTCAGACGTCAGGTCATGCGTGACTTCCGTAAGCCAATGGTGATGGCCTCGCCCAAGTGGCTCCTGCGTCTGCAGCAGTCATTCTCCTCCGTCGACGACTTCACCAAGGTCGATTCGTTCACTCGTGTCTACCCCGAGGCCGCACCCGCCGACTTGGTTGCGCCAGAGAAGGTCCGTCGCGTTATCTTCTGCTCTGGACAAGTCTACTATTTACTCAAGAACGCCCGTGACGCTGCCAAGGTCAAGGACGCCGCCATCATCCGTGTCGAGCAGCTGCATCCATTCCCCTTCGACCTCGTGGCCGACCAGCTCAACCACTACCCCAACGCCAAGGCCGTCTGGTGTCAGGAGGAGCCAATGAACATGGGACCATGGTCATTCGTCTACCACTACTTCGTCTCGACGTTCCGTTCCATCAACCGTCCATTCGAGTTGCAATACGCCGGTCGTCCATCCAGTGCCTCGCCCGCCGTCGCTTCACACTCTCTGCACAACCTGCAACAGGAGAGCTTCATGGCTGAAGCCTTGGGGACAAAGAAGAGTATTTAAATGATATAAATATAAGTTAGTAGTAATAATAAACAATATTGACTAAATATAGGCCTAGACACGTCCAATGTTGCCTAAATAATAATAATGGGAGTATTAGGATGAAATTCCCTTAAAATTATTTTTATTATTTCTTCAATTTAATTTTTTATTTATTTAATAAATTTTTTTTTAATATTTAGGCAACATTTGAGAAAGATGGAATTTTTAGGATTCCAAGTTAATAATTAGGGAAAATATCTACTAAATCCCAATTAGAACCACTGTCTTCCCCTATTATTGAGGTGTCCCATTCCCTCAATAAGTTTTCTCCATTCAATCGATATCTTGGACTAAAAAGAATGGTTGATTTCTATTAGACTTGATACTATTAATATAATAATGAAGTATTGTAATTAATTACCCTAGACTATTCATAGATGAACTGGCTAAATAAATAGGATAGGCATAAATTATACATTTTGAAACTAAACTTAAAACTATGAGTAATAAAACTAAATTCTTCATTATTAGTAAAGTTTATAAATAATACTTCTTTTGATTGGTTATTTATTATTTAATAGGGATATATATATAAAAATAAATATCAGACTAGAATTTCATATAAATATATATTAAAAATAATGTAGTTTGGAAATATCAACTCTTGGATACACACTTGCAACAGGAATTTTTTAATTTTTGGGGACCGAAACAATATTACTGATCACAATCCACTTACACCCTCCTGTTAAAGGGTTAGTTTACAACACAAGTTAAAACAATGACCAGCTTCTTGGTTGTTGTTAACTTGGCAAATCGTGTTACAAACATGCTGTTATGTTTATTGTTGTAGCAGACACATTGAAGTTGATCATGTGAATGTGTATGTTAGTCGTATTCACTTAATCAATAAATCATCAAATGATTGGTTGGCTTAGTATTCTGATCAGAGACAGAAGAAATTTACCAGACGGCCAGCTCTTGGTCGTCCAGTCCAGTCCACCAGATAGTTGGTATGTTGATTATTTGATCAAATATTCAAATTGAGTATGTTGGAGATACTGTCAGTGATACCCTCTGCTTGGTAAAGGAGGGCGAGCCGACAAAGTATTGGATGTTGCTTTGCCAGCCATTATTGCTGAATGATGAGGCGGTCGCCGTACAGTTATTATAAGGACTGGTGACTTGAGTGATGTACTTGGATGCTGGTGTAGATGTTGTTGTTGAGTTTGATGTATTATAACACAATGGTGTTGTTGTTGTCATTGTAGATTGTTGTTGTTGTTGTTGGTTGTAATGTTGTTGATGAGATGTATATACAGGAGTGTTGATGGTTGGTACTACGTTTGGTAATAACATCACCTTCATCTTGGTGACGCAAAAGAATATATTAAAGATTGCCAATGTCTGATTGCAACGTTTAGTGAAGCTTTGGGGATTGGATGATTGAGGGCAAGAAGAGAGTGAGAGAGAGAGAGGAGAGAATGAGTGTCTTTGTCCATATTGTTGTCATTGTTTCCAGGTATACCTACATTACAGGGTCGTCCGCTTTTACATAGACGAAGCAAGTGCCTGTGAATAGTAGAATCGATAAGATGGGAGGAATGTACAGTAATAAATAGGTCTTGAATGATGCCAGCTTTGATTGATTGGGGGATTGGGAGAGAATGATATAGGGAGAGGATAGAACATTGAGAATGAGATGGAGATAGAGATAGAGATAGAGGGAGAGACAGAGATATAACCAGTGAGGATGGATGATTATATTAGTATTAGGCAACATACATCTCATCCATCAATCAATGGATGAATGAAAGATGATTCCTTACCAATGGCGACTTGATTTGAAACCATGACCAAAACATCATAGTGATCACGGTTGTTATAAGAAACAGACAGCACAGGTTCCTATACCTTCGCTTCTGTCCAGTCAATGAGAGTAGCGTATCTCTCATTGCACTTTCAAATATATAAATGTCTTTTTGTTATGATTAAGAGTTAATGTTTGAATGATTGAGAGAGGTGATAATCAACAACAGTAAGGTAGGTACCTTTGAGTTGGGTATCGATATCAATCATCGTATTGCCAATCAATGTCTGCCAATATTAGTTGGACAGGGACGTGACAGGGACAAGTAGGATTCTTAGTCCTTTTTGAATAATGCTACAACTTCCTCTATACTTTGACTTCCTAACTCTATATACCTCTTCTATATTGAATGATCACCTGTTGATATTTATTGTTGTTATTGTTATTGTTATTGTTGTTGTTATTGGTAATAGATACACACTGTAATAATGAGATGAGTGATTGTTCATTCATTCATATTCATTTCATTTCACACACAGACAGACAGACAGGTCGCAAATGAATGCACTCACCCATTCAAACACATCATCAACAAGCAAAGTGAAGGTGAGAATTACTCTCTCTTTGACCATCATACACACCACAAATTGCGTTAAATTAGACTATTCCCCCGACTTGTAAGATTCATTGACCACAACTCCGGGGTTGTTCCAACAACAAATAGATATTTATCATATGATAGACGTACTTACCTCTTATTATATTGTGCATACAAAGAGTGTACAGTAACACGAATCCCTTGTATTCGGAACTTGTTCATTATACACAATAATATTTGTATGTGAATGAATGAATGAATGAATGAATTATTGAACGAATGAATGTGAAAGATTGTTTGAATGAATGTTGTTCATAGGATGTTTGTCACTATGGAATAGTTCCACTTCCCCCTAAACAACCCACACATGAAATCAGGAAGACGACCGAAAGAATGACATTGTGTGAGACGAGTATATTTGTCGACACTTTCATTCATTCATTCATACATACGTATATTTATTGAGAATGTTAGCATCAAGTACAAGGACAACAACATCAATCTTGTTGTCTAGCTTCAAACATACACGACGTTGGCTATCCACTACTACTTCAACGACTCAGACACAGAGCCTAAAGGATAGAATATTGAATGCACCAATCACATACCCACCTCTTGTCAATCAGGCATTGATCAATGCCGTTGAGAAGAGACCAGAGGTGTGTGTTGGACTGTCTGGTGGTGTAGACTCTGCAATCACAGCATACATGCTAAAGAAGAAAGGATTCAAAGTGACCTGTGTCTTTATCAAGAGTTGGGATGAGAAAGATGAACTTGGTTACTGCTCTGGCGAGAAGGACTTTGCCGATGCCCAAGACATTGCCAAACGTTTAGATCTCCCATTACATCATGTAAGTGATATTGTTCGTTTGATCGATTGAATGAATGTGACTAACATTAGCATGCGGCGATGTAATGTACAGGCAGACTTTGTTAAAGAGTACTGGAATAGAGTGTTCAAGTCATTCTTGGAGGAGTATAATAAGGGTTATACACCAAACCCTGATGTGTTCTGTAATAGAGAGATCAAGTTTGATGTGTTTTATGACTATGCCAGGAGCATGGGCATCGACATGATCGCAACTGGCCACTATGCACGTCTAAACTACTTGGATGGCCAACACACTGGCCAGGCACAACTATTGCGAGGAGTCGATCCAAGCAAGGATCAATCATACTTCCTATGCATGACCGAGGGCTTCAAACTCAATCGCTCGCTCTTCCCACTGGGCAACTGTTTAAAGTCCGACGCGGTGGCCTTAGCCAATGAGTTGGGCTATCATAATCTGACGACTAAACGATCAAGTCGTGGCATATGCTTCATTGGCAAACGACCCCTGGACGAATTCCTTGGAGCATACATTGATCTCAAGCCTGGATTCTTTGTCGATCACAATGGAGACCGAATCTCCAAGCACAAAGGTGCCATTTGTTACACAATTGGACAGAAAGCAAATATATCATCTCTTGGCGAAAGGTTAGTAACCTTGGACATGAACGACATTGCATTGCATGGCATGGCATGATATGGTATTGGTCTTGGATGGACTATCTAACACGCAATCATGGCGTCCCTTCCATCCCCTCACTCGCACACATATAGGTACTTCATCTACAAGGTGGACCCGGTCAAGAACCAAGTCCATGTTTGTCCAGAATCAAGATTGAACGTATATTTATATTCAAACACTGTTAAGATACATAGAGTCAACTGGATCACAGGAGTTCCACCTCAACTATTGGTATGTTCTTGGGTTCGCCCATCTCAACCCTGAACCCTAACCCTAACCCTTGCCCTCGCCCTCACCCTCGCCTCATTCAATCATTCCAACACACACTTATCAGACTGAGGGCGGAAGAATGAGAATAAGATGCCAGGTTAGATATAGAGCGGATATGATTGGAGCAGAGATTATAACACAAGCTGGAGTGGATGGTGATGGACCAGTTTATACTGTCAAATTGGACCAACCAGAGAGAGGTGTAGCACCAGGTCAGATATTATGCATGTTTAAGGAGAATAGTGAGGTGTGTCTGGGTGGAGGTGCCGTAGGACTGGTCGTCACTACCACCGACGTCCTAGGACCACTGGCCCACACAACCGACTCATTCCCAACACAGCCACCTGAACGCCACAACAACCACAACAACCATTACAATAACAACAACAACAGCAGGCATCATAGACAGGGATTTCAAAAGGAGGAGCGATGGTAATGGAAAGGATGGTGGACTCTGACGAAGACCATGCACATGCACAAGCCTCATTTATTGGATACATATAGATTATATTATATATATAAAGCGCTACTGGAATTGTATATTGATACGAGTGAGCCTCTTGACCTGCTCGTCGATGGCTGCCTTGACTGGCGCGCTTGTCTTTTCCTGGACGGGATTCTCGCACAGGTTCAACTTTTGGATGGAGGCCTTGGTGTTGAGCGCCTTGAGGAACTCGAGCAGTGGCTTGGCGGTGAGGTTGATGTTGCGCAGGGCAATCACCTCGATGGTCTTGTTGATATTGATCATGCTGACCAGTGGCAGCAAGCCCTTCTTGCCAAATGGATTCTCGTCCAAAAAGATACGCTTCAACGATGTGTTCATCTCCAATCCAGGCACCAACTTCTTCAACTCACTAGCGCCAATCTCGCAACTCTTCAAGAACAACTCTTCCAAATGTTTGATCGTTGGCAATGACTGTGACAATGATTGGCATACTGATTTCTGTTTGTTTGATTGTTTGATTGATTGATTGAGTGAGTGAGTGGAATGATTCCCAAAGTGATGGTATTGGAAACTCCTGGAATGAATGATACTTACGGAGAACTTGTTCATGGACAGATCCAAAGAGGTCAATGTAGTGTTGGTCTCAAGCATCTTGATCACTCTCTTCAATGATTTCTGATTGATGGTTGATTCGAGGGGTTAGTATCACCTGCTGGACACTTGGACATCAATCAGGCAGGACAACTTACAGAGTTCAAACTGCAATAACGAAGCGACAACTTGGTCAACTGTGAAGTGGACTCCAAAGATTGACAAAGAGTGTTGCAAGCTGAGAATCCAACACTGTTGCCAGCCAGGAACAACTCCCTGATTGTTAAATTGCTGATTGCTCCTTTGATGACCTATTTTAAATGAATGAATGAATAAGTGAGTAAGTGTTTGATTGATTAATGACATCCATGTGAGATACTTTACATTCTTTGTTCCAGAGTCACCAAGATGATTCAATGATACATCCAAATGTGTTAGCTTGCAACCATTGCTACAGAGGACCTTGTAGAGCTCTGTACCACTGCTAGAGTTGAGCGATGTGCTTCCAATGCAGAGTGTGGTCAAGTTGCAATTGCTAGAGGCAATCCACTTGAGGAAGGTATTGATCTGTTTGTGTTGGATTGGATTGCCACTGATGTTGAGGTCTTGGATCATGAGATTATTGGCCTCCAATCCCTTTAGTATCAGCTTGAATCCATTGTCCGAGATCCTATTCTTTGATACGTTGAGCGCGGTCAATGAAGTGTAGTTGGTCAACAACTTCTGGATGAAGCGTGCGCCCTCGTCCTGGATGCCCGTCTCCTCAAAGCCAATGCTGCGCAGCTTGGTCGACTTGCTCAGTGACTTGAGTATCTGCTTGACACCAGGCTTCATCAAACGGTTCTTGCCCATTTGGATGCTGTCCAATGTTGAGATCTTCTCAAATATCGAAGTGATTGGTGCCAGGCCCTTCTGTGTGATGCCAATGTTCCTGATGTTCAAACACTTGATGCCCTTGGATGCCTGGATAATGATCTTGAATGGCTCCGATATATCAGTGCCCATCAGTGGGTTGTTGGATATGTCAACCGTGTGAATAGAGAGGTTCTCGACTATTGTCTCTCCTTGCTCAATCCTAGGAATGATGAATCAATGTGAGTTAGTGATTGAGTGCGCGAGGGTGATGGTGATGGACTACATACGGTGTGTTGCAAGCATCCCGAAGGGCATCGGCAATCAATGATAGGTCTGAAGCGCGTGCATTCAATTGGGACAAGTCCAAAGTGTCATAGTTCAATCCATTGCGGAATGATCCCTCCTTATCCAACACAGCATCAATCTGATCAATCAACTGAATATAAGGTCTAACATTGAATTGATTACATCTTTGTTGTGATCATCAAGAGTCAGTATCGTGTTTGATTGATTGATTGAGTGAAGTGAAGTGACTTACAATCTAAGGTAAATGGACTTGAACAACTCGACACGACTGCGAAGTGGATCGGTCTTGGTACGCGCCTTGGGTGGTTGGTAGAGTGGGAATTGGTAGGAGACACTAAAGTCTACGTTGGGGTGTGGACATAGTCCTCTGAGTGAGTCATCATATTGAATAAAGTTGTTGTATCCTGACAACAACTCCATAATATTGTTTGCTTGCTCAGTTGATACTGTTTCAAAGTGTAAGCTATTGACATTGCCATTCAATGTCTGAGTGATTGAGTGATAGTGTGAGTCTTGGCCTGGATTGGTGTCATCGTGTCCAACATACCTGTGGTGTTGTGATCAGTTGCTTGGGTGATGGAAGATATATCTTGATGCCTCTGGTGGTCAGCTCCCAGTTTGTGATGTCCCTGTATCCAAAGAGATCGTGGCCATTCTGTGTCCATTGTGATTGATTGATTGAGTTAGTGATTGGAACGATTCCCAATGATTGAGTTAGCAATACATACACCATCCTTCTTTGAGATAAGGATACCATCTTCGGCAACACATAGTGTCTTCTCAGCGCGTGGGGTCTGTGTTCCATCATAGACTTTGAAAGCAGTGACACCAAATGTTGGTATCTTGTTGGAGAGGTCAAGGTAGCGTAGTTTGGCCTCAATGGATGAGTTGCACTTGATCTGGCTGTGTAGAAGGAAGAGACGACGCTGTATGTACTCATCGCTGTGACTGTGGAAGTGTCGCTGTGGGACAAACTCCAACAATGTCTCGTGCTCGAGGAAGCCTGCCACATGTTGCTCACGATCGTGTGCGCCGAAAGTGATGTAGAACTGCAGAGCGGCCAGACGGAAGGCCATGGCCTCAGAGCATGGGTAGACGCCAGTGATGACGGCCTGCTGGATCTGCAAGTAGTAGAGGTGCACGGCCTTGGGGTCCGTCAGCTTCTTTGGCTGCTTGAAGTACTTGATCTTGAACACCAGCTTGGACAGGTTGCGAATACCCGATTCTTTTGTGAGTTTGGTTGGGTCGAGCCAGCGATCGCTGTGGCCGTCGGCAGAGGGCTCGCACAGCGAGAAGTACTCGGTCTGCACCAGTCCCATCTTCTCGGCAAACAGGTTGATGATGTCGATCACAAAGAAGTCCTCAGTGATGCAGATGACCTTGTGTGATTGGTCCACCAGCGAGATGTGGATAAGCAGTTTGTCCAGCTCGGGGTTGGGCTTCTTGAGTGGGTTGGCGCGGAACACATTGAATTCGTCACCCACGCGCTGAATGTTCATCGACTGCGAGCGTCTAGTCGTGGTAGTGTCGGCACGTGGCCGTCCGATGTCCCAGCGATCAGCGATCGACTCGTTACGGGGCCTTGTCTGAGTTGTGCCAGGTATGGCCAGCAGTTGTGGCTGTTGCTGTGGGATGATTGGCACTTGATACGAGCTGGCAGTGAGCACCTGGATGTTTCCATCCCTCACCACATCCATGAGATCCCTGGTAGACTCTGATATTGTTCCACGGATTGACGTGCCCTCCAACTGGGTCAGCACCTCGCTCCTCAGCTCGTTGGCACTCAATTGCTTGCTGTGATGTGCTGTTGTGGGCATTGATGTAGAGGTGGTCGTGGTTGTGATAGTGGGCGTGGTCGTGCCTGCAGCTGAGAGTGAGTTTGGCTGTGAATGTGAGTGAGGCAGATGCGCCAGCGCGTCATGCGCACTGGATGACTGACTCATCGATATCTTCCTCTGAGTCTCGTATGCCTGCTGCAGTGTGTACTCGTCCTCGTTGATCTCGCGCGAGATGGAGATTCGCATGGAGCCGGGACGCGTTGGGAGACGCGACGATGGGCCGCCAAACGACGTGTCAATTACGGACGACAGGTTCACACCTGCGCCACGCATCTGCATGTCCAATTCCTTGGACATGGCCACGGCGGACATGCGAGGCTTGGTCACAACAAGTGTTGGCGCGGCCTGTGCCTGCTCTTGCTCGGCTTGATAGTTCTCGTTGGTATGTAGACGCATCTCGCCTGACTCTGACTCGGACTCGCTGTCTGAGCTGTATGAAGAGGATGAAGAGTCGTCACCGGTGTCTCCAGGTGCCTCATCCTCCTGTATCATTAGACGCGGGATTGGGTTTGAGCCGTGTGTGTAGGGCTTCTTGACCTTGGTCAATGGTGAGTTCTCATGTATCTGTCTCATCTCCTCGAGCGATATCTCAGAGACGAGTGATGGGGACATCGAGGACATGCTAGGTGTGCTTGGTGTTGAGGTTAACGTGCCTGCACTCATTCCCATGTTGCCAATAGCATTCTTGAGGTTGTTGCTACTGCTGTTGTTCAAAGTGGATTGACCACCAGATGTAGTTGATGCTGTTATAAGAGGTGATGTAGTTGTTGTGGATGTTGTTGACGTTATACTGTTGCGTGCTGGTGGGTTGGGTGGTGGACGCTTGGGTGGCGCCATAAAGGAGCTGCCTGTGTTTGGTTCTGGCTCTGGCATCACAGCACAAGATGAGGCCAAGTCAGCCAACATCTTTTGTAGCTCATCAAAATCAACGTCCTCGCTCATCATCTGTTGTTGTTATTGTTGTTGTAGTAATAGTACAAAGTTGTGTATGTATTCTTGTGTTGGTAATGATGAGTTAATGATGATTGAATGAGTGAGGAGGCGAGGTTGAGGTTAGGTGAGTCAAGTGAGGGATAATGTAATAAAGTACGGCGGGGAGGGTAATAAGAATGAGATGGTGGCGGGAGTTGTTGTTGTGTTGTTGTTGTCCTAATAACAAACAGATGTTGGGCAACTCAACAAAACATTCCATCACAGTGGACTCACACCATCACTCCTGGACCCGATCAGACAAAGCCCAAAGTCCTCACACCAAATCACACACGCTCCATCGAAACACAATCACCAATCAAAAGGGCCCAAAGCAAAACTTCGAGGCCTCCAAAGCCACAGATATTTTTTCTAGTGGACTCCTGACTCGTTTGACGAACTCTATCACGAACGATCGGCCGCTGATCAACAGACGCCTGTCCTGTTGATTGGATTGGGCGGTCATTCCAAAAGTGATGACAATCATTGGACATGGCCAAACTACTCTCCTTTTTTGCAAAGTCATCAGTCAGTCATTACCCATCACAGGGCAAGCTTTGTTCGATCACGTGACCAACAAACACTGTGGACTTTTTAGTCTAGTTGGTCTTTTTGCTGCTGCTGCTGTTACTGACGCTACCGCTACCATTGTTGTTGCTCTTCCTTGTGTTGCCACGCTTGTCAAGATGCTCAGCAGCAGCAATGGCAGAGGCGTTGCGATTCTTTTCAAGTTGGAAGTATTCGATTAACTCTTGAGTGTCTAATGATAGTGCGCTAAAGTCACTGGATATGTCGGCAGCATTATATGGCAACTGATACTCATGCTTTCGATAAGGCATTCGCATCAACTCCACACCATTCCTAAACAGTATAACACTGGGTATCTGTTTGCTGCGAACAGAGTCGTCCAGATGGAACTTGGCCGTCAGGGGCTTCCATCGGCCCACGTCCACCTTGCCAACGTGCAGTGTTTTGTTGTAGCGATTGGCTATCGTGGACATTGGTGTTGCCAGATAGTTTGACACTGGAGACCATAGTGCATAAAATTCGATCAGCCAGAAATCATCGCCTGGTGCCGCGGCACTATCCGCCAGTCTATCGGCCATCGTCAACTGATTGAGATAGACCACTTTTGTCGACTGTATCGCTGCAACTGGTTGAGGGAGTATGGCGAACAACACTGTTTGTGGAGTTGGAGTTAGAATGGTCACCTCGTTATATGGTTATCTGATCAGCTGATCGATCACGTGACATATTATCTGATCAGCTGATCAGATCACTTGATATCGTTATATACATACAAGCATAGGTTAATGTATAAAGTATTAGATAGGGATAGTTCTGGACTGAGTAAAGTAGGTATAATGTAAGCAACTTGGCAACGAATATGATACTGGTCAGTACAAAGTCAAGACTATCAATGCGTCTATTCTTCATCAACTTGAGAGCAGTAGCTCCAAGTGCATAATATATTGTCAATCTCTCCTATAGTGACACACATCAATGGAAGAGTCAGTCTTTGGCACAAGTAAGTCAAGTCCAGGTCCACATGGATACAAACATCTGCAGACTTCTCGATCTGATTGAACAGTCGCAGCAATACGAATCCAATCAACACTGAACCATTAGCTATATAGTAACGTTGGTTCAGATACCTTGCTATCGAGTGTATGTCCAACATATGAATATATATGTATCACTTGTATTTGTGTTTGTGTTTGTGTTTGTATGATGGAGAGTGTGATGAGGATAAGATTGAACAATTTGATTGAAGAGTGTGGGAAAGTGATGATCACCCAACACACAACAGATCTGAAAATTCATTGGCCATCTTATTGGGGGGGGAAGTGGCTAGTGTTGTGTGATCTTATACACCAGCATATCATATACATGTATGTAGAAGGATAGTGGAGAAGGGATAAATAAATACATATGTACGATCTTGTTCAATCCTAGTCCCAGGTTGCCAAGATAGTTGGATACCAGGGAGTGAAATTACATCATCTTACAATCTCTCTTGCATAAGCATCACCAATTAATATCATTCAATATCTGTTTGATGTAATAATATCTCAATATCTTCTTATTAATCGCAATAATAATCTCAATAATAATAATAAACTAATAATGAGAGGAAATGAAGTTACCAAGTCTGTTCCAACTTGTAAGTTTTGTATAAATGGTCAATCATTTTAGTAAATGAAAGAACTAAAATATATACTATTCCAGCCAGATGGATATTATTGAATATTCTGGATCGTGAAGGAATATATTATGAAAAGTTGATGATTGCTTTGTTTGCAGTGATGGGTAGATTGACAGACGCTCCTGGTCAGAAGCCAAAAAGTATTGAGTACCTTTTGAAATCATTGAGAAAGCTCTCCAACAATCATCCAAAGTACAGCATCAATCATCTTATTGATCAATTGATTGATTTGAGATGTGATGTTGCTGAGGACACCGACTCGGTTACATCTGATGAGTTATTCATCTCACTCAAGCAGATCCTCTACAACTTGGTCAGCGCTCTGACTCTGAATGGAGTCCAAAACAGTTCACCTGTTGAGTTGAAGATGCTTCTTAAGTATATTGAACTTGCATCAATAACTCCGATTCCTCAGACCTCTACATCGGCATCCTCAACCTCATCATCAGTTTYCGTCTTCACCATCAACATCAACACCAACTACTCCTCGCAACTCAAGTGATGCCTCAACACAACGAACAAACCAAACGTCCAACAACAATAACAATAACAACAAGTCAAAGAATGAAGAAGTACCAACAACTTCAAAAACAACAAATGACAACTCAACCAACATTAACAAATCATCATCCAAAGATAATAATAATAATCAAACTTCTAATGTATCAAACTCTGGAAATGCAACTTCCAATGTTAACAATCAATCATCCAACAACACCACCAACAACGTAGCCAATACAGCCAACTCGGCACAATCAATCACCAACTCAAACAACTCAAACTGCAACAACAACACTGTCAATAATGTGAACAATGTAAACAACAATATACATATAGATAATAATGATGCATTATTGGAACAATTTCTTAAAAAGATAGAGAAGCTAGAGAGCAAGTTGGACAAAATTAACAAGGCCAAGGCCGACGCAAACAACAACCCAAACAATAACAACAATAATAACGTGTTCAACAACAATAATGTTCAACCTCAATCAATCTATTTCCCACCTCCCAACAGAGTTCCTTCTCCAAGGTTGCCACCACCAGTGGCTGTGCCACCATTTGTCCAACCTGAACCAGTTCAAGAGAGACCATATTATTATGGTCTATTTGCTCGTCCTTCAGACATCTATGTTGAAGAACGTCCAAAGATAGTTCAACAACCTGTACCTTGCCAACATCATTACAATATCAATAGGTTCAGGGATGAGGAGGAGGAGGTAGTAATAGCGCCAAGACATTCCATCAACAACTATAACAAATGTGGAGAGATTGGATCATTCAGAGGCACATTGGTCAATTATCAATCAGTAGTCCGTATTATGTCTGGAAAGTACTCTGGACAGAGAGGTACATTCCGATCATGGAATGGTAGTAACGCCTATTTTGACTTTGACGACAATGACAAAGTTGCAATCGCCTGCACACACAAGATAGAGATATTATCAATCTAACCTTATCTTGCTCGTTCACATCATCTGATCAGATGACTGGATAGGAGTCATCGAATTGAATGAATGAATGAAGTTTGCACTTTGAGAAATAAATGGGACGCGTCAAAAACCATGCCATTCGTTTGTTTGTTTGTCTTCAACTTCAACAACAACCTCACAACACACTCAATCATTCATATTTATTACACTTATATATTATAACTTATACATATACATATATACATATATACTACAAATAAAAATGAAGGTAACAATTAAGAATGTGAATAAAGAAGTCTATATATTTGAATTGAACGGAAACGAGAAGGTATGTATAGTTCGACCAATCAAACTCGTTGAAACGAATGATTATGTGATGTAGAGTTCAATCGACTAATAATATTCGGAATTAATAATGTTATATATTTAGGTGATTGATCTTAAGAATATGATCACCGAGACACATAAGCATCAACAGTCATGGCAGACATTGATCTACAGTGGAAAGATTCTAGAGAATGATAACACTATAGCCTCTTACAACATTACAGAGTCAGGTTTCATCGTCTGCATGGTCAAGAAGGTAGGTCCACATCTCACCTCATTCATTCAAACATGTGCTCATACTCATACAATCAATATCCCCACTCACTTATAGCCAAAGGAAGAGTCGGCTTCATTGCCAGCAGCACCAGTGCCAGCACCACCACCTGTACAGGTACCAGCCACACCAGCTCCAGCTACAAACCCAGCACAGCCACCTCAGACTCCAGTGTCTGCTCCAAACACAAACGTTGTACCAAACGCCCCAGTCAGACCAGTGACCCAGCCAAGAGAGCAGCGTGAGAGCAACCTTACACCAGAGCAAGAGGCCACCATCAAGCAGATCGTCGAGATGGGCTTTGCAAGAGAGCAGGCAATCGGTGCACTGCGTGCCGCCTACAACAATGCCGACCGTGCTGTCGAGCTTCTGTTGGCCGGTGGCGAGTTTGTTGGCGATGACGACGAGGATGATCAAATATACGACGACGAGGATGATCAGATCGACGACGACGAGGACGACGACTTGCTCGAGGGTGACGACCCAATGGCCGTAGATGGTATCATCGATGAGATCAGAAACAGTCCATACTTCCCTGCTATTCGCGAGTCATTCATTAGAGTATGTAGTAGTACACATTCATTGATTGATTGATTGACTGATTACTAACAAACGAACGAATGTACAAACTATTTAGAACCCATCAATGATCCCTGAGCTGCTGCAACAACTCAGCCAGACCAACCCAGAGTTGGTTAGAAGGATCGCCGAGAACCCACAGGCCTTCATCCGTCTCTTCAACAATGATGCTGCCCCAGGCGAGCGTGGACAGACCGTTCAAATTCAACTTACTCAAGAGGAGAGCGATGCCATTGACAGAGTAACTATCAACCAAAGACTCACTCACTCGTTCGTTCATTCGTTCACCTTACTAACCCTTTGTGCTCCCATCAATCATTCAACCAATCAGCTGATATCACTTGGATTTGATAAGGATGAGGTATTGGAGGCCTATCTAGCATGCGAGAAGGACGAACAACTTACAGCATCTTATTTGTTTGAGCGCGCTGACGAGGAGAACTAAAACACTTCAAGAGTCATCATCATCAATATCATGGGTAGAGTGCGAATGACTGATTGACTGATTGATTGATTGCAAGTCAACGTCAATGCAAGTCATGTATCTTATTTGGTTTATGTGTATGTTACAACAGGATTATGTGATTGCTGATTCGTCCATCTTATGTTCGCTTGGAGAGAATCTGTGTGAAGTAGTACTCGCCATTGGCCTTCTTTGCGACACCTACTCCGCAGTGAGTGTAGTTGCCATTGATGTTGCGGACATTGCCTTCAATGCCAAGCCATACTCTCATCGCAGACTATCGATGTATGATTGATTGAATAGAGTTAGGTTATGCTATGGGATGAAAGAAGAATGAGGGGATGACGTACCTCAGCAGGTTGCCTCCTATCATTGTGGAAGGCAACGTTCTCTGTGTTGCCTGTTGTTGGGAATGGGATCTTCTTGTGCCTCTCCTCTGCGCCTTGGTGTCCGAATGGGACAGCTCCAGAGGCCATCTGCAATGAATGTTGCTCTGCTAACTTTGACAACTCTGGACTCCAAACCAAGTCAGCTAGTCCATTTGCTTTACGTTGTTGATTTGTAAGATCCAACAATTTCTTTCCAATATCTTCCAAGTTCATCCTTTCTTATTACTTTACAATACTCCTTATAAGTATACAAATAAATAAATAAATAAATACTCTAACAAATAATGACCATCACATGGAATGATCAACCCATCAAAATGCATTCTTTGAAAGGGTTAGGGCAAGGGTAATGGTTGCTTGGCAAAACCGAACTTTAGTAAGTTCAAAGAGAGTATTGTCACGCGACCACGAACAACATACATATACAACATTGACACGACCACATCAATCAGATACAACGAACACATTGGGAATGATCATACAATGATGCAGATGTTAGAGATTTGGAGCGTTGATGACTCCAAGCTACAAGTACTATTGTTGTTAACATCGACTATATTGGTAGTTGTGGTATTGGTGTTGCTACTGTATATGTACGTTAGACCAAGGTTGCTGGCATTGTTCGACCCCTTCCGCCTGCTAGACACCAAGTGTCACTTCTGCCACGCCTACAACAAAGTACCATTAAATCAGCGCAACAACTGGACATGCATCACATGTGATCAATACAATGGGTTCAACAGCGATGGTGACTATAACATCGACTTCTCGGCCATGGTTCATAATCAACAGTTGCAACAACAACAACAAGGTATTGGTCCAATACCTCGCACAACCTCCTCTTCAACATCATCATCATCATCATCACAAACATTATGCGCCAAGTGTCAATATCAACTTCAAACAAAGACAATGGATCTGCAACAGTTCGAAGCAGAGACAGAGGATTGGTCAAAGTATGAGAGGTATAGACGTGAGCGAGAGAGTCAGTTCAAGTTGTGTGCTCAATGTGAGGCATACACTTCAAGTGAGATCAGTAGAGTCAATCGATATGTAATATCGACACAATATAACAATCAGTTCAACTCGCCCAAGTCCTCGCCCTATGTCTCCTCGCCACTTGTCGGCATGGGGGCGTCTACAACTACCACACACGCCGCCACGTCAAAGTCATCCGCCACAAGTGGACTTGGACATGGACAACGAGACAACCTAGTTCAAGTTAGACAATTCATCAATCACATCATATACCTACTACTCATCGTATTGATGATACATTATCTACTCAAGAGTATGTTGCCATTCGTAGTCGACTCGCTACCTCACTCACTCACTCACTCACTCCTCACTCTTTCAATCAACCTTAGTCGACTCATCTATACGTGGACAAGATAATAGTATTATAATGATATCGGATACGATTGAACTTGCAGTGTTGGCAAGCTTTTGTATGCTAAAGAGTGTCAATATTGTTGTTCATTATCGGATACAGTCTACGCGTAGATTCAGTCACTTTAGGACGCCACGAGGCGAAGTTACATTTGAATCGATCGCATTCCTTCTATCAATGTTAATCAAACTATTGATGAGATATACAAGTCAACTAGATATCTCAACAATACCAATACAAGAGTGGATAATGGTTCATGAACTATCGCGAATCACAATTCAATCGATAATCAGTCTCTGGAAACACTTCTCACAAGACAACACATTCTACTTTATGTTCCTAATACTTGTATTCTACATGCACCGTACCGATGTAAACAAGAGTATGAACAATACAATAGTAATGGTAGATAGAACACAACATCAGCAACACAATCAACAGAATCAACAGAATCAACAACAACAACATGTTTCACCAAACACAAAGAAGAAGAGGTCACCATTCGATCTCGACCTTCCACTCACTGGAGACCAACAAGATGGTCGCTCCACAACTCATATTGACAAGAATGGTCTTCACAAGCTACTTGACAATCTCAAAGATGTAAGTAACTACATGCAAGTACTTGTACAACTTCATACTAATCAATGAATGAATGAATGTTATGTAGGAATCCAACATTATGGCCAACATCTCAACACTTGAGTTGAGTGATATAGATGATAGTAATGGAGGTAGAGATAGAGGAGTATCAAGATTTAGTATTATCATTGGTCAGCTGATATCATTGCTTGGAAGATTGATACAATGGATGGTTCAGATATCATTCAAGTACAAACAGTTCATAATGGGCATTATACTTTGTGTAATCATTCAATTGATAATCATTGTTTGCAACAACAAAGCATCATGAACCATTCATTCATTATCTCTCAATTCAAGTCACTGGTGGTCCTTCCTAACTTCACACTTTCTCGCGAAACTGTTCACAGTCATTCATCTAATTTGACCTAAAATGGAAATATTGGTTGGACCTAACGAAAATGGATTTGGCAGTTGGAGGCCTTTAGGGCCTCAGTTGATGCTCATCGCGATGTCTGGTGCACATACCACCAACCAACACAGACACATACACTTCACTGTGATACCGACCGTATGACTATCCACCATGACGCACTTACTCATTCAGAATCATTGACATGTCATCAACGACTTAAACAGATAATCAATCTCAATCAATTATTATTAGATTTAAAGTAATATATCTACAATACATATATATCAAGAATGGATGTTGAGGAGGATGATAGAATAATAAAACCAGTACTTATCAAGAGAACAAACAATGATGGTGGTGATAATGTATCATTGGATAAGGATGTACCTGTTAGTTTGGCAAAGGAACAAGTTGATACACCAGATGTACCAAGAGTTTATAAAGATCATGATGGTGACCATGAGGATAGATTACAATTCGAGGAGGATGATGATCAAGATGAAGTGCACCACGTAGATGTGGAGGTTCAACACCAATATGAAACATTGGACTCTGAAGAGACAACATCAACTACTCAAGATAACCTCACAGGATCAAGTGGATCATTGAGAGAATCAATATCACTTCCATATCATTCAAATGCCAGGAATAATAACTCCCCAAGAATGACTGCCTCCCCAAGAATATCAAGAATATCAACAAGTAGTCCACATGACAGAAACAATCGTATTCATCATATTCCAACAACCCCAACAGGTTCCAACAATATTATATACAGTCCAAGACCCAATCGATACTCAAACATCATCAGAATTACCTTTTATTCAACCAGATCCATTCACAACAACAAACTCAAACTCAAACTCAACAACAAACTCAACAACAAACAACTTAAACACAAGTACAAATGACAACTATCATACTAATTCATTGACCAACAATAGGTTTGATGATGGATATACACGTGATTCAACTCATGTCATTAGATTGGATAGTGGACGTGAACACATCAGTAACACAACATTCGCCAACACACCATCACTTGAACGACATTCATCAACTTCATCATTACCAATGGTTGACAATATGAATAACCATTCTCATGCTCAACATACTACAATGGATATGCCAATGTTTGAAGTGGAGTTGGCACCAAATACCAATCAGATCACAATAGTACGAGCAACATCATCACATATGGAAGATGAATTGGATGAAAATCCAAGGAGGAATATGAAGTTTCCCGCCATGTTTGTTCTAATCCTTATATTGATCATAGTTGGACTAGGTGTATACTTCTTCCTAAGATAGTATGTTCCACTTGTCCAATCATTAATGTCCCATAAATAAAGTCCACTCAACCAATCACACTCACACCCACAACCCCATCTTGAGCTCAAGATGGTGATGATCACATGAGTTATTAATACATTCATTAAGTGAATGATTGAGTTAATATATATTTATATGAATGAATGAATAAAAGAGAGATATATAGATATGTCTTTGAGAAAGAGGAACAAAAATAATAATAATGTTATTGCAGCAAGAGGTACATCTTCAACGATTGGCGATGGTGTACTTTATGATGTGAATAGAGACAATGCTCAAAAGAGACAACGTAGACATCTGCTGAGTAGGATACTGCGGCAATTGGGTCGAATACTCACTTGTAGGTGCTTTGGACATCATTATCATGGAGGCGAAGGTACTGGAACAAGATCATTACAAGAACAATACAATACAGAACGACAGAAAGAAGATATAGAGTTACCTCAATTATATAATAATCATAATCATAATCTTAATAATGGTAATGGTAATGGGAATGTTGCATATAGTTATGGACCGGCAACTGTTACCGGTCACTCATTGGACAATGGTAGTCATCAGGCAGCGGCATCAGAGTTGGTCATACCAATGGTCAAGGGTATAAGAGTGGACAAGGAGAGAGCAGACCCCGAGACATACTTGGACGAGTTGGATCATATTACAACACTCTACGAGAAGGAGAAGCGGATGTCTAACGGGCATCCGTCAAACAATCTGGCGTTGCAGTATGCCATCACGCTGTCGCACTCTGAGGAGCATCGCAATCGAGCAAAGTCGATACCGATACTGGTGGAGCTGGTCAAGAGCGACACGCACAACAAGATGTACGTGCTCAACTTGGGCACGACATACTTCAAGGAGGAACAATATGTCAAGGCGCTACAATGTGCCGAGCGCATACTTGCTGGAAACCCACTGGACTCGGACGCGCTGTCACTCAAGTATCTGGCCATGAACTCGATACAAGCACAACAAAGAGAGGCTGACAAGATGAAGAAGGAAGCAGTGGCCGCCAGTGGCGTCAAAGTTACCAATGGTGGAGGCAGTGCAAGTGCCATTGGCGAAGGACCGCCATTACTTCGAAGCTCAATCAGTCAAATTATCACAGAGGATGAGATGGCCAAGGAGAAGGATGTGTTGGATGACGATGACGACGAGACGTCTTCATCGTCGTCATCACATCACTGAACAGCTAGCTAATGAAAATATAGACATCATCATCGTCGACGTCTTCCTCGCTCCACACTTTATGAGATGATCATTGGTTCAAACGCTCTTTATTGACTGGTTGGCTGGCTGACTGGCTGAATGGCTGACTTTGTTATGAAGGCTGGATTGTTGGTTGGTTGGATGTTGATGGCTGGATGTGTATATATACATGCATGGCGATTATAGTGTTGTTGATGCCAATGCTCTGTCCACCTCATTATGATGATGGATCAATTTGATTGAATGAATGAATGTGTCTGGATTGTCTTTGTTCGCTGTCTCCATATATACTACTATTACTATGCTATATTCTTTCTTCTTAACTAACTAACTAACTAACTATAGATCGATTGAGAACTTTGTCTTTGAGTCGCCATCGTCATCCTTGTCACTGTCGTCAAGATTAACATCAGAGTCATCTGTGTATGAACTTAGATCGCTCTCTGATTCACTATCCTCTTGCTCTGCATTCTTTGTTGCATACTTATTTACAAACTCTATTGTTGTTGTTGTCGTTGATCAGTCAATCATTGTTAGTCTCCAATACCAAGTGCCACGCTTCAACAATCAATCAAACATACCTTTAACCTTCAGCTTAAACTTCTCTGGCTCCTTTAGGAGCATGGAGGCAGCCTCTCCATTCAAAGGATCGGTAGGATTCGGATATAATAACAGCTGGGGAAGGAATACTTCGAATATATTGATCAGGTCGAACATTGGACTCCATGTCTGATTGATAACATCTAAACATACTGACCCAGAGCTATATACATTGCATTGTTAGTCTACATGCTTGTTACATCAATGTATCATGTGTGATACATACGCCAAGTCAACGTTTGGATGATATATCTTGTTCAGGAAACCTATTGAAGGTGACTTGTAAGGATAATTTGGAGGTAGTTCAACTCGTACCTTCCACGTTCCACCAAAGTATGGACCTATTATACGTGTATTGATTGATGTATTAGCAATCGATCAATCAATCAATCAATCAATCAAAGATGAATACTGACTGTCTTTAGGACCATTGAAAGTGACTGTGAACTCTGCCATTGAATCAGGTGACATGGTAACCTCGTAGTTACTCATCATCCTACATTCATACACAACATCATATATTGTTGATGTTAGCGACTGACTGTATTGTATTTGTTGAATGAATGAATGTGTCAACTTACAGCTTGGTCAAATCCAAGTCTCTTCTTCTATTGGGCGACGACATTATAATGTATACAATCAATCTACTACACTTCTACTATATATATATCACCTATCTATATCAACCAATCAATCTATATATCTTTCTATCTTTCTATCTATGTATCTGTCTATTCTAGCTATCTATCTGTCTATCTTTCTATCTCTATCTCTATCTATCTGTGTGCTTATTAATTAAAGTGTTGTCAATTCTACACTTAGTTTCACTTTATTCCACATTTTGATTATTATAACCTTTTTAGTGAAAATCCCTGGTTCTAGAGCAAAAGCGTTTGCTGAGCTCACTCATCCAATTTCCAAAGTTTGTATTATTACAAATAACAATAAATAATACACAATATAAAACAATCTCTCTATTAATCAATCAATCAATTACCACCCAATAATACAACCCACTTCTGGCGTAGTTCCAATCATCAATTTCAACACAACACACTTTAACGTTAATTTCAAGATCACTTCACTTCACTTCACACCACACACAACCAAATATACATTGATCGATGTCAATCAATCAAACACATAATTATCAGATTGATATCATGGCTGTATTATCTGACTTGTTGATTGTTGTTAACATGACATGCTTCTGAAGGTGGGAGCTTGAATTCGGTAGAATGACCACGATTCTTCTCTAGAGTATTCTGAATGTTTGATCACGTTTTCTAAAACAACCCCCATCCATCAAATATCCATTCCGAACGAACAAAAGACAGGAATGGTGGAGTGTGTAGGACATGTCACTTTTTATTCAAACACACACTCATTCAATCAAACAATCAATCAATCATTCAACAAATACAAATATATATATATATATTTATTTATATAGAGAATGAGGACAACAACACTTATTGTATTATTAGTGTCACTTCTATTGGCATTGACTATTGTCGATGTCCAATCAAAGATACATCTACCACATCTGTTGTCAAACAGACGTTCGAGATCAATCGATGATCAACAATCAGAGATCAACAACAAGGAGATTACAACTGCAGTCGAGAGATTGAAGGCTGCCCGCTCTACACCATTGACACAGAGATCGAATGATCCCACCGACTATGAGGTGACCCAACTGCCAGGCCTCTCAGCCTCTGTCAACATCACCCACTACGCCGGTTACATCAACATCAACGAGCAAACCAATGGCAACCTCTTCTTCTGGCTCATCCAAGCCAACGCCACAAACTATCTGGATCTTCCATTCTTGATTTGGTATGTTGTCAATCAATCATTCAATCAATCAATCGATCAATCGATCAATGTTGACTGACAGTGTGTGTATGATTGGCACTATTTAGGATTAATGGTGGACCTGGTTGCAGTTCCATGGATGGCCTGTTTGTCGAGAATGGACCATTCAGACTCACGAACGACTCTGGTGACTACCTCATCAACATCAATCCATCGTCATGGCACAACGTCGCCAATGTACTCTACATTGATGAGCCAGGTATGTTGTTCTCCCTGGATGTACCCATCCATTCACACTTGGAATCATTCCACTGACCCCTCACTCACTCAATCAACTCACTCACTCAATCCAATCAAACTCATCAAATCTTGGGTCACATGATTGATCAATTATTGGAACTATTCCACAAACATAGTCGGAACTGGATTCTCATACGTCACCAATCAACAGGGATACGTTACTGATGACACTGATTTGGAGATTGACTTTTATATCTTCCTCCAGGAGTTCTTTGGTATCTTCTCAGAGTTTAAGACGCTGCCATTGTTCATCTCTGGTGAGTCATTCGCCGGTCACTACATTCCACACTACGCCAACTACATCCTCGAGATGAACACGGCCATTGGCAACGGAACACTTAATGAGACCACTCTCAATCTCAAGGGATTGGCCATTGGCAACGGATGGACCCATCCCATCACCCAGTACGACTCGTACTCTGAGATTGGCTACGCCGCCGGCATCATCAGTCTCGACCAGTACAACGCCTACAAGCCTCTGGTCGCTGCCTGTCAGGCCCAGATCAACCTCGGCGTCTACGACTCGATCGAGTGTGGCAACGTTCTAGGACAGCTGTCCGACGACAGTGGCACCAACACCACTTCGCAGGTTAACGTCTATGACTACCGTCTGTACGACCCAACTGGCGGTGTTGAGTGGCCCGTCGGCATCTTTAACGAGGCTGCCTACCTGGCCCTTCCCTCCGTGCGCCAGGCCATCCACGTCGACACACCCACCCAGGTCGCCCCCACCGTCTGGGCCGAGTGCAACGGCACCGCTTCGCAGTTCCTCACCAACACTGACGAGTCGTCGCTGGCGCTCTTCCCCAACCTCCTGGCCAACCTGCGCGTTCTCGTCTACAACGGCCAATTCGACATCATCTGCAACCACATTGGCACCCAAGAGTACCTCAACCAGATGGAGTGGAACGGCGCCACCGAGTGGAACGCTCAGCAGCGCGTGATGTGGTTCGCCGAGAAGGACAACATCATGCAGACGGCCGGCTACGTCAAGGGACCCGTGCAGAACCTGACCTTCATGCTGGTGCTGGGCGGCTCGCACATGGTGCCAATGGACCAGCCCGAGTTCACCTTTGACATGATCAACAAGTTCATGAACAACCAGACCTACGCCAGCTCGCCACAGACTAACGGTGTCATTGACAACACCAAGATCATCACCTCCCCACTCACCCAAACCTCCTGGATCCTCATCATCTTTGGATGCTTCACCGCTGGTATCATCCTCGGTGGATTCATCATCTTTGGACTCTACCGTCACAAGATCATTGGTGAGGATACATCCTACCACAAGGTCAACTAATTATATTATATATTAAGTTAAGTTATAAGTTAATATAGTATTGGTACTTAAGTCATGTCCGACCTTATTATTATTATTATTATTATGTATCTCTTTAATGAATACTACTTTAGAAGTCAATGAAGTATTGTGGAAGCATTGAGTGTAGAACGTCCTGGGGGTTGACTTCCCAAAACAGGAAAAACAGGTCAATCTGTGACTCACCACACGCACTTCTTCTTACAAGTTCATTCATTCACTTCATTTGAAGAAACACACACAAGTTCATTCATTCTTTCATTCACTCTCATTCAAATACATATACATACACATATATATTTATTTATTATATAATATAATATAACATATTCTATTCATTGTAACATTAAATATCAATCAATCAATCAATCAATCAATCAATCAATCAATCAATCAATCAATCAATCAATCAATCAATCACTCATTCAAACACGAATACAAACACAAACATAGACACATACTCAGATAGGATACTGAGATAGCGAGAGATAGAGAGAATGAGTAGCAGCAACAGTTTAAATAATAGTATGAGAGATAATAATAGAGTACCAGTAGAGACTCCATTGTTTTGGTGTCATCATTGTAAGAAGCATATTGAGATTGTAGATAGGGAACACTTGGTCTGTCCAGATTGTAATTCAGAGTTCATCGAGGAGGTGGACCCAGAGGAGCGAAGACAACAACAACAGAGACAGCAACAGCAACAGCAACAACAACAGAGATTACATCATCAACAACATCATCAGCAACATCAACAGCAACAACAAATGCATGGTCAATACCAGAGATTGTTGAATCCATTCTTCCCTTTTCAAGACTTTGGCGGTGGCGGCGGTGGCGGTGTTGGCGTCGGATCTCCAACGACAACAACAGTACACAGAACAGTGGTACAGCCTCGAGGCGGACAGATCTCATTCTCCTACAACTACCCAGGACCTGGCGGCATCACCACGACTACAGGCACCACAACTTCATCATCCTCGTTGGGTGGCGGCGGTGGACCATTGCAACAACCAGGCGATCTAAATGCAATGCTTGCGTCGTTATTTGGTACACCACTGCAAGGACAACCAGGCATGCCACCAGTCGTCCATGGTGGACAACCAGGCATGCCACCAGACATCCTTGGCCAGCAACAACCAGGTCAAGAGCGAGCAACAGACTTTGATCAAATATTACTTCAGTGAGTATCTCATTCGCGAGCGCATACCCGTGATGAATGAACACATTAACTAACTCAACAATGCAATTCATTCTTAGACTTATGAGATCAATGGGACTATCACCAAACTTACTGGCAATGGGTCCGAACGTCTTTCTCAATCAACAACCAAACATGGGAGGATTAAACATGGGCGACTACTACATGGGCGATATGCAACAATTGATGAATCAACTGTTTCAAGCTTCACAAAAGTACGTACAATTAGATTGGATTGATTGAATGAATGACTTGGCAAGACTAACTAACATGGTCGACTCGACTCACACTCGCTTGTAGGAAGGGAACACCTCCAGCCTCAAAGGATGAGATCAACAAACTGCACAAGGACAAGGTTAGCCAAGATATAGTGGACAAGAAGACTGATTGTTCAGTGTGCAAGGAGGAGTTTGAGCTGGGACAAGACTACATCGAGCTGCCTTGCACACACATCTATCATCCCAGTTGTATTTTACCATGGTTGGAAGCTGTAAGTAATAATGATTAACTCGTTGATTGATCCATACTGACTACCACAACCAATCACCACCAACAGCACAACAGTTGTCCTGTGTGCAGATATGAATTGAAGACCGATGACAAGGACTATGAGAATGCCAAGCAACAGCAACAGCAACAACAACAACAACAGCAACATAACCCAGACGACGATGACAACCACCCACATACGACTTCAACTACGTCGACTCAGAGTAGGAGCTAATCGATGGATGACTTCCACTCATCTAATGGCGGCAGTCTTCAGCTTTAATGAAGGTTAATACAACATTAGGCATATATATTACAACTCCATTCATTCGTTCCATTCGTTCGTTCCATTCGTTCATTCACAGAAGCTCCACAACTTGATTGACTTGTCTGATGAACAGGTGATTAGACCATTCTCCCACAACTCGATGCCGTTGATAATCTCGGAATGACCCCTGAGCAAGCGAAGTAGTGATCCATCTTTGAGATTATATATTCCAATGTCTCCATTGCCTTGCCCAACCATCAGGAACTTGCCTTCGTTGCCAATCTTGAGCGAGCCAACAACGTCTTGATGCTGGATGGTGTACAGACAGCCGCCACTCGACAGGTCCCACACCTTTGTTCTCCTGTCTGCCGCCGATGTGGCAACAATCGATGAGTATGAGTGCAGACAGAAGATGTCGTGCTCGTGAGCGTTCCAGGCCTTGATTGTCTCGCCCTTTTCTAGGTTCCACATGCGGATGGCACTATCACCTGAGGAGCTGAGCAAGTGGGATCGATTCATAACGAGCTTGTGAATGCCGCTGGTGTGTCCCTTTAGCACCTGTTTGATTCTCGATGTGGCGATGTCCCATACCAGGATGGACTTGTCGGCCGAGCCCGTGATGACTGTGCCCGGATTTGATCCGCGTACAACACTGCGGACTCCATTGGAGTGGCCTTTGAGCGTTCTTACACACTTGCCAGACCTCGTGTCCCACACCTTGGCCGTCTTGTCCCAACTGGCACTGACCACAGTGTTGTCATCCGTGTCCAGACTCACGCTGGTGATGCCGTTGGTGTGCTCGGCGAATGACATGACGGACTTATGTGTCTCGCAGTCCCAGAGATTGACGATCTTGTCGCTGGAGCCCGTGGCCAACATTCCCTTGGAGTAGGAGGTGCACAACATTGCCGAGCTGGTGTCAGAGGTGAAGTTACAAGTGTCGGCATAGCCAAACCTAACGCGTCTCTGCAAGTTCTTGTCATCCAATCGTTTGGACATCACCTGCAGGGAGTTGGAAAGGTCCGCAATGCGGGTTTTCAAGTACTCAATGTCCTGGATATCAAATTGATTGATTGATTGGTCAGTAAATGATTGTCATCGACATCTAATCATATTGTTACACATACATCTTGCTTGTGTGATGGCTGGTCATGGTTATGCTTGTGCTTGTGCTTGTGATCGTGGTCATGACCATGGTCCTTCTTATGTTCGTTATCATGTTTGTGTTCCTGGTCATGCTTGTGATCGTGGTCGTGGTCATGCTTATGCTTATGCTTATGATCATGGTCGTGGTCATGCTTATGCTTATGGTCGTGGTCGTGGTCATGCTTGTGGTCGTGATCGTGTTCATGATCGTGGTCATGCTTGTGCTTGTGGTCGTGTCCTATCTTCTTCTCTTTATGTTGCTTGTGATCATGATCATCATGATCATGCTTGTGTGCATGAGGCTTATGTTCATTGTCATGGGCATGGTTGTGGGTGTGTCCATTGCCATTGCCATGGGCGTGGCCGTGGCCGTGACTGTGTCCGTTTCCATTGCCATGGTCGTGGTCATGGTCATGGTCATGGTCATGATCATCTTCATGTTCATCACTATGATCCTCCTCACACTTTGGATGATTATGTAGTGCATGATGACTATGATGAATGTTTGTCTTGTCTGGTTTGTGATCGTGCAAACTGTCAGGATCATGCAAATGTGCCTGAACATGCACATGACCCTGTGAACAAGTTGATGTTGTCGATGATGACGATGATGATTGTTTATCCATCCTCTACTATCTATCTGTTATTATTATTACAATAAAGTTTGTTATGTTTATATTTATTTATTAGGCCAATGCAAAGTATTGGCAAAGATTAAGATAGATGCTAGTCTTGAGAAAGTTAGTCCTAAGCTCGTAATTAACACCAAGCATGGGCACGCGCGTGTCTCCCACCTGTCACCAGGTCTGAAACCTTTTGCAAATATCTGTCGGCTGGAAGTTCCATATTCCCAAGATATTCGGAAACGACAAATCAATTGTTTATTGATCAATCAATCAATCGATCAATCACCCATATTATTTATACGTATTAGTTCTCCTACAGTTGTCATCATACTGGATCAATCAATCAAGGTTAGTTCACGCCTTTCAATCAATCAATCAAACGATCAATCATGGACCACTACACTACGTACCTCTTCAATTGTTGACTATTCCTTAGATCAGATATTAATGACGATATTGACATGTTGGACGTCTTTAACCTTCTCTTTAACAGATCGGTCAATAATATCTCTTTGTACTTTTGTTTCTTGATTAGTCCAAGTAATTCCTTCCTACCCTTTACAAGATTACTGATGAATGCACCAGAAGCAGGTATGGAGAACAGGAAGTTGCCCTCTCCATTCAACAATAATAGATTACATTGTACTAAGACCCTGGGTATATTGATTGTGTTCCATGTCAGTGTCGGACTTTATGATTGATTGATTGTGATTGATCCATCGAAGGGACTTACGTTATGACATTCTCCAATTGATTTGATGAGACTTGCATCACTTGTTGTAACTTTGTTCGATAGATGTTTGTGTCTGTGAAGCTGGACATAAGTTCGAGGTAGCGGTCCAATACCTGGTTGTGGCTGAGTTGCAGCTCTTGTGAAGTTGAGGAAATGATTGGTTCTTGAGTTGTTGGTGTTTCTTTGATCTTTAATGATCTTATCTTTGTATTGTAATCTCTTGTTCTAACTACTACATAGTCACTATGTCCTGTCATAAGTTTGATTACTCTGACATATCCTTGTTTCTTTAGTGACAACTAGTTTGTACGAAGGTTAGATCAACATGTTCATTGAGTGATTGATTGATCAACCAGATATACCTACAATGTTCTTATCTACATATGTGTTGTCTTTGATCTCTTGATAGAGTATTGACATTAGGAGCATGGGAGGTGTCTGCTTGTGGGTGGCACTATCGAATGACTTTGCCATTATTGTGTTGATACGACTAAGTAGTTGCATCTCTGGTTGAACAGGCTCGAGGTCAAAGTCAAAGTCGTACATTGCCGTGAGTGCAGTGGCATCATCTTGCTTCAATCTCTTTGATACATCATTATCAACAGTGTCATCATTATGGTCGTCGTCATCATCCGATAAGAGATCATCTATATTATTATTATCGATGTCATCGCCATTTGATGGGTCGTCAATATCTATTGGAGCCTTGCGCTTCTTTGGTGTATTATTGGTCATTATGACATTGCTTATGTCTATCTATCTGTTTGGATTAACAACAATGTTTGGGATGACCATTGGGTGTCATYCTTGTCTCATCTCAACTTTTCAAGAGACCCAATTCTTGGAACTCACACCTTGAAGGTGTGAATGTTCGAGAACAACTCCGTTTATCACTTCACTTGTTTTTGTTGTAGTTATCTCTATGAATATATAACAACACAACCTACTTAATCTTATATGATGAATCAAACAACAACAGATACAGTTGGTATATGTACAGTACACAATAAGAAACAAAAGAATATTTGTTTACAATGTAATCAATTGGCTTGTGCTGTCTGCGCTGTGTTACAACATAAACAACATGAAATGGATCATGTAGATAACATAAAGGCAATGATACAACAACATAAATATGGTGATACATTCAATGCAAGATTGGAGACATTGCTTGGAAGGTTCAAGGTCATGTCAACTTCATATCAAATACTGGACCAATCAAAGTGTGATCTCTCTGAACACTTTAGACAACTGCATGAATGGCTGATTGTCGAGGAGCACAGGCTCAAGGCACCAATCGTCGAGCAGTTGGACAAAGTCACAAATTCAATCAGTTGTATAACTGGTGAGATTGAGAGCATCAACAGTATATTCAATGATTCTGTTCCACTTTCTGCACGAGATGACATTGACACGTTGATCAAGGAGGTGGCGACAACTCAACCCACAGTGGAGCAGTTCATGAACAAGACATTCCCCCCGAGACAAGACGATGGTTTCGAGTCGATGCAAATCAGTGACACACAGCTGTTGACGATGGTTCAGCAAAGGATCCAACACATCAAAAGCCCAGCTCAGTCAGAGGACTACAAGTATACCACTCAGCTAAAGATCCACACTGAAAGGCTCATTGATGTCAGGAAGCAGATTGGAAGATGCTTTGAGAACATTGACTTGGAGACCAGGGCCAAGGCAGAGAAGCTCCACAATCATATGTTGGTGGTTGATAGAGAAGGCTGGTCTTTGTACTCTTTGGACACCAGACAATGGGTGAACCACCCAAGAGAGAATGAAAAGACTAATGTGGACAAAGCAGTTGTCTATGCCCAAGGTCACGTTTACTGCTTTGGATGCATGGGCTCATCTACATATGACAAGTTCTCAGTTGCAGACCATCAATGGAGGTACGACATCCCGATTGACACCATTCAAGGAGGGTATGATATCTCCGTATGCTATGACGGAAATCGCTTTATATATTTGGTCGGTGGCACTGAACAAGATGGACATACTCTGAATCGTGTCGATCGATTTAACATTGAAACACAAGAGTTCAGCCATGTTGGAGAACTACCACAAGATGTTGATAAGGCAACAACCTTTGTCAAGGATGGGGAGTTGTACGTGGCCTGTCAATTCCGCGAAATTATGGTTATGAACCTCAAGACACTACAAACAAGATACCTCCGCTTAGACCTATCATTGTACATTGAAAGGATGTTTTGTTTCGATTCAAAGGACACATTGTACTGCCTAGACGCTCATGGTTTCTTCGCCGTCACACTGTCAACTGAAAAGATAGTTGTACTAGGTGCTGCACATCAATTCGAGTACTACTCTCATCTGCATTGGACTCCTGAGCACGGTATCTTCATCACCAATGGCAAAGGAAACAAACATGTTTCTTACTCAGTAGAGAATGATCAATGGGAAGACACACAAATCGATGCCGAACTCTTCAATACTTGTTATGGTATCTGTTTGATAAGAATAGAATAGATAGATATGACACAATGTGATGACTCCAATAATAAGAATATGGGTTGGAGCCAACCATCAAACCATCAAGCCCATCTTACTCTCGACGCCCTTCTTGTTCACACTTTCGAACTGTTTGATGGGTGTTTGTTTGTGGGCGTTTGCATGTAATGACAAGACGATATGTGTGTGGAACAACCCCCCATCAATGCTAGTGATGGATGTCATCAACATAAATTTCCACAAATAAATAATATCCGTCTTTTTTTGTTATTGATGTTGGGTATGGACCGTCTCGATGAAAAGTAGAATGCTTGCACTGTATGAGGACCACAACCGGAATGGTCAACCAGCGACCTTGACAATTCGCTTCTTTCTCACTCGCTTACCAACAGACAAAGGTGTCCATCCACACTTACAAGACACGTGTCACAATCAATCAAATTAAAACCCATTCACAGACTTGATGGGCAAGTTGGCTGTTTGATTGGGACGAAGACTGACACTCCAGAACACAACAAGGTAAACAATATCTTTTTTTTAATCACCTTTAAGATATCATTCGACAATTCCTATCATTATTATTTTTGATAAAACATAGACTTTGTATTTGTAAATAGAGATATATAAATATTATTATAACTTATTTATTTATTTATTTAATTAGTTATTATTAAAATGAGATTATTGTCCTCCATAATATTCCTGGCTCTTACTCTGTCATCAGTCTTTGCTGCTGTCAGCTTTGACCCTCAGTACCAACTGTCTTTGGTTAACAATATTAGAGCCTCAGCTGGAAAGTCAAACATCCAAATTAGTCAATGTCTTATGGACTCATCTCAATTCCATTCGGATTACCAAGCAAGGTAAGATTGATTGATTGATACCAATAACATATCACTCATATCATATTCAATCATCCTTCTAACTCACACACATACAATCAATCAATCAATCAATCACACACTCACCAATTAGTATTTCAACAATGACTCACGACGATCCAAATGGAGGTCTGTTTGAGAGATTTGAGGCCTATGGTTCTTTTGATATGTCTAATGCCGCTGAGAATGTAGCCGCCGGTCAACAGTCTGATGACTCTGTTATTAATTCATGGAAGAACAGTGCTGGACATTATGCCAACATGATCGGAGACTACACCTACATTGGTCTTGGAATGAAGGTTGGTTCTGATGGTACCCCATACTGGACTCAGCAGTTCATGACTGGTGACTGCAAACCAATAACATCTACTACTACCACAACTACCACTAGCCAGTCGACCACCTCACCGACTACTACCAAGCCCACCACCTCATCTACTACCACCTCGGGCCAGACAACCTCTTCAACTACTACCAAGCCAACCACCTCGTCCACTACAGGTGAGCCAACTACAACTAGTTCAACAACTACCAAACCAACTACTTCATCCACCACTACCAAGCCAACGACCTCCTCGACCACCGGTGAGCCAACAACAACTAGTTCAACAACTACCAAGCCAACCACATCCTCCACAACTACCAAGCCAACTACCTCCTCTACTTCCTCAACCACTACCAAGCCAACTACCTCCTCGACCACCGGTGAGCCAACGACAACTAGCTCAACAACGACCAAACCAACTACATCATCCACCTCGTCCTCAACGACTACTAAGCCAACCACTAGCTCAACTTCTACCACCAAGCCAACTACATCATCAACAACCGAGAGGCCAACAACCTCCTCCACTGTCACCACTACAACTGAGCAGTCTACCTCTACTACATCCACTACAGCACCAGCCTCCACCACCGTCACCGGTGTTGTCGAGACCACCCAGTCGACTACCCATCCAAGTGCCTCATCCAAGGTGATCGTCAGTGTATCCTCCATCCTCTCATTGTTGCTCGTTGTCATCTTGTTGTAAAGATACACCAACCTGAGAGTTATGTTAAGTACCTTATTTATTTATTTATTTAAACAACGCATATATAACAACGCAATATATATATTTATATCTATTTATTAATAACAATAAACAATGTATACTTATCTTCCTTCAAAGAGAAAGGAAAGACATCTTCATAATATTGACTTTGATCGGAACCAACAACGTAATTCGGTAGTACATCCGGATAATCAATCACCAATCTATTGTTTTAACCACACACACACTCTCACCAATCACACATGAGAGATTAATCTCTTTGTTTACAAGACGATTCAAGAGGTATTAATCGCCTTTGAGGTGTGGCAATATAGGCCAATGTAATTGGTTCCTCGGTTAATACATTATTATATAGTGGTCGGTCAATATTCCAGAGAATAGTAGCATGGTCAATCAATCAATCAATCGATCAATCGATCAATCCAATAGAATCAAGAACGGGCATTTAATACAACAATACACACGTGTTTAGTTAATCGAATTAAAAGCTTATTATTAATAACAACTATACTAAGAAGTAAATAAACTTACCAAATGACTATAATTAGTATGTTATATATCGATCAATTGTCTGGGATAATTCCAGTCCTCAGCCCTGACATCCTCCTCTTCCTTTAGAATCGATAACTTCCTTGGGATCATTCAGTCCATCAAACATTGGAAATTGCTCTGTAGTGTCCAGTGGCAATATGAATGTCTACGGTCAATCATCCAATGGTACCTCCAGTGTTGTTGGTCAGGTCAGTGAACATGTAGCACCAATCGTCAAGAATATAGAGGCAGCCACATCAAACATTCTTGGTGCAACTTTTAAATATCTGGACGGAGTCACCAGTAGTCTAGGCATCTAATCTAGACTACCAAGTTATGCTTATTGTATTGAATGAATGACTTGAATGTAATAAATGTATCCTTGTAATGTATCTACTCCTCCTTGATATCTTGATGAATGAGAAAGAGGCATGGTAGCCTTATGATTGACCTCCAGCATGTCTTCTGACTTGTTCGACAATCTGTGAGCAATCTACGTTGGGAGGACAGTTCTTCATTACACTCCTGGTCAACTCGTCGACGTCATTTTGTGCTCCACTGCCACGAATGAATATCCAGTAATGTAACAATACAAACAGGATGAAAATGCATATATATCTAATCACTATTATCCAGTAAGTATCTATTCTCACCATAGTGCATTGCTGTCGTTGAAAGGAACATACCAGCATATCTCAAGCTCATAGGCTCAGAGTTGTTGTTGTTTTTGGAAGTTATTGCATTTTGTTCAATGCCACTGTTGCTGCTGCCGCTGCTGTTGTTGTAGTTGTTATTGAATGTATAGGTTCGTCTTTGATGAGTTTGAGGAGTATTAGTTGTATCTGTTGGTGCACCCGAAGACATGACTCAGAGTAGAATGACAAAAACATAGACCCATTTCACTTCTTTGTCTTGTTCACTCTCATTCATTCATTCACACATCACGCTCATAGATATATACAAGAGAGAGATAATAAGTCACTTGTATATCTTATATATATATAAACCATAGACATGTTGACAGAGGATACCCAACCAATCAACCTAATTATGTCACTACTCAAATAATGTCTATGTTTCGTACACTTTGTTCAACTTGATAAGAATGACCTGTAGACCTCAAGCAAACAGACTCAATCATCCATTATTGAATAGATGATGGATGATTCATATTGCAATGTCGATATCACCTCACAGAATTTCCTTTATCATCTATTATCTGTCAATCTGTCTATCTTTCTCAAGCTAGTTGTAATTGAAGCTTCCAATTCCCAGCCCCCCTTTGTGAAGGGTGTGGGTCGGCAAGACGAGTGATGACATCACTCGAACAGACCTTTGACACCCCTATCTCTCACCCTGTCACTCTGTTACTCTGCTAATTATCATTCACCCACTCTCGTGAATCACCCAACTTGATCAAACAATAACATACAGAGTGATTGATGGTAAGGAGTAGAATTAGTGACATTTTACATTCAATTCAAAGTAATAATATTAATTTGGATAATAGTATACTCAGATGTATACATCTATGATCAGTGTGACTGCATGGCTTCAGTGAATAACGTAGAAATATATGACTCGGAGATACCATGGCTAGCATCGACCAACTCATTCAATATTACCGGACCTGACTATAAATACTGAGGAATTCCAAATGTTACTAATCATCAAATCAATCAAGTCTAATCAACTATTACTACTTACCTACTCTTAACAATAATCTAAAATGACTCTCCTCAGTAAGTGACTCATCATGACTCATCCAACCAATCAATCAACCAATCAATCGGAATCGATCAAACATAATATTAACATAATTGACCATTTATCGTTAATTCCAATCCATTATTATAAACAGAGTCCATGACCTCCCTCTCCTTCAACGCCTCCTCCATGTGCAATGGCGCAATTTCCAGCGGAAGTGCCGGCGCATTCGGCCAATCATCCAATGGTACAGCTGGAATTGTGGCCCAGACCGGCCAGATGATCGCACCAGTGATTGATGCCGCAGTCGGAATTGTTCAGAACACTGTCAAGGTGGTCTTTGCCACCGCTGATAGTGCCCTCGCCCCACTTGGCATCTAAAACTCTCGACAAACTAGTTTGTTGATCCATCCATCCGTCCGTCCTGCCATCTTATCTTACCAACTCACTGCCTCTACACAATCCTGTACAACGCCCCCTCCAACCCAGCACACAAACCAAACCTCTCTCATTCATTCCATCTCCATTCAATCAATTATGTTGAGAACAAACTGTATACATATTAAATACAATCAATCAATTTAAAAGTAATATTATTATTACTTCTGATTGGTTATATTCAAATTAATATTTGAGTATTAATGATCTGAAATTGCTATTGACTGGTCTGATCAGATTCGTGTCGGGTGTGTGTGTGTTTGATCATCACACTTTACCACAAACCACAACACAACCAATCTAAAAAAGTATATATTAATTAATTTTAATTATATTCGAATTAAAATCGTCACACTAATGATGATCAGGTGATCGAAAACGTGCGACTAGATCTATTTTGGTCAATGACTAATCTGTGCATCTTCATAGCCACAACTCACACATACATGCGACATACCGATACGATGGATGATCAGTCGATATGATATCGATTGAAAAGGTGCACCTGTACAACGCGAGCAAGGCCTAGACATCTGATGACGACTTTCACATTGGGCCAAGTATGGCCAGAGAGAATCATCGTGTTCGCAAATCAATCACACCCCCTTACCCTTTGGTTACCAATGTTCCCCCAAGCCATGTGTGGTCGGTCGCGGTCGATAGGCCGAGCGAGGCCATCAGGTCCTCTCCAACCCTATCTCCACATGATATATATATACAACCCGGGTTCCTGTCCAGACATGACTCTTCATTCTACCATTCGTCTTATCTCTATACCTAATCAGATTTCAAACATACATCATACATACATACAACAACAGCAACACAACATAATATCAATCAACTTTAACTTACTACAACGATCAACCAATCATTAATATGATGTACCAATCATCAATACTCAACAACACACCCAAGCTACCAAAGGTGTTGTTGCCAGTGATGGTGATGTTGGTACTTTTACTGTGCTCAGACCGTGTGAGCGCAGATATAGACTCCATGTCTGCTCGGGCTTCATACATGGGCGGTGGCACAAACTTTGTAGTGCAAGCCACTGGATTCCCCCTTCCGCCTGTAGTCCAGCTCACCCTTGGCGGTGGTGCTCCTCCAGTTATCTTCCCCTTTGTCTCCGTTGTTGGCACCACCTACACCTACACAGTACCCGCCGAGCCACCCGGTGGAGACAAGAAGCGCCGCAGTAGTATCGATTTCACTTTAGATATCTTCAACGGTCTAGTTAATGCATACCATGGTGCATTCTCATATTTGGGTATGTCATTATCATCATATTTCTTGAAATGTCCTAATTAGGAAATGATGTCAATCAATCAAACTAACACACACAACACACAATCCATCACCCAATCATTTGTAGCTGCTGAGATCGAAGACTTTGATCCTCCAAAGCACTTCCAAGCATCAAATGGACGAAGGCTAACCATTAATGGTGCCAATCTCAAAATTGACCCTACCTTCCCGCCTCCAACTGTAAGCATTGGCACCTCCGTTTGTGCTCTCACAGATTATAAGGATACCAGGATCCAATGTACAATGGGCAACCAACTAGCATCTGTTGCAGTGCCAATCACAATCACCTATTACAATGGTTATACAGTAACTGCTTCCAATATGTTTGATGTTGTTAGTATGTATAAATATATTTACAAATACATTCCTCCGCTCAATCGATCGATCACTTGCTAACTAATTACATCACACACACACACAATTAGACCCGATTATCAACAACATTGTACCTGCATCAATCTCAGCTGGACAATCCCAAGTGATCGCATTGAATGGTAACTTCCTGTATGATTTCCCTCATGAGATCATGTCAAAGATAACCTTTGGCGGTGAGGACTGTACAAACATTGTGATTGTCAGTTCAACTCAGATCAAATGTACATCGGCACTCTTTACCGGTGTACCACAAGGCACAGCCCAAAACAAAGTGCTAGCAATGACCATCGGTGCTCAGAATGTCATAGCCGTAATCAATCTTGAAGTCTATGGTAAGTATTGGTCATTTCTAAGTTTGATCAATCACTCACAAATTCACACTCACACTGATATTCAATCAATCAATCAATCAATCAATCAATCAAATATTATACAGAGCCTCTAATTAATGCAGTCCTACCAAGACAAGGATTGTCCGTTGGTGGAACTGTTATTAGAGTTACAGGATTGTTCCTCAGTGCAGTCACTGCCGTGGCAATTGGTGGATCAAATTGTGTATTAGTCCCACCCTCAATTGCCGCCGGTCAGTTTGATTGTACGACCTCCCTCTACAACCTCGGTCCCGGTATCAACAGTGCCACCTTCCCACTTGTAATCACCATCGATGGCCAAAACTACCAGTCCCAAGCCCCCGAGGTGTTCACCTATTACAGTGAGTATCATGGTCGTGACGACCAATCCTCATTCATTAATTCACAAATCAGTCGCTAACATTCAATCAATCAAAGCTCCCGTCATCCAAGCTTTGTTGCCTGTCAACATGATCACACTGGGAACATTCTTGATGAGTGTACAAGGTGTTAACTTCTATGGAGTGACAGCTGTCAAGATTGGTCCGGTCACAGTCAATGTGTTCAAGCCAACGAGTAATGACCTGACATTGTTATTTGATGTTAACGCTGCTTTGTTGACAGTTGGTAACAACGCCGTCACTGTTGAGATTGGAACCGTCTCATCCAACGCCATGAACTTCCCCGTGGCCGTGCCGTCCCTTGGCGCACCCGTCCCCGCCACTGGATTCCTCCATGCAGTCACCCCGATCACCTTAACCATTGCCAACTTCCCCACGCTAGCCAGTGGCGCACCGCTCAACACTGTCACCAAGGTGTATGTCAATGGAATAGAGTGCAAGAATTTGGTTATGCCTAGTGCCACTCAATTCACATGTGATGCACCCGCCGCACCCGCCGCCGGAGCTTTCCCCATCACATTCAAGGTGCTCGAGCAGGACTACAACCCAGCACAGACCTACACCTACTACGACCTCAACATCGCAGGCCAGACCCAGTCGACCACCATCCCAGCCGGTGGTGGAGTGCTCACACTCAATGGAGGCCATCTCGACGTCGTTCAAACAGTCACCATCAACGCTATCCCCGTTGTCGGATGTACCATTGGCGCTGCCCAGATCACATGTCCCATCCCTCGTAACCTTCCCGGCGCCTACCCAGTCGCTGTCATCGCCAGTGGCGTCATCTATCCATCACCGGCACCGATCAACTACATTGGACCCAACCTCCTCAGCATCAGCCCCATCCAGGGTAACTCCAAACGTGTGGTCCCCATCACATTGGGTGGAAACAACCTCGGAGCTGTTGCGGCCGGCATCACCATCACCATTGGTGGAGTCAACTGTCCCAATGTTGTGGTCAAGCCGCAAGTCGGTGGCCTGGACCAAATAGGTTGTGACGTGCCAGTCACTGCGGCCGGCATGCATAATGTAGTGATTAATGTTGTGCCCGGTGGTGGTGGCGCGGCCGTAGCCTCCATCAACAACGTACAATACCGATCGAATGGCCTGGCCTGTCTGGGCGCACCCCTCGCCGACGACTCCAACTCACCAGTCGAATGGTGGTTCACGTACAAGCAGAGCCACACTGATCCGAATTTCGATTACATCTACATCGACAACACGCTAGACCGTCTCGTCAAGCTCCACCCCCTGTCAAACTTCGGTGCCACCTCCACTTCCTTCAGTCCCCTGGCCATCACCTTTGATCAGTACCGCGACTACCACTATGCCTTCTTCAATGACCAGCCGGGTTCGCGAGACAACGACGGCAGGCGTTCGAACGAATTCACCCCACGGTTCGGCCACGGCCATCTCAAGGCCTTTGTCATCTTTGATTACAACGCCGCCACCCTGCAATATGAGGGCATCCACGTGATGCACTCCAACCCGGTGTTCCCTGCAACCCGCGGCGCCAATGCATACTACGACATCACTGCTGGAATGCGCTGGATTGGCCAAGCGGACAACAACCAACACTTCTTCTGCTATCCATTCTCCAGCATCGAGATGCCCTTCAACTACTTAATCCACAACGACGCCAGCATGTACCCCACCTTTAACATGCCCGCGGGCATGGGCGCCTGGCCCCAGGCCACAAAGAACCGCTTCCCCTTCTTCTACGACTACATGGCGCTATGGATGGGTCTGCCGCAGCGTATCCCGATCCCCCCTGCAGTCCCTTGCAACCAGATCTGTTTCCAGCAGTTGTGTGAGGCGGCCATTATCGTCAACCCCAACGTCCGCGACATTTGCTACTGGCAGTCGCCCGCATTCATGATTGGCGGCAGGACCGCTAACTACTTCATGAAGACATCGCTCGACACCAGGGTCGTTACGTTCCCACCCCTCGCCGGTGCCTCCCCACCCGGTCTCGATCGCTTCATTGTCATCAACCACTTCCTTCCAAAGAAATACGATGGAATTGACATCTGGACCGTTGTTGCCGAATCCTACGGACGTATGATGTTTATCGAGATGTTCTACAAGACTCCAGTCCAAATGTTATCCACCAATGCTGTAATCAATGTTGGTTTACTACGTATGTTCATTCATTCATTCATTCATTCATTCATTCATTCATTCATTCATTCATTCATTCATTTGATTGACTAACAACAACAAAAACAACTTAGATCTTCCACCATATTTAAGCGGAGCTGTCAACACAGGTCCTCCACTCAATCAATGGAATTACTTTGACTATTCATATTCTGGAAAGAGTAATGAGCATGCCAAACTTGGATTCCCCATATATCCTGTCGTCGGTCCCAATGCCATGGCACCCAACAACAACATGTTCTGTGTCGGTGATTCAAACAGACATAATGGACAAGTAAGTAATGTAATGTATTGATTGATTCATTGACCCATACTAACTTACAATCACATAATCAATAGGGTGCAAGAGGTGGAGGTACACTATGTTTCCAACATCCAACACTTTCATACCAGTTCAGTAGCATGGTAAAGTCGTACAACTCAATCACCACTGCCAATGGTTTAATGCAGAAACCTTCGAGAGGTCGTTCAACTTCAATGTCCTATAATGCCGCCATCATCCAACCTTTGAAGCTCCCCAGAGCAGCATGGCCCAATGACGTTATCTTTGAGATAAGGGACGCTATCAACGGCATTGTCACACCCAAGCTGCCCCCATTCATGGGTGTGGTGACCGCCGCCACCGCCGCCCTCCCAGTCGACGTGGAATCCAAGTTCCTGTCTCTGAGGAATAATCTGGCCTTTTGTGGAGGACCCTCCGACGACCTTGGAAACATCGCACCCGAGGTGTCAATCAGTGGATACGTCTCGGACGACACGTTTGCAATAATGTACGTGGCGGCCGATGTCCTCGTCGCATCAATCTGTGACAATGTCCCGCTGATGTTCCCGCCAACACCCTGCGACCAGAACAATGCCCGCCGCACAAGGATCACTGAGATTGTGGCGGCACCCCCTCCACCACCCCTGGTGTTCCCCGCCACCTACAACCAAAACTACCTCGAAACCATGACCCTGCGAACATTCGACCTTGAGGCCATCAATGACTTCCAGGTGGTCCAGTTCACCGACGAGTTCCGTCATAAGATCTTGCTCAACCCAGCCGCACTGCCCCCTATCCAGTACATTATCGATGCCACACTTCAGGTTCCTTCGGTGCTGGGTGCCTACACGACCCGCAGGCTGGCACCCATCTGTAATGAGGAGCTGGCTTACGATGTGCTGATGTCGTACGTGTACCAGCAGTCCAACTTCCCACCTCAAGCCGAGACCATCTTCATGATTGACAATGCCCCAATACCCAACTGGGCCAACGGTGTGTTGTACGCTCTATCCAAGTTCATGTACAATGAGATCCCCGATCCAATGGGTGTCGTCAAGACCCCGGCGTTCAACCCCTGTGTCACCATGTACTTCCCTGCGATGCCCAACATTGAAACCTATACTCCGGCCCGACCAATCAACATGGCGCCCACTCAAATCGAGCTGTTCTACCGCACAGCGGCGGCCACATGGGACATGATGTCCATGTCGATCAACAATGGCAATGGAGCTAGGGTTGCGCGTGTCAACAACGCCGACGTCATCACATGGAATGCATTCCTGACTCAAATTATCGCGTTGCGTCAGGGCAATGGCATCACCTCGCTCTCTCAAATGCTCGGATTGATGGCCCAAGCCAACCCCGCCATCGACTCTCCCGCCAACAGGCAGTCGCTCATCAACAACTACTTGGTCGCACCACCCCCTGTCATTGTCCCCATGCCCTCTTTCTTTGCCATGCCACAAGGCCTCTCCACGTCCTCGCTCCTGGCCAGCAGCGTGCCTCCCCACCGCCTTTTCCCCAACTTAACCTCTCTTGCCGTTGATCCTGAATACCTCGTCTCGCCCATCCAGCAATTGTTGCAGGTACAAAAGTCATTCAGCGATGAGGAGATCATCTACTTGAGCGACGATCAGACCAACAAGTTGATCGATTCGATGATGAAGTGGGCCACGATCGCCGGTGTTAACCAGGCCGTCCAAGTGCTCTTTACCGATCCCTGGACCCAGACTCAGAACCAGCCAATCCAGTTCATCTCTGAGCTGAACCGCGACCAAATAGGCGGTGATATTCAGCTGTGCTCTAGCCAAATCAACCCGGACGAAACCTTGATCGCCGTCTGCTCCCCCATGTCGATCAACGCCATAACCTTCTTCATTGAGAGTGCCATCGTCTCGTCCGTCTCTTCTCAGGTGCAGTATGGCGACTTCAACGCCTACTTCCTCCCCATGCCACCCAACTACAACGGCTCGATCAGCTCCCAGTACGGCGGCATGGCCATCGCCACGATCAACTCTGAGATCTGTGACATCCAAATGATGACCACAGGCGACTTCCTCTCGCACAACTTTGACAACCTGTGCGCATCCATCGGACCAGTCGTGGTTAACATCACCAGTCTCACAGGTCCCACGTCTGGCGGCGTAACAACCACAATCAATGGCTTCAGATTCAACTCCTCACTCAACATTCAGATGGGCAAACATAGCCAGGTCACACCTCAGGTCATCTCACCCTGGGTGATCGAGTTCCAGACGCCAGCCGGTATCGGCCACCAAGTGTTGTTCCACTTCTTTAGCAGCACAATATTGTTCAACATCCAGCGCACCAAGTTCTATTACAAATACGATGCGCCAATCGTCACCGACGTGTCGCCCGCCACCCTGGACAGCCAGGGCGGTTCCACACTCACGATCACTGGAAGCAACTTTGGCAACGACCCATACATTGTGGAAGTCACAATCGATGAAGACACACCATGTTACCCTGTCCTGGGCATCACCAGCACCTCATTGGCATGCTACTCCCCATCGGGAGTCGGCCAGGACAAGACTGTCACCGTTAAAGTCGGCGGCCAGTCATCCAAGTTCACCGTGGAGACCATCCCCACGATGTCCTTTGACTACGAGGCACCATCACTTCAACAGTTCTTGCCACCCGCTGCTGATGCTGGTGACTTTGTTGTGATCCAGGGTGATGGTTTCGGATCTATCGACGATGGATACGGCCCACCCATGGTGTTCATGGGCGATCAGTTGCTCCAAGTGGTCGACTACACCGACACCTACATCAAGGTGCTTTTGGACGAGGGCGTTGGCAGCAACCAGAGTGTGACAATTCAGGCTGGCGATCAAACATCAACCTTATTCACTCAGTTTGGATACCTCCCACCTCTGATCACCGGCGTCTTCCAGTCCGACCAACTATCCACCTCAGGTGGCGCCGTCCAGATCATCGGCGAGGGTTGGGGACTGGCCTCAACAGAGATCGACTATGTTCGCATTGGCAACATTGAGCTCAACTACTGCAATCCATTTGACAAGTTTGTTGAGTGCCTTGTGCCTCCAGGCGTTGGTGCCAAACTGCCAATCACGGCATCAGTCGGAGGACAAGTGGCCATCGGCGGAACATATGAAAACTACGTGTCGTACGCCCCACCCTTCATCAACCGCTACCGATACTTCAATAATGGTACCTTCAACAACTTACTCATGCTGAATGGTCGCAACTTCTTCCCTGCGAACGCTGGCGTCAACTTGACAAGTTCATCATACATTGAGATCAAGTACACTGACAACAGTCTGTACTTGTGCAACAATGGCTTTGTCAACAGCTCATACGCCCAATGTCCACTCGTATCAACTGTCGCTAGTATTGTAATGTACGTTGGCGGACAGATATCCAACGAGCTGTACATCAGCAACAACACATATCAGTTCCAATTGTTTGTGTTCAATGATACCGATCACAATGGATTGTACAACTCCAGCATCGACCTGCCCATGGGCAAGATCCCCGTGACACTCACCGATCCAAAGGGCGTCACTCAAACATTCGACACTGATGCCTCTGGCTACGTCACCGCCACACTCATTCAGAATGAGTACGTCGTCTATGTTGGACCACTTGATCCCAGCATCTTCCCCAATGTATTCATCTCGATCAACAACATCACCATCGACCTGTCCCAGAATATCAATGTCTCCATACCCGTCACCACCAAGTTCATCTATGGATGTATTGGTAGACTCTACTCTGAGCGAGCCATCATGGATGTTCAATATGGATTGACACCAATATCGAACTGGGGCTTCTGTGATCCAGACTACAACGCCTACTGCACCTACGTCATCACCAGAACAGAGGTATGTATACTCAGCCCTAACCCTCAACCCTCAGACCTTAATCCTAACCCTCAACTTAACCCTCACCAATAGTTCCCCGATGGATGTATCCCAATGTTTGGTAACAAATCTGTTAATGTCAGATACAGTACAACATTGACCATCAATAACTACATGGACAATAATTTGACAGGCGTCAACACTGGCATCGGACCGGGACAACAGGATTACTTCTTCGTCCTCGCATACGCTTGGAATGGTATTGATACTTGGTCAATGACCGTCACGCCCTCGACCAATGGTATCTTCGTTGTGGACTCTATTCCACCCGTCAACATCAACATCACCTTCTGGACCAGAACAAACAATCTCATTCCGATCATCAACAGACATGTGTTCAAGTTGCCCGTCACCAAGGAGGTATCATTCCACTCTGAATACTTTGGATTCTACAACGCTTTCTCCAACGCCTCCAACACATTGTATCCGGCAACATTGTTCTCCAGTCTAACTGGCGGATACAAGGGTGACACGATGAGCTTGCCACTGGGCAAGTACAACGCGGCAACACTTCTGGCGCAGTACTCATTCGTCAACAATACCCGATCATTCTTTGGCAACTCTACATTCTACAACGTCTACGTCTACACCAATCACAGCTCCAACAGTGTTATCACAGGTATACCTACGAATGGCGTCGTCAACCTCGTGTCCATGTCCCAACAGCCCATCGGTGTCCAGTTTGAGATCTCCTCATCGACGCTCTTCAACTTCCTCACTCCAGATGGTCCACTCAGCAATCAAGGACAGAACGTAACATTCGTATCACCCTACACATTCGAGCAACCAATCTACTCTGTCGATGTTCAAGGTGTACCAACGGTAATACCCTGCACGACTAATGGTAGACAACAGTCAACATGTAACTTCCCAGCCAACAGTGGTGGACAACATACAATCACTCTGACATGGCGTGGTCTGCCACTGTACCAGACCTATCCAGTTTGGTATAGAACCAATTAATTGATCAACTCAACATTAATATTAAACAAGTTTTAATCACCAATCAAAAGTACAAATTATTTTTACTATTAATTAATTGGTTTACTTTAGGGAGGTCGAAGTAATTTCCATACTTTTATAACAGTTACTACAAATTTATATACTTTGGTAGGTAAAAGCCAATACTTTGATGAAAGTAGTGGATCTTCAAAGTAAATTATAGGTATTTTGGAATTTGACAAAGTAATTATAGGCAAAGTTTTTTTTGATCTTGTACTCAATTATGAGGAAATAGCAAAAGTATTGAATCGCTCCCATTATTCCCCCCTCAAAAATGAATTTCGAAATTTTACCAAAATCAGTCAGGATGGTGTAGTTGGTTATCACAAAACCTTAACACGGTTTGGGTCATGGGTTCGATTCCCATTCTTGATAAACGCTTTTTTGAATTTTTTTTTATTTGAAAACTCGTTGTTCTACGAGTAGAAAAAATATGTTTCAATATTAAATATTAATGTTTTGATACTGTCTATATAAATAATTAATATTAGATTTGTATCATTAAAAAAAATATATATTTTTTTTTTTTTATCTCTTGGCAATCAATCACTTCTTTCCATGATTGAATAAATATTCAAATACTTCTTTGTGTCCATTACTCGCAGCATAATTCATTGCTTTTAGAATATTGTTCTCTGATCTGTTCATGAGAAGGTATATAACGATCTCCAAATGTCCACCAGCTGACGCCAATAGAATTGCCTTTTCACTACATCCTTCAGACCTCTTCTCAGCCAGGAACCGAACGATCTCCATATGTCCATGAGCAGCAGCCATATCCATTGCATCGACTGTTGCACCTTCACTGCGATTATGATGTAAAAACTGTACAATGTCCAGATGTCCATTCGACGAAGCAGAGTCCATTGCTTTTGTTGTGCATCCCTCAGATCTCTTGGAATGTAGGAACTCCACCATTGTAAAGTGTCCACGTCCAGCTGCACCGTCCAAAGCATCAGTTGTACAACCCTCTGTTCTATTCTCATGAAGATAGTGAACGAGATCAAGGTCACCATTCTGTGCAGCACTGGTCATTGCGTATGTTGTACATCTGTACAATTGCTTCTCGGTGAGGAACTTGACAATGTCGATGTGTCCATACATTGCGGCCCGGTCAATGCCTCCACAATCATGTAACATTGATCTACTTGGTAGGTAATAACACATGTCGGCCAGTGGCATTTTGAGAAAGTTGTACAAACTGATACCTCCATGACTGTGTATCAGTTTTACAATGGACATGTGACCATTGCCAGCTGCTGCCTGCATTGCCATACGGCAATAGAACATGTTCTTTGAATGAGTACACACTTCAAGTATGTAACGGACTATTTCAAAGTTGCCATGACCTGCGGCCAGTCTCAAGATGTTTGAACAAGGAAGTACAATACCTTCATCCATTGAAGATTGTTGTTGGCAACACTGATGCATAACATGTAGTATATCCACTTTACCAGTGGAAGCAATGCGATACATATGCCTGGATTTGATGAACTCTGTTAAAGTCTCTTGAGTGGCAGTTGCAAGGAGGGCTCTGAAGTTGTCTGTATAACCAAAGTATACAGAGGCCCGAAGTGAAGATTTGACCATTGTCCATGTTGAAATCTCTTGTCCATCCAATCCTCTATTTATCTCTTTCACCTTTTCAAACAACAATCTCCTTACATATATATTACCAAAGATCTTTTTGATTAATTTGGATTTATTATCCTTCTGATTGTGATTAATTGTTATCATTATTATTATTAGTTATGTATTTTAATTATATGTTTGTTAGTTATAAATAATATTATTAATAGAAGACGACAATTGTTATATTTATATACTTAATGGTGATGATCACCATCTCCCTCTGAGTGATTAGATGGCTTGGATGCGGGGTATGATGTGGTGACGGCCATTTACCAACAACAAACCCTCTGTCAATCACTTACAATCACATTAACCCTACCAATCACTCACTTATCAAACAAACACATAAACACCACAATAGTGCTATAACATCATGTTCACCTTCTCAATCAAATAGAACAGAACATATAATTTAAGAATGTGTGCTTGGGGTACCAAGACAAAGACACAACAAGGCAGCAAACAAACACACTTCATTGTTTGGTTTTTTTGGCAATTATTGTCAACAACATGGACTCGACATCATATGCTCGAGAGATAAAGAGAGATTGGAACAAGGGAATTGAGGGGTTCTACAGGTCCTGATGATTGAAGCCCTCAGTTTGTCTACGAATAGCTCAACAATGTGGGAAATTGGATGATGTAGTTAACATCAATAAATCATTCAATCAATTACTTGTTTACCACGGTATTGTTTGTTCATGAAGTCCTGGGTAGGTTTATTTTGATCATCACTTTTTTTCACTAACCCACCTTTTTGATCATGGGGCTCAATGTGGGCATTTGATCAGATACACTCAATCATGACTATGACTTTGTGTGTCAGAGACCAAAGATAGATAGTTAACAAGGTTATAAATATATACACACACATACAATGAATTATATACAACTACAAGCTTGTAGAAATATACTCAAGCTGTCACAGTCAGTGAGACTGTTCCACCATGCGACCCCATCAGCTCAACCATCATCGTACGTCTTCTCATTGCTTGATTTGGTCAAGTGGTTGTTGTAGTTGTTGTGGTCATTGTCAATGATGATCTCACACTCAATCAATCACTCAATCAATGACTCACTTACACTCACTCACACCATATTCAATCAATCACTCAATCACACCATATCCAGTAGCTTGAATGTTCGCAGATACTCCAAGATTACAGTTGTAGACGACAGGAATTGGATATCAATACCACGTATTACAGTGTGTGGTATTGGTGGCGGTGGCTGCAACTCTGTGAACAATATGATCAAGAAGCAGCTTTATGGCGTGGACTTTGTCGTGGCCAACACTGACGCACAGGCATTGGCCATCTCTGACAGTGAGAAGGTCGTTCAACTGGGCAAGGAGCTCACTCGTGGCCTTGGTGCTGGCGCCGTGCCAGACGTCGGACGCAAGGCCGCCGAGGAGTCACTCGAAGAACTGTTGGACAACATTGGCGACACTCAGATGCTGTTTGTGACGGCTGGTATGGGCGGTGGTACGGGCCACTGGAGGTGCGGCAGTTGTTGCCGCCGCCGCCAAGGCTCGTGGCATCCTCACTGTGGGCATCGTTACCAAGCCCTTCCTCTTTGAGGGCCGTCATCGCATGCGTCTGGCCGACGAGGGTCTGGCCGCCCTTGAGCAGGCAGTCGACAGTCTCATCGTCATCCCCAACCAGCGTCTAATGGAGCTGCAGTCGGGTAGCTCGCCACTCTCCATCAATCAAGCGTTCTCCATGGTGGACGACGTCCTGTACAATGGCGTCAAGGGAATCTCTGACATCCTGATCAAGCCCGGTCTGATCAATCTGGACTTTGCCGATGTCAGAACAATCATGCGCGACAGCGGCAAGACTCTCATGGGTACGGGCGAGGCTGAGGGACCCGACCGTGCACTGGTGGCCGCCGAGGAAGCTCTGCACAACCCATTGCTCGAGAACAATGATATCTCAGAGGCCAAGGGAGTGCTGCTCAACATCTCTGGCAGTGATGTGACTCTGTTCGAGGTGGACCAGATTGTTGGCGCCATCAGCAGTTGCGTTGTCAACCCAACTACCAACATCATCTTTGGTTCCACAATGGACCCAGAGCTTAAAGGCAAGGTTCGCGTCACTCTTATCGTCACTGGTATCAATGTTCAGCCACCCCAAGCACCAAAGTTTGCCAACGCTGATGCTGTCGCACAGCAGCAGCAGCAGCAGCAACAAGTTGCTGCCCAACAGGCCCAACCAGTCCAGCAACAGGGCACCAGCATCTTTAGTGGAGTGTTCAATAGACAACAGAAGCAGCAGCAGCAACAGCCACCAGTCCAGCCTGTACAGCAACAGGTTGTTCAGCAACAACAGCCACCCATTCAGCAACAGGTGAAGGTCCAGGCCCAAGCTCAACCACAACAGCAACAACAGGTGATCATTGATCCAAAGCAAAAGTACGCCTATCCTTATCAACAGTTCCAGCAGCAGCAGCAACTCCAGCAGCAACAGCAGCAGCCCAAGCCAATCACTCAACAAATATTCCAGCAGCAGCAGCAGCCACAGCCAACACAGACACTACAGCAGCAATTCCAGCAACATCAGCAGCCACCACCCCAACACAATGTGATCTACCAGCAACAACAGCTCCAGCAGGAGCAGCAGCAACAGCTCCAGCAGCCTAACAACGCATTTGGTCAGATGCCACCAATCCAGCAACATCAGCAACAGCCACAGAAGAAGTGGTGGGAGAACCTGGTCTAATGCCATCCATCTCTTCTCATTCATTCAACCCATGTCAACAACATTAATTAATTAACTAATTTACTACAACATCAATCACCAAGCAGATGCAATAAATCTCTGCTTATACGAACTATTCGAAATATATATATTATATTACAAGCTTCATCACTTGCATGATATTTGTAGAATTTATATTTAATTCCCCTATGATGTACTATTAGTAATCAGATTTATCACCCAAACATTGAAGTGATCGGAAGAATGTAAATCCAGTTTGGAAGAGTGAATAATTATTCATATATATTATTAATTTTTATTATATTCATTTTTATTGATATATTAATATCATACTCACAACCAACTAATTTATACCCATGTATATCCTATTTTAATCATACCCTTGACTGTAAGACTGGTGATTGCTTACCTCATGAAGATGTTTGTCAAGACTATGGCTCTCGCCCATTTATTTTTAATGCAAGATCAAATGGAACAAGGGACAGTGATTGTATTTGTATAAGGAATATGACTGAAGCGGAGATCAATGTCAAATGCCAAATGTTAATGCAACGATGCAAAGTGGAAGGTGGAAAGTCATGTAAAGAGGCATCAGCGATTTGCGACAAGGATGTAATTAAAGAGGTAAAGAAGGAACTATGCAAGAATAAAGATAAATACAAGGGTCTCTGTCAGAAACATGGAAATTTCAGAGGCTCTGATTGGTACCATAGTTTCTACAGAAGTGACACTAAATTTGATTGATAGATTTGATTTGCAAATTGTGATAATACTTAAATAAATAAATAAATAAATGATTACTTGTTAACAGAATATTGATGACTATTCATGATACAAATGATAGGGCATTGATTTATTCATACTACTCTAAATTAATATTACAACTTGTTAAACAGACTTGTTGGCCAGCTAGTAGTGGTGGACTTGGAACCTAATTAGCCCAGACGCTTCTTGCGCCTTTCCTCACGCTCTAATTCCAGTCGCTTCTGCTCCTCAGCCAATTCTCGATCTTTGCGCTCGCGCTCCAGACGCCTTTCCTCAATCCTGCGCTTTCTTTCTTCCTCAATCCTGCGCTCCTCTTCTTCCAGCTCCTTCTTCTTGGCCTCACGCTCACGTCGCTTCTGTTCAAAGTACTCCTCCTTGGTGGAGGGTGCCTTCTCTGGCGTGGCTGGCAACACGGGGCTGCTGATGACTGGTGTCTTTAGGTTCTCAGACGATGATGAGCTCGATATTTCGATTCCACGTCGCTCGTTACGAAGTTGTCTGCGGGCCTCCTTCTCGGCCTCCATCCTCTTCTTCTCCTCCTCTATCTCGCGTTCGATTTGCTCACGCTTGAGACGTCGCTCCTCTTCGCGCTTCAGCTTGGCGATCTCATAGTCGTCCAGCACCTTGGCAGACTCGCGCACCTTTTCATCGCGCTCCTTCTCCTTGGCCACCTTCTCTTTCTTGAGTTTCTCCAGCTCCACGCGGTCCTTCTCCTGGTCCTCCTTCTCCTTTTGCTTCCTCCTGGCCTCATTCTTCTTGTTCAGCTCATCACGCTCACGCTCCTTCTCTTCGCGTTCCTTTTGCTCGCGCTCTCTCTGTTCCTTTTCCTTCATCTCTCGCTCCTTCTTTCTGTTCTCTCTCTCCTTCTCGCGGTCCAGTCTTTCCTTTTCCTCGCGATCCTTTGCCTCCTTCTCGCGGCGCTCGCGTTCTTTTCTTCTGTTCTCTCTCTCGCGGTCTCTCTCCTCACGCTCGCGGTCCTCTCTCTCCTTTTCCTCGCGGTCTCTGCGCTCTTTTTCCTTGCGTCTCTGTTCGCGCTCTCTTTCCTTTTGCTCCTCAAAGTCTGTATCGTCTTTATCGCGCAGCTCCTTGACTCGCTCCTGGACCTTCTTGTACTCGCGTGGATCAAGGAACTTCTCGACGACGGCCATTCTTTGTTGCTCCTCTTCGCGTTCTCTTTCTTCGCGCTCACGCTCCCACAACTCTTGGTCCTCAATCTCTTCCTGTTCCTTCTTCTGTCGCTCCAGACGTCTTGCTTCCTTCTCCATCCTCTCTTGTTGTATACGTTTGTCCAACAGCTCACGCTCACGTTGCTCTTGACGGGCGGCCTTCTCCAGTGAGTCCTTCTCGCGTTGTTGTCTCTCCAGTCGCTCCTTCTGCTCTCTCTCCTTCTCTCTGAGCGCGCGCTTCTCACGTTCCTTCTGGGCGGCCTGTTCAGCCTCCCTCTCGCGCTCATCACGCTCTTGCTTCTCTCTGGCTTCGCGTTCCTGGGTCCTTCTCTCCTTCTCTCTCTCTCGCTCCTTCCTGCGCTCTTCAATTTCTTTGTCCTCCTCGGATTTGACGAGCTCTTCACGCATCTGCTTAGTCCTCTCACGCTCCAATCGTCTGGTCTCGATCCTCCTCTGTTCAATCTCGAGCATGTAGCGCTTCTTCTCCTTCTCGGTCATGGTGGCCAGCAGTTTGATCTCGCGTTGTCGCTCTTCTTCGGCTTTCTTCTTCTTGCGCTCCTCGGACGCCTCCTCCTCGGCCCACTCCTTCATCTGCTGCTGCAGTTGCTCCGGTGTGATTGATTGAGATGTGCGCTTGTCCGGTCGCTCCAGACTCTTCCTCGAGCGTCGCTCCTCGTCCTCCTTCTGGCGCAGCTTTTCGATGACCTCCATCTCTCTGATCCTCTTCTTCAGGTCGTTGGCCGATGTTGTCTTCTCCACGGTGTCTATGCCTTGTTGCTGCTTGAGCTCCTCCAAGCTCTGTCTCTTGCGAAGCTCCTCTTCTTCGCGACGCTGGCGGGCCTCCTCCTCAATCCTCTTGCGTCGCTCAGTACGTTGCTTCTCTTCTTCGGCACGCTTTGCCGCGAGGACCGGGTCAATGTTTGGTTTGACCTGTGCGGCACTTGCCTGCTTGCGCTTCTCACGCTCTCTCATGAGTAGCTTGGTCAGCTGCTCACTATTGATATCATGAATGCTAAGATTGCTACCCTTCTTTGATGTGGACGTGTCACCAGCCACAGGGTATGCCTTCTTATAATGATTGTATAACAATGAGAGATATGTTGTGATCAATCTCCTATCCATGCCACCTGGGATCATCACTTTGATTGATTGAGTGAGTGAGTTAGTAACATGTTTGATCATGTGACGTTTGATTGACAACATACTGAACTCTGGGTCCAAGAGATCGGGTATACCTATCTTGGTTGCTGTGTTCAATGCAAGCTGTAGACACTCCCTCTTGCCCATTGTCTTGAGTTCATCAAACTTAAACAGCTTGTCTCCTTCATAGGAGTGTATAAGTGCACAGAATGCCAGTCCTTTGATTGATTGATTGAATGAATGAGTGAGCGATATGATGTGATGTGATTGAGTACCAATGTTGTATACAACATACCATCACTCCAACTATCTGAGAAGTCTTGTACCTTGACATTCCCATATCCTCTGGTTCTCAATTGAGCCCATAGTAGTATTGACTCTTGGCCTACAACCATTGACATCTTCTTCTACTCTTGTTGATTATCTGACGTCTGTAAACCTAGGTTTAGATAGATACTGATATACTGCAATGAATAAATGAATGAATGAATGAATGGGTTCTGTTAATGAGTGAGTATTCGGGCATGCATGCATGTATTCATGTATCGTGATTGATTGATTGATTGATTCGACAGGTTGTCAATAATGTCATACCTTCCACAAACTGTACACGAAGTAACCAGTAACACGTATCGTATTGATTGATTCAATATCAAGTGTTATAAATAGTGATTGCAATATATAACAAGAGAGAGAGTATTGTATCTGTATCTTTGTATCTGTATCTGTATCTGTTTATCTGTGTGAGTAAGTGTGTGAATGTGTTTGATTGTTTGTCTGATTGAGTGAGTGGGAATGTTTGTCGCGAATGAAAAAGGGAGGGTTCACACACTCAATGTGATTGATTGATTGATTGAATGTGGATGACAGTCATGGTAAACTTGAGTTTGTTTATTCCTTCGTTTGTCTGACGGGACTGGGTCTGGACCTTTGGATGTTGGTTGCCATTGAACAAGCCAAACAAACACTAGAACTGCACAGTGCCACCAGCAAGCTGTTGTTGTTGTTGTAGTAGCTGTTGTTGATGTAATTGTTGTTGTTGCTGTGAAATTGGTGTGGCGGCTGTGTTCTCGGCTGGCGGTGATTGTTGGGATGGTGGCGAACTGGGTATTGGAAGTGAGGGCGACGAGAAGGTCTCGGACGTCTGTGGTGTGCTGGCGCTGGTCGTCGACGACTTTAGCGCATCCTTCTTTTGGTTCTTGTTGTAGGTGGCAACGTGAGTGCGCACCTGGTTATGATTACGCGTCTTGACGTGCTGTGATATCTGATGGTAATCCTTGATGCCGTACTTGGCGACGGCCTCCAGGAACAGTGTATGCTCCTCGGTCGTCCAATGAGACGACAATGACTTCTCCTTTGTCTTGCTGCTCTTCTTCTCGACCTTGGTTGACACAGGCGGTGATGAAGGATTCTTTGCCATGGCCATGGGCTGTGGCATTGATTGTTGTTGTTGCTGTTGTTGTACTTGTTGTTGTTGCATCTGTTGCTGCTGTACCTGCTGCTGCTGTTGCATCTGTACTTGTTGCATCTGTTGTTGTTGTTGCTGCTGTTGAATGAGTTGTTGGATGTACAATTGTTGCTGTGGTTGAGATGATGTTAGGATGAGTTGGATGTTATGCAGATGTTGTCGATCGGCATTCATCTGTGCCTGCAGGCCAGACATCTGCTGCTGGACGTTGGGCATCTGTGGCTGCGACTGAAGGTGCACCATGTGTTGCTGGCACGTCTGGAGATTGGTGTTCAGCTGGACGAACCTGTCATTGAGCAGCTTCAACTGATGCTGGTAGACGTTAGGTTGGATGAATGTCTGTTGTTGTGGCTGTACAATCTGTTGAGGTTGTGGCGATTGAAGCACCTGTTGTCCAGGCTGGATCTGTCCCTGTATCTGCCCCTGCATCATCTGGCCTGGAATCTGACCCTGCATCATCTGGCCTGGCATCTGACCCTGCATCATCTGGCCCTGTAGAGGTGGTTGCATTTGTTGTTGTTGTTGTTGTTGTTGTTGTATCTGTTGTTGTGTTGGTTGGACTTGGACCTGACCATGTGCTTGGGCTTGAGCTTGAGCTTGGGCCTGGGCCTGGGCTTGCATTTGCAACTGTTGTTGCTGTTGTTGTTGTTGTTGTTGGGCCAACAAATGTTGTTGTTGTTGTTGCTGAGCTTGATGCTGTTGTTGCTGCTGAGCTTGTTGTTGTTGAGCTTGTTGTTGTTGTTGTTGATAGTGCATCATTGATTGTTGTTGTTGCTCTTGTGGAATTTGTTGTTGCTGTTGTTGAGGCTGTAGAGGTTGTTGTACTTGTTGTTGTTGCTGTTGTTGTTGTATCTGTTGTGTCAAATGCGACATGATTTGGTGCACCTGCTGATGTTGATTCACGAGGGTATTCAGATCGGTTCGCAGCTTGGGGATGGCAGCCTCGGCATTTGGTTGCAATGGGGCGCCAGGCGTCGTCAATTGCTTGAGGTAGCCCTGTATCTTGTTGATGTTGGTCTGTATTAGACCAGACTGTTGTTGCAACTGTGCGTGTCGTTGTTGTAACTGTGGAACGGTCTGTTGCATCATCTGTTGTGGCTGTTGCATTGGAACTTGCTGTTGTTGTTGTGGCTGCTGCTGTTGTTGTTGATGAATGGTCTGTTGTTGTTGTGGAGGTTGCATTTGTTGTGGCTGTTGTTGTTGTGGCTGCTGCTGCTGCATCTGATGCTGCTGTTGTGGATGTTGGTTGTTGTTGGAGGTTGTTGGCTGCTGAGGGTTGTTGAGGGCTGCGACCACCAATTTGAACCTGGCTGCACTTGTGGTTGATATTGTTGTTGCGGCTGTTGTTGATATTGTTGTTGTTGTTGAGGCTGCATCGTAGTCTGTGCCAGTGGTGAATGGATGGACGTGTTCTGCTGTTGTTGTGGTGGCTGCATCATAGTCTGGCCCGCCAATGGTGAACCTTGTTGCTGTGTCTGGACATGTTGTTGAGGCTGTGGAGATGTGATCTGTTGGTTTTGGGGCGATGAAGATGCTTGTGTTGCTTGAGGTGATAGTAGCTGGGCAGATGTTTGTTGTTGAGGTTGAGGAGGTGTATTATAACTGTATTGTTGTTGTTGTTGCTGTTGTTGCTTCTGTTGCGCCTGTTGTTGTTGTTGTTGTGGAGTAGTTGGTTGTTGTTGTTGTTGTTGTGACTGAGGTGGTGTATAATATGTTGGCGTGTTCTGTTGTTGTTGCTGGGGCTGCTGTTGCTGTTGCTGATTGATGTTTGGAGAGATATGAACATTGGAGTTGGTCGGAGACGTCATGACATCGGCGCCGACTGACGACTGCTGCTGTGAAACCATTGGTGATTTCATGTGAACGGGGATTGGTGAGTTGTAAGACTGCTGCTGAGCCTGCACGGGTGACACGACCGAATGCTGTTGTGGCCCAGTCGTTGGCTGCTGTGGTTGCTGCTGTTGCTTTGGTATTTGAGGCGAGAGTTGAGCCTGGTTTTGTCCATAGCCACCTCCAACCATCTGTTGTCCATGTGATGTCTGAGGCTGCTGCTGCTGCTGCTGAGTCTGTGTCATGGGAGGTGAGGGTTGGGGTTGTTGATGACCAACCTGCGGTTGTTGACCGGGCGATACACCAGTCTGTTGCTGTTGCATCAATGGTGACTGGACCTGTTGTGGCATCATTTGGACTTGGACACCATTCGTTGGCGTACCATTCTGTGGTGGTGTTGTGGGCATTGCTGTTGGAAGTTGTTGCTGTTGCGGCTGATGTGAGCCAGACTCTGATGAGCCAGAAGGTGCACCAGGTGTAGTTTGACCTCCTCCCTGAGTTGGCACCGAACCAGTTTGTCCTGAAGCTCCTTGTTGTTGAAGTGCCTTTTGTTGTTGTTGCGCCAGGGCCTGTGCTTTAGCCTAGATGATATAAATGATCATTTTGTTAGAAATGAATATGTTTGACCGATCGATCGGTCGATCATTTGATCAGATCACTTGATTTGATTGATATTGATTGATTGACATACTTGTTGCTGTTGTTGATCAGCTACTTTTGCAAGATTAAACAGGTTATAATGCAACTTATGTTGATACTTGACGCAATCTTCCATTCTAATTGAGTTCTGATTCTCCAATACCGTGAATATAATTAAGGTATTCTCATCAAGTAACTAAAGTATATATTGAATGATCATTCATTCATTAATTTGTTATGTTAGATATGGCCCATTAATCAAACAATAATAATAATAAAGTTTACCTTCTTTACAGAGTCTTGAGTCAACTCAAGAGTCTTTTGTTGATTGATTGGCACTGCGCCCTGTGATGATGTAGAGGGAGTGGTGGCCATTGATGTCATTGAAGGCGATGGAGCCATTGGCATCGGTGGCTGTTGCAACACCTGTACTTGAGTCTGAGAAGGTGGATTCATTATATATATATATCTCTCTCTCTCTCTCTCTCTACCTCTATCTCAATATATATAAATATTTATTTATATCTCTATAAGTTAAGTTTGTAAAAAAAAATGAATGACAAGTGTGTGTTTGATTGATGAACACTCAGATGATTATTGATTATTTATGTTTTTTTGAAGATTTGTGTGTTTCTTTGCGCCAAGACCATGATGACTTGTCCCCACTCATGATGAAGGACTAGCTACAGGTGTGATGATGAGGGAATCTATTTACAATATTGAACAACAAGCCTCCACTCCACAGCCACATATATCAACTCCACATCCACATCCACCCTTCATGTTGTATCTTATTTCAATCTATCAATCAATATTTATATTTGAAAGTTAGTATTATTATATCATAGAATGAATATGATTGAATATGATTGATTAATAATATACCTCTGAATCACGGTCAATATGTAGTTTGGTCAGGGTTTTCTTATCACATCTAGGTGATAATGGTTTGTTGTTAAAGTATACACATTGTTGCTCTGGTGGTGTACCACATTGATCATTGACTGATTTCTTAACATCGATTAATGTTGTAACACCTGGATCTCCAACATCCAATACTAATTGTTGATTTGGTACGATGACTCTCATTATTATTATTTATAATATAATTATTAATTGTTAGATGATTAAATTGATTGATTAATTGAAGAATGAGTGAGTTGTAGACTTATTTATTTACTCTCATTTAAATAATATTATTGTTATTAATAATTAATTATTAGATATAAATAGGTATTAAGATTAAGGTAATATAGGATGAACAATTATGTGTCTGGTCATTTAATTACTAAATACATTAATCATTGTCCATGTTTGGTTGGATGATGGTGTGTTTGTGTGTGTGTGTTAATGTGAGGTGGGCCTAAACTAGATGAACCAAATTGGAAATGAATGGTCTTAAATGCAATTCAGACTCATCAACAGAGATTGAACTTCATATTCATTCATATTATTATGATTAATAATAATGTTATCAAAGATAATAAAATATAAATATAAATATATATATACTAATATTATTTGATGATGACGACATTGATCACCTGATCTGATTCAAACAATTCTAAAAAAGGGCTTGAAACCCACCCCTTTATTACAAACTTCATTCACAATTGTGCCAGCAACTTGTTCATTCATTCACATTCATTCATTCATTTGATGACTCAATGATTACAACTTCATCAATCTAGTAAGAGATAAATAACTTGATAAGACATATACGATGAATAAACCATCAACATCAAGCATTCAACACAAGGTTAACTTGTTCCTGATGGAACATGGCGATCAGTTATCATTGCTCAAGAACTTATTGGTGTTTATACCAGGACGATTTGGTGACTCTGAGCTCATGCTTGAAGCAAGTATGTGTCGTCAATCAATCAATCAATCAATCATAGATGTTGACATTCATTCAAACATAAACAGTATATAGCGCAACCAACTTATTCCAGACTTATATCGATTATGCATCTTCAAAGATGATGCTGTCACATAATCAGTCGACAACATCTCAGAATGAAACGGTGCCACCTCCATACTATCTACACCTACTTAAATGGATTGTAGTAATACAGAACCTTGGTATGTTGATCATCATCGACGACGGCAATGATGATGTTGTTACTCACTCATTCACTCATTCATGATTCTTATGTTTATAGAGTTGTGTATTGAGGTGTTGGCAAGCTCAACAGGCGATAAGCGTAGGACAAAGTGGCCAGCAATCATAACAATCGAAGCTCTAAAGTAACTTTCATTCATTCAATCATCTCGCGAGGCACATTGGACGTGGACGTGACGTGGATGTGTCATTGAACATCATGATCAATCGATTGACACTTGTCTCATCATCCAATCCTAACAGAGCACTACTAAGGATCAAGTTGTTATTCAAAACGAATGGTAACATGCTGATCCATCACTCATTCCATGTACCATCACAGGATATCCAGGCACTTGGAAGTAAATCCAAGAGGTAACTACTACTACGACTGATGATGGCACGTGAGAGGCGGGATTACCCCATCCACTTATACTTACGTCGTCACTTGTACATAGCAACATCATAAACAGAAGGAACCCATACGAGGGTAGACGACAGACACTACAAGATCAATTGCAGTCCGAAGAGAACAATAATGATGCACACGACAACTCCACTCTGATCCCACTGCTGCCACCAGTCTCGCCAAGAGACTACAACAACAAGGTGATTGGCGAACTATTGTATATTCTACGCCCGCTCATCTACGCCGTGCTGCGTTGGAACTGCGGCAAGAAGTCGTGGAGACCGTGGGTCGTGTCCCTGTTGATGGAGTACGTCAGTCTGGCCGTCATCGAGTATGCCACCATTACCAAACAGGCGACGATGAGTCAGCTCGAGATGATCGAGGTCAAGCGACGTCGCAACCAGTTCATATACTACGTACTGCGTTCGCCATTCTACGACCGCTTCATCAGCGATGGTATTGTCTTTAGGATACTCAACTTCTTCAAGAAGATCCCTCTTATCAAGATATTAGTTAGTAAGTTATCGTCGTCCGGACGACCCGCTCACCCATTTAATAACTAACTCGATCAATCAAACAATCAATTAGACGTGTTCCTCAACTACATCAATGTGTTCAGGACAAGATACTTCTACACATCTGCATCATAATTGTGATGATGTGGAGATGGGATTGACCTGGATTGGCTTGGATTGGCTTGGATTGGATTGAATTGGATTGATTGATCACTCGAATGGAACGACGAACAATGTCACGAATGATACACCATTATACCGAATACAGAGGGCAGTCACGTCCATTCATTCAATCACTTTTAGTTTGTGATCAGAGTTCGTTCGAAGTTGTTTGATTGGTCGTGTCCATAATTTGGATTCGCGAGTTGGTCACACTTCATTCATTTCTTTACCAATGTAGTTGTTATATGTATAAATATGAATGAAGTAGTAGTAGGCAACAGCACATTGGTTAATGGGCATTTCTTAGGTAGCATAGAGGATATCATTCAATGCTCAAACAAGGATCAAATAACGTCAATCCACTTTGAATACTCATCAGGTGTATTGTGTTATGAAGACAGCGATAATGAAGAGGATGCGGACAAGGGCGAAGAAGAGCTTAGAGATGATAAGATCATTCAATTGACTAAACTATTAAACGATGGTGATTGGGCAAAGGGACTCGACCGTCTTGAAGCACTCACCATCGAGATGGCTGACAGCGAGCTAGAGATCGTCAAAGCACTGCTCTCAAACAGGTTGACCAATCTACGATCACTCTCATTCAAACAAGCTTGGCATGATTATGATTTAGGATTCTTAGCGTACTTCACCAACTTTCCCGAGGAGTTGCTGTCGCTCATTCGAACGAATATGCCTGGGCTTCAGTCGCTCACACTTGACCTTAGTGAATGCTCCACACTCCAAATGTCCGAGTTCAAGTCAGACCTGAAGCGAGACTCGCTCAATCAGGCATTGATCAAACATATCATGTTGTGCCCGCAACTCAAGTCCTTGTCATTGATTCACCATTCACCGAGCAAATCTGACATCACATTGTTGAGGTAAAATCTATGGATCACCATCATTATCACTAGACTCATTCCAATATTGTAAAGAACCAATACAATGGATGTTCCTACCGATTGTCAGACGCACATTGAATCAAAACATCAATCTAGCCAACAAGAACTACTTTACTCGACCAGATTGGTTAGAGAAATACAAACGTCTAATGGATGCACATGGATACAATGGAGACGATGCAGAGGACATGGAATCATTCAAAAAGTACATGAATGATGTCCTTCAATCTCTCTCCAACTTTAGTTCAATCAATGGCCAGGATCCAACACTCTTTATCAATGGCATCAGCAAGACAATCACATGGTAACAGAATTGAATGAATGAATGAATGTACTATATTAATATATATATATATTTGGATTATGGTAATGTCTGTTTGGTTTGGTCTGAGCTAGAACTCTCTAATGAATGAATGATTAAGATACAAAGGTCGGTGGATTGATATATGTGTTGGTGGTACTGTTGTCCTCCATTACTGCTTGGCTGTTGGACAGTGATGAAGGGTTGGAACCGGAAGTACTTCCAGATAAAGTATTGCTATTTGAACTTGTACTACTACTATTATTGTTGGTGCTGTTGCTGTTGCTGTTGCTATTGCTACTGCTGTTGTTGTTGCTATTGTTACTATTATTGTTATTGTTGTTGTTGCTATTACTATTGAGTATGGACGAGAAGAATGTCTTGATTGATCCAGCTCTCTTCTTTGTTGGGGATTCTGGAAWTGTTGAATGATTGATGTGTTAGCAAGGAATGAATGAACGAATGATTGACAACACAACATACCATCAGTATTGGCAAGGTTTAGCGCATTGGATTCTGATTGAGCTGGATCTCTCTGTAGCCGTTCGACTAAAGAAGAATGGGATGGGAGATGACGACTTTCTGGAGGGCAAAGAGGTGGTCACCTGGACGAGGGGCGCATCCACTGGTTGGGGAGGTGGTGCTAGCTCCTGGGTCGAATCCTTTAGTGGCGAGCTATCATTGGATTGCATTGGTGGTGATAGTACGATTGGGTTGTTGTTGATTGTATAGACAGGGAGTGATTGTGAGAGTATTGATGTGTGACTGTTTGTAGATGAAGTTGCATTCGGGCTTGTAATGAAAGATGATGGTGTCGCTGTGCTGGTCTTGGCCGAAGGTTCAAGGTATTTCTCCTCGGCAGAACAAGAGAATCGCTTCTCCTTGTTCGACAAACCTGAAGAATGTGAGCTTGGTTCACTCTCATCTATATTGGTTGTATATTTTGTTAGTTGGGACGTGATCACGTGATCGCCTCGGTAGACAAACAACATACTCTTCTTAAGATTGGAAATGGTTGATACTAATATTGGTATGGTATATGGTATTGTTGAGTTGATAATTGATGGTAGGTTGTCGGCAAGTGACTGTGAAAGTATTGAATTGATTGTCTCCATGAGCCTATCATTGGAGAGTATATTCATTGCAATATCCTCTATAAAGTCATTATTCTTTTGATTGTTCTTTATATACTTGTTGTTCTGTTGTTGTTGTGGAAGTTGATGATGTTGTGATGTCTGACTTGGATGTTGTTGTTGTTGAGTATCCACATCAACCTGGCCCATTGAAGAAGGTGTCTTACTTCCAGGTTCATCGCATTTGACAACTGGAAAACGAGGAATAGTCAGTATTTGGTAATTCCATTCCAAGGGCAACTCGAGACTTACCAAGTATCTTGAGTAATGATGGAGAGATTGAGTTGGCCTCTTTCAAATCCTCTGTCGATGCCAATGTTATCCACTCATTCTCATCGTCCATATATGAAATGGTATATATTGATTGATTTGACAAACAATATAAAGAAGAGATTGTATAACATAAACATGGGAAGCTAGTCTCTTTCAATCTAAATCTCCTCTTGTCATCGCCCAATTGTGACTTTATCAATATTGTCATCCTTTCCTCCTTTGTTTCTTTCTTTCTTTCGTCAGAGCCTATTAATCATCCAAAACCAAGAAAAAGAAATAATTATATATATATTATAAGTATGAATGAATGAATAATTATAATAACTAACAAACTAACTAACTGTATGTTCTTTCGATGGCCTCAAAGGCGTGACAACAGTGTTAAGGTTGATGATGTGGACGTGGAGTTGAGTTGAGGAAGATGGTGAATGAGTGAGTGGAAGTGAATGTGAATGTGTGTTAATGAACAGAACAGAATAGGATGAATGTGTCAAGTGAAGTGAGAGTGTTTGTGTGTGTGTTAGTGGAATGTGAATGTATGTGATAAAGATTGTGTAGACGACCCCGATGAACCTATAAACCCACTCAACACAACAATAATGTCAACAACAATTAAATACTATTTAATTAAATGAGATTGGATGAGATCAACCCATCTTGAATACAAACCACCCCAATAACCATTCACACTGTTTTGTTGGATGTCAGTTGGTTTCATTCATTTACCCCCTCACGTACACACACATATAAATAAATGTGAACAAAAGAGAATGAATGCCTTTCCCCACCAACCACTAAAGACTCGAATTGGTCCATCCATCCATCCTTCCATCCATCAATCCATTCCATCTATTCATCCAATCACCCCAATAACGACACACACTTTACTACTACTTTGAGCTAAAACCAGAAGAACTGTGCTCAATGCATGCATGACCTTTACAATAATGATGACCACGACCAAATATATATAAATGTTATCAGTGGTCTAGACCAACCCATTATACCTTCCCGTGAGTATACACCTGTAATGGGTTATGGATTTTGCGAAGGTATTTGTGTCCTCCCATCAACCGATCCTTGTGTTTGTTCTCAGGACGGAGGACGTGAAATGATAATGGATAGTGGAGAATGAATTGAGGATAGTGAATGTATTCAACAATTATTAATCAAAGTCAACTATATCTCCTAATCTCATAACATACTAATACTACATGAACTGTAACTTAGAAGTAATGATCACTTGAAGTCAGTTACCATCTAATATTCAATTTATTTTCATGGTTAATGATTAATCAGACTTTGATAGATTGATCAAWTCAAGCTTGTACCGGGCTTCTCGGTTAAATATTACCTTCTTCTAAACAGTTAGCTCCAATACACACAAATCCATCAACAAAACACCAATCAAGATCGTTGGTGTCCAATGAAAATTCGTTGTTGTAAAAAATCGTCCGTTAAATCTTGAAATGGTTACCATTTTAGTGCAATGGTGTATCCAGTCAGCCGTCCCAACATCAAACTAGTCCTGCCAAGAGTACCCTTCCAACAATGTCGTTGGGGTACCAGTTCATTCATGTAACATGACGTCTACAATTGTGAAGGTGAAGGGAAGGAGTTGTTTAGACCCAACCAACAACTACCACCACCTACTACTTTTCGGAGTCTTCTTTCGACTCTGTTGGTGAAGGCACATGAGTGTCTGTTTGGGAGGGCCAATGGCTGGCTGACTCCTCCACATCCGTGTTGTCAACACCATTTGGATGGATCTGATGGCGATTGATAAGGAGTTGCAGTCGTCACCCTCCAACTTACCGACAAATTGAATTGCAATGGAAGATAAATTGACCTCCTTTGAAACTTTCATTAATATTATAACTTAGTTATATAACATTATTATTATTATTTGTATAAATATAAAGAATGAGAATTATTAATATTCTATTAATATGTCTAATGACATTGGCTATTTGCCAGGCTGTATCCATCGATCATCATGGTCGCCAACGTATTCATAACTACGAGGACCAATTCAAGCAATGGATGTCAAAGTATGAGAGACATTATGTAGACGAGAAAGAGTACCTCATCCGTCTTTCCAACTTTGTCTCCAACCTTGCCACTATCTCCGAGTACAACGCCAAGCACCACGGTCGTGCCACCTTTGGCCTGAACCAGTTCTCCGACCTGTCCATCGAGGAGTTCCGCAAGACTCACCTCAACTACGTTCCAACTCACAAGAAGGCCAGCCAGGTCCGTCAGCACTTTGACTACCCATCCAACATTCCAGAGAGAGTCGACTGGCGTGCCAAGGGCTTCGTCACTCCAGTGAAGAACCAGTTGCAGTGCGGATCATGCTGGGCCTTCAGTGCTACCGAGCAAATTGAGACTGCCTTCATCCAGGCTGGCAACGCCCAGCAGTTCTTCTCCGAGCAGCAGATCGTCGACTGTGATCCATTCGATGGAGGTTGCGGTGGTGGTGACCCCATGACTGCCTACCAATACGTCCAGTCCGCCGGAGGTATCACCACAGACACAGCCTACCCATACACCGCCCAGGACGGCACATGTGAGGCCAACACTACCACCAAGGTCGCCCAGATCAAGACCTACGGATACGCCTCGACCGCTGGCAATGAGACCCAGATGAAGGAGGCCATCGCCGCCCTTGGTCCATTGTCCATCTGTGTTGACGCCGAGACCTGGATGACCTACCAATCTGGTATCATCACCACTGACTGTGCCGCCGATCTCGACCATTGTGTCCAAGTCGTTGGTTACGATGTCGACACCACTTCCAACATTCCATACTACATTGTCAGAAACTCCTGGGGCACCACCTGGGGTCAGGAGGGCTATATTTACATTGGAGAGGGATCTAACCTCTGTGGTATCACCGAAGAAGTTACCCAAGTCACTGTCGAGGCACTCTAAGAGTCCTTATACCATTGACTCTGTATCTTTCTTTGCTTCCATGTATATCATTTGTAATTTTGATTCCCAATAAAGGATATGTTGTATACCTATCTATCTATCTGTCTCCATATGTTCATCACTGTCGTCTCGTCTATCTATTTGATCAGAATGTAACATCGATCATACATTTAACCCACAAAGTGGTAGGGTGAGAGTGTGTGATGTTCACACACTGGGTCAATCAATCAATCAGTCAATTCACACACTTCACTCTTCCATCGTTCATTTATCATTCATTACAAACATAGATATACATATTATATACTTCAATATCAATCATGAGAACAAGTCTATCACTAGTATTGTTATTGGTAGCTTTGATATCAATTGCAGTCGTCTCAACTCAAGAGACAGACGCAGCAGAGGGCACCAAAGACTATGTCATCGACCTCACCGACGATGACAAGAGCCTCATAAAGGATGGTTTCTGGTTGGTTGAGTTGTAAGTACCAATCCATCTGTACTCCCACCCAACCATTCATTCATTCTAACATGCCTGTTCATCATAGCTTTGCACCATGGTGTGGATACTGTAAGAGATTGGCACCTGTTTGGTCAGAGCTATCAGCTCATGTCTTCCGTAACGAGATACCAGTGAAGATTGCCAAGGTCAACTGCGATGAGAACAAGAGTCTCTGTGGGGATCATGAAGTGCGTGGCTATCCAACCATCAAGTTGTTCTTGAATGGAACCAAAAAGGACTACAAAGGTCAGAGGACCAAGACTGCCTTTATCCAATACCTTGAGAAGATGCTTGGGTAAGTGATTGAGTGAGTTGAGTGATTGGGTTGATTGAGTGAATGACTGACATCTTCATCTTTAGTGGATATACCCAAACTGTTCATGATAAGTCTGGACTGAATGGTCTTTTGAAGTCTGATCCATATCAAGTGTCATACATCTATCTCGCTGGAGAGTCCATTAACAAGGCATCTGACCCATTGGTATGGCTTCACATGATTGACCTCGAGGTCCAAGTGGAAGAACTGCATAGACTAATATACTCCTTTCATCTTACTTTAGTATACATCATTCAAACATACTGCCTTTGAGCTATTTGATCAAGGTGGACCCAACTTCATTGAGATTGAGGACGAGACATTACTTGAGATGAAGGTCAGCGGACCAATGGTACTCTTGTTCAAGGACGACAGATTCCAAACCTTTAGTCAAACACCAAGCCATGTAAGTCTGGAATAGCTCCAGCTCCATCGACAGACCAACTAACAATGTACAACTATAGTTGCCAGATTGGATGAGACAACACAGATTCCCAACCTTGTCCAAAGTCACTGACGTGTCATTTGGTCCACTTAGCGAGTCGTTCAAGTACTTGGTATTGTTCGCACATGAGACTCAACCAGCTCACGAGTATGTATACTGATCGACCTGCAATCAGGACCTGACGAATGATCAACCTAACCTTAAGGCCAACAACCAACAGCGAGATTGAATTGATGAAGAAGGTCGCCAAGATCCCCATGTCAGATGACCCACAAGAGTTTGGATACGCCTACGTCGTCGAGTATGAGTACGGCTCATGGCTCAAGAGATTCAACATTGAGAAGTATCCAGCAGTTTTGGTGATTCAGGACCAGGGCGACATCTACTACTACGATCCATTGATGCGCCGTCTGGATGACGTGACCGTGCCCAAGTTCCTCAAGGAGGTGCAGTCGGGCAGCGTCGAGATGAAGTACACCGACGCCTTCCGATTCTACTACCTGCGTACCATCAACTTCATCTCCACCTACCTCTACTACATCCTGGCGGCTATCTTCTTGATCCCCCTGCTGATCTTCCTCAAGACACGTGGTGGCTCCGACGTCAACAACGCCGCAGTCTACAAGGGCGACAAAGTAAACTAGTTGACTATTATAGTCATGTTTCATTGCTGGCACACTGTTTGATAGAGCGACTTGATCTCTTCTTTGAACTGGGCGATCTTTCCACGCAGGACATTGTTGTTGCGCATTGTTGAACGCAACCTCTCCACTTGGCTCCTCATTCCAACGATTGTCTGGCCGACCTCATCCTCATACATTTGGGTATATTGGTTCAATGTAGTCACTACCTCTGTTCTATAGTCTTTGTGTTGGTGAACAGAGTGAGTGATCGTCATGTTGATAACGAATGGTAATGGTATGTATGGTTGTTTACCTTGGATGATCTTCTTCATGTTGAGATGGTATGTTTCAATGGAGCCATCAAGGTAGTCCAAGTATTCTTGTTCCTCCTTGGATATGTTCTTGATTTCTTGAACTTGGTCATTATGGACATCATTCGTATCGTTCTGTACTGGCTCCTCCTCAGACAATATATTGGTTTGCTTCTTTGGCTCTTGAATCCTTGGAGGTCCATAGTTGTTGTTGTTGTTGTTGTAGGTGCTGGTGTTGTTGTTGTTGATGGGGAAACTCCTGTTGGGAGTTACACTTGAGTTGGCAAGGTTCAATAACTCATTCTCAATGTCCAGACTATCACCAAGGTTCTCACCACAGAACTCAAAGCTTGCCATCAGATTGTTGTTGACTGGACCCATGTCCATAACAGAAGAATTAACATCCTATTTAGTATCAATATTATTCACAATCATGATAGTCAGTATCAAGTACACTCAACATAAACAAACAATCAATCAATCAATCATTCAATCAGGTATGTACATTATTCAATGATCTATCCATTGTTGGAAATATAGGAGATATTGGATTTAATTGATCAACAAAGCTACTATTGTTGATTCCATAACTATTGTTGCCACCATTGATAATACTATTGTTGTTTCCAGGGTTGTTGTTGGTACCAGTTGAGTTCATCTTTGTTCTCATGAGAATGAATGAATGCTTTATCTCTTCTATCTCTATCTCTATCTCTATCTCTATCTCTATCTCTATCTCTATCTCTATCTCTATCTCAATCTCTATCTCAATCTCTTTATCCCCATTTCTACACATCCAACTTCACTTTAAGTAGTAGTGTGAGTTGGAATCCATGGATGGTTGTTTGTAATGGGGGGTAAACAATAAGATGGATCTGTAAGCCCTTTTAAGGAAATAGCTTGTTATTGGGCATTATTGTTATTAATAATTGTTATTAATTGTTGGGAATCAACAGGATCCATTAGAGAGAAAGAGAGGAGTGCTCAACATTCATTCATCAATCCATCCATTTCAAATCATTCGATTCATTCTTTCTTTGTATGAATGAATAATAATACTGTTGCTGCAAATAATTGATTCGCAAAGCGATCAAAGAAGAAGAAAAAGAAGTCTGATCAATCGGTCCTTGCAAGAAAAAACATTCAAAAAACCATTGAGCGTGATCATTTATTGTTTGAATTTTCAAATTGATTAAAATAATCAATTAGAGACGTGGTCATTCCAAAGTCACCTCACATAAACATCAAAGCCATGTCACACGTACATGATGGTTGTAGACCAACGACGCCCTTTTTTTTAATGCATTGATTGAACCTAGGAGGACCTCCTCAGGTGTGAACCCACCATAACTCACATAACCTAACCTCATTTGCTTGCGGAGTCGCTGTCATTCATTCATTCAATCAATCATTCGATAAGACATTCCATTAAATTACCTACATACTCTATATTCTTTAATCTTCAGTGACCACAGAGATAGATAGTCTTTAAAGATCGGTCATCATAGAGATAATCTTTGATTCCAAGGCTGATTCGACAACTCAATTCAAAAAACAGCCAACAACATCACCAACTACCACCACCTCAACACACACGCACTGGACGACTACGTCAAAGACAAGACACCAAAAAACCAACCACTGCCAACCCCCATTAACAAAAACACACGTGTTTGTTGTTGCTCTCTGGTCGCGTCAAAGAAGTAATCAAAGTCTCTAGTCCTATTCCTTCCATCCACTTCTACATACAGTGCTTCACCTCTTCATCAAACTCATACTCATAATCATATACCTTCAACATATATAATATTATTATATAACAAGTTGGCATTAAGGCCTCTTGGGCAACAAACAACTATAACAACAACAATAGTAACACCTTAACATCTACAACATACTCATTAAAGAGTGCTTGTTTGTATCTTATTATTTATATATATACACAAAGAGAGGAGGAGAAGGAGATATGAGATATAATAATAATATAGTACTGTTATTATTACAAATAATAATTGTAATAGTGATATTGCCATCACATTCGATATCAGTTGTGGCAGTGATAGATACAAATATAGACACTGATGATATAGGCTCATGGTCAGGGTCAGGATCATGGTCAGGATCAGGATCAGGGTCAGGATCAGGATCAGAGTCAGATAGTACACGCTCACTTTCAAATCGTGTCGATGATATCTCCAGAATGCATTATGATCGACTATTACAAGATATAGAGAATGGTCAATTTAAAACACTGATGCTCGATGAGCATGGCAACATCAAACATAGAGATCCCCGATACAATCTATTGCACTCGGCACTGAATTGGAAGCACGAGCATGGCTACGAATGCATACACGACAAGGTCATGCAACGCCAGCGAAGGGGCGGCTCAAAACAGACGACTGTACAATCATCAGATGAACCACTATATCCACTCGATAATCCTGGTGTCCCACTGGTTGAAGATAGCATCGACAGCAGCCGCAGCCACAACTACATCGACGACGACAGCAGCAGCGACTACAGCAGCGACGACGACTACAGCAATAGCAACGATGACCTCACTCCCGAGAGTGTCGTCCTCAAGAAGGGCAACAAACTGAGAGGTGTTGGCCAAACAAGGCCGTTAGTAGCCATCCCTCGTCTACCAATACGCATACTCTTCAACACTACATATGTCTATGGCAGGAGGGACTCGTTCGCCTGTCACAACATCAGTCAGCTGGTGTTCACATCGTCAGGTGACAGTGCGGCGACGCCCCAGACTCAACAGTGCGATGGCACTGGCACTCAATCATCGTGCTTCTACCTGTGCCAAGCGCAGGACTTGCTGACGAGCGACCTGTCACGACTGATTGAAGGCTATATCCTGCCATCAATCAACCAGGTCTTCTCCGACATGATCTTGGTGGATCGTCTCGACAGGCTGGTGTTCAATGCAGAGGTGTATAAAGAGAATGGAGGTGAGTGCGACTATGGCATTCCAATACCCGAGTCCTACACCACATACACTGGCGCCATTGAAGGTTACGACATGGTCGTATGGGTGACAGCCCGTCCAACAGTATCTAATTGTAAGTTAACTGGTTCGTTCGACCTGGATGATCTATGACTAACCATGTGATCGACCATTACAGCAACAATCGCATATGCCATACCATGCAACTATCCAAAGAGCAAGAGTGGAGTGTTTGGCAGACCAGTTGGAGCGAATATCAACTTCAATCCAATATACTTCACGAGGTTCGTTGGCTCTGCAAACACTTCCTTCACATTCAATGAGTTTATCCGTGTTGGAATTCACGAGATGACCCATGCATTGGGCTTCAGCTCAACCTTCTACAACTCATACGTCTACAACAATAATCCTTATAGTATGTCGAGCGTTCATTCAATCAATCAATCAATCATTCGATCAAACAACTAACAATCATATCACTTTAATTCACAGCATCTGTCGCGATCGTTACAAGGACAGGATCAACACCGAGCGGTGCATCGTACACTTACCGCAAATCGGCAATAACTTCACAGGCAGTGGTCAGCTTCGTTCAGAATCACTTCAACTGCAAAACATTGGATTACGCAGAGCTCGAGGATGCAGGATCGACAGCCACCGCAGGCAGCCACTGGGAGAAGAGAATGGCGGGCGAGGAGTACATGATTGGATTCGTGTCTCCAATAGCGCCAATCACCAATCTTACATTGTCACTGCTGCAGGACACTGGATGGTACTCGATCAACAGCACGGAGGCCGACGCATTGATATGGGGCAAGAACACTGGATGCGACTTTGTCGACAACTGCTACTCAGACACATGGAACTATCAAGGCTACTTCTGTTCGAGGACAGGCGACCTGTCATGCACTGCCACGCGAATGGGCAAGGGCATCTGCGGAATCTACAGCTACAGCAACAGTTTGCCCGGACAGTTCCAGCACTTCAAGTCACAGAACGTTGGAGGACAGGACTACGTCTCGGACTACTGTCCCTACTATCAGATCTACGACAATGTGCCAAACACGTACTATTGCGTCGACCAGGACAACCAGGCCAGCGCCAACATCAGAATATTCGAGAGCTATGGAGTCAACAGTCGATGTTTCGAGTACAACATATCCAGCACAAAGACAGGCATGGCCTGTTGGGAACAAAGATGCAATGGAACCAATGTCCAGATTAAGATTGGATCGATTTGGGTCCAGTGTGATGTACCAGGTGCACAGATGACAGTGAATGGAGTCAATCTGATATGTCCACAAGGCTTTGCCGAGTGTGGTGGAGTGCCAGTCCCGATCAAAGTTCAGCAATATTCGGCCTCTTCATCACACATGTCACTGCCGTCAACCAGACTACCAACAATGCTACTGTTACTAGCTTTGGCATTACTGTATATCGCGTCTTAGAAAGCAAACAGGATATAAATATATATTTATTATTACGTCAGTAATATACCAATAGTCTGGTCTCCCTCTCTATTTGGAGGAGGTCTTGGCAAAAACTGGGAGGTATTACTTAACGACCTTCACCTTTACAACCCAATTTTGAACTCCTGGACCTTGATTATGGTCAATGGAACAAGACCAAATGCTAGTACTTATTGTACAATCTTTGGTCTGGATAGATCCCTCTTTGTCTTTGGAGGAGTATCAGCAACAACAAGAGTCCTTCACGATGGGATTTCAAGAGCTACTTTCAACACTGATCTATATAACTATGAGAACAATCAGTGGACAATGATTGAAACATCAGGTTTTCCTTCATGTGGCATTGAAGCACCAGCAACAAACTTGGTTGATAACATACTTTACCATTTTGGAGGTAAATGGGTGCTTCCGCATTTTTATATTTAAAGGATAGTTTTGTGATCAATATATAATAATGTTTTGATTTTTTTGATTGATTGATTGATGGTAAATAATTTATATTAAATACTTGGTATCAAACAGAGTGCTCTGACTCCTCGAGGTTCACCATCGAATATACCTGGAATAGGTGACCATTTGTTATCCTTGACAGAGTAATGGTAGTTGTGGTCTTTACCACCTTGAAGGACGGGGCCACAATTGGGAATGTAGAACAATGAGTTGCCAAGTCTTGGAGGTGTGTAAGAGCGTGAGACCAATTTGCCAGTTTCCAGTGAGAATGACAAGAACACGCCAGCGCCAGAGAGAACGTATACGTTCTCATCGCCATCGAAGCAGCATGATATAAGCATTGATCCACACTTGTTGTTGGTACTCTCATCCTGCAGTAGCACACGGTTCACTTTGGTGATGACGGGATCAAATGATGAGATGCACACTCGTTGTTGCTTCTTGGCAAAGAATCCACCAACAATAATCACCTCAAGATTGTGGACAAATGTGATTGCCGCTGACAATTCGTAGCGAAGCTTGCCGACATGACTGAACATCTTCTTCATGATATTGAATGAATCTACTCGACTCCATCTTCTTCCTTCGCTGTACCCGCCAACCAGATAGATGGTGTCTAAGCCATCGTAGCAGGCAGAGATATCAAAGCCGCCTTGGATTGTATCGATTGGCAGGTTGTCGTGCCACGTCTGCTCGGCCAGGTTGTAATAGGCGTATGTCTTTTGATTCTCCACACCTCCAAAGATGTAGACATTGCCCTTGGCATAGACTGTTGACGTGCATACTCCAGTCCTGGGAGTATAACCATTTGCTCGTGGTGACATTGCCAAACTAGGGTTGATCGAGTACATTGAGTAGTCACTGTCGCCAATGGAGAACATTCGAGTGTTGAAAGGTGCCATCTGATTGTTTGGGTCGAGGAATGTGAAGCATGAGGTGATCTGTTTCCTGATGTCCAAGAGCAATTGTTGATTGACCTGCACCAATGGTGTAGAGGTGAGCTGAATCCTTGGTGCATCTTTCATATATTGTAGGCTCTGCTCGATCAATGGTTGCAATTCAAAGTCTGTCAATATCTCGTCATTGTGACCTCCGTCCTTATTGCCTGTGGATGAAGTGAATGCCTTGCTTATGAACCTCTCCATAGATGTGATCCTTTTGATTGATTCAAGAACTTGGTCCATGTCCTCTATGTCAATTGTATCATTCTCCTCCTCTTCGGGTGAATCATTGTCACTGTTGTAGTTGCTATTCTTTCTCTTGCTGCTGGTGCTGCTGTGACCATCAACGGCAGACTCCTTCAGTGGCGAACTGAAAGGGGAGAAGAGGGGTGGAGTCTTGTTCTTGGTAGTATTCTTGATGGTGCTCAGTAAGACATTGATATCCTTCAGCTCTTTAATGATTGCTTGGGTGGCAGTTCGAGTACGTTCGAGTTGTTGATGGAATGGCGCTTTGAGTTTGTGTTCTTGTACCATCAGGTACTCGTACAGTGATTTGAAGTGTTCGCTCACTTCGTTGTTTGTGTTGCTCGCCGTCTGGTACAGAGTGGATAGGATGTTCAAAGTGCTCCAAAGACTCCTCAACCTATTGTTGGCGATGGTCTGATAGCTATCCTTATCAACCAGTGATGAGATCAATGCTGATTTGGAAGTATCTTTGGTGTGGCCACTGTGATTCAACATCCAACAGCCTGCACAGACCAGATATTCGCAGTCGAGGCACATTATATCCTTCTTCCAACCAACATGTACATCGCAGACCTTCACGTCTTCATTTGGTATCACTGATGTTGGTGCAGTCTCGTGGCTGTACAGATTGAGATTGCTAAAGTTACTATGAATGCCATTGATATCGTAGTTACTAAACATGGTATTATCACAACAATGTTACACCTTCATTCGTGTCACTTGTCAATCTAACACAAACACACACATAAACAAACAAATAATTGTAAGTTGGGTAAATAATCATTTGTGATCAGTCAATCATTTGGGATGACACACAGATCTCAAAGACGAATGGAATGTCAATGTCAACATGTGATACAACATATATCATTCAATTGAAGTGTAAACTATAACAATGTTATCGTTGGTGCAAATATAATAATAATAATATGTATATTTATAATAATAATTCTTACCTTATAATATTATTGTATTTATTTATATATTCATTAACTATTAATAATAATAATGGAGTGTTGGCACATAGTACAGACGATAATGGTGAATTGAGCCAACTTATAAAGGATGTATCAAAGAAACACTTTAATCGAATGGTTACCGATATCAAGTCTGGCAACTTACCAAACTTTAGCGATAAACTTGCTAATGATGATGGTCGAATAAGACTGGAACCTTATGAATGTATCCATGAGAAGTTGTCCAAAGGATTCTTCCAGAAGTACTTCAAGAAGGATCCAACAACAGTACGGCAAGAGCAGATCAAAAAGAGACAAGAACAAACAAGTCCGCTCCAATCAAGCCCGAGGAAGACTGAGATCAAGTACCGCAAACCAATGCGTATCGCATTCAACTTTGACAACATCTATGAAGACCCTCATGCCTGCTATGAGTATGGACAGAAGATTATTCTGATTGAAAGCGATGAGTTGCATGTACCATCATCACGATGTACATATAACAAGAGTTGCGAATATACTTGCAAGACATCGGATTTGATCACTACAGAGGTACAACTTTTCTTTACAAACTACATCACTCCAACACTCAGAGAGATTGTCGCATCGTATATCCTGGTCGATCCTGAGGAGCCTAATCTAATACTGGACGCTGGTTCATACAACAAGACGAACGGAACATGTCTAACACATGTCATAATACCAGAGTATTATATTACACATGGTATTGATCAAGCTGACCTTGTTATCTTTGTAACAATTAGGCCACCAACAGAGAAGAGTATGTATACATGTATACACAAATCTGATCAATCAATTGCTAACTTGCACAATCCAATATTAGACATTGTTGCACACTCTGTACCTTGTAACTTTAGAGACTATGGAACACATTATAGTCGACCATTGGCAGCTTCAATCAACTTCAATCCTTCATTCTTTACACAATTCATATATGACCCGCATGACCTGACATATGAAGAGTATATCAAGGTCTCATTACACGAGCTGACGCACTCGCTTGGCTTCAGTAGCATGTTCCTAAGTTCATTCATTAATGAAGATGGTCATCCATATGGTATCGTATCATCCCATAGTCATCATTGATATTCTCATTATTAACAATCAATCAAACAAACAGATGCATCAATCGAGGTACAGAGGTCTGGAGTTACACCAAACGGTGAGCCATACAACTATTACAAGAGGGCTATCAACTCACCTAATGTCAAGAAAGTGATAAGAAATCACTTTGATTGTAAATCACTTGAATACGCAGAGTTGGAGGACTCTGGTGGATACCTGGACTGGGAGAGCCATTGGGAGAAACGAGTTGTTGGAGAGGAGTTCATGGTTGCCTGGGCATCCCCTATTATGCCCGTGACACGACTGACCCTGGCGCTTCTCAAAGACACTGGATGGTATGACATTGATCTCACCAAGGCAGAGAAATGGGTCTTTGGAAAGAACCTTGGATGTGATATGCTCAAACAATGTTACAACAATACATGGAACTATCAAGGATACTTTTGTTCAAGGGGTGGACGTATGTACTTGACGAACAAGATGCAACTAAAGAAACTAACTAACAAGCAATCAATCAATCTATCAAACAGAACCTGGATGTACATGTACGCGAATGGGTAAAGGAGTGTGTAGATTGGCGGTTTTGAACAACTTGGAGCCACAATATCAACACTTTGTGAACACGTCATTGGGTGGAACAGATGGAGTGTTTGATTTCTGTCCAACATATCTTACATCCTATCCTGCCAGAGGCAATTCACGTTACTGTATTGATAACTCATTGTACTCAAACTTGGATGCACAATACCACGAGCTCTACAGTATGAACTCACGATGCTTTGAGTTTGTATCACCAAACAATTCCGTTGGACAGGCATGTTGGGAAATGAAGTAAGTTAATTAATTAATTGTGAAGAATGTACACTGCAACTAACACAATAATAATGTATTATATATTTTAGATGTATTGGAAGTAATCCACAGATTAAAATTGGAGATTATTTAGTCAATTGTACAGGTAAGGGAGAGAGATATCAAGTCAATAATTTCGCTGTTGTCTGTCCTCTGGGTGGACTCGGAGAATGTGGAGGATTTGCCCAAGCCTTAGGATCAGCACAATCACACTTCAACATAGTACCACTTCATCAAATCCCTACCATTTTACTATTAATATACCTGGTTATAATAATAATATAATAATATAATATTTTAAACAACTCTCGAGTGGGATGAAAAAGATACTCTTATTATTCTTGGATATCGATCAATCAGTTATAATGTAACCGAATCAATTAACTCGCTTCGATGGAATAAGAATAGAATCTTAACTTATTAACTAAGATATTATTTTGTGGAACCATGCGCGATCGAGATTGGTTGGGTAAAGACGTAAGAGTAAATAAGTCGACCCCCCAAAACCCGGGGAATGGACAGTTGTGGGGGTTACATAACAGTAATTCATGAGGTTTGTTTGCAGCTGCAAACACTCCCCGAGACCGAATGAATTGTGAACTTTCCCAGAACACCACATCTCAAGAGAAACATCTTTTGCTAAAGTGTTGCAGTTGTTGACATGCCTTTGCTTATGCCATTAATATTGGACTTGAACCGTATTCATCCATTCATTCATTAATTCGTACAGCCCCATTAACAACAACAACACAATCACTCACTACTCTTACGAGTCCCATCCAATCAATCAATCAACCTAAAGAGGAAAGAAGAGATCTAAAGAGAAGAGTGACCCTTTGTATCAACAGATAATCAATCAAACACATCAATCAATCAATCAAGATAACATCAACATCAACAACAACTACTACTACTACTCCTACCAACACTAAATCAATAATGATGAACAACGAAGAGAGAGGCGAGGTAGTACTGGTGGGCGAGTTCGTGGTCAGTGAGACTGACGAGAAGGTGCTCAGCGCAAAGTATGTAGGACTAGCAGTGGATGATAGGCTGCTGTTGCAAGACGCCCAGTTCACTCTGTTGCGTGGCCATCGTTACGGACTTATCGGCGAAAACGGTACGGGCAAGACCACACTGTTGCAAGCCATCCGCGCTCAGCTGAGACAAGAGGAACACACAAACTTTTGCGTGCGCTACGTTGGTCAGACGGACGCCGAGGGCAGCGCAGAGGTCAAGGAGTCCGTCATCGAGTACTGCTCCAACGCCGACTCGAAGCGATCTGCATTGACCCGCGAACTCGAGGAACTAGAGTCGCCAGACCTCGACGAGGAGGACATTGCCGCCGCCGCCGAACGCATTGGAGAGATCATGATGGAGCTGGAGATACCCGATGACTCAAAGGAGCGCGCCGACGCACTGCTGCGCAAACTGGGCTTCGTCAAGGCTATGCGTGATGGCCCCGTCGCCAGTTTGTCTGGTGGCTGGCGCGCTCGCCTTGAGATGGCCTGCGCCGTGTTTGCCGAGCCCGACATCCTGTTCCTGGACGAGCCAACCAATCATTTGGACCTGCATGCCGTGTTCCAGTTGGCCGCTTTGCTGAGGCACAATGAGAAGATGACAGTGATCGTGGTCTCTCACGACGCCTCGTTCCTGGACCTCGTGTCCACTGACATCCTCAGCATCAATGGTTGTATGCTTCAGTCGATCAACGGCAACTACTCGGCCTTTGAGGAGAAGGCTGCCGAGTACAAGAGGTTCCACGAGCATATATACGATAATAGAGTGCGTGAAGAAGCACGCCAGACCGCCAGCACCAACCAGCTTCGCAACAATGCACGCAAGTCTGGAAATGACAAGGCCTTGAAGCAGGCTGCCAGCCGTGACCGCAAGGCCAGCGCAAGAGTCGGACTGTATCGTGAGGATGGCAAGAAGTTCAAGCTGAATTCTCTCAAGACTTTGGACACGGCATCCCTGCGGCTCCCCTCGCGTGCAGCTCCTGTGAAACGCCAGCCTGTCACCAAGATCACCCTGCCGCAGTCGCACAGGGTCGGTGGCGGAGCTGGCAACACCGTACTCGTCGAACTGCGCACTGCCACTGTCCGCTATCCCAACACTCAGAAGGACCTGCTAGTCAATGTTGACCTTCAGATATGTGCTGGCGATCGTGTTGCGCTGGTTGGAAAGAATGGCGCCGGAAAGTCCACCCTGCTGAGGACGCTGGCAGGCAATGCCCATCCCGCCAAGGTTGTGTCTGGAGAGGTGCGTCACATTGGTCGCACGGCCATCGTCGACCAGAATCAGCTGGCGCTGCTGGAAGGTCACCTGGAAAAGACTTGTGTGCAGTTCCTGCGAGAGCGCCATGCCGAGTTCTTCAAGAGTGGAGATGACACCAACGTCAGGAAGCATCTGGGTCAGTTCGGTCTGCAGGGCGACTCTGCCCTGCTTCCAATCGTCGCGCTGAGTGGAGGTCTGCGTGTACGTCTAGTCCTTGCCGACCTGTTTGCCGACGACTCCCCACCCGACGTACTACTGCTCGATGAGCCTACGAATCACCTGGACGGCGAGACCATTGCCGCTCTGACCGCCGCCCTCAAGACATTCTCTGGTGCCGTGTTGGCAATCAGTCACAACTGTGCCTTCTTGCTTGAGGTCTGTCGCGACCTGTGGATATGTGACAAGGGCGTGGTAACAACCCAGAAGCAGGTCGAGGGCTCTCCATTCCTGGAAAACTTCCGTAGCTATGCAGAAAAGATCGTTCCACCAACCGAGAAAGAGGCACTCCAAGACATGCTAGTGATACGTGCAGCTCGTTCTGCTATCGTGGTCCAACAACCAGGTGCATCAACAAGTTTGCTCGTCTAACATTAATAAACCTCTGCCATCGTCCATGTACATGTCCACCCCATCCACCCAATCGTCTTATCTTCGTCGACACAAAGTGTGAAGTGTGGTTCTCACTCACTCAATCATTCAATCATTCAATCAATCTTCAAGATGAATGATAATATAGATATAAAACATATTATTAATGATGTACCTGTTACTTCGATTGTTATAATGATCAATGTACTAGTATGGTTGTATCAGTTCAACTATAATATTGATCTACATTCTGTTGCATTCATCTATGAGAGTATGTTGTGATTTATTGATCAAGTGACTCAAGTCACTAACTATCTCAATCAATCTATTAGACATTGTAGTACAAAGAGAATACTGGCGATGTATAAGTGGAACGTTCAGTCATGCCAACTTTGTACATTTGGCATTCAATACAATCAGTTTGTGGAGTCTACGTACACTTGAGATACATGTAAGTCTATGCATGAACAACTTGTGATGATGAGTAATGAATGACTAACTTATTATACATGTTATTAAAGTTTGGAAGCTTCACATTCATTACATATACACTATTGATACTTGTCATATCTATAATCATACAATGTATATTGATAAAGGTATTGTCTGGCATCCCGAGATTCCCTATATCAATACATCATGAATCAGTTGGCTACTCTGGCATTGCATTTGGATTGATAACACTGCTCTCATACTACTCTGGTTCAGCGGATCTATGGTTACTTCAACCTCTTGGCTCACTCCTGATCATTCAAATGCTCGTTCCTAATGCAAGCTTTGTAGGTCACTTGGCAGGAATCATCAGTGGAGCGTTGATTATTGTACTCAAGTTGACAAATTTATTTAACAATGCACTTGGTATTCTTACATTGACAAGTGTAATAATAGTATCATTGACTAGGTCAGAATGGCCATCATCATCGTCCACAATACAATGGTTTGACACTCCCATTCAAATTATAAACAACTTCACAAGCATTGTCAAGAATTCATCAGCAAGGAGAATAGAGAATGGTGTTATCCTTTCAAAACAATCAATGACCAGCAATGTATAATAATAATAATAATAGTAATAGTAATTCAGATATATATTTGGAAGCGATTAATATTAACCTTTATCGGTTAATATTCTATTAACAAAATTCTTTATTACAACTCGTTTAAAAGCTATATATATATATTAATAGAGCATTATTACAAAATTAGTTTAATCAATAATCATCGGCCAATCGATTTCCAATCGATGAATTATTTATTTAAATAATTATTGGGGTGAGGGACAAGACATCATCATGTAAACAAAGTATGATCATCATCAATCACACTTCAATCAACCCTTGATTAAAATAGTTCTATACCAAAGTGCACCGATAGAAATTGATGATCAACTGAAGACTCTCCATTTATTCCAGCTTACGAGTGGTGGTGTTTAGATCTCCTGGAGTGTCTTCCTGAAAGGGGGAGATATCACATATTAGAATTATTCTTGATTAATTCATATAATAATTTATTAATTGTTACACCAAGGTATTTTACTTTAATATTATTATTATTTAAATTAACCAATTAAGAATGACAAGAATGAATGATGGAAACACCTCAATGTAACATTACATAGTGAATAAAATAATAATAAACTTAGAAAAAATACAACATTTATTAATCCTCTAGAGATGTCTTAACTTATTAATATTAATTTATCTGATAGATTTTGATAAAGGAATAGTTCCTGGAAGGGTACAAAGAGGGCAATACAATAAAAATTAAATTAAAAAGTGAATTTGAATAAACTCTGGTCCTCGATCTTTATTATTAATAATATCATAAAGAAAACGCATAGAGATAGAGAGATAAGGAAGGATGGAAACAAAGGAACAGAGAAATGGAAAGGTTATGACTGTTACGGGTCTAGTAAACCCTGAGGACTTGGGTGTAACTCATATGCACGAGCATATTATCATCAATTACTTGCCATTGTATGAAGAACCATCAGAGCATGACTTGAAAGATGCTTGTTGCAATCATGCACACGGTGGACAACCAAGACAGCTACACAAAGAGAAGATCACACTTGACAATGTTGGCTGGATACAGTACAACTACAACAAGAACCTGTTCAACCTTGAGTTGAACGAGCAAGATGTAGCCCTGCACGAGCTAGCACTCTTTAAGAACAACGGTGGTAAGACCATCGTTGAGGTGACCACCGCAGGCATAGGTCGCGACCCTGCTCAACTACAACAAATCTCCGAGAAGTCTTCTCTCAACATTGTTATGGGCGCAGGTTACTACATCGATCTATGCATCAACAAGGTATGAATGAATATGAAGTCATGCGCGAGACTACATGACATTGACACAATGTGTACTTTGTACATTCATAGATCGTCACAGACAAGACAGAGAAGGAGATGGAGGATGAGATTGTCAAACAGCTATTGGAGGGCACTGATGGCACCAACGTCAAATGTGGAATCATTGGTGAGGTTGGATGCAGCTGGCCTTTGAGAGAGTCAGAGCGCAAGTCGCTTGTGGCATCTGCCCGCGCCCAGGTGAGGACTGGCGTCACAATAAGCATACATCCAGGCAGGAGCACAAAGGCTCCAATCGAGATACTGAACATACTGACGGAGAATGGAGCTGACTTGTCAAGAGTTGTCATGGGTCACATCGACAGGACTATCCACGATGTGAGCATAATGGTGGAGCTCGCCAAGACTGGTTGCACACTGGAATTTGACCTGTTTGGAATGGAGATGTCGCACTATCCATGGGGCGGCGATGTTGTTGGCATGCCCAACGACAACCAACGTATACAATGGATTGCCGAACTGATTGCAGCGGGCTATGGCAAGCAAATCGTTGTGTCCCACGATGTATATTCCAAGCACAGACTGGCCACCTATGGTGGACATGGCTACCATCACATCCTTCACAACATCGTGCCAAGAATGAAGAAGCTTGGTATCAAGGATGAGCACATCCAAGACATACTCGTCAACACGCCCAAAAGGTTGTTGACCATTCAATACAAAGACTAACTTAAGTGTATGGAGGATGTAATCCATCCAAGTCGATGGTGTACTTTATTGAGTTTGATCAATCAACTAAATGTACTCTTGTTGCTCGCCATTCTGATAGCTGCCTGCTGGTTGATTGGACGAGCCAGTGGTGTCATCATCGCCTCCAAATGGGTCACCTTCATAGTTGCTGCCCTGATAGTAGGCCGACGATCGGGATTGCTGTTGTTGTTGCTGCTGATGTTGTGCCTGAAGAGATGAGGATGACGATTGATGGTGTCCTTGGTGATGCCTTGAACTGGACGATGAGCTGCTGCTACTGCTTGATCCTGACTTCTTCTTGATGTTTGCCAGCAGTGTAGCGCGCATCCTGCTCATCTCCTCGTCCCAGTTGTCATTATCGGCACTGAGCGGCACTCTGAACTGAAGCTCCTCGGCTGTGATAGCCTCAGCGATCGACTCCATTGTGTCCATCACAATGGAGATGTAGTTTGGCTTGACCTTGTCCTGGCGCACCATGTGGTACTTCCAACGACCAATGTTGGCCTGGTAGGAGCATTCGACAATGACAGTGTTGGGATCACGTGCTCTGGTGTAGTCGCGTCGCAATTTGTCCAAGTCCTCTGACGAGAAGTTGATCTCGCGACAGTCCACGTCAGTGTTCTCTCTGCCCAGACACGTGAGGAACCAACGCGGCTCGCGCTGATTGTCTCTTCGCACCACCCTATAGTCTATCGTCCACTTGTCCAAGTACTTCCACTTGTACAAATCCTGTTGAGTGTATGGTGTATAAGGTGTGTTTGGAGTGAATATAATACCATCAGTGTTATGATTCCTCTTGTGATCCTCGAATGTTCTATCTCCACCTCCTCGGCTACATAGAGAGATAATGTTAGTAACTCTTCAGGAGTTATCTTGATCAATGAATATGAACATACTTCCTAACAGACTTGAACACAGTGTCTAGTTGAGTCTTTGGATGGAAGTTCTTTGCCCACAAAATGAATGGGATTGGGAGGTTCTGGTTCTCGATGTGATTGGTGAAGGGTACCATGATACTGTTCCTGATGGCCTCTAGTCGAGCAGACAACTTCTTCGCGCCAACAGGCGTTCCACCATGACTCAGTATATCAAACACCAAATAAATAGGTCTCTTTGTCTTCAAGTGTCTAATCATCTCTCCATCCAACAGTGTATCATTTCCATACAACTCGAGTAGTTTCCTTTTTGTTTGATTGATTGAAGAGAGTATGTTAGGTCCTTGTTGGGCGATGTGCAAGTAGTGATCACTTACGGGTAGGCAACAGTGTAGAAGTCAAACTTCCTGTCTATCATATATATGGTGTCATTGGTGATCAACAATAGGTATCGCACGCCATCGGTCTTCTCCGAGACGTAGTAGTCGTTCGCCTGGACATATCTAAAGTGCTTCTTGCCAAAGTTGATTGGCATCGATCCAGGGAATGTATCTGTCTTCTTTGTATTTACATTGGGTATATATTTGAACACAATATCCTTAAGGTGCATCACCTCTTGGGGTGCAGTGACCTTCTCCATCTCGACATCTGGGAAGGACAATGTTTGTTGTGGCTGTATCAGACTTATCAGGCTCTTTGTCTGAGGCGCGTGAAGGTTGTGAGTAAGTGAGCGTTTCATGTGATCAATCAATCAATTCTAACATACCTCAGCGAGGAACTGATTCAAGAGATCATGCACTGACTCAATGCTGTTTGTGTTTTGGATTGCCGTGGGGAGGAGCTCGATCTCGACCTCGTATGTGGTGGCCTCTTGTTGATCGTTGAGCAACAAGGTTGTGACTTGGGTCATGTCGATCTTCCACAGGCTGTCCTTGAATGTGCTCCTGGCCTTGTATCGACGCTGACGCACGCCGCTCTCGGGCAGGTTGAGTGGCACGGGCAGCTGGTGCTCGACCGACACCGACACACGAATGTCGTAGATTAGGTTGGTCGGCAGATTGAATGTTGTGCGATCGGCCTTGCTCTCCTTGCGCACCACCTGCTTCAAGTCCTCGTCGTAAACGATACGATAGTCGTCAAAGATGTGATCTGTCTCGTGGGTCTCCACGGGCTTACCGTGCTTGGCGGTCAGTCGCTCCATCAGCACGGAAAAGTCTTCTTGAATAGTGCCTGACTTGAACGTTGATGTCAACAGGCCCAGTCTAGCTTCGACCTCCAACTTATCCACTTGTCCCTGTTCAGCATTACACAGTTGAATAATCCTATCAATGACTGCCTTGGCTGAGAACGTTGACTTTGGTTGTTTGCTGGTTGGGTGGGATTGATTGAATGAATGAGTGATTGTTAGACTCATGTCTGACAATCAACATGACGAAGACCCCATGTATGATGATGTATGATGTGCATTGCATACCCCTGTTGATTAGCCTCCTTCTGTACTTGCATATCACCCAACAATGAGCCCACTACATCGTGATCATTATTATCTGGTCTCCTCTTCTTTAGACCACCTGGCCCACCTCCTCCTCCACCTCCGCCACCATAGTTGTTATTGTTATTATTATTATTATTATTGTAGTCATCTGAATTGCCTCTCTTATTACTCATCATTGCAAGTAAGTATGTATTAGGTTATAAATGTAGTTGTACTGTTTGTGATGATTAATTGATTGATTGATTGATTGATTAAGAAGTACAATAAATAATAAACAAGAGATAATAATAAGAGAGATGTTTTGGGCAAAAAGAGAGTGAACTTGTACAACTTCACGTGCTTCTATTTATCATTCATCATCGTTGGATTTTCCAAACAAACTTGTTGTTGGGATTCCAAAGAGAGAACTTGGGATGAATAGATGGATGGATGTACGTGATGGATAGTTCTAGAGAGTTGGGAATTTATTACATGGGAAGAGAGAAAAGAGATAGAGATAGAGATGGTCATATAATGACCATTTGATTATGTGTGTGTGCTCCTGTACAATTTGAATGATGGTGACATCTGAGTCGCGATGAATGAATGAATGAATGAATGTATGGTACTCTTCGTTGCCATCGCCTTCCTCCTCATCCTCTTCCTCTTCCTCCTAATTGCAATCTGATCGCTTTGTTGTTGTTGTTGTATTTTGATTGAAACAAGTTGTTTACATCATGTCGTACTCTGAATCCTTCTTCTGGAAGTAAGCCATGAATGCGACCAGTGATCCAATTACAACGATGCCTCCTGAAATAGCGAATGCCAATGCCTTGTATGTGATCTGTTCGATTGATTGATTGATTGAATGAGGGTCAGTCAATGTTGGTGATGATGAGATGATCACTTTGTCACAACTTACAACATAGTTATGCGCCAGAATGCCTGGAACAGCAAAGCCTGCTACGACCAAGAAACCTGTTAAGAACATACCCAAGTCTGATGCAGATCTATATGTGAGAGGGGAAGAGGATGATGAGTGAGTGATGTGTTGATGGGATGTCATGCTGATGACCATGACCATGATCGAGACATACCCATGTTCACTTGAGAAGTCATCGCGATTCTTAAAGATGATGTTTGGTAGTGGTGCCAAGAAGTATGTTGCCACGACAATGATTGGCCATCCAGATGAAGAGAATACACATGCCAATATATTCATCAATATACCTACTGCGAATATACAGGCAAATATGATGATCCTACAATGTATTATAATGATTGATTGAATGATTGATCCCATTAGTACATCCAAATCCTATACATCATCGATGTCAGACAATGCGTGTTGTTCCTGCTGGTGATGTGTGTTGTATGTTGTTGCTGTATCATTCAATTCAACTTACACTATAAGTGTGATTAGAGTATTGTTAGTCTTTCTTCTTCATTCATCCTCATCACAAGTCAATCAATGTCTTAGTCACACAAACCTTTGATTTGAGCCATTGTTTATTATGTTGTGTATGAATATATATATTAGTATACTTATTATTATTATTGATCAACTATTAATCTATCAATCAATGAATCAATCAATCAACAACTCGATAACATTGACCTCAATCACACACCCCTCACTCATACTTCTCTCTCTTTCTCTCTCTGCATCCTCACCCAACCCTTCATTCTCGCATTCACCTACAAAGTTCAAAGTTTCCTCTTCATTTTCTAAGACGTGCAAGAGCCACATCGATGACATTCTCTCAAACACTTGAGATAGACAGATAGATAGTAATAATTATATCAAAGTCGTGGATCGTTGGTCAAATGATCCCAGGATTCCTGAATTGAATCAAAAGAAGTTTATTCGTCTGATTGTTGTGTAGTTGTTTGTATTTATTGGGCATGGTTGAGACATGATCGATACATATGCTTCACATTGACATTGATTTGATTGGACAAGGTTTCATAGATCACAACAATGATGTTCAAATTGGGGCATTAACATTACTCAATGATTGAGATCTTGTACTTTTTTAGTTCTTCTGGTTAGTATTAGTGTTAGGGTACGGGCAAGGGCAAGGGTAGGGTAAGTGTCCATTTATCCAATTTGTGTTGGTCCAACAACTCTGAGGTTTTCGAGATGTTCATGCAAAATTCACTCTAAACCCCAAGACAAGGTTTATCCCTTGCTTGTTTACCTTGTCTATGATGTTCATTTGTTTGTTGTTTGAAGGAGAGAGACATAGCCCTGACTTGTTATTGAGTGCACTCAACTCAATTAGAGATAGAAATAGTCCTTATCCTCTTACTTCAAGATAGATACGTATTCTTTCATACGTCGATATATCCATATATCCATCAACATACAATCAATCAATCAATCAAACACAATTATGTGAATGGTTGGTTGCTTATGCCATTTGTGGCACAGTCGACTCCGGAGCATGCATACATTCCATGTGGAATGGAATGGGGCGAAGAAGGAAGGAGAGTCTCTATTGACACCACCGGTGTGTCATTCTTTATCCCGAATGAATGAATGCTTGTCAGCTTAAAGTCTGTTCTCACTCTTGACTTATCCGGGTATGTCCATGCGTGTGCGTGGATTCAATCGCGATCTCAATAATACACTCTGGAGTTAGCTAATTAGCTCGTTAGTACTAACGAGTTTATTTATAAATAGGACTGGACTAACCTTACATTTTAATAAGATATACTTATAAGAGAAATGTTATAGAACATATATAACATAAGAGAAGAGATAAAGAAACAAATATAACCTGTACCCTTATACATAAATCAATCAATCAATCATATCAAATCAAATCATCAACCGGTCCATTACCCAAAAACAACCAAATCAATCAATCAATCTATCAATCTATCAATCTATCAAGGTATGTTATGTTTGTTAATAATACTTCTGCAACAACATAATATTCATTGGCAACGCCATCAACTACGTGTGCGTGTTATTACACTACCTGGGGAAGTGCACTGCTTCCTCATTCAACATCATGAACCATGTTCTGTTTCCATACCATCACTCCATCATCCACTCACCATTGATTCATGATCACTTAAACACACTGGTGTATGTTAACATATTTAATAATAGATGGGTCATTGGAACCACCCTATAGTTGGGCTAACCCATTTCGGCAGTTACATCAACTAAGGGTAAGGTAGGTAGGGTATCGGCTTGCAGCTATTGCTTAGTGATGTGATCAAAGGTGATGGAGTGTCACTGTTTATTTGTTGGTTCGTTTGTTTGTCAACAAGCATGGGTGAGTGTGTTGGACAACGACCGAATGAATTCCATCACCCCCAACACACACACTGTTTCCCGTCTCTTTCCCCATCGTCGACTTCTGCAGTTCCTTTGCCAACTTACTTCACCTGCATTCACGGCCTACGCCTCGCCCCCGCCTACCCCAACCCCTACCCCTCACATTCACACACACACACTCATGAACCAACTCAACTCATAAGGGTCGTTCGATTCAGGTTCCAAAAGGGGGTGGTCTATTACATGCGACGACAACACACATCATCATGTTATCAAAACTCGAATTGAAGACGAGTTCGTGTCGCTTCTTCGAGCGCGCTCATGGAACACAATTATTGCCATGTTGGGGTCACATACTGTACATCATTGACATCAATGGATGGCACCATCTGTCGATTCCACTAACTAATTGACTTCACGTTGCTTGACCATCTACTGTTCTTGCCCTGTCTTGTCTTTTACTACTATTTCTCCCAATCTTATAAAGCATACCTATTGGGGATATCGATCTAAACAATTCATTCATTCATTTTACTTGTCCAGTAATCATTCATTGTTATATTTATTTATATATATATATATATATTTTATAACTCTTTTATATTTATTCATACATATAATATATTTATATACTTATAACTTCCAATCACTCACTCACACACTACTCTATCACTCAATCAATCAAACACACGCAATCAATCGATCACTCACCAACCCACACGCAATATAGACGACAAAAATGGAGGAGGTCGAACTTCAAGACACTTCCAAAACGACAACTTTGTCCGTGTCGGATTCAAACAACAATAACAACAACAATAATAATGCGCCACCAGACAATAATATTGGCCCAGATATTAAGAATGCAGAGGACGCATTCAATAGCACCGCACAAGAGCTGGAGGACGAGTCCAGGGAGCTGAGGTCACACGAGGAGAAGATCAAGGACATCGAGAATGGTGGCGACTCCTGGGAGACCGAGGAGGACTTCAAACTCAGGAAATACTTTGAGAACTCGCAGCGTATGAACACCGAGGTCGGTGGCAAGCCCAAGCGTATGGGTGTCTGTCTCCGCAACCTCACCGTCGTTGGTCGTGGTGCCGATGTGTCCGTCATCTCCGATATGCTCACTCCATTCAAATGGGTGGCTTCATGGTTCACTCCATCAGGATGGTATGTACCTTCATTCAATCAATCAAACCTGATCAGTCAAATACTAACATGTTCCATCTCCAACATATTCCAGGAATAGAAAGGCTAATGCTGGTACAACATTCGATATTCTTCATGACGTCAATGGATTCTGTAAGGATGGAGAGATGCTGTTGATTCTCGGTAGACCAGGTGCTGGATGTTCAACTTTGTTGCGTCTGATCTCTAATCAGAGAGCATCATATATTGACATCAAGGGTGAGGTCAACTATGGTGGCATTCCAGCCAAGAAGTGGAAGCCATTCCGTGGTGAGGCCATCTACACGCCCGAGGAGGACTCTCATCATCCAACTCTGACGACTCGCGAGACCCTTGACTTTACACTCAAGTGCAAGACCCCATCTCACACAGTGCGTCTCCCCGAGGAGACCAAGCTCAACTTCCGTACCAAGATGTTTGAGCTCCTGTTGAAGATGTTCGGCATGGTTCACCAAGCTGAGACCGTAAGTCATACTTCATTCATTTGATCAATCAATCAAACATACTAACATCTCACTCCAATCATACTATATAGATCGTCGGTAATGAATGGGTTCGTGGACTCTCTGGTGGAGAGCGTAAGAGAATGACTATTATGGAGGCAATGGTGTCTTCGGCATCGATCACTGCATGGGATTGCTCGACCAGAGGTCTGGACGCTGCTTCCGCTTTGGACTACGCTAAGTCCTTGAGAATCATGGCCGATACACTCAACAAGACGACAGTCGCCTCGTTCTACCAGGCCTCCGACTCGATCTACCGTCTGTTTGATCGTGTCATGGTGCTGGAGAAGGGCCGTTGCATCTACTTTGGCCCATCCAACCAGGCCAAGCAGTACTTCTGGGACCTAGGTTTCGACTGCGAGGCACGCAAGTCCGTGCCCGACTATCTGACTGGTGTCACCAACGCTCAGGAGCGTAGGATCCGTCCAGGCTTCGAGGGCAAGACCCCAGAGACATCACAAGAGTTCGAGGAGGCCTGGAAGGCCTCTCCCCTCTACACTGCCTCAGTCCAAGAGCAGGCCGACTACGAGGCACAGATCCAGCGCGAGTCGCCATCAGTCGACTTCAAGCAGCAGGTGCACGCCGAGAAGAGCAAGACCACTCGCAAGAGCGGCCCCTACACCACCTCATTCGTCACCCAGGTCAAGGCGCTGACCATCCGTCACTTCCAGATCCTTTGGGGCGACAAGTTCTCCATCGTCTCACGTTACTTCTCCGTCATCGTCCAGGCCCTCGTCTACGGCTCCGTGTTCTACCAGCAGCAGATGAACCTCGGCGGCATCTTCATGCGTGGCGGTGCCATCTTCTCCACCATGCTCTTCAACGCCTTCCTTTCCCAGGGTGAGCTGCCCATGACCTTCATGGGTCGTCGTATCCTGCAACGCCATCGCTCATACGCCTTGTACCGCCCGTCCGCCTACCACGTGGCCCAAGTGGTCACCGATCTGCCGTTCATCTTTGCCCAGGTGTTCTTCTTCTCGATCATCGCCTACTTTATGTTTGGCCTCGAGTACGACGCCGGCAAGTTCTTCATCTTCATCTTCACCCTGATCGGCCTGTCGCTGGCGTGCACCAACCTGTTCCGTGCCTTTGGTAACTTCTGCCCATCGATGTATATCGCGCAGAACGTGCTGATCGTCTTCCTCATTATGATGGTCACCTACTCTGGATACACCGTGCCAATGGACAAGATGCACCCATGGTTCAAGTGGTTCATCTGGATCAACCCATTTGCCTACGCGTTCAAGGCGCTGATGGCCAACGAGTTCAATCACCAGGTGTACAGCTGCATGGGTCAAGCCATTCCTTTTGGTCCAACCTACAACGACACCGCCTACCGTGCCTGCCCAATCCCAGGTGCCGCCAAGGGCCAAATGAACATCCCAGGCGAGGCCTACCTCGACTCGGCACTCAACTTCAAGACCTCAGACATGTCACTCAACATCATCGTCGTCTACCTCTGGTGGCTGCTGTTCACCGCGCTCAACATGTACGCCATGGAGAAGTTCGACTGGACAGCCGGTGGTTACACCCACAAGGTCTACAAGAAGGGCAAGGCTCCAAAGATGAACGACGTCAACGACGAGCGTGCCCAGATCCAGCTCGTCCAGAAGGCCACCGCCAACATGAAGGACACTCTCACCCTGCACGGTGGTGTCTTCACATGGCAAGATATCAAGTACACTGTGCCCGTACCTGAGGGCACTCGTCTCCTGTTGGACAATGTCGAGGGTTGGATCAAGCCCGGCCAGATGACAGCTCTGATGGGCGCCTCCGGTGCTGGAAAGACCACATTGCTCGATGTGTTGGCCAAGAGAAAGACCATCGGAACCATCGAGGGCAAGTCCTTCCTCAACGGCAAGCCACTCCGCGTTGACTTTGAGCGTATCACTGGTTACGTCGAGCAGATGGACGTCCACAACCCCGCCCTTACTGTCCGTGAGCAACTCCGTTTCTCTGCTCGCATGCGTCAAGACCCCACCGTCTCCCTCAAGGAGAAGTACGAGTACGTCGAGCGCATCCTTGAGATGATGGAGATGAAGCATCTTGGTGACGCCCTGATTGGTGACCTCGAGTCTGGTGTCGGTATCTCTGTTGAGGAGCGCAAGCGTCTCACCATCGGCCTGGAGCTCGTTGCCAAGCCACACATCCTTTTCCTCGACGAGCCAACCTCTGGTCTTGACGCCCAATCATCCTACAACATTGTCAAGTTCATCCGTAAGCTGGCTGACGCTGGCATGCCCCTGGTCTGCACAATCCATCAGCCATCCTCCGTCCTCTTCGAGCACTTTGACCGTCTGTTGCTCCTTGCCAAGGGTGGAAAGACCGTATACTTTGGCGATATTGGTGAGAGATCCAAGGTGCTCACTGGCTACTTTGAGCGCCATGGTGTCCGCCCATGCACAGAGTCTGAGAACCCCGCCGAGTACATCCTCGAGGCCATCGGAGCCGGTGTCCACGGCAAGACTAACGTTGACTGGCCTGCCGCATGGAAGTCATCGACCGAGTGCACTGAGGTCTACGCAGAGCTGCGCAACCTCGAGAACAACAACACCCAAGACGACTCACCCGCCCGCGAGTTTGCCACTAGCGCACCATACCAACTGTGGGAGGTGTACAAGCGCATGAACCTCATCTGGTGGCGTGACCCATACTACTCATTCGGCCGTTTCGTCCAGGCTGCCCTGGTCGGTCTCATCATCGGTTTCACCTACTACGACCTCAAGGACTCGTCGTCCGACATGACCCAGCGTATCTTCATCATCTTCCAGGCACTCATTCTCGGTATCATGCTTATCTTCAACGCGCTGCCCCAGTTCTTCATGCAGCGTGAGTACTTCCGTCGCGACTATGCAAGCAAGTTCTATGGCTGGTTCCCCTTCGCCTTGTCGATTGTCCTGGTCGAGTTGCCCTACCTGCTCGTCACTGGCACCATCTTCTTCTTCACGCTCTACTGGACCGCCGGCCTGCAGTACAACGCCGACACTGGCTTCTACTTCTGGATCATGTTCCAGATGTTCCTGTTCTTCTGCGTCAGCTTTGGTCAAGCCATGGCTGCTGTGTGCATCAACATGTTCTTTGCCATGATCATCGTGCCCGTGCTGATCATCTTCTTCTTCCTGTTCTGTGGTGTGATGACCCCACCCCAAGACCTGCCCAAGTTCTGGCGCTCATGGATGTACCCGCTGAATCCAGCGCGTTACTTCCTCGAGGGTATCGTCACCAACGTGCTCAAGCACGTCAAGGTGCACTGCAAGCCATCCGACTTGCTCTACTTCGACCCACCCCCCGGCCAGACCTGCGGTCAGTACACCCAGGAGTTCTTCAACAACACCTTGTTCTCACCATCCGGCTACATTGACAACCCCGCCGACACAACCAACTGTGGCTACTGCACCTACCAGCAGGGTTCGGACTACTACAACACCCTGGACTGGACTTTCGAGAACCGATGGAGAAACTTTGGCATTCTTACCTGCTACTGGGTCTTCAACACTGGTTTGGTCATCGGATTTGTCTGGTTGACCAGAAAGGCTACCAGATAAACGCACTCGCGAGCTCTCCACACATATTGAGCTTCCATCGACTTGTTCAACATCAATAAACTACCTCTCATATATATAATAACCACAATACTCTTATTCACTTAATCAATCAATCATTTTGTTGGGTGACTGGAAATAAACTGGAATTCATTTGAGCTGGCAATCATCCCATATTGATTCATTATTAATTATTAGTGACTACTAATATATCCAATCAATAACATTATTAAACAAGGTCTCATCACAGCAATCAAACCAATTCCTTACTTTGAAGAAACAAACGAGACCTGTCCTCTAACTCTTAGAGTTAATAGTTTTTTTTTATTTATATATTACTTTGTATGCCGTGTCTTAACCTTTGGCAAGGGACCCTTGCCCTTACCCTTGCCCTTGTCCTAGTTTGTTTGGCGTCATCCTCACAAGACACACGATCCAGTTTTATTTGGTCTCGACTTGCTGTCTTTGATTGATTGGGGTCGCCTCAATTGTTGGCTTATCGGGATAACCAGTTGGTGTGCGATTGAGATCAAGGTAGTTGTAGAATCGGTCAAAGTTGTTGTTGGCAGTGATCTCCTTGTACTTGTTAAAGTATGAAACGAATGATTCATCCTGCCTGAAATCCAGTCCGAGCTTCTTGCCAAGGTTGCGCCAATACTCAACCAAGTCGTCCTGCTTGTGGATCTGATGATAGGAGATGAACGATAGGACAAGGAAGTTGTTGGGGTCCATCTTGCAGTGAATGTCACGCAACTCATTCAGCTTGATCGCCGCTTCATAATTGTCGTGGACCAGATAGTGCTGGATGAGGTGTCCAAGCAAAACACCATAGCGGCGTGTACTGTCTCGTCTCACAATCCTCAGGATTGCCTGACGCGGTGTTGGCACCTTCTTGTCGGTGTTGACGTCTTGCGATCCATACCTGTGCTCGGTTTCGACCTCGGCGATCGGCTTGCCATCCTCGGCGGCCAGGAAAAGGAATGCGCGGGCAATGTCGGCTGGGTCACCGTTACGCGAGATCAGTCCGGCGATCTGATTGATGCCCTGTACGAATCCCTTCTGACTGTAGTAGCGCAGAATCAGGACGAGGTAGGGCATCGACTTTGCCGAGGACTTGTTGGCATCGATCCAGACGTTGACCATGTCGTCCAGTTTTTCATTGCTGTAGTAGTTGATGTACATTGCATAGGACATCTCGTCCAAGATCATGTGCTTTGCGTTAGTGCTGACGGTCATCATGTCCTTGCGCTTCATCAGTGCTCGCAGCACATTGTTCCAGGCAATGGCCGACTTTAGAGTGTTCTGGGACTTGAGATGCTCGAGGATGCGCTGGAAGTTGTTAAAGTTTGTGGCGTGCACCGCCTCGTAGACCTGGCTGATGATCGCCGACTCTGCAAAGTCGGGGGCCATTGGAGTGAATACCTCGAGGACCTTGCACAGGGCATCATGGTGTTCTACATGCGTGGGGAGCAGCGCGCTACAGATTCCCTCGAGCTGTGGCGTGCAGAAGCTGAATGAATCAGGACGCACCTTTTCCAGTATCTTGATCGCTTCGAGCGGCTGGCCAATAAGCAGTTTCATGTCAATGATGTGCTGGTTCGTGCGATTGGAGAAGAAGACTTTGTTCTCCAACATCATTGCGTAGGTGGAGATGGCGCCATGCTTGTCCTTGGCCATGACATAGTATTCCAACATTGAGTTGTACGTTAAAACGTTGGGTGTGAACAAGCCCCTGGACTTGTAGAGCTTGTCCCAAATCATTGTGATCTTATCAACTGCGCGCTGCTCACGTGTGCTCTTGTACAGATCGACATAATACTGCAAGAACCTGTTCAGAATGAATACATTGTCCTTGAATATGTTCATCTCCAAACAAATATCAAAGACCATATTGGCATTGGTTGGTTTGGCTCGCTCCAGGAAGACTTCAATACTACATCAAGTCATGTGATTGAGCGTCGCGGCGAAAGAAAGGTTAGTGATTGATTGATTGGGGATAGTGTTCCAATATGATTGATTGGTTGGTTGACAAACACATACATGGTCATTGAGTTCTCTTTGGGCTTGTTGGCAATGGTATCTCTGAAAAAGGATTCAAGCTTGCCTTCTTGGATCAGTTCTTTGAAGTTGACCTGGCGCACACCAGACTGATTAACCATATTTCGTTGTCTCCTTTGAAAATCCATCTTTGACGCATCTGAGCTGCTCATGTCCTGGTCGGGCTGATACCTTGTGTTTGGTCTGACACTGCCACCTCTGCCACCCCTGCCACCTCTTCCACTTCCTCTCTGGAACTCACCACTACCTCTGTATCCTTCACTTGACTTTGATGATGAAGATCCTGTTGTCGTTGATGATGATGTCGTTGATGATGTCGTTGATGTTGTCGTTGATGTTGATGAGTATGATCGATCATTCTCACATCTTTTGTCGGTTGATGTTTGAAACAAGTAACTGCTTGTTGATGATCTTGTGCCTATTGATGAACATAATGATTGAATTACCAATCTATTTGATCTATTGATCATCATCATCTGTGTAGTCATACAAGTAGTGTATGTATATGTATGTATGTAATAAGTAATAATTGATGCACATGAATGACAAAGATCTGATTCACCGAGTCGTGAGAGGTCAAAGCGAATCCCACTTCCACCCATAAACTTTGTCCCATTCTTCGACATGCCCTCGTGTTGTTGAACAACTTATCGATTCAATCTTAAGTTAGTCAATCAAGTTCAACTAATAACGAATGATACCTACAAGGTATACAATAGGTATATCATTATTCATTGTACTCATTGCAATCATATTCACTTATAACAACAACTCATACAACTTCAACTCAATCTATTCGTTCAACAACATAACAACAACAACTCAGACAACATCTACAACAGATAATAATAAGATGAGATCTATTAGGAACTTGGCAACAGAGTTGATGAAGGAGGATGGTGCAGCACATGGTTATACACCAGCAAGATTCGCCAAACTTAAGAGGGAGTATGCTAGGTATTATGCTTTGAAGGCACCTGATAATGCATTCCAGTTTACAGCTGGCGATTGGAATCAGTTGTACGTCCCAACATCGTTTGACAGATCAACCTGCGAGTTTGTACTCAATACTCCGCGTTGGAACGCCGTCACCTCGGCAATGAACTGGTTGATGATGTTCTGGTATACAAAGACAGACAGCATGGGATACATTGGCATGGGCAACATGTTCATTCTTTCAACCGATCAATATCGCTCACTCTTCCGAATGCCAACAATTACAAACAGTCATACTACAATGACAACAACTTCATCATCATCATCATCATCGACAATCGAGGATGATGTGGCACAGCTGCCAACAGCATCACCTTCTTCATTGGTGAGACTGGGCAGTCTGTTGGATGTTGGCTCAGGATGTGGAAGTACGACTGAGCAGCTGGCGCCTATCTTCCGCGAGGTCGTCACGACAGAGGCATCAAACGGCATGTTATACAGTCTGAGAAAGAAGGGCTTCGAAGCTGTTTATTGTACAGACTTGTCAACATGCACGGAGCTGGCCGACCGACGCCACACATTTGACGTCGTCTCCTGTCTCAATGTTCTGGACAGATGTGAGCGACCCTTAACACTACTGCGATCACTCAAAGACTTTGTCAAACCAGGTGGTCGCATACTTATCGCCGTAGTATTCCCATTCAAGCCATATGTAGAGTTTGGTGGCGAAGACAACAAACCATTCGAGAAATTAGATGTATGTTTAATCTCCAAATCAATCAAATCTAATCCAATCACTTATTCATTCATTCAATACTTTATTAGGTAAACAACAAGTCTTGCGAAGAATATATCGATTCATTCATCACAAAGGTGTTCAATCCACTCGGATTCCATGTCGAATCATTTACAAGAGCGCCCTACATCTCCGAAGGCGACAAATACTACGACAACTATGTTCTCACTGACACATTGTTTGTGTTGTCAATCGCCAACGAGGGCGAAACAATGACGACATAATACATATTATACTCAACCAATTAAAATCAATCTTTCCGTAGACTCCCCGCCATTTTGGTTGTTATTAGGTCCTTGGGCCGAGTCCTCGAGGACTCGCGACATGCCTCGAGATAACCCTTTCGAATTACCAATGTCAAAGAACACCTCATATCTTGTACAGATCCCGGCAATGACCTTTTATGGTAATACGTAGGGAAGACCCTTGTCACCCATCTGGATTACCAAATAAGGTGTTATAATTTGGCCTGAGTGTGTTTGTGTGAATGAAAGGGTTTATGTGTGTGTGTGAATGAACAATAAAGGCAAACAAGGGACAACATTGTTGATGCTGGTGGGTGGATTGTGGACTTTAGATGGGCCTAGTTGGCGTCAATGAATCTGGACACTATTGGGAGGGTAATTAAAGTGAGCGAAGATTGAATAGAATTGGAAAAGAGTTGATACGTATACTTAACTTAACAAATCTAAACTATATTCATTTATTCAAACACAAGTGTTACATACACACACGTATAAACAGATAATCAAGTTAACTCACATAAAGGTATGGATTAGATCATCATAGGAGTGGCGACATATCCCCACCTACATACAAAATACTAATAATTCAAATTATTATTATCTTGAACTTGATCCATGATTGGTCCGGAAATGGGTTAGCCATATCAATAATATTAATATTAATTAAAAAAGAATGGTAAAGCAAGTACTAACAACCACAAATGTAGAGGAGCTAAGTGATGCCTCAAGAGTGATCAGCAAGTCAACCAACATTGGTTCTCCGTTTACCAGGGCTCCAAGATTCTTGTTTGATGAGGGCTCCCAATCAGGATTGGCTGGTTCGAACCTGTCCACTACCACTACCTCCCTGTCCCAAGCTTCCTCTGAGTTGCCAACTGTTGAGAGGGTTGCCACCACCAGCTCTTTGAACACTCCAATGACGGCCACCGACCTCAATGCTGGAGTGGCCACAAATAACTTGGCATCAACCTCTACCACAACCCAATATGGATATGGTGATTACTCCAGAATGTACAATGAGTACTATGGTATCAAGGGTCATATGTTCACCCATCAGGAACTCTCTGACATGTTCCGTCACAAGGGATGGTATTCACATGGCGGCCAACTCCTACAAGGTGCCAACAAGGCAAAGAACATTATCTAGTTAAACTAGTTTGAGAGGACGCTAAATATTTTGTAAATAATAACAACCTAGAATTATAAATACCTTTAGTCTTGTGTATAATAATTTATTATTCCAATGTTTCCAGAATCCAACCCAACTCCATCCTTGAAGTCTTTGATTTGAAACATGGATGTTTTGGAGATCACCAGATCACCAGGATGTCTACTCGATCGATGAATCGAGTTGCTGGCCTGGTAAACGATCCAAGATCAAGATGTCAATTATCTTGTCGACATAGTAAACAACACGACTCCCAACAACTACAACAACATAATCATTGAAACAAGGTAGGTATTCAAACTATATCATTCATTGTATAGTCGACTGAAGACATAGTGTTCAATGACTTGACATTGAGTTCAATGAATTTCTTTCACCAGTTGTCAAACAAAAATTAAATTAAATAACAAATCAATGAATCGTTGACAAAGAAGCGCGCTTTCGGTTTAGTGTGTTGATATGTGTGTGGTGTGTTAATGAAGATGTTGGAATTGGACTTGGAAGATAGTTGAGAAAGTATTTGTTGGCAATATTGAATACCTGTATGTATATATACAATATAAATTTAATAGTGTTTATAAACATTAAAGGTAGAGAGATAGAATAAAGATACAAATATCGAGAGGTATAGTTGTCCTTATGATAGAAACAGTTCAAAAAAAACAAAAAAGTATTTGAAATCAATCACAAAAATTAGCAACTTTATCCATCATCACACACAACAAGTACAACAACAAAGTTTAGTGAATTGAAAGTAAGTGAGTGTGTGAGTGAGTGGTTTATGCATCTTTATGTGTGTGTGTGTGTGTGTGCACTTCTTGCAAACAACAACAAGCTGTTGCCTACTTGAGTGTGTGCGTTCAAGAGGAGCGTCACTAGATCCATTGTAAATTTAACTACACATATAAACATATAAATAATTATATTTCTATAAAACTAGTTTGAAGTAATATTATATATATATATATACTCACACAGTTGAACTCATTCATTCATTCATAAACCTCCGATAGAAGAACAGCAGGAAGAAAGAAGAAGATCACTACATTTTTGTAACAGCTACGATCAATCAAACAATCAATCAATCAAACAATCAACAACATACAGCAGTTTGACAATGTCTACAACAGCTTCGAATACACCATCCAGCAAGAGTGCTGCCTACGATCATTTGATCAAGTTATTGCTCATTGGTGACAGTGGTGTCGGAAAGGTAAGGATCAAACAAACTTGATTGACATCACGATGATTATGATGAACTGACATATTGATGTATATATAGAGTTGTCTTTTGCTCCGTTTCTCTGAGGACTCTTTTACACCAAGTTTCATCACAACTATTGGTATCGACTTTAAGATCCGTACGATTGAGTTGGAAGGAAAGAGGATCAAGCTTCAGATTTGGGACACTGCAGGTCAGGAGCGTTTCAGAACAATCACTACAGCCTACTATCGTGGTGCTATGGGCATCCTTTTGGTGTACGACGTCACTGATGAGAAGTCCTTCGGAAGTATGTATCATCATCTATATCATGATCATTATTATCTTTGATCATTCAAACTGACTAATGATGATCATCTTTATTATTAGACATCAGAAATTGGATCAGAAACATTGAGCAACATGCCACAGAGTCCGTCAAGAAGATGTTGATTGGAAACAAGTGTGATCTTCCAGAGAAGAAGGTGGTCGACACTGCCAGAGGCAAGGCTTTGGCCGATGAGCACGGTATCAAGTTTTTGGAGACATCTGCCAAGAACAGCATAAACGTAGAGGAGGCTTTCATCACACTGGCAAAGGACATCAAGAAGAACATGATCGACAAGGAGATTGGCACACCAGGCCAACCAAACGTCGACATCACAAAGAGTGCAACAGAGGATAAGAAGGGAGGCTGTAAGTGTTCATGTTTCTGACGATGCATCCACCCAGGGATTACTTGGTCCTAACACACCTCTCATCAATCAATCAATCATTCAATCATTCATTATATAAAGGCTGTGGCAAGTAATCCAGCATCATACCGATCAATCATTCAATCAATCCACTCCCCCACCATTCATCACCTCACCAACAGGCATTCCAACATCGTTCGTCATTCATCTATTTAACCAACCTCAGCAGCCAGCAAAGCAACAAGCAATGCGCGCTTCAACAACTACTTTATATCAACTCAACTCATCTCACAACAACAACTTATAACATCAACAACAACAACAACAACAACAAACAATGACCATGCAATGGTTGGAAGAGTTGCGTTAGGTGCTTGTCTGCTTGTCTGTCACATTATTAACAAATCAACCGTGTGTTAGCAGTGTGCCAAAGGTTGTTTGTTTGTTCGATTCATTGTCCAAAGGAAGGACACAACATCCGACAAATAAACCATATGTGCACATTATATTATCATAGTTCTCTCCTCTCTCTCTCCTGTCTTCTCCAGTCTATGCATTATGTAAGATCAAGGATAACCTGCCCATTTGTTAACAATTTCTTGGAGTCATTTATTGGGGATCTAACCAAAGTCATCCTATTATTACAACAATTATTTGTTTGTCTCGACTTAGCAAGCAAGTTCACCGAATGACAATAATTCCCAAAGAATACCAAACTTTGTAGATTCACCAAAATTAACCTTAAATTAAATTAATAAAACACACAACTTCAAATCAATCGTACAGATACAGATAAATAGATACAGATACATATACATACATATACATACATACATAATGGTTTATGTTTACTTTGAAAAGCAATGTATGTCGTTGCCTAACCAACCAACCAACCAATCAGAATAACAGAATAAACAATGTCCTAACATTATGATTAAAGTGGCATCATTATGTGGTGTTCACTGCCTCAACTCATTGTTGCAGGGAAGTTACTTCACAGCTGTAGATCTGGCAAATGTAGCTCATCAACTTGATCAAGAGGAGATGGATGTGATGAGCCAAGCTGGAATGGATACATCAGACTTTATAAAGTTTGCTGCAGTATGTGATGATTCCAGCCACAATCAGTGAAGTGATGCCATTAAGCTTAATCACTTACATATCATTCAACCATTGTAGGAAGGCAGTGGTAACGTCGCAGATGATGGCTTCTACAGTGTACAGGTACTGGAAAAGGCACTCCTCACATTCAATCTGACATGTACCTCTATAAACAAACAAGAGAATGCATCAGTGATTGAAAACCCATTGTATGATCAATCATTCAATCAATCAATCAACGATTGAGTTCATCTGCTAATAATTCATAACATCATCATCATCAACAGGTCAGAGGATGGCTTTATATGTAACCTATCAAACCATTGGTTCACTTTGAGGAAGATCCAGGGCAAATGGTTCGATCTCAACTCACTCAAGAAGCCATCTGTATTATCAGACTTTTATGTTGGACTCTACCTCGAGACACTGAGACAGCAGGGTTGGAGCATATTTGTCGTCAGAGGGACATATCCAAACATTGTCCCCTTCTCACCTGCTGAGCTGGGCATGTGGGTAGACGTGGACCCTAACGCACCTGCCCAGCAGGGCAGCAGGCCAACACCACCCAAGCAATCAATGACTGACTATGATCCTGAACTGGAGGCAGCTCTAAAGATGAGTTTGGATTATGCAGAGTAAGTTGGCCGGATCCGGATCGGTCTTTTCTGGAACTACTGGATCACTAACTAACATAAACGAAACACAAAAACAGTGAGAACGAAACATATAGACCTATTGGCACTTATCCAAGTAATCCAAACGATGCATATACTCTGATCGAGGTGGATGAGAATGAGCAACTGATAGATGACGAGGATGAGGACCTTAAAGCAGCCATCGAAGCCAGTCTCAAACAATCATAGTCAGCCCATGATGATCCAACTTGGATCTATGGCGATGGCCAATCAATCAACCAATCATTCTTCCAACTCTACCAAACAATCAATCAATCTGTTGTAAATATACTCAAAGGGAATTGAATACCCTTATTTCCTGGACGACCCAAACAAGTTTGGGAAGATATATCTTCCATGGATAGGATAGTTGTAATTGATTGATATTAGCAATACAAGAGGGTTTATTGGGTTGGTTGCATGGAGGCGAGATGTATGAATGAATGGACAAATGGAAGAATGAATGGATTGGATTGATTGAATAGATATGCTACTAAGGGTGCTTGTGAATACTGTTTACAATTGGTGTGGATTTGGCTGGATGGATGGCTGGATGGTTGGATGGTTGGATGGATGGTTGGATGACTTATATTACTTGCTGCGTCTACATATTGAAGATGAAAACGCTATCGATGAAGATTTGGCGTTGACTTGGACTTCAAAACATTGACAGAAGACTCTCTATTCTTAACATAGTCCTTCATCGAACTGAGCGCTGAGTCCAATGTCTTGGATTCCTTATTCTCATTGTTCTCCTGTATAATTGATTGATTGTTTGTTAGTTTGGAGACTGTTGGATTTGTACACATCAATGTACTTGATCAACTCAACTTACCGCCAGCCATGGATGTTTCATACACTGAGAGGCAGTCCACCTCTCTGTTGGATTGATTACCAACAGCTTTGATATAAAGTCTTTGGCGAGATCGGTGACATTCGTCCATTCTGGCTCTGGGAAGTCGTACTCTAGATCCAATATCTTTTGGAATAGCTCGTGATGTGTGTCGGCGTAGAACGGCGCAAAGCCGCACAGCAATATATATGTGATCACTCCAATGCTCCACATGTCCACCGATGTATCATATGCCTTGCACTCCAAGATCTCTGGCGCAACATAGTCTGGAGTACCACAAGCTGTCTTTAGTTCCTCTCCACCTTCAAATATCTTGGATAATCCAAAGTCTATTATTGGATAAATGAATGAATGATCGTTATGTGTAAGTGATCCATATCCATGTCGCTCACTCTGTCACTCTGTCACCTGCTTCTCTGAATCATACCTGCTATTCGAACAAACTGTTCTGGTTCATCCTCAGCAGAACATAATAGGTTCTCTGGTTTCAGGTCACGGTGACAGACACCGTGTTGGTGCATATATTCTACAGCAGAGACGATCTGTCTAACAAGATTGCAAGCGTCCTTCTCTGAGTACTGTCCTTTTCCTACAATCCTATCGAATAGTTCACCTCCTCTTACACTGTATTGTCATAAAGGTCATCGATTATTAGCATAATGTTTGATTGATCGAGTGAATGAGCGTCAACTGATGTCGCTCACGTGCCCAATGAGTCGGAATGAATGAATGAATGAATGATTGTAATGACCTACAGTTCTAGAACTAGATATAGATATTCAGGTGAATCAAACACCTCTATGAGTTGTATAATGTTCTTATGCTTTAACTTCTTCATAATCTGTATCTCTGTAGTGAATCGCTTCATGTCTGCCTCAGCAACATGTTGTTTGGCAATAGCCTTTATAGCCACCTGAGCACCTGTCTCTTTATGTGTACCCAGTCCAACAACTGAGAATGCTCCTCTAATTGTTTATATCATTGTTAGCCATCCGTCCTCTTCATCCTCTGTCTATCTGTGAGCCTATATTGTACCTTCCTATCTCATTTCCAAACTCGTAGTAGTCTTCTATTTTTGAACCTTTCTTCCTTGATATATTCTTCTTGATAAACTTTATCATGTTGACACACATGTAGTAATATCCTGAATGCTTCAAGATATATCCTATCTATCTGTTCAATATATATATATATATCTATATATCTATCTATCTATCTATCTGTGAATGTGTGAATGTGGTGTTGTTTGACAGTTGAACACTTCATGAAACTTGAAGTTGTGTTGTGTTTGTTGGTTTGTTTGTTAGTTTGTTTGGATGCAGGGGTCCAAAAAAATGATTGAGGTACTTGATGGGTCAGAGACACCTCTCACAGATCTTCATTCAGTGTATTTGACGTGATCAACACATGTTTCGCAAAGGTTTGTGGTCGACTAACAAACTACATTCTTTGAAAATGACACATGTCCAAGGTCATGTTCATACTTTCCATTCCTTGTCCAAAAGATGTTTGTTGAACAATGAGTCAAAGTCCAAGACCAAGACCATGAACATGAACATGATAGTATAGTATCAAAACGGTTTATTGTCAAGATACATCTAACTATTTGATTGGTCGCATGGATGAATGAGTGAATGAATAGTGATGGGATGGGATGTGGTGTGATGTGATGTGATGTTCAACTCTTGGTCTCACACAGTGAACCTTCTGTTCGTCGTTGTTGAAGGGGATCACATTTCACCATTGGGTAAATGATACAATCAGGCAGCCTTGGGCTTGTTCTTGGTGACCCTGGTGGTGGTGGTGGTCTTGATGGTGGCTTTGGATGCGGGCTTGGTAGTCTTGGCAACGGTGGCGGTGGTGGTGGTCTTGGCCGCTGACTTCTTGGTGTCGGCTGCTGGCGCTGACTTCTTCGCTGGGACGGCTGGTCTTGTTTCCTTCTTGGGTGGCTCAGCCTCAGCCTCAGCCTCAGCCTCAGCCTCGGACTCTGAGTCAGCCTCAGCCTCAGCCTCCTTCTCAACAACCTTCTTGGTTGGAGCTGGTTTCTTGGTGTCGGCAGCCTTCTTTGCTGGAGCAGCAGCCTTGGGGGCTGGCTTCTTTGTCTCCTTGACTGGGGCTGGCTTCTTGGTCTCTGTCTTTGTCTTCTTCATTGGTTGTACTACCTCCTCATCCTCCTCGTCATCTGACTCCTCTGCCTCTGCCTCGGCCTCTGCCTCTGCCTCCTCCTCCTCCTCCTCCTCTGCCTCCTCCTCCTCCTCTTCCTCAGCATCATCCTTCTTTGTCTTCTTGGCGACCTTGGAAGCCTTCTTTGGATTCTTGACGGAACCGGTAAGCTTGACCTTGGCTGGATTGGTCAAGAAGTTATACAGAGCCTCCACACGGTGAACCTTTGTGGAGCCAATTTCCAGATGCATCAACTTCATTATTGTCTTGAGTTCGTTTGCTGAAGCCTTCTCAATTCTACGCTCAAGTGTCTCCCTCATGGCAGCGTCCTACATCATCATGTCGTTGTGTCGTTGTCGTTAGTATTGTGCGCGCTCATCAATCAATCAAACGATCAACATTAACATACCTTGCCCAAGTTGAAACCAGTAAAGTTCAGGATGTTGGTCCTGAGGCTCTCACCCTTCTTGCCATCTCTGTTAAAGACAATGTGATGCAGCACCTTGTAGCAGTCTGCCTGATCAGGAGTCGACTTCTTCTTCAAGTTATCCTCAACTTTGTCGTTTGAACGCGGTCGGTCAGTCAGTGATAATCACATCAATCAACCATACTAATCAATACTACTTACAACGTGGATGGATTTGACGGATTGACTTGCCCTCGCGGATTGGGAGGTTCTTTCTGGTGGCTGAGACCTCTACGGAGGGGAGTTCGCGAGTGACTGGTCTGCTGGCACGCTTCTCCAATGGGTCCTTGAGCAGACGTTTCATGTACGAGCTCTCAGTTGATAGCGAGGAGTCACGCTTTCTCTTCTTGTCCTCTTGATCCTTTGGTGCGGCGGTTGCAGCTGGCTTCTTTGTGGTCTTGGAGGGAGCTGGCTTGGCAGTCTTGGTAGTGGCAGCAGCCTTCTTTGGAGCAGCGGTGGTGGTGGTAGTGGTGGTGGTGGTAGTCTCATCATCAGACATGTCCTCTACTGGTGCTGCCGCGACAGTAGTACTCTTCTTCTTATTAATTGTAGCCATTATGTCTAGTTTGTTTGGTTGATTGATTGAATGATTGAACGAACGAATGATTGATTGATTCAAAGTCGAACGAATGATTGAACGAGTAGTAATAGAGAGTGAACGAAGAAAGAAGGTTAGTTAACATGTTTGTTGTTGTTGTCGTTGTTTGATAATTGATCATCATGATGATCATCGCTCACTCACATTATATATATATCTCAAGTATATTCGTTAGAGAGTTGTTGTTGGAGATGTGGATGTGGATGTTATAACATATGAATGATTGGAACAACAAGTGATGATCATCAGCACTCACTGCATGCAAGCAATGATCTGATCGGAAAGAACTGGAAACATGTGAACGAAATTCGAATAATGGCGCGCACGTCTGTTTGTTTAAATAAGTTTGAAGATCAATCCATCAGTCATCAGTCAATCAATCAGATCATCATGTCGTTACGTCTGACCAAATGGTTTAATAATATATAATATATAAAGTAAATACGTGATGATGGATACCTATTACGGCCCATCATCAACCATAGTGGATAATGGATATTGGATAATGGATGCCACGCCAAGCCAAGCCAAGCCATGTTGTTCATGAATTGTCACCGTCATAGGTGACTATTTGCTTCAGACTCTCTATCTCATCTTGAGTTCTAATGAATCTTTGTAGATTTGAAGTTGGAATATCGCTCTCGTTCAACTCCTTGTCCATGAGATCCGGATGTAATTTACATAACTTCTCCACTTCCACCGTTTCCAAGTCTACATTTCCATCAATAATTGTTTCCTCACTGATCTTATACTGAGTATTTGATTGATTGATACGAGATATGTAAGTATGATTGCATGTATACATGTTTGCCGCCCGCAACTAAACTGAAGCTGGGGATACATACCATGAGTAGCTTCTCGAGGTTAAGCTCCTCGTTTAGGGTGATTCTGTCATCTTTGTATGGTTCGTTGATAATGCAGAAGTTGAGGTCCTCTTCGGTGACCTTGATGTGTTCGCATCCGGGCGCGCTGATTGATAGCAGTCGCTGCTTCGCCTGGATGAGTTTGATCTTTCGTCGAATGCGATCGAATGATGCCTTTATAAAGGCTGGCGGACAGGCCTGTCCGTTGGGCGAAGTTCTCTGGTGATGCTTGAGGTACTGTCGGTACTTGTACGAGTTTGGCCTTGGCTTTTTTGATGGCTCTTGTTGTGGAAGTTTGATTCTCTTGTGACCTCGGTCGTCGTCACTGTATGTCAACAGGGGGCTTGATGTTGAGTCAACTGTTGCTTGTTCCTCTCTCTCCAATAACAATTCCTTTTCCTCGTCATAGTCCTCTCCTTCATAATAGTTGTCCTCCATGTCGTCTGTGTCATCGTCTTCGATGGCATCGCCACCCTCTTCCTCCTTCTCCTCCTCGTCCCCCATTAGATACAGTTTGTCATCTTCGTCCTGGATCTGATTGTTGGGCTTCTCATTCATGAAGTAATCCTTCACAATGATTCTGGTGTACTTGTGATAGTTCTGTTCGGTGACGTTCATCTTGCTTAGTAGTGGCGACTTTGCACAGTAGCAAACGATCATTGATTTGAACTCGCGCACTCTCTGTTGAGCAGACTTGGTTGTTGTGGACAGTATCTTGCAGATACGATCAATGTCTGGTTTGACCAGTGTCTTGGCGTGCAGTGCCAGATAGGCACAGGCGCAGACGATGGCCGAGGGTGACCTGCCCTCGACCAGCTGTCCCTTGTCTGCAAAGTTGATCAACTCTGCCATCAACATCCTTAGTTGCTTCATCTCCTCCGTGTTAAACTCTGTCTTGTACTGTGTGAGTATCCTATCTATGAACGTTGGCAGGTCGCTCTGATCTAGACTAACGCCAACCACTTTAGTCATCTTTGTTGCCAATCTTCCCAATGCATAGAATTCCTGGCCAATGACGCCCTGATGTTATTGTTCATTGAACAGACGTTAGTATGTGTACCATCGACTTGACGAATGAACCAATATAACATACAGATATGTCCATTAGGTTCAAAGGTCGCTTGTTATGTTTGATTACAATGTAGGCGAGTGCTCCAGCGACAAGATCTGCTCGGTGCATCTTGATACTTGGCATCTTGCGCAACACATTGTTGTAGAATCCAACCATCTCAACCTTTAATGCTGAGCTCAGTTGTAGTAGGTCACAAGTCTTTGATATACTTTCCATTTGCTAGCAGGGAAGAAGTAAGTAAGTTAAATCGAATGAATGATTGGAATGAATGAATGAACGTACGTGTGCAGTTATGTCTTGAGTGACTGCTCTCTTGGAACCGGATGACGAGGTGAGATATCGCTTCTTTTGATACTTGGATGGTAGTGATGAACGGTTGCTAGAGGCACCACCACCGCCACCACCGCTGCCATAGTCCTCCTGTGTGACCAGATTGACGACAGTCAACACTTTAGCGCATTGTGTACACACTGCTATACCATCTGGGCTGTAATCAACTTCACTTGAACCACAAGAGTCGCATTGTTTAACCATTTAAATACAGTGTATTCACTTCAAGTCTTGTTTGACAAATTATCTCTTATCTCTGTTGCTGGGGTTTGAGAGAAATGAAGTGAAAGTGTCACTTGTTGTGATTTAGAATGTCATTTGTTAATTTATCATTTATTTAATTATTTAATTAATAATATCTGGTATCTTTGAGAGATATCTAGATCTGGACAGATTTAAATAACCAACTCTGACACTCATAATATATGTTGCTATTGAGTAGGAAGCCTCATGCTGTGTCGATACGAAACCTAGATGTTTGGCTTGTCGACATTGAGCGGTGGCATTGGTAGTTGAACCAAGGGATGGGATAACTCGATAGAGATGCTTTGGAATGGAGAGAAATTGGTTCCACCAAAGACTGCCACAACAAAAACACCTGGAGGAGAAGTGCACAAGACGCCTCCAATGGCCAATACTAGTTCTTTGAGATGTGAATGTCTTATTTGTTGTTGTTGTAGAAGTACTTGTTGTAGTTGTTGTTTYCAAGGACTCCAGTAGTTGCTGTACATTTATGTCTTCTTTCCCTAAATGTTGTTGTTGTAGTAGTGGTATTTGTTGTTCCAGTTGCTCCCGATGTTTTGTATTCAATGTAGAGTGAGTAGCTGGAGAATCGGATTTGTTGATCAACAATTGCACCTCGTCGATCGAGAGGTAAATGGACACTGGTTTCTTGATGACTGAGTATATACATTGGAGAGCCTTACTCAACAGCAGGGGCTTGTCATCCTTCGACTTCCACATATTGAACAGATCATTGAGTGGAGTACCAAGATTGAGGAATCTGTGTAAAAGACGAATGGAGAAAGCACTCTCCACATGATCCATGTCGAATTGTGTGACCTTGGTATCGCTTCCATATGTAATGTATATATCAATTGGTGTATGGTCATTGTCAATCACCTGGTGGCGGAGAAGTGCTGGATACTCCAGAAGCAGTCTAGTCTTTCCAATGCCAGGTAGGCCAGCAGCAACATAGATGGAATGTAATTTTTGGTCATGGCTCTTTGAGGAAACCCTGTTTCTAACAGACTTTACTAGCATTTCAATGGCACCTTTTCTCCCAACGAATGGGGAAGAGGATCCGATACTCCATGGTTGTTGTTATTGTTTGTGATTGGATTCCTGTACAATGTCAGAATGGTTAACACCTGTACTTCCAAGCCACAAATCACAACTTACCATTGAGAGTTTCGGAGAACCAACAGTGAGCATCCACTGGACAATACTCTCTTCATTGGAACTGTCAACATGTCCAGGCCCAATCTTGAGAAACAAAGACCCATCAGCCCTTCTAGGAATGCTTGACAATACAGTACTGTTGTCTGTTATCCTGATGTTGATGTTATCATCAGTGATACAATCAATATAGAATGAATCAATGGAGATGTCTTTGATTAATGTGAACTTTGGTTTAGCATATTCCTTTAGGTCTTCAATATATTTGATATCCACAGGAATCTTGATTGATTGTTGTAGAGAATCTAGGAACAACCTTTGTGACATTGAATAGATAATTAATTAATAATAGTTGTTGTTAGAGAGATGGATAGATAGGAATAAGTGAATAGAGAAGGCATTGTGATGAAGTAAATATATGTATGAGTTATAACTTAGTAGATAGAGAAAAGTATGAGTTCACTACTTTTTAAGTGAAACCCATCAGTCGTCTCAACTTCATTCAATCATCTCCATCTGAATAATGTCAAACAGAGTACTTGTAATAGACAATGGTGCACATACTTTAAAGATTGCTCATGCTCCGGCGACAGGATCAGAGCCAGCACCAATCCCAGTGTATGTCCCCATGCATGTTAGCTAGCACCGCACTCATTCACTCACATCAATCATACATCGCATCGTAGGGTCGTGCCCAATCAAGTAGGCAAGACAAAGAGCGAGAAGAAGTATATTGTAGCGGATGAGTTGAATAAGCCACAACATGCGACAGAGATCAAGTTGAGAGGTCCAATGGAAAAGGGCTATATTACAAACTGGTCAGTGCAGAAGGAGATATGGGATCATGTATTCAAGATGGAGGAGCTCAAGGTCAAGCCTGCAGACACCTCCCTACTCCTCACCGAAGCACCCTTTGACCTCGAAGAGATACGCAAGTCACTCTACGAGACTGTCTATGAACAATACAAGTTCAAATCACTCTGTCTTGCCTCGCGTAAGTTACCCTTACACCCCTTACCCTCCTGCCCTTACCTAACCTTTATCTTAGCCACTACCCTTGCATTGACACACTTCAAGGCGTCAGAGCCACCAAGCTCACCATTCATATCATCACCATGTCACTTGGTAGTAGACTGCGGATACTCATTCACACATGTCGTTCCTCATCTCTTGAACAATCGACTCAACTATGCAATCAAGAGGTTCCAGGTTGGCGGCAAGCTGATGACAAACTATCTAAAGGAGATAGTATCGTTTAGGTATTGGGATATGATGCATGAGACTAGATTACTAAACACGATCAAGGAGCGTGTATGTTATGTATCTCATGACTTCCTTGGTGATCTTGCCAAGTGCCAACCCAAGCCCAAGGAGTCGGCACTGGCCATCGACTACGTACTTCCAGACTACATCAATGACAATACAACTGGATACATCAAGGTAGGTCACTGACATGGCCATGGACATGGACATGGACATGATGCTCGAAGAGAACTTGACACTAACCATCACGACACAAACAGAACAAGGCATACTTCCCTCAATCATCAGACGACTCTACTTCCTCAATGAACAATGTACAACAACAGAAACAACAACAACAACAAACAAGCGATCAACAACAACAACCAGATAAGAAGGATGATGAACAGATGAAGGAACAAAAGGATGAGGAGCAGATATTGACGTTGGTGAATGAGAGGTTCAGCGTGCCAGAGTTGTTGTTCAATCCATCGGACATTGGATTGAACCAGGCAGGTCTAGCCGAGAGCATAGTTCAATCCATCAACAGCACCAACATCAATCTACACCAGCCACTCTACTCAAACATCTTGCTGATAGGTGGCAGTACCCGACTGCCCGGCCTCAAGGACCGTCTATACCAAGAGCTCAGGGCGATGACGCCAGATCACCTAACAGTTAAGATATACACTCCAGAAGAGTAAGTTGTCAATTATCATCATCACTCTATCAATCAATCAATCAATCGCTGACCATATGCCCAACCATTGATAGCCCTGTCCTGGCACCATTACAAGGCGGACTGAGGTTTGCCCAGCAGTCAGACTTCCATCGATACACGGTCACCAAGAAGGAATACGAAGAACATGGATATGTATTGTGTAATCGTCGATTCTATTAAACCTATAGCCCGTTGGGCGTCTTTAATGGCTATGTCCATGATGGCTGTGACCGTGGCTGCCTCCGTGGCTGTGWCCATGATCTCCGGCACCGTGGCTGTGTCCATGATGTTGTTGAATCTTGGATACGTCGAATTGGACACCATCACTGTGATGCACCTCGTTAAATGCCAGATGATCATTTGGCGAGCCATGTCCATGTCCATGTCCATGGTCATGTGGCAGCATTCCATGCAGCCAGTAAATGCTCAGGAAGATCACAAACATTCCAATCACGTTGGACACTGTTGCGGCCTTGGGTGAGAGGGAAGAGAGGTGTCAGGTATACATCCAATCATACTCATTCACTGACTCAGTCTAGGATACTTACATTGACGCTGACATACTTGAGGGTGGCGGGCATCAACTCCTTGATGGCCATGAAGATCATGATACCAGCGACAGCGGCAAGCATGCATTGCACCAGATAGGGCGACATGTAGTCCTTGAAGATGAGACCAAAGATGATGGCACCAGCTGGCTCACAGAGTCCACTGAGCAGACAGTACTTGAACGCCTGCCATTTGGATCCGGTGGCAGTGTAGATTGGTGCGGCCACAGCCATGCCCTCGGGGATGTTGTGAGCGGCAATCGCAAGCATCAAAGGGATACCGACGTTGGCTCCCTTTAGACATGCAAGGTACACAGCCACACCCTCTGGGAAGTTGTGCAAACTGATACCAATGGCGGTCACAATGCCAAGCTTGACCAAGTATGCATCCTTTGCTTTCTTCTTCTTGTCCTCATCAGAGTGAACCTCCTTCTTCTCAGACTTCTCAGACTTCTTCTTGTTCTTCTTGCTCTTCTTGTCATCATCATGCTTGTCCTCTTGCTTGTCTGACTCGTCGACCTCCTCCTTGTCCTGGTCGCCAACCTTGATCACCTCCTTCTGTGGCTTTGAGGCCACCTTTGGTGGTTCATGAGCATGTTCCTCACCCTCTGCATCAGGTACCAATTGCAAGATCAATGCAAAGAATAGTATACCTCCAAAGAACTACATTGAGTGGTAGTTAGTTAGTGTTACCGCTCGCGAGCTACATGTGTTACCGTGAGACCGACGAACATACATAGAAGTTGGCAGGGAGGAATCCAATCTCTTCAATAGCCTCTGGCAATAGGTCGAGGAATGATATGTATATCATAACACCGGATGAGAAACCTAACATGTAGCCCAAGACCTTGAACGATGGTTCTTTCATCAAGAGAATGAACACACCTCCAAGTGCCGTAGACAAACCACTTATAAGGCACATAAACAATGCTGTTGGAACATTCTTACTATAATCCATCTCTCTCTATTATTTATATATATTATAACTATATTATGTTACTATGTTTATAAATATAATGACTGGTTGATTGATTGATTGATTGACTGAATGATGGTGGTTGTTCAAAGTTAAAGCCAGAGTGATTGGTCATCGGATCGCACACGTCACCCCCTTGTTGAACAACACACTCATCAAATTAAATTCAAAGTCAAGGTAAGGCAAGGCAAGGCCAAGGTCTACTCGTAGACCTGAGACGATAGACATTGATGAAGTAGGTCGAGTAGTGTTGTTGCCAAGTGATTGTCCATCAATCTGATTGTGGCTGTGTTGAGAAGTTTATTGTAACATGGTGTGTTTGAATTATTAATAAGAGAGAAAGATAGAGAGAGAGGGATGGGGAGAGGATAGTATGGGTGGTCTTACAACTGATACAAAGAAAGGAGGAGGTGGAGGAGGTTGGTGGTAAAGATAGGTTGTTGTTGTTGTTGGCGTAGCTGTTGTTGTCGACAATGAGTATGTAAATGTGGAGGAGGTGGATGGGGATGTTGAAGTAATGCCAGACCGAGACTGCGTTTGAACTTGTTGTTTGATTATGCTGCCGCTGTTGCTGTTGTTGTTGTTGTTTGCTACTATTGCTGCGTTTGGTCGATTGCTTCGTAGGTTGTTGTTGCTGTTGCTGATATTGTGCTGTAGTATTGTTTACATTAATGAGAACTTGCTCTGTGCCTCCTTGGCCTTCTTGGCCTCGGTAATCGCTGGCACCAAACCGTTGCTGTTGCACGCCTGTCTCAAGAAGGGGTGCTTCAAGAGCGTCTGGGCGTCGGGTCTGTTGTCGGGATCCTTGTCCAGACACTTCTTGACGAAATCCTTGAAGTCCTCGGACCACTTGCCCTGCTCCTTGAGGTCGGGGATGCCCTTGGTCGTGATGAGGAACAGCGCACGCAGGGGTGGGAACGACATGTAGGGTGGCTCCGACTCGGCCATCTCCATGGCCATGATACCAAGACTCCAGATGTCCACCTTGCGGTCGTAGTTCTGTCCACGGATCAGCTCTGGCGCCATCCAGTATGGTGTACCAACGATTGTCACTCTCTTTTGCTTGTTCTTTGTGAGCTGGGCGGCATAACCAAAGTCGGCAAGCTTCACCGAACCATCCGATCCCAACAATATGTTATCACTCTTAATATCTCTGTGAATACGATATTGATTGTGAATGTATGCTAAACCCTTCAATGACTATGTTTGTTTGTGATTGATTGATTGATTGATTGATTGGTTGAGTGAGTGAGCTGATTGAGTTGATTGATTGATTGAGGTGACAATACATACCTCTGCGCAAATGTAGGCAATCTGTGACTCTGTCAGCTTGATGGTGCTGAATTGTTCCAGGACCTCGGTAAGACAGCCTCCACCCATGAACTCCATGGCCACCCAGAGTGAGTCGCCAACCAGATAACTGTCAATATAATCGATAATGTTTGGATGTTTGCATGATTTCATGATTCCAATCTCGGTGATCAGAAGCTTCATGTTCTGTTGATTCAGTGGCATCTTCTTGATTGCAACCTTGGTGTTGTTCTTTAGTCTTGTGACGACAAACACCTYCACCTGCGGCACCCTCACCAATCTTCATCGAGCCATCTGCGTACAACTTGGATGGGTCCTCTGTGCTGATAAGATCATCTATATTTGATTGAGATGTGTTAGTAACTGACAATCATGATTGAGTGATTGAATACATACTCAATGAGAGTGTAGTCTCCTCGGGTATTGGAGGGGATGATTGATTGTTCATCAGGTCAAAGTCATCACCATCGGACAGAGGTGGGATATCATTGTACATTTGTTGCATCTGTTGCTGTTGATGTGTCTGTTGCTGCTGCTGTGGCTGTGGTGCAACGGGTGTTGGGTGAGCGATGGGTTGTGTGTGCTGCTGTGGCTGTGCCTGGAACTGTGGCTTGGGTGGCATGGGCTTGGTGCCATGTTGGTTGTTCATCGAGCCCAAGTGGAAGTCCAGCACATCGAGCACGGCCTGTGGCTGCTCGACCACATCCTCCTTGGTGATACCGGAAGACTGCAGGACGACCTCCCACTCGCGGGGCAGACCTTCGAAACCTGTGATCGAGTTGTAATCGACATGCACGTTGTGCTTGACGTTGAAGGGCACGCCAACCTCGGGCTCCTTCTTCTTGTTCTTCTTGCCCGACGTGAAGATCTTGTCAAAGAATCCCATGATCTTCTTCTCCTCCTCCTTCTTCTCGACGGGAGGCGAAGGCGGCGCCATGTATGTGTTGTTGGGTGGCGACGACGCCAGAGTTGGTGTGGTGTGCGACGAGGAGTTGAGCGAGGGCGATGCGGGCATGGGCTTGGAGGCGCCGCCGCTGGTCGACAGGATGTTGCCTAGATTCGAAGGTGCCAGCTTCTTGACTGCGCCCGGCTGCGGCTTGCTGGCGGGGGGAGGAGGGGGAGGAGGAGGGCCGGCGCCAATGACCGTGATGGGCACTGGCGAGGTGGACATTTGCGTCCTGTTCTGCTGCACTTGTGGCAGAGGTCTGGGCGGGGTGGAGATTGGTGCCGAGTTGTATTCCTCTGGTCTGGACTGTGTGGGCAAGACTGGTGCCGGGGCCTTCTTTGTCGCGGCGACCGCCGGGCGCTTTGGAATGGTAGGTGTGAGTGATCCAGCACCAGTTCCATTAGTCGACGTTGGTGTACCCATCATCGTCTTTTTTGGAGTTGGATTACGTCTCGAAGGTGGTGACGAAGAGTCAGCCTCCAACGACTGTGCCTCAAACTTCTCCCTCATCATTGAGACTCTTTGATTCTTTGTTCCATTCTCCACTGTTTTTGTTTGAATAAGTCATATGTGTTAGATCAATCGATTCATTCATTCATTCATTCATTCACTTCGATATATTGATCGATCAAATCTCATCATCTTCAACATATTGTAATCAATCTCATCATTCATTCAATCAATCAATGATCCTTACTATTATATATATATAATGATGATGATCGATATCAGAGCACTTAATCCTTCGTACTCTCTATCTGTTATCTATTATCTGTTATCTGATTGTTCTAAAAACTAGACTAGTCTGGCTTTTCGCAAAACTGTTGTTTGTTGTCTTTGTGTAGATTATATTATATGTATATGAAGATTGAATGAATGTGAAGATATAGATAGAGATACAAAGAGACAAAGAGACAAACAAACAAGCAAGTGATATTATTATGATTATTATTTAAAATGAATGCCCGTTCTCTCACTCCCACTTCCCTCTTTCATTCATTCATTCACCCACCCTTCACTCTCCCAGTCCACTCCAGTCCATAATTGTTAACGTACATTCACACACAGACACTCACACTATCTCTAAAACAAACACAAACACAACACACAGCGCATCTCCATTCCATTCCCACGAACCCATGTGGATGCCAACATACTGTTGTTGGTTTTTGGATGACACCAACACAATAATAATAATATAATAATTTTAGTTTTTCATTCTTTTTGTTTTTTGCTAATCGATCGGATCTCAAACAAAGGATAACGCATTCATGCAAAACCTACGGCAATTTATTTTTAGATTGATTGGTCGTGTCCTGTGCTAGTAAACATAATCTTTGAACTGGAGAGTAATCGAAACCGAATTAGTAGTCCTCTTGATTGATTGATTGTTTGATTGAGTGAATGCTCCGCAGAGCCTCACTCATAATGACATCAACATAAGAGCATGGCGCTATGATCATGAATGACCTACAAGTGCTCCGGGTCGCCGCCAAACTATGCCTATTGGTGAGCATGGTCTTGCGTATGACGAGGATGAAGGGAGGAGACAAAGGACACACTGCAGTGCAAAAGCTAGCTGATGACAGACCAATGTTAACGTAAACATACAAGACATCATGAGACTCAACATGGAGAGGTGATGGATGAGCTGGAAAGGGCAAGGTTGACAACCAGCATGATGACTAATCTAATCAGATTGGCCCAAGTTGATGATGTTCGACCTTACACCGCCACCACCTCTATTGTCCCTAATTGAATGATTGATGACAGCTTGGGCCATTGGATGATTATTGCAAGATTAATGAGTTGCTCACTTTGTTCATCAATCGAGTCCTCTCTTGTAAGTTGTTAACAAAGATAAACGTATGTATAAAGGATATCATGGATTCAATAGTCTTACCTCGTCCTTTGAAGAGTTTTAATCTACCTCTTACGATACCAATGCTCGGGAATGTTGGGTGAGGTCCTCAAGACTGATGCCTGTACATATGGTCCAGTCAATGCCCTGCAAGTCCACGAGGTCGTCGCATGGGTCCGCATCAGATTTGCCAACTTCATCTCAACATACTGCAACTTAGAAGTGAACTGGAGTGCCCGATGCAATTGTCAGACATTCGCAAGGAGTCTCATCTGGGACTTGGGACTCCAATGGCCATCCGAAATCCAAGTAACAAACGAGTATTATCCATGGGTCTGGGCGGAGCACTTCAACAGGGGAAGGGTCGGCCATCATCCCCAATCATCCAATACCTGTTCCTTGATGTAGACATGAATGAACAAACTTATTATAATCGACTGGATGAGTGAGGGAGGGCGAGGGCGAGGGCGAGGGTAAGGGTTGAGCACTTGCATGGTGGGGGAGTATAGGAGGTTGGTAGGACCTTTAATTAATGCGATGAACTGAGTATGCACCATTCTTCACCACTGGCATCAATACCACTAATGCTAAGATCGTTGTCATTGGGTGATGAGGATGGTGTTGAGTTGTTACTGTTGGTACTGGTGTTCAACAATAATGATGATGATGATGATGATGCCGAAGTATTGATAATGTTATCATAGTTTTGTGATGCATTCTGAAGTAGTTCGTCGAGGTCCCATGCGCAAAGCAGTGATAGACATGTTTGGAATGTTACCAAGAAGTAGCCCTGTATCTTGGTGCTCAGTGAATCGTCCAGAAAGTCCTGCAAGTATATACTCTCTGTATACATATGTGGAATCTTGGACTTGATAATGACAAAGGTGAATAATGGAAGTAGGTCATCAGCGCCTCTGTATTGATTGTGTTGGAGGTTTGGGTTAGGGCGAGGGTTAGGGCAGGGCGAGGGTTGAGGTTGGACAATCCAGAGGGTTCCAAAATGTTGGAGTTGTGGGTCCCAGTCTTGGCTGGATGATGGAACTTACAATGTTAGGTCTGGTCTGTTCTTGCGTGCACGCCAGAATAATCGAATGTCTTCGCAGATGGCGTTGGAGGTATCGACAAGACATTGGATCTTGTCAGAGGGTGATTGGTATGTGTACAGTTTCGACATGATGTCGATGGCATGTTGGTATGGCACCAGCTCATCGCTGCCATCGATGCCAGACGGGTGATCATCAATGAGCCAGAACTTTTGGGGTATGGACAGATGCATGGGCGTCAGCGTGAGGAACTGGCGCACCTTGGCCGTGTGCTCCTCGTCCTCCTGAGCGTACTGCTGGATGTAGTGGCCGTATATGGCTGGGTGTAGGTGATTGAAAAGTGCGCGCTCGACGGCGTATTGTACCGTGAGGCCTGTCTTGTCTGTCAATGTTACGTCTGGCAACTTGTGGCAAATGGTCTGAGTGAGTTCTAATATTACATCCTTGATCATCTTTCTCAATGTCTCCTTCTCCTTCTCCTTCTCCATCTGATATGTGACATGATAGTTTATAATCTCCACGTGCTCCACGAACTGTTTGCTCAAGTCACCTCTTTGACTTATAATATTTGATTGAATGGAATGATTGAGTGAGTGTGGAAACTAGTTAGTTTGGCTGGACGTGTGGCGCATGCCACGCTCCATGTTTGATGATTGAGTGATCAACATACTTTAAAGCATATTTAACAAGTCTGTTGACATCGTCTGGGCTTTCCAAGTTCCTTGCGATCATCTTGTATGTCTTGCGTTGAGGGTCCTGATTGATTGTATGAGTATATGATCAAGTGATGAGTGCTAGGAATACATACGAATAGTTCATCAAAGAATGATTGTGAATGAGTGTCCTTATGAGCGATGGATATTGATGGATTGTCATCCTCCATCGTCACTGTATACTTTGTCTTGTTGTCCACAACCTTGTCTTCCACATGTCTACCAAGTAAGAATGATGAAAGATTGAATCTGGTTTGTTAGTGATCATTCACTCACTCACTAATTGGAATCATTCCAATCAATCGATCAACACAACATACTTTGAATATGAACCACTTCCATTCAATGACACTGGCTGACTGACCTCGAGGATCTTGTTGATGATGTCCATTTCTTGGTCGAGCGTGAAGTTTGATGTATGATGACCAATGGCGATTGTCCACATTATGATGAGTTTGGGGTCCATGGACCAGAGGAAGTGCGTGGTGATGTCAGCTTGGCAGCTGATCAGCTTGAGTCCATAGCTGTATCGCTGGTCGACAGCCCGCTCAATCTTCTTGAGATGCACGATGAGACGTGTTTGTCGCAGATCGATGTAGTCGACGGGCTCGGTGTCGTCCGCGCTCGTATGTATGAACAAGTAGTACTCGCGCAACACCATCCATAGCGCGTCGTTGGGACTGCCGCGCTGGCGCCCGTTGTGGAAGATGAAGTAGTACAGCTCGCCCTCGTTGGTGGGAGGGGCCGCGCGAATCTCCTCAGGGATGCTGGAAAAGCTCTTGGTTAGCTTGAACTGCGTCTGGAAGTCGATGCCAAACGCGTGCTTGTGGTAGTTCTGGTAGATTGTCTGGTACTTCTCGATATTGACGCTGGCGCCCAGCGCCTTGTTGTGTTGGTGGCGGTCGCTGCGACTGTGCTTGCCACTCTTGGGCGTGCTTCCCGATCGCGCCAGCTTGCTGGAGGTCGTTGGGACAGCCGGACTGGATGATATCATCATTGACTTGTTTCGTGAGGAGTTTGGCACTGGCGGCAGTCCACGATTTGGCACCTGTCTCTTTGGAATTGGTGCTGGAGTTTGAGTTTGAGGTGATGATGACGATGATTCCAATGATGATGATGTCGTTATCGTTGTCAAAGAGTGTTGTAGAGTGTTTTTGGATGGTGATGATGATGATGACGATGGAACATTGTTTGAATCCTTGGCTTGTCTTGTATCATTTTGATTGACCAAATCCAGTTGATTCAGGTCCAGATTTGAACCATAAAGTATGTAGTCATTGAGGAATGATGATGAAGATGACGAATGCAATGCCTTGATAATGTTGCTCTCTGACTTTTCCATGATTGACTATATCTTTATCTCTCTATGTGTGTTTGATCGATCACTCCTCGATCATTCAATCCAACTTGCAGGGTCCAATCGATCAATTAATCACTGAGGCCTCAGTCAACCAATCACAAAGTATGTATGTATATCTTGATCAACTTATGAGAGTGAGTAGAGTGAATGATTGAAAGAATGATTAATGATTGAGATAAAGAGTAATCATCAACACGATATTTGTGTGTAATGTCGGTTTCCCCACACTATGATCTGATCAAAACAGTGTTGCGAGTGTGGGTGTGGGTTTCAAGGAGTAGACCCATGATCCAACAACACAACAAGGCTTTGTCTCGTTGTATTCACCACTAGTCGGATGACATCAACAAGTGGACTACGCAATCATTGTTCTCTGTGTTGTTATTATGTGTATAATTATATATATATTATGATTTATTACGTTTACAATATAAGTTTCATCATTGTCAATGTGAACTGAACTTAACTAAACTGAACTGAACTGAACTGAACTGATTGCCAACGCTGACCAAGTACTTGTTGATTCAGACCGAATCAATCACTTCATCATGAGTCTCCCATGTTAAAGTTATCAATCAATCAATGACATGATACTCCTCCACATTTCTCTTTGTATTTTTGTTGTTGTTCGCTCTTTAGTCTGTCCAATCCATTAATGATGATGAATGAATGAATGAATGAATGAAGTCGATCGGTTTAATGATGTCCATGAGCTGCTGCTGGATCATGTCCATCTGTAGCTGGTGCGTGATGATGTCCACCATGATCCCATGGGTACTCGAAGCCCTGTTAATTGATCAATCAATCAATCAATCATTGAATACATTATATTAGTTACTGTCGTGTCCAATCGTGTCCACTCAATCAATCAATCAATCAATCATAATCAGTGTCTGTTGTGTCTTCTTGCTGTATCGCGATCGATTGATTGACTGAGTTGAGTCGAGTTGAGCCGAGTCGATATAACACGTACGAGAGCAGATCTCCAGTCTTGCTTGGTTCTGTAGAAGACCCAGAACCACATAGTAGTGCCCAGGGCAATAGATATGTTCCTATGATGCTTTGGCACCTGGAATGGTGTATGATGTCCTCCTCCCATAGTATCTATATATATATATGTTTGAAGTAGTATGTGATAAGTGTTTCAATCAATCATCATCATTCTTCAAAGTTGGGCTCATTTTCAAAATTATTCGATTTGTTCACAAAACGTTACTTCTCATTCATTTGGAAGTCCAACACCAAGACGAACGACTCGGCTCAACTTGAGACAAGTCATATTACAAGTATCATTCATTTATTACATACACATATTATTATTATAACAACAAGATATGGGAAAGAAGACTAAACATAGATTGAGAGTCAATTTGGATGAGATTGATAATGATGATGCTGCTTTGAAGAATCATCCAGATCTCACTACTACAACTGCTCCAGTTGTTGAAGAGGAGAAAGATGTTGATGATGACAATACAATGATGGACGATGATGATAATGATAATGATAATAATGAACAAGATGAGGACCAGAATGATCAAGAACAACAAGGTGATGATACAACAACAAAGGTCGAGAAGAAACTGACACACAAGGAGAAGTATGTTGATTGTTTGATTGGAATGATTGATCGAATAGACAACTCGATTGACTAACAATCTCAATAGGGCATTACTAAAGAGCAAGCTAAGGGATGAGGTTGCAGAGTTAAAGGTACAGAGGAAGAAGTTTAAAAAGACAAAGTTCCAAGAGAAGAAGGAGAAGAAACATTTGACAAAGGAGATCCATGAGAGGCTAAAGACAATCAACAAGAAGTAATACTTCATTGTCAATAGTTATATCATCAGCCATCAATATGTAGTATCGAGCTACATATATTAAACTATCTTCCATCAATCAATCATTCAGTCATCAGTTGGACGCATGGGTGTCCAATGTTGTACATCTGATGAGGGACCATCAGATGTTGTGGCCCGATTGCCGGAAGATATTCCACAATGGACAAGATGGAGCCAGAAGTATTGTTCGCTTCATCCAATGTATCTTAAACTGGAAATAAACTGGATCACGTGATCATAAATATTAGTGCGTGGGTGGACAATGTTTGACCAATCATCCAACCAAACCATCAAACAATCAATCAAACATTCAGATAATTAATAACAAACCATGGAGGATAGAGGAACTACATTGTTTAAACAATTGGTAGACAATGTATACTTGAGAACGATGTTATCCAAACATGTTAGACATATTCATTGGTATAGTTATGGATGTGCTCCAATGACATTTGATGCAATGGTCGATCATTGGGTGGACTTGGTATGCAACTACTTCAATGTGGACCATGGTATTCGCAAGGAATGTGGACAATCATTCAAGTTGTACAAAGGTCATGAATATATTATCAGATACATTCAAAGATATAGACCAACATTGTTCAAATCGATGAATGCTATTGACGCGATGGCCATGATTGGTCGATTCGATCTAGTACAATACCTACATGTCAATGGGTCGTCGGCAACATTGAACGCACTGGACTATGCCCCAACACTCGAGATCGTTCAGTACCTCCATCACAATCGATCAGAGGGCTGCACCACTCAAGCAATGGATATGGCTGCGGGACACTGCCGCATGGACATCATGGAGTTTCTGCACAACAATTGCACTGAAGGCTGCAGCACGAATGCAATGGAGTATGCCGCGTCTGATGGACATCTGGATGCTGTGCGGTTCCTTCACGAGCGGTGTTCAGCACCGATCGATGAGTCGACTGTCCTGAACGCCGCGTGCCTAGGCCGGCTCGATGTTCTCAAATACTTGTTCGAGAATAATCTGAACACTCCTGCGAACTCGCAGGCCATTGAGTGGGCCGCGGTGAGTGGACATCTCAATTGTGTTCAATACTTGCAAGAAGCTTGGTCTGTGCCATGGCCAAGCACTGCTATGCTGTTTGCAGCTTCAAGTGGCTTTCTGGAACTGGTCCAATACTTCAATGAGAGTATGAAGGACCAGTATTATGATCCCTCAACAATGGACCATGCTGCAACCAATGGACATTTAAATGTCGTGGAGTACTTGCATCACAATCGAACTGAGGGATGCACATACATGGCGTTGAACAACGCTGCAACATATGGACATCTCGAGGTAGTGCGCTTCTTACATGAGCATGGCCTTGTCATGACTGGCGCTGATGCCGCGATGGACCTTGCCGCATCCAATGGCCACCTCGAAGTCGTGCGATACCTTCGAGAGAATCGAACAGAAGGCTGCACGGACAAGGCCTTCAGCAGTGCTTCATCGACGCATCACCTCAAGGTCATCGAGTACCTGCTCACACAATATCCAAACAAGGTGACCACCGATGCAATGGATAAAGCCGCACAAGAGGGCCAACTGCCCGTGGTCAGCTACCTCCACTCAAACTCGACGGTTGGGTGCACAACAAAGGCGATGGACTGGGCGGCCAAGGGTGGCCATCTCGATGTGGTACAGTTATTGCATCGATTCCGGTTTGAGGGCTGCACCAAGAGCGCCTTGGACACAGCATGCAGCACTGGCAATCTCGAACTGGTCAAGTTCTTGCACTATAATCGCACAGAAGGATGCACTCAAGTGGCATTGGAGAACGCATGCGATGTTGGACATCTCCCAATCATTCAATTTCTGGTGGAGAATCGTACAGAGTGCTTTTTGCAGTCGGCAATGGAGCGGGCTGTGGCGCGAGGTCACATAACAACCGTTCAGTATCTACTTGGACTTGGTCGGCCTGGCAAGGCTATTGTCCCCAGCCCTGCAGCTATTCAACGAGCAATCCATAATGGTCGACTTACAATGATCAAATACCTTTTGAAGCATACATCGATTGATGTAGCGTGCCACTCACCATCATGGGACCTGAGCAAAGTGGCCGGACAAGGACATTTTGCCATGTTACAGTACTTGTCCGAGGTGTTACCAGCCGATGAGATTGGTCGTATGATTGGATGTGCAGCAGACAGTGGAAAGTTGTCAATTGTACAGTTTATTCATAACAATTTCAAGAATGCATATTGTAACCAAGATGCGATGGACATGGCTGCCACCTATGGACACTTAAGTGTCGTACAATTTCTACATCAGAACCGAACGGAGGGATGTACGACCAAGGCATTAAGGAATGCCAAGACGTACCAGAAAAAGAATGTTGTCCAATTCCTCCAGAAGTATCGAACGGAAGGAGATGGCAGCGACAGCTAAATATAGTCTCTTACGGCAGCTGCTGTGTGGATGAAATGCCAAAGTAATTGCTTTGTTTGATATTAATAGTTGGAAGTATGATTTGTATTGTTGTTTTTTTGGAGAGAGTAATAATAAAGGATTACACTCTCCTCGCGCTCATCTGGATTATTTACTCCAGATCACTGGATGCTTCTGGATGGTCTCCTTCATGAATACGTTTTGTGAACACAAAGAGGAGAACTCTGAGCTGGACGTCTTTTTGTAGCGACCATCGGGCAACATGAACCATGCGTTTGGATCGTTGTAGTAGACGTCGATGGCGTTGCGCAACTCCTTGATGTTGTTGGGGTCGTTGACTGGCACCAATGTCTCCACACGCCTTTTCAAGTTCCTATGCAGCCAATCTGCGCTGGCAATGAACGCCTTTGGTTGGTTGTCATTGTGGAAGTAATAGATTCTACTGTGCTCCAAGAACCTGCCCAAGATACTTATGACTAGAGGTGAGGTGAGTCGATGATATTAGAATGTGAGCTTTGGTGTCGCGGAGGGCCGTATTAATTTGTAGACATACCTTGAATGTTGTGACTGATGCCAGGGATGCCTGGAAGGATCCTGCACCTGCCCCTGACAACTAGTTTGATAATGACACCAGCCACACTGGCGTGGTATAGTGCATTGACAATCTTCTTGTCGTCCAGCCCATTCATCACAGCCAGTATTGTTGCCTCTTTGCCCTCTCTTGCATTCTTGGCCTCTGTCTCGATCAGTTGTAGGAGTGTTGATCGCATGTTCATCGGAGCAATCACCAGCTTTCTGAACGAAGTGATCCTGCTGTAGCCAGTTAGATAGTTGAACAGGTCGCACATGTCGGCGCCCAACTCCTGGTCGCAACTGAACAGACCAATGTCTGCGTAGATGTCGGCCGTGCTGGCATTGTAGTTGCCCGTCGAGTAGTGCAGGTACATCTTGAGTGTCTTGTCCTCCTCACGCACCACCATGGCAATCTTGGCGTGAGTCTTTAGACCAACGAGTCCATAGCTGACGTGACAACCTGCTTGTTCAAGCAGTCGTGCATACTTTGTGTTCTGTTCCTCGTCACCACTCGCCTTTAGATCCACCAGTACACTGACCTCCTTGTGCGAGGCAGCTTCACACAGAGCTCTAATCAGTTGTGAATTGGAGTTGGTCCTATATATCGATATCTTTATAGCCAACACCTTTGGATCCTTCACAGCGCTCTCAATGAAGAATTGGACACTGTATGTTTGAGTTAGTGTGAGGTCCACTCAATCAATCAATCATTCCGCCTCGTCGACATACCTGCTATTGAAGCTGACATAGGGTAGGTTGATCAGGAGGTCACCCTTCCTTATTGTACTGAATATGTCTTGTGATGGCATCTTGGATAGCTTGTGCAATCGATTGGGAATGTGTGGTACCCATGGCTCATACTGTGAGGAGGAGAAGGAGAGCACTTGAGTGAGTACATATGACTGGACGATGATGGATAATCCACATGGATCATGGATTAACATACTTTGAGATGTGGCAGGTTCAACTTGCACAACTCGAATAGATCGGAGAGGCCAAGGAGACCATCGATGATGAAGACGTCGGCCTCGTCAAGGATTAGTTGGGTGGACAACATGTCGATGATGTTCTTGGGCATTGAGGACGAGACCTCCAGACGAACCATTGGCGCAAACTTGCGTTTGTGAAGCTCGGTCTTGATGAGCTCGAGCAGGTCGTTGGCCTCGTCTTCGTTGAGCTTTAGGTCGTTGTGACGGGTGACTCTGAACAGCGACTTGGCCAATATCTTGGTGTTGGGGAACAGAGTGTCCAAGTTGGCCAGGATGATCTCTTCCATCGGTATCAAACTATAGTTGGATCGTTGTCTGATGTGTACGAAGCGCGGTATCTTCAATGGTACCTTGATACGAACGAATCTCGTGTGGCCCTCCTCGTCATGCTGGAGAATGACGGCGATGTTCAAACTGAGGTTACTAAGATTGGGGAATGGATGTCCAGCATCAACCACCAGCGGTGTCATCAATGGGAACACATGTTGCAAGAAGAATTCCCTCAGCTGTTGCTTCTCCTCGAGGTTCAAGTCGTTGTATCTGATTGATTGATTGAGTGATTAGTCATGTGTGTTTGGCCGTCATGTGACCGTACGGACGGACCATGGATACATACGTAAGAAGGAATATATTGTTGGCCGCAAGCTCTGGCAACAGGATGTTGTTGAACAGGTTGTAGGCATCATTGATCAAGTTCCTGGTCGTACTTAGCACCATGTTGATGTACCTCTCCTCTGGCTTCAATGACTTGCGCGTCGAGATGAAACCAAGTCTCAGCTTTAGAGCTCGTTTACAAAAGTACATGTCGATGTTCTGTGAGGTGATGGCCACGAATCTGATCTTCTCAAGCACTGGAACGGACTTGTTGTGCGCCTCGTAAAGGATGCGGTAGAAGTAGATGAGCTCGGTCAACTCGCGATTGAAATAGATGCGTGATCCACTGAGTTGGAGTATCTTGAGGTCCAAGGGTATTTCCTCCACTGAGACTGGCTGGCCAGACGAGGATGCCTGCTGTTGCTGCTGTTGGTCGGCTGTGATCTTTGGCAGATGTATGCTTGACGAGAGTCCGCTGAACTTGTTGTTGGGCGACGGCGAGTTCTCAATCTGTTGCTGGAGACACGAGATGAACAGTTGGTTGACATCAGATGATGAGGTCGAGGGGAACGACGACAGGTGTGGCGTGCCGCCAGATGGTGTGGACGACAGCGTGAAAGGGAAGACTACATCGCTGAACAGGTTGTTGATCTCGAGGATGGGAGTATCACATGAGGGCACGACAAAGTCCTCATCGTCGTTCAACACCTTCTGCAGGTAGGAAGCATCCGGGAGTTTGTTGCAATTGGGTGGCGGCACTGAACTGGCGTTGTTGACATTGTTGAGCACCCCAGGTCCAGAATTGGAGGCCAGAGGGGCGACCGATCGGATAACCTCGGGGTTCTGGACGGCCAGCAGGTTGGATGCGCCTAGGTTGCGGAAGCCCATTAGACTGGACGTCAGGGGATGCGCTGGCTGCTGTATCTTGGCCGTTGGAATCGACTTTACAAACTCGGTCGGTGAGAACAAGGGCAGTCGCTCATCGTCCACGCTTGTGTCTGCGCTGACCTCATCCTCTTCGTCCTCCATCTCATCATCACGGTCCTCTCCATTCTTCTTCTTCTTCTTTTTCTTCTTCTTCTTGTCTTTCTTGTCCTTCTTGTCCTTTTTGTCCTTCTTCTCTTTCTTCTTGACGACCTTTTTGAGCAGCTTGGCGGCCTTCTTCTTCTTCTTGGCGGCCTTGTCCTTCTTGGTTGGGATGTTGTTGTTGATGTTGGCGTTCTTGGGTTGCTGTTGTTGTGTGCTGAGGTCATAGGTGTCGCTGTCACTCAGATCACTGTTGTCAGTGTCGCCCTCGAACCCTGTGGTTGTATCAAAGGCTGGTGAGGACCATGACGGCTGCGTTGTCTTCTCATCATCGCTCTCTATCTCACTCTGCTCAGTTGACTTGTGACCACCTCCGCCACTACTACCACCATTGACTGTTAGACTGATCTCATCATCAAATGAATCTGACTTCTTGTCTTTCAGTTGATGTTGTTGATGAAGATGATGTAGATGTAGATGATGATGTTGATGTTGATGTTGATGGTCATTGGCAGAAGTGTCATCACTTGTTACACCAGTGACCACTTCATCATGTTTGTCCAGATCCTCTACAACCCCAACTCCAACTCCAACTCCTACACCAATGCCTCCACCTATATCGGATCGTGAAGTTCTCAGTTGACCATCAGTCTTTATCGCCTCTGATGAATGTTCTGGAGTAGGAGTATGACTTGATGTTCCCAGATTACTCAGAGCATCAATAATCTTGTCAACTTCAATCTCATTCTCTGTCTTATCATTCTTTGTTGTAGTTTGAAGTGAAAGATGATTGGAGTTTAGGGAATCTAGAAACATGGAAACATGTCAAGGTTAGTCATGTTGCCAACATCGAGACAACTTCCAACATCCATCTTTCCAAACATACTATCATTATACAAAGTTGTTGATGCTGTAGTACATTCTTGTTTGTTAAGTTTTTGAGGAGATGATAATAACGATGATGGATCTACTTTGTTTAAATATTCTGTGGATGTCAACTTTATAATATCCTTATTATCATTATTCATTTATAAAATCCACTCTAGTATTATTAATTAATAATAATACAGGTAGAGTCTATTTAATAATATTAAATGATTGATTATGTTATGTTATGATTAAGAATTAATAATTATGAGTATAATAACAATGAATGGTGATGAGTTTGATTTGATCTAGATGATTGATGTTGCTGTTGCTGTTGGCTCCTGTTTATTGATGATGATGATGCAACAACAAACAAATAAAGTAAGTAGTACTTCTTGGACTCACTTCAACATCAACACAAACATAATAACATACACACACTATTCTCTCTTTTGTAAAGTAGTCCTGCCTGCTACATATGGTGGCAAACACACACATATATCATATATAAATATAACAGGTATTGTGTGAGGAAAGGTACAAACACACAGTTCCATCTTGGTTGGAAGGAAGTGCCCCCTTCCTTCTATTGCTAGTTGCTTGTTGCTATCACTAACACCACAACCACACACACTTTAGTGGGAAAAGGCAGTCATTCATTGGATTGGATTGGCATCCAGCTTGCATCCATCAATGAGTCCTTTCATTGATTGATTGAACATGATCTTGTTCATATGACATACATCCTTCCTGACATTAGTAGTCAAACAGGGCATGGTATTTGTTGTAGTTGTTGAACAGTTTTTGGTGAAGATTGCTTGCAAGTTTGTTGTCTCTCTTTCTTCATTGAGATGAGATAATACTTGTGTTGTTGTAATTGTTATAGGTCAGTTAGATAGTTAGATTAAAGGGAGAATAAGTCATGTCGCCAACATACGGCGGGTCAATGAATTACAATGAAGCAGACTATCATAGTATCATGTTGTTAAGAAAGGAACAACAAAGAAGGAAACATCATCATCTAAAGTCTTTGTTCTTGAGTAAGTGATGTCATGGCCTTGTTTGATTGATTGATTGAACATTATAACTCATCATACATTCTATTCTGCTGCACTCACTCAAGTCATTGGAGCAACATGTGGAAAGATGTTGATAACTAAAAGTATGTCGTACAACAGGTTGTCTGTTGCACACTAGAGATCGAGTTGACCATGCGCATGGTGGTATATATACTAACTGACCCACAACAACAAAGTATTCCTATTGTTAGGCGTACCTCCAGAGTTCTGATCTCTAGACGAGATAGCTATGATCATACACTTTAGACTTGTTCAACGAGAATGTAAACATGTCGTCTTTGTCTAGTTACAGAACTTCTTTCTTCTTTGACCAGGACCTGGAAGAAGAAGAAGAGGAGTATCCGGAGTGCTAACCCATTGATTGAGAGATGGCTGAGGAGGCTATGTCCCTCCCCAAGGCCACCACCTTTCCTAAACCAGTCAGCCACCTGGCCAGCCATATTGTATTGTAGGTGCCATCAATCAATCAATATGGTATGGCGCTTTCCTCTTTCTTCCATTGACTCGGAGATAGGAATGAATTGGAATTAAATATTCCGGAAATAAAATAATTAATTAACATAATTAATTAATATGATCGTGGATGATTATTTTATTGTCTTGCCATTGTGGGCGATGATGATGAGGCAAGCTCAGACTTGAGTGGACCGCTGACGATCAGTAATGAGTTGGCCAAGACCATTGCGATATTTACAGCGAGAAGGACAAAGGCATTGGCGCCAACGACCAGGTTGAGATAGCTGTGCACCAGTGGCACAGTCAGATAGATGATCAGAGAGAGCAGGGCCATCGATGGCGTCCTGAGGATCGACAGGAAGTCTGTGAGCATGTTGCTGCCGCTGTTGTTGCTGTTGTTGCCGCTCTTCTTTTGCTTGCGTGTCAGCGAGGCCACCACGTAGCAGATGGCCACCGAGTGAAGTGTCGCGACGTTGCTCTCGAATGAGTTGATCAGGTGCATGCTGTCAAACTCGAGTGGCATGGCGCCCCACAGCGAGTAGACACGAGGTAGTGCGTCGGCCAGTGCCCAACCCAGGCCGATGCCAAGGGCGCGCACATCCTTTGGTGCGTGCGACAGATGCAGCAAAACAAAGATTGCAAACAAGTCGACAACACCGTTGAACAGGCGAATAACCTCTTGATATACGCTATATATTGATGTATCAAACGATGGCAAGAATGTAGCGAGCAACATCATCTTTGCCAACTGCGTTACAAAATAGCCAGCAGCGCCAAACAGAACTGGTGAGAATGATTTGAACTCGCCACTAATGTTTGATTGATTGGATTGTTTGATTGATTGAGTGAGCATATGTGGAGAGGATGTCGTGGGAGATAGAGTCAGTATGTTGATTCCAAAGTAGCATCATAGTCTCGCTACTTCATCGAGTCATCATAGGGTAATTGACTTGTAACGCACATTCTAGTTGACTTGTAAGCAATGTATATTGGGGCATAGGTTATTCCTACGCAGCTCAAGAAGTGAAGTACTGTCATGACTATGTATATATGTATGTATGTAGAAGTATTGATTGAATGAATGAGTGAATCGTCCTTCAGAAGTGATGATGAAGCTCAAATAACTCGAATGAAGTGAATTTGAAAAAAAATGAACAAGTCGAATGACTTGTGTGAGGGCAAGAGTTCATCTTTAGATCTTTCAAAAAATTCATTCATTGGTTCAACTCAATTAACGAACAAGATAATGGCACGAACAAAGAATAAGGCTCGAAGGAGTGAAGGAAGGAAGAAGGATACGTCAAGGGAGAATTCAGAAGAGTTTGATGATATGAGGATACATATCATAATATCTGATGACGATGATGATAATGAAAATGAGAATGATAATGAAGATGACTCTCCCGCTGAAGATGAACCAGCCACATCGACCACAACTACATCTACATCATCTACATCATCTACATCCACATCGACAGCAACAACAACAACCACTACTGCTGCTACTACGACAGAGGCAGATATGACAGAGACAGTGGCTATGACTACCACTGAGACTACGACCGAACCAACAACAGAGTCTACGAAGGAGACTATGACAGAGACATCGAAAGAAACATTGACAATACCATCCTCCCCTTTAATGGCCACAACTGAACTTGCAACATCAACAACACCAACGATTCAACCATCGGCTCCAATAACGGCCCCAACAACACCAACAACATCTACAACATCAACTACGACGACGACCCCAACAAGTACAACACCGAATGAAGAACCTACACCACCTGCGACACAAACACCTCCTCCAATGGAAGTGATCAAACCTCCAAAGAGGAAATATACACCAAGGAAAAAGAAAGCAGCAGCGGTGCCACCGCCTGCCGCGTCAGTCCCAGCCACGCCAGAGACCGCAGGAGATACATCTCCAACCACAATGTCGATTGGTACAGGGTCGGTGGATACACCACCACCACCATCGCCATCTCAAACGTCAACCTCCTCAAGCAAAGCATACCTGGCGACACAGATCAGGAACTCCAGCGGACTGCCCGCCACCAACCTGACCAACTTCACACACAGAGGCCGCAAGAGAAAGAAGGACGACCAGGTCGTCGACACCGACGCCGACATACACCTGGAGCTCAAGAAGAATCGTGAGCGCGCCGAGCACCTGATCAAGAACCCCGACCTCCTGCTCGAGGCCGTCAAGAACATCATCTTCCAGTTCCAGCAGTCGCACGAGTTTAGCTTCTCGGCATTCAAGGACATTTGGAAGCGCGAGGCAGTCCTCAATGACTTCTTCCAGGTGCATCCCCACCAGCCCGACCTCATTCACATCCTCTACTATGGCGCCATTGGCTACACCATGGTCAACCAACCCGTCAACTGCAAGTCGGCCATCATCTACTGTCTCTATCTTCTATACACCTGCCAGATCGTCAGTCCACCAATTCCCATCGATATTACATTGAGTATGTTTGGAACAAGGCAGTTGATTGATTGATTGATGGATTGAGCGACTGACTCCCTCACTCACCTAACTTAGACATATGGGACGAGTTGATCGTTTACTTCAATTGCTTCAAACTGTATGAGTTGGCCGAGCCTTACCATGCATTCAAACAACTGCGCAATAAGAATGCCTTTCACTTCTCGGCCTCGCTTCATGCAATGGCCTCAACACCAGTGTTTAGAACAAACAGCACCAAGACCAGTGCACCAATCATACCTCGCGAACTAGTCGGAGTCAACACCCTAGGTGGTATAGATCTCACCGAACTAAACGATGTCCACAACTGTTATAATCAAATCAAGAGAGGAAACAATGTATGTTATAGCTGTGTGGACTGGAGTGGAGTGATTCCACTGGAATCATACTAATATTTATACTTGAGCAGAAGGTCATACCCAAGTCACTGGACATCACTAAAGGCGACTTTTACAATGAAGTGTTCAATCTGATGGAGGACAATACAGTGAGGAGAATGGAGAAGATGTTATACAATCGAATTCCTGGTCTACCTTGAGGAGGAGTCAAAGGTAGTAGAACTTATAAAATGTAAATGTTTAAAGATGACAGGTATCTCTTTTGAATCCAAACATGTACCATCCATCCATCACATCGGTCTGGCTATGTCAACAACATGTCGCCATTCAATACATTGACGTCATGGCATCAGTTGGATCGATGTTCATTCAATCAAAACGATGATCTTCTTGTCTTTGGGAGTGCAAACATACTTAAAGCCATCCAGTCCATGATCGATTATTTGGTGTTACCGACAGGCCTACCCATTGACAGTCGTCTTTAAATATAACTCAATCAAATCAATCAATCTATCGACTGGTCAGTCAGGCAGTCAACCACTCGTTGCTAGAGATCCCAACAACACTGGACGAGATAAGTTGGGGCTAGGTCTACCCTTACCCTACCCCGCCACCAACATCCGAGTGTGCAACGACTTTAAACTTCGTGTCAAGAAGTGGGAAGTTGACAAGCATCAACACAAGATAAACAACACATCCTGCAAAGTACTAGGATGAGGGACCGATGGACCATCACGAATAGATACCACCAACATACCATACCGTGACCATACCATGATGAATATGGCTAGCATCTTCCCGAGTAATATCTTGGCATATTTACTTACTTACTCACCAGGTGATTGATGATGACGATTAATGTGGTGGGCGGGGCCGCGACCATAGGAGATATTCACCAATGATATGATCACGTTTAACATAATGTGGACTGACTGCCCGAGTCTATGATTAGGTTGTCATTTGATTTTGATTGGATTGCATACACGGGTGGGTGCGACCCAGCTCGCTCGTGGACGCAGCGTCCGTCAGGTCGGCCCCGTTTATTATTTTGGGGGTTGAAGATCAGGAGTGAGCGCACTCACACACATCCAATCAATCAATCAATCACATTTACATTTACAAAACAATGTCCTCTCACTAAAGTCTACTTGGCTGCAAGCAAACCCAAATACCTTGGCCAACAGTGACATCACATACTACCCATCAAAGGCCTTGTAGCCTATGAATTACTGATGGATAAAGGAAAGAGGGGAGGTTATTGTCGTCCTTTCGCGACGTCGTTATGGGGTTGTGGGGTCGTGTTATGACCTAACCCCCGCTCGCCCGTCCACCCAAGAGGTTGGCACATTATCTCTCTCTCTCTGCTCACTCCGCGGTATGTCTGTCGACCGCGCGCGAGTAAATGTGTGGAATTGATGGTAGACATACCATCTGGTGGACAGACCGATTGCTTATAAAGGTGAGCATGCTCACCTCATCAAWTTCAGACATTCATTCTTCATACTTACACATAATACACATATATACAAACATGAGAACTAGCATTCTTCTTGTCAACATTGTCGTTTTGGCCTCCATGATGGTTGCCGCCCAAGCTGTCACTAGCTGCCAGGTATGTCGTCTTGCCCTCCCCCTCCCTGACCTTTCCCACATGTGCCCGCTCATTCTAACAATCAATCAATCAAATATTATTAGCTCATTAGATGTCGCGCTGGATATCACTGTGTCGATGACGCTGCTGGTCAGGGACACTGCATTGCTGACAACGTCGTCACATGCGCTATGATCAGATGTAAGTCTGGATACCACTGCGAGACCAACCCAATCACTGGCGCTGGCCACTGTGTCAGAGACACCGTTGTCACCTGTGCTCAGATTAGATGTATGGAGGGCTTCCACTGCGTCAACGACCCAATCACCGGAGCTGGTTCCTGTGTCTCCGACCTTACCTGCGCCAACACCAGATGTGCTCTCGGATACCACTGCGTTATGGAAGCTGAGGGACCAAACTGTGTCCCAGACGAGGTTGTCGTCACCTGCGCTCAGATCAGATGTATGGAGGGTTTCCACTGCGTGACTGACCCAGTCACCGGAGCTGGTTCCTGTGTCACCGACCTCACCTGCGCCAACAGCAGATGTGCCCTCGGATACCACTGCGTCATGGAGGCTGAGGGACCAAACTGTGTCCCAGACGAGGTTGTCATTTCCGACATCGCCGCCGCCACCACCACCGACTGCACCATGGTCCGCTGTAACGCCACCACACGTTGCGTCGAGACCCCAACCGGACCAATCTGCCTTAGCAACGACTACACCGACTGCACCATGGCCCGCTGCACCGCCACCACTCACTGCATCAACACCCCAACTGGTGCCCAGTGCGTCCCCAACACCCCAGTGACTGACTGCACCATGGTCCGCTGCAACGCCTCCACTCACTGCGAGGACACCCCAACCGGTGCCCACTGCGTCCCAAACGTTGTCTCTGACTGCACCACTGTCAAGTGTAACGCCACCATGCACTGCGAGGTTGGTCCAAACGGCGCTGGCTGTGTCCCAAACACCGTTCAAATCACTGACTGCACCATGGTCCGCTGCAACGCCTCCACTCACTGCGAGGACACCCCAACCGGTGCCCACTGCGTGCCAAACGTTGTCTCTGACTGCACTACCGTCAGATGTAACGCCACCATGCACTGCGAGGTCGGACCAAACGGCGCCGGCTGTGTCCCCAACACCCCAGTGACCGACTGCACCATGGTCCGCTGCAATGCCACCACTCACTGCGAGGATACCCCAACCGGAGCCCACTGCGTGCCCAACGTCTTCACCGACTGCACCATGGTCCGCTGCACTGCCGAGACCCACTGTCTCGAGACCCCAACCGGTCCAATCTGTGTCCCCAACGGAACCACCGACTGCACCATGGTTCGCTGCTCTGCCACCACTCACTGCATCAACACCCCAACCGGTGCCAGATGTGTCCCCAACTAAACTAAACTTAGCTAAGCTTAGCAACTTATAATTAATTAATATACATACTTGTCAATATTGACTTGACCATCCCTTATTTCTTTGTTCGCTCTGTTTGTGTAGAGTACAACTTGTAGTTTATTTAGTGGAAGTGAGTGAATGATAAGATCCGAGGGCAACCGACAAGAGGTAATAATAATGAATAGACCTCATTCCTTTATTCATTCATTCAGCTCATGGAGTTATAACTTCAAAGAGATAATTATAACCATCACTCAAGGTAGGTATATCATATCATATTCAATCGTGTTGTTGTTTATCTTTTAGAGTTTATGTTTAAATGAATGAATGAATGTATTATCACAACTGTCTATACACCAAAGTTGACCATGGTGGATAAAGATTGCATGCCTTGAAGAGACCGCAACAGATGATTAGGGGGATTCGTTCTTTGTGTTCCTCAAAAATGCTGCTTTGATGCTAAACCAAGCCACAGGGAATGAACACAGGCTTATTCGTTTTCGATCGTCGTCTGACTCGTTTCATAACCATGATTCGTCTTTTATGATTATGGTTTAGGACTTACTAATAGAGATCCGATATCCCATTGCCAAGTCCGCCAAAGAGTAGTCTTGATACCATTGTATCATCAACCTACTTATCCATCTTGTACAAGATCATCATTTCATTGATCCACCAATTCCTCATGATGACGTTGATCAAAAACATCAATCAATCAACCAATCCAATCAATCAAACATTATAAATATACATAGATACATAAGTTGAAGAGAAGAGTCAACATGTCCTCCATACCTCCAAACAATCCGATTACGAATAGTAACTTAAAGAGAAGGAATGTCTGGGTTGGTCTAGGAATCGTTGGCTTCATTGCATTGGCCTTTGCATACCCAATCTACTTTGTACAATCCAAACAAAAGCAGAAGAAGAACCCAGACGGTACACTTATAATGGGTAGGAACGCATCCATCAGAGGTACATTCCTCAACTCTGGTTCAAGAGTATGTACTATATTATGTTACAGTCGACCCAATCAATCAATCAGTTCGTGTACTGACTCCCTCACTCACTCACATTTAATCAATCATTAGGATATTGGAAGCAGTAAACAGCCTGTCTCTTCAAACAAAGACAACAACAATAGCGAATAAAGTAATAAACTGATGTACATACTATACTACCTCCTCCATCGATTGAATCTTGATCGATGGCTGGTGCTTGACAAAAACGAACGACACTTAGTCGGCATGTCTTTCATTATTCATTCATTCATGTTTCATTAACAGATAGACATATAGATACAAGGATCGAGACTCAATGTGGCATCGAACATTGCTCAACAAGTTACCAAACAATGTCCTCAGTCTGAGGCAGAGTACACGCTCATTACTTAGACCATCGACATCGACATCGACTCAGACTCAAACACAAACACAATCACTCTACCTTCAACATCAACAGAGTAGAGGCAACAACTGGTCATCGATACAATGGACAAGTTATAACATCAAACCTTCATTATTATGTACATTTACAACTCAATCAACATACAATCATTACAGTACACAACCTCCAAAAGACACCTATAGCATTACATTCTTAGACTCGACATATCATTACTTCAAACCAACACTCACATCTCAACTACAGACCAAGTTGTCAATGATGGCGAGACGATACGATGGCCTCAAGTCATTGATGGAGTCTGTATGTTTAACATCAAGTCGCCGATCATTCATCCCCGCGACTCAAGAGACTAACCTCCCTCCCTCAATCAATCAATCAATCATAGCAAACATTGTCACAGGATGATATTAAAACTACATCGAAGGAGATTGATGAACTCACTGAATCAGTACAATACTTCAAGTCTTATATTGAGTCTGTTGGCGAGCTACAGGAACTGAGCCAACTACTGGAGCTCGAGAGCAATGAGGAGACTCGAGCAATGATTGTCGCCGACTTGAAACAGATGGGCGAGGCACTGACCGAGTTGGAAAAGTCATTGATATACAGTCTGTTGCCATCGGACAAGGACGACGATGGCAATGCAATCATAGAGATACGCGCTGGCACTGGCGGTGGCGAGGCTCAACTTTTTGCACTGGAGATGTTCCAAATGTACGAAGGATACGCCAGCCAGAAGGGCTGGCGCTTCGAGTCGCTCGATGTGTCGGGCACAGATGTAGGTGGCGCACGCGAGTGCTCCGCATCGATCAGCGGCAAGGGAGTGTTTGGCTTCCTGAAGCACGAGTCTGGCGTGCATCGAGTACAGCGCATACCCGACACAGAGACACAAGGCAGGATTCACACGAGCACAGTGACAGTGGCCATCCTTCCCGAGCCCAAGGAGGTGGACATCAAGATCAACGACCGCGACCTCAAGATCGATGTGTACCGATCGTCGGGCAATGGTGGCCAGTCTGTCAACACGACAGACTCGGCCGTGCGCATCGTCCATTTGGCCACGGGCATCACCGTGTGCATGCAGGATGAGCGATCACAACTGCAGAACAGGACCAAGGCCATGAAGGTGCTGCGTGCGCGTCTCTACGAGAGAGAGCGCATCCGTTTGCAGACTGAGCGCTCCACCGACAGGAACTCACAGATTGGCAGCGGCATGAGATCCGAGCGAATTAGAACTTACAACTTCCCACAGGATCGTGTCACCGATCATCGCGTCAATGTTTCCACCAAAGAGATCGACTCTATAATGTCTGGCGAGACACTTGGTGATCTGATCGAAGATATTATGATACAATTCCAGCTGAAGGACCTGAATAAACTGGTTGGTGATGGTGCTGATCAATGATAAATTCAAGTAGTTTTCGTTTCCACCTTCAATCACATTAATCAATCATTATTAATTAATTAATTATTTATTATTTATTTAAATTATATCTATGATCGATCAGACGTATGAATTTTTAATTTTATTATTAATTTGTTGTCCAATAATATGGATTCCAAATGAGGACTCCTCGATTTCATCAAATTTCAAGTTCGTACAAATAATAACAAAAGTTAGAATAGATACATACTTCATTTAGCATGGATAGACTGCCACATCTATTGATCAAACAGATATTCCGTCATCTAAACGAATATGATGATCAGTCTGATGTGTTGGATATTGTTTGTTTGGGACTGACTTGCACACGTATGTTTGTGATAATGAGCAATCAGTTGCCAGACCTTCAGTTTAGAAAAGTTATTCATCTAGGTCGACGACCAGGTATCATTGTGCCCTCTACAAGATTAGACAACTCAATGATGAAGATCATTGAATCATGTAAGGGAGGCGAACTGATTCCATGCAAATGGCCTTCATCGATCAACACTTTGAAGATCAATTCGAAGAAACCTATGACACAGGGATACCTACCCTCATCATTGACAAAGCTGGTCATTGGAGAATATGATCATGAGCTCCAACCAGGCTCACTGCCACCATCAATCACAGAGTTGAAGGCCAAGAACTTCCGTCACAAACTTAAACCAGGTGTCTTGCCACCATCACTCACAACACTCACTCTGGGATCACCACCATATATGATTAGACCTCACATTCTACCATCATCTCTCATCACATTAACAATCAAGTCCATAGATGGATTCCGAAATTCCTCACCCTTTGCCTTGGGCTCACTTCCAGACTCACTCCAGACACTCATCCTCTCGGATGAATTCAATCAAAATTTGGTATCCAAAGATATTCTACCTGTGTCACTCACAGCGCTTCACTTTGGAGACCAATACTACTATCCACTCCCACCTGGCGTACTCCCTTCAACTCTCTTGATACTCAAGTTTAGTAAAGAAAGCGAATTCTACCATTCGCTGGACCCTGGATCATTGCCAAATTCGTTGCACACACTAAGACTAGGCAGTGGCTTCAATGATCCTCTAGTCCCTGGATCTCTACCAGACTCAATCACCAAGTTGACCTTTGGAGCGAATTTCAATCAAACAATACATGGCCGTCTCCCACTGTTCCTCACGACACTCAAGTTTGGAATCTCCTTTGACAAACCATTCACAAAAGGTTCCTTGCCCAGGATGCTTAGGTCATTACAATTGGGGTTTGATTATAAGAGTAACATATTTACGCCAGGTCTACTACCTTCATCTCTGGATACATTAGTGCTGAGGAGGGCACCATTCAAAAGATTGACAACGACTCAGATACCATTGTCTCTGACCAGGTTGGACTTTGGCGGACCTAAATTCAACATGCGATTCCGGAAGGCCATATTGCCAGAGACCCTCAAATGGTTGCGATTAGGTCGAGATTTCAACCATGAAATAAATCTCCCTCGTGGTCTAACTCATCTTACATTGAACTCAATGATACAGTTTAATAGATGTAGGACGATGTCCATCGAGGGACATCAACTTGAGGAGTTAAACATTGAGGAAACACAATTCCCTGGGATGTTCAAAGGTCCAAAGTCCAAGGACCCAATTTGGATCAATAATCTTCGATTGGTCACTCACTTCCCGGAATCGACTGTCATCAATGACATCGATTGGCATGGATCGTCTATCTCCAAATTCACAAACATCCTATTACAAAGAACCACTATTGCTTATGGTATTCAATCATACTTCAAATTGCGCAAGATAGATGATCAACACTGTATATGTGTCCTAGTTAAAGGAAACAAGATTACTCAATACCATACAATCAATATATTAGAACAATGTTGATTAATTGATAAACAATAGAAGTTTAAAATATTTGAGGGTATATCTGCAAGGGTATGTTTGGGGCAGTTATTAATTTTTTGATCAGCTGATCAGACATTTGATCACGTGATCAGATAATTAAAGAATAGTCATAATAGTCAATAGTTACATATACATCATCTAGCATGGATAGACTGCCACACCTACTGATCAAACAGATATTCGGTTATCTTAACGTACATGATGAGCAGTTTGACTTGTTGGATATAGTTTGTTTGGGACTGACGTGCACTCGTCTGTTTGTTATAATGAGCAATCAGTTGCCTTACCTTCAGTTCAACAATGACATACATTTAGGTCGAAAACCACGTGTCATTGTGCCCTCTACAAGACCATCCAACTCAATGACAGCACCTTGTAAACGAGGCGTACTGATTCCTTTCGAATGTCCTTCAATGATCAACACTTTGAAGATCAATTCGAAGAAACCAATGACACAGGGATACCTACCCTCATCAATTACCAAGCTGATCATTGGAAAGTATGATCATGCGCTTGAGCCAGGCTCACTGTCACCATCAATCACAGAGCTGAAGGCCAAGTACCTCAGTCACAAGCTCCAACCAGATGTCTTGCCGCCATCAATCACGACACTCACTCTGGGATCATGTCTGAAGAAGATCCAACCTCACACTCTACCATCATCACTCATCTCATTAACAATAGAGGCCACTACATTTGGTGACCCAGATGCCACACCCTTTGTCCCAGGCTCACTTCCAGACTCACTCCAGACACTCATCCTCTCCGATGACTTTAATCAAAGTTTGAAAGCAGGTATACTTCCAATGTCACTCACAGTCCTTCACTTTGGTGATCGATATAATCATCCACTTCCACCTGGCATCCTTCCATCTTCGCTCAAGATACTCAAGTTTATTGGCCTCTTCAATCAATCACTCGCCCCGGGATCGTTGCCCAGTTCATTGAACACACTTGAGCTGGGCAATTGTTTCAATCTACCACTGGTCCGGGGATCCATACCCGACTCACTCACCAAGTTGACCTTTGGAAATCTGTTCAATCACCCCATACCAGACCATGTCCTCCCATTATCCATCACGTCACTCAAATTCGGAAAATACTACCGCTGGTCATTCACCAAAGGTTCTTTGCCAAGCTTACTTAGGTCATTAACTTTAGGATACATTTACAGTAACATACTTGCACCTGGCTCACTGCCCACAACACTGGATACATTGATACTGAATAGTACTCCATTCGAATCATTGGCACCCATAAATGGTGGAGGGCCCTTGTCAGACATGTTGCCATCATCTCTTACCAAGCTGAGCTTTTGCAATAGTTTCAACATACCGCTCTACAAGGGTATACTGCCCGAGACGCTCAAATGGTTGCGATTAGGCCGAGGTTATTGTCAAGACTGCCATTCCACATACCTCCCTAGTGGACTCACTCATCTTACTTTACACACAATAGTACAGTTTAATAGATGTACTACGATGGGTGATAGATTAGAAGAACTAATCATTGAGGATACACTATTCACTGGATTCCAAGGACCTCAGCATAATGTACCCATCAAGAATCTACGATTGATATCCAACTATCCACTATCAAGTCTCGTAAATGATATGGATTTGCAATCTATGTCTAAAGTCACAAACATATACTTCAAGGGATCAACAACATCCAACGGGAATGGTAATGATTATGTACCACAACTTTACTACAAACTGCGCAAAGTCGATCAACAATATTGTATATGTATCCGTGTCCAAGGAAGCAAGAACATTCAATACCAAACCATCAATACATTCGAAGATGATTGATTGATCATTAATAATGTGCACTCTGAGGGTATGTCTGCGAGGGTATGTCTGTGAGGGCAAGGGCAAGGGTGAGGGTTGAGGTCAAAAGTTCAAAGGTTGAACAATGATGACCATTTGGCTTTGTACATAGATATATATAACAAGATATAAACAAACAAGAATGAGTAGTACAACCAATATATATTCACCGCCATTGTTAATGAGTACTACGGCAGAGAAACAACAGTTACTACATGTTAATGATGAAATAACACGTAGATTTAAGTCTGCCCTACCTTTAAAGTCATGCAAGATGACTAAACAGGAGGAAGAGGATGGTGTAAGAATAACACGCTTCGAGATCTTTAAGCTGCGCTCAAAGAAGATTGGTACCAATCTACCAGACGTCACTCTGTCTGAGCACGACTACACCACGCTGGACAAGCTATACGATCCAAAGTATGACTACTACGTCGTTGGAACTATCATACAGTCTGGTCATCCCAACAATGGACAGATGATACGCGCTGAGCTGGTGGTCGGTCAAGTGTCACTAAAGTACGGCTCGATCAAGTCGTGGTGCTACTTTGTGCACGCCAAGCCCATCAGTCATGGAAAGTACACATGGCTTCTACTTGATCGAGAGCAGCCTCATCCTCATTACAGAGTCATGTACGATCGCTACCAACCTCTGTTCCTGCTCACAATGTACACGACCCTCTTCTTCTCAAACTACACCGAGACCTCTATATACTACTACCCGGACAAGATCTACTCACATCTATCAAACTATGTATGTGTTCATGATTGTCAATCAATCAATCAATCACATCTCCATTCATTCATCGATGACTGACATCTTCATACCTTTAGTTGAAGCTGAACTTACCAACATATCGCGAAGGAGACCTCGAGAGATACTCTGAATATGTTGAACCCTTTGTTACAGACTTATCTGAATGGAAGGAAAAGGCAAAGAAACTGTTTAGAGATTATGTACGTACATAGCATGAATATGACTGATCAAGCAATCAATCAACTAACTCAATCATTTAGATCAATCCACGTTCAGAGTTGATGAACAAGTGTTACAATAGAGGTATTAACAATGCACTTGGAGTGAAGAAACAGGCAAATGCCAAGACAAAGAAAGAGATTGAAGAACCAGCGCCACTCACTCCAATTGGATACTCTGCCGAACAACTTAGTAAGCAATGGTCAAAGCATATGGATTTGGTAAAGTCGACAATCAATGAAACCAGTATGTCTCGAATCCCCATCAATCAATCAAAGTATTACCATAACTAACACTTGAGTGTCTACACTGGCTACGGCTACAAAGGATTCACACAATCGATAGACATAAAGGACTTGTCAGGAATGGTGGAATACTATACATATGATAGAGCGAGATCAAGGGTATTCTCTCAGGCCAAGTTTCAATTGGAGAACAGCAACAACAACATTGTTTCATCGCCAGCAGTCTCTTTCGAATTCAATGATGTGGATGAACGCAAGTTCCATCAAGACGTGTTACCATTCCTCGAGTGCAAGATCTGTGGCGGTGCAATCCAGTTGCAAGGCGCACATATCAATGATCCAAAGATCGTCTCGAACACATTGTCAATCGAATCTTACAAGAAGTTCATACTGCATTTGGAGAAACATCGATTCGAGATACGCAATCAATCACTCGACTCCAATGACATTGTCAAATTGGAGACAACGGCAATGCTCAATCAACATCGTGTGAGATCAATGGTTGAACGATTACATGAGATGGTCGAGCAAGAAGCAATCAAGTCCAACAACAACAAGAAGAGTGATGACAACAAGTTGGTCATAAACTGGCCAAAGCAACCTGGCAGTCGACTCAAACGAAAGAACATAGACTAAGTAGATCAACACAATATAGAAAAGGCACGACATTCATTCGTCGATGCATATGTACAATCAATCCATCCAAATTTATTGTCAATACCATATGGTTCTATCTGATCACATACTGGCACCTTGCATTATTGGAGATACATGGATTGGTGACTGTGTTGGATAATGATCAAGTGCGCTATCCACAACGAAGCTTGGAAGGTATGCAGCCAATTGGTTAAAATGTTGATGTTGTTGATGTTGCAGTTGTTGTTGTTGATGTTGATGTTGTTGTTGTTGTTGATAATGGTGCTGTTGGTGGTCTAAGACTGGTGCAGAGGTGTGGTATGAAGGTACCCAATAGTCTGTGTTGATGTCAACTGGTTGATGATGAGACTGGTCAATGAGCTCGCACATCTGGTTGGTCTGTTGATGCATATGGGAGGAGTAGTCCTGGTCACCGGAGATGTTGTTGTATCCTTGTTTGCTGACCATATGGATGTTGGAGTCTGAATAGCTCAAGTGATCATGGTGGACCATTGGAGGAAGGTTCTGTTGTTGCTGATCGGAGATATATGATTGATGATGCTCATTCTCATTGATCGGTCCACCAGAGAATGGCATTGAGTTGTAGTGATAGCCAACTTCATTTCCACCACCACCACTGAGATCAACTATGTTGGAATGATACTTGTTTGATGGTGTCTGTGTAGTATCGGGATGGTAGATGATGTTTGGCACAGATTGAGAGATTGCGCACCTTGGATCGTAGTCCGAACTAGTGGAACAGCTCGAGTTAAGGTTGGCAAACTCTGTGGAGGCATACACCAGTTCGTTCAAGTTGGACGACATCAATGTTGGACTGAGCAGTATGCTTGGAAGCTTCCTCCTCTGAGTGTAGTCATCAGATGCATTGAGTGGAGTATATTGAGGGACATGTTGCGGCTGTCTGTTGGGGTTGTTGAAGGGATCTTTGAATGATGGCCTCGAAGGAGTGGATGTAAACGGATCAATAGAGTTGGTATCATTGGCGCTGTTGACATTGTTGTTGGAATGGTTGTACTGATGGAATGTATGGGTCTTGGAGCTCTTCTTCTTGGCCTTCTTGGTCGCTGACTGTCCTTGCTTGGTATCCGAGAGGGAAGATGAGGACGGAGGATGGATGAGGGTCGTGGAAGCCAGAGGATTGGGATATGACGTATCATCAACAACTTGGTAGCTCTGATTGAATTCACCTTCAGAGTTCAAGTAGGACATTGATGGTATATGCATAGATGTGAACATTGTATTGTTCTCGGTGATGCTCTCATTGACAAAGTTGGTCTTTGGATGTTGTTGTGCACTTGATGACTGCGACTTCTGGAGCATTGCAAAGTTCCTCAATCTATGCTTCTCAACCTTTAGCTTCTTGGCGAATGATAGGCCACATGCATTACACAACCTATGTAAATATATGAGTTAGAATATTACTTCGGTAAATATTTGTTTGAGTGGATACATACGTGGCAGGACCATCCGGACCCTTCCTCCATTCAGGTGTCTTCCTCGTCTTGCACTTGTAGCAATATAGGGTATCTTTGCTAAGATTGGCACTCCTCCTTCGATGTGTCTTGGTCAAACAAGTGTATTAATATTAATATTAATATCTGGAAATAAATTAAATAATAAATAATAAATATTATTACCTTATTCAATGGTATATTCTCTAGGATGGTACTTAGTGAGCCATTGGATTGTACAGTGACTGGCACCAATACATCTTGGAATGGTTTATCACCGGATACAGAGGTAGCTGATATTATACCTGTTGACATGTTGGTCGGTTCATCATATTGATGTTGGTGGTCATGACCATGACCATGTCCATGTCCATGACCTTGATGAAGTACATGGTGTTGTCCAAGATGATGTGATTGATATCTTGGTGACCTTATGTTAACATCCATATCTTGAATATTGATTGGTGAACTATCATAACTATCTCGAAGAGAATGGGCGTATGAATGCTGATGTTGATGTTGATGTTGTTGTTGTTCAGTTGAGGAGACATATTCCAACATTTGCATTGGTGTTGTGGCTGCTACTGCCTCAGCAGAGGAAGCATATGTTGCTAGTAGTAAAGAGTGGTGACCATTGTCTTTGTGTTCATATTGGTGCATCGTTCTCCCTTTGTCATACATATTAATTGGATGTATTCATAAGTACTCCTCTATTATTATTTGTTTGATTGATTGATTGACTTTGGCTGAGTGTTGTAACATAAACATACACATACACATAAATAATAACAGGTAATAACAATAGAGATAACAAGGAGAGTCGTGTCAATGAAGAGGAATGTTCATTCTATGCTCCAAGCCATTCACTTCCAACATGCATGTCATAAACATGTATGATGAGTGAGTGAGTGAGTGAGGGATGGTGATGACCAATATATTAAAGTTGTCCAATACCTAACCAAACCTAACTAACTAACAAACTAACACTATAAGGTCAGGTAATGACAATGACAATGACAATGATAATGACGGGCGAGGAAGTAGTTGGTTAGTTAGTCAGACTGTCATATGACTAATTATAAGTCGAAGGAAATTACGTCCGTCCCAAGTCATAATGTTTGTGTGTGAGGGGGATATGAAGGACCGGACCATGCCCTGAAAGGGAAACACTACCTTTACAAGAACGTATCTACACACACATTATACATAGATACACAAAGATACACATACACACATTCATTGACATACACACACACAATGTTAACACTCGTGTATTAACTTCTTCTTCTCACTCCCACAACACTGAGATCCAATTGAAATTGGGTCCCACCACCTTGATTTTCTTACTTGCAAGAGACCTGATGGTGCACTTTCAAGACCTCAAAGTCCCAATTGTTAAAGGTTCAATCACTTTGTTATTATCTGTTCTGTAATATATATATAAATACATTATAGAAATACACATACATAGATAGACTTGAGAAATATTTGATATATTATATATACATTCATAGATACATAAATATATAATGGCCTCAGCTAGATATACAAAGAGATTGCAAAAGGAGTTATTAGATCTTCAGACAAATCCTCCAGGCGGAATAAGCGTAGAGGAAGCAAACAACTTTGAACGATGGGTCATCAATATACTTGGTTCACCAGGTACTATCTATAGTGGCGAGGTCTTTAGACTACAGTTTAGATTCAACTCTAGCTATCCACTCGAGTCACCAGAGGTCGTGTTCATAGGTTTGGCACCAGTACATCCTCATATATATAGCAATGGTCACATATGTTTATCAATTCGTATGTTTAAGTTGTTCCCCTTTCAACAAAGAATCTTCGTGTCCACATGTGTACTAACACCCAATCATTCGATTCGAATACATATACCAGTGTATGATAGCTGGAGTCCAGCTCTGACAGTTTCATCAGTTTGTTTAAGTATACTTAGTATGCTAAGCAGTTGCACAGAGAAGACTCGTCCTCATGACGATGCTGGCTACGTTTCGAAAACAATAGGAAAGAGTCCAAAGAACACAAGGTATCTATCAGCCGGTCATGAATGTCAACCAAAGATCCTCAACAACTAACGTTACAATCTCATAATCAGATGGATGTTTCATGATGATACAGTCTAGATCATTCAGGACGTTGTTTATTTAGAACCTTTGCGCTACAGATATCAACCAAGATCACTTAACCTTACCATTACCCTTTCCCTTATCCTTCTATGTTATTTATACTATGGACATAAATAAACCACTTGTACAATCTAGGATTAAACAGCAAGAGCAGCAGCAGCAGCAGCAGCACAGGAGAATCAACAACAGCATAAGGATCGAACAAGCGCGAAGATTGATGTATATTGTTTATTGAACAAGTGATCTTGATACAAAGATCTGTATCAAGTCAACAGCCTCTCGAAGATAGAGCAGTGTATCGGATGCTTCAGACACTAGCAATAGTCCTGCGATCTTATAGTTGATATAGTCCAATGATAGCTTCTTGTTGGCGTAGGGATCCACTCCTACAATGGACGATCCATTTGCAGTAGAGGCAACAGCGAGTTCAATATCCATTGCATCATCTACAGCTGATACATCGATTGATTGATTGTGAAGTCCTTGTCGATAGCCCATCTCGATGAACTCTTGAAGGATGGTCAAGCACATTTTTCGAATGGATGAGTTGGGCGATGTCAGTCCCTCGACAATGGAGCCCAGTCGACTCTTGACAAAGTTGTTGATCTTGACACCAATGGATGGGTCGGCGTTGTCCTGATGCTCCATTGAGCTTGCCAATAGTTGGAACTGTAGTAGCTGGGTTGATTCTGGATACAGGTGGATTGCGTCCACTGCCAATGCCACAACATCCTCTGCCACACTCGTTAAACCTGTCAGTTTCTGTAGTAGTATCAACAGATTGCAGTTAATGTTGCCAGTGTTCTGTCGTGGTTGTGATGATGATAATGATGGTGCAGGTGTCTGTTGCTGGAGAAGCACTTGTGTGAGGTTGCCACTTGGCATGCGCATTGGTGGCGCTCCTGATGTTGAAGCAGTTTGTCCCGCACTAATGGACACATTTTGTATCTTGTTAAACAGTGAGGTGCGTATCATCTTGATCACTCGCTCAATGTGTTGCATGTTTGATCGTAGTGTCTCCTCAATGAGCACGATACTGTTGTTGCAGTTGATGTCTGTGTCATTCTGATTGGTAGTCAACTGAAGGAAGAGTGACTCTAGCGTTGCCAGAGGATCGATGGCATGCTCAGAGAGCAACAGACGCAGCAGGTGAAGTGCAGTGTCTGATGTGATAGGGTCCAACAATGTTTTGTACAACAGTTCAATGCGAGTGGATGATGTCTCCCAATATGATAGCTTTCGACCAATGTGATTGGCACCAAACTGAACGAGGTAGAACATCTGAATGGATAGTGTCTTGCTGTGGTAGTCTGATGTCGACAGCAACACCAATAGTCGATCCAAAATCGAACTGTTGTCAATCATTGTCTCGATGATGAAATGATACAGAGAGTCGCCTGCACATCCATCCTTGCCCGTGGCCTGTTGTTGTTGTAGTTTGTTGACCAACATATGTTGAAGGAATATGACTGATGATGCGGGCATGAGTAGTGAGGACAGTGAGGCAGTAGCGTCGACACCAGTTGGATTTGAGGCCGAGAACATCTGATCGAGTACCAGGGTTGTAATAAGGAGTTCGACAAAGCTGTTCTTGATCGTGGACAGTACCAGCTTGTAGTTTTTAAAGCGCGTCAAGACAAACTGAAGATACTCGAGAAGTATGTTGTCTGTGTTCGTGGCAAGCCCCTCGACTTGTACTTGATCCAGTGACACAGTGCCAGCATTACAAACAATGTTGAACAGGATGGGCACGAGTTGCTTGAATACGACCATTGTGTTGTTGGTCAGTTTGTTTGGCTGCAGCTCCAGGTGTCGGAGGAAGTTGAACAGGAACCGATTGACACTGTCGCGCAGATCCTGTGGCATTGTGTTGTAATAAAGCAACAGCTGTCTCACTTTCCAATAATGATATGTTACATCCTTTGATTGAAGCAATGACTCACGCCAATGACGATCCAACAATTGTTGCACCTTTGTCTGTGTGTCCGAGCTGAATGTCTCGAGTGTCTGTATCAGGTTCTCCAGAATACTCAGTCCTTCAATCAGCTGACTGGTTGAGAAGTGACCGTTCAGGCCATATCCATTATCCCTTCCAAACAACAGTACTCTTAGCTTGTCATCATTGATTATAAGTGTGAGTAGACGTTCGGCGTATGGTTGGGCTGGGGTGGTATCGGCATCGGCGCCAATATAATGGTATATCGCAGGCAAGAAGTGATTCTGAAGAAGTATTACAATGCTTGAGTGATCATTAGATGATGTCGGTCCATCTAGTAGTTCCAACATTGATTTGATTAACTTGATGATCTGATAAGATGTTTGAGTTAGTGAACTGTTGACCTGGCTAAGCTTCAACTAGCGACATACCTGTGTCAACATGTTGCTCTCGATCATATGTTGGACGAATCGTTGTGATTGAGTTGTTTTGTTGATGACGAGGAAGTAGTAACGAAGTAGATGGGCGTAGTCTGTACTCAGGTGTTCGGTCTGAGTGGACACGATCACGGGTATCAGTGTCTGGATCAATGGGTTCAGCTTCTTCTTCTTTGCACCATCTTGATGATGGTGATGGCCGTGATGATGTTTGTGTTGATGTTGTCCAGATTGTATTGATGGGAAGAGTGATACTAGATGTCCTCTAACAATGGCATCGATGTCAGGTGTTTTCTGATTGTCCTTGCTGGCCAATGCTGCAAAGGTTGTTGGAGTGTATATCAGTCGCTGGAAGTACTCCTCGACAATGAGGTCGCCCTGCGCGCACTGTTTGAGTAGACTGGTGATCCATCGACTCAGATGGAATGTTGATGAAGTGATAAAGTGTGTAATGTTGGAGCTGGTCAAGTCTGACAAGATCTGCTCCTTGATCTGTAACCTTGTTGGTGGCACACTCTTTGTCTCCTGTACAGTTTGTTGTTGTTGTTGCTGTTGGTGTTGTTGATATTGTTGATGTTTGCCACCTCTTCCCTTCTTATCATATCCATACTTCTTCTTGTTGTTGTTGTTGTAAAGTTGTTGTTGTTGTTGTTGTTGTTGTTGTGATTGATTTGATTGATCATTGAATGTTATATTGATCGTCTCTCTAAATAGTAGTTTGAATGCATAGAATGGTGCTGCCTTGGCTTGATACTGAAGTGTGCCAGATTGGATCATATGAGCGAGTGTCTTGATCACAGTGCCAATGTACTCGGGTCTTTGAATTATGAATGATGTAAGAACTAAGTCCAATATTGTCGGTGTGCTACCTTGTCCATATGATGATCTAATAATCGATGTCAACTCCTCTTTAAACGTTCTAGTCTGTGATGTTTGGTTGGCACAACGCAACCAATACTGTACAATATGATCGACCTGATCAACATATACTACAACATCAACTGATCTATCTATCTCTCTACGTAAAGTATCATTCAAATATGATAATATATTATTATTGTTGTTATTGTTGTTGTTGTTTGATGAAGGTACATCTGTATCTGTATCTGTATCTCCTTGCTCCATCTTCTTTCTCTTTAGAGGTCTGTTATCATCTGTGTTTGTATTGGGTGAGGATGTAGCACTGACATCAAGTGCTGTTGAAGTTGAAGTTGTACTAGACGACATAATAAGAGAGATGAAGTATAATAATGGATGATAAAGTCAATCAATCAAACTTGAAGACCCCCTTTATGTTTATCAAACTTTGAAGATCACTCTCTGGCTACACTTCACTCTCATGCATACAAATAATTGATTACGTCTAAATTGTACATTGAGTCAGTTGGTAAACTGAACTCAAATATACAGGTGAAGGTTTATTGATTGATTGATTGGGTGGTCGTTTGAGCGACTAGGTGAAGGTGGCCTGACTGGTTTCACGAACTAACAAACAAGTTGTTTAGATCTCGCGAACCAAGTGTGAGTGCCATGGGCACCATCTGTTGCCTGGGA